GGAGAGACATGTAATGGCTGGAATGGATTTGAACTAGTGTGTGTATGTGTGATGTTCTCAAAGTACCTCGGACCCTCTTTACGCTCCCTTTCATCATATTTCTTTTTCGCATTCTCAAGATGCTGCACGTAACTAAACGCTTCAGTATACTTTGGCTCACACGTGATTGCTTTTTTTGCTGTTGATCTTAAGTTAGTAAATCATTCCCTGATTTTTATCCTGTAAGCAGATGGCATCAGTAAAAGTTGAAAAAAACCCTGATGAAAGAGACTTCCTGAGAGGGAAAGGAAAAGCAAAACTTTATTTAAAAACACATCTATAAAACATGGCCAACTGACTTTAGCAGACATGAGAGGAACTTCAAAATGTCTCTTCTTATAATTGGGTCTGCTTAAAAAAAACACGACTGAAAATTTTAAAGTACATAAATAGAAGAACACATGTTAAGTGTAAAGGAAGCAATACTGACATTAAATCAAATGACATAATTAGTTACTTAAATATTGTCCAAGAAACGACGGCTTCCCGTCCTGCGTCACTTCCTCACACTTAATCCATAAAATGCAGAAATGTAAACAGCCGCCATGGATTCATCAGGTCCAAAGAAAGCTTTCCAGCCCCTCTGATGAGAGCAGCTGCTACCAAATAACATGGCAAACAAGAGAAACCTTTCACTGCACATACTGAGAGCATCCGTGTGTTCTGAATGACTCATATCTGGCCACACGGCTAGTTGCCAACAATCAATCCTGGTGACCTGAACATTACAGCTTCCGACTAATTCTCTTCCCTCCGAAAACAACAAGCTGAGCCGTACAGAGTGTCTGTCACAATGTCTCGCAAGAGGACTCTCAAACCCCAGCGGACCTTGAAAAAAAATCTGGTGGTGCAGCTGCCGTTATTAAGGAATGAAGTCTGGAGGGCGCTGATGTGAACGAGATGCCATCCTGCAGATTTGCTTGATCAGAATTAATATATTTTTTAAGCAAACACAACGGCATCTCAATCAACACTTGAGTGTGTCGTAGCTTCAGAAGCTACATGTGTCACATTATGAAGGCGACTTGAGACTGAACTACGGGCTCTTTGTGGATTCGCTTTTGCTGCTGCTGCATGAAAGGGTTCTGGCGGTGTTTTGTCGGGTGGATTTCTTTTCATTTCTGACACCTTTGAACATTTGACGTACACACCTGGAGCAATATTCCCGTTTGAAGTACACGTACAATAGCTTGATCTAAAAGAGCTCCTGTCTGCACAGATATTTACATTGATGATGAAATGACTTTCACGCCGCGACGTCGCTGAGGAACAAATAACGTTAACAGCTAAAGTCTAACAATCTGACAAGTACTAAAAGTCCCTGTTCCGTCGTTCGTCAGTAGCTGCCGCGCCCTGTCCAGTCACATCACCCCCCCACTGAGCACGCGAGATACAAGAGTCACTCCCACAGGTTCCTTCCTGATCCCCCCCCCCGCTGCCTGGCGAGTGTGATTATAAACCCGCGTTGGGACAAGAATGCAGCGGCCGTGCCTGCACACATTTGCATTTACCTGCTTACATTTCTGCGGCATCGTGCGTCTTTTCTCTGGCTCTAAAATTGCTGAATTTACATATCTCGCCCCAAAGGTTCCGGCGTACTCAGGCAGACTTTCCCTTTTTTTTTTTTACAGTTTCTTGATAAATCGCGCTGCTTGCGGTGTCTACATTACACAGAGGGGAAGCCAGTGAGCACAATGCATGCATCGTGCATGTGCCGAGCGTCAACTAATACACTTACAAGACCACAACCACAGTACACACACACACACACACACACACTGTGTTATAAACAAACAAGCCTCTGCCTCTACTCATTTGAATGGAAATGGCACATTCTGGGCCTAGAAGACGACGGTAGCTGTGTCCCAAAGTCTCTAGGGACACATTCGTCCACCACATACGTCACTTGCGCTGCGACTCGTGTGTCCCGATCCGTCGGCTCCTCCGAACGGGACGCAGCAGTCGATGTGGAGGACACCTCTGATCTATCCTTTGCGCCCAGCATATCCCAGCATGCAATGGGGTCGTCGTGGCGCAGGGGTTAGAGAAGGTGTGCTGGGAAGCACAAGGTTGGTGGTTCGATTCCAGGCTGCCCCTTGTTCCATGTCGAAGTGTCCCTGAGCAAGACACCTAACCCCTAATTGCTCCCCGGGCAAAAATGTGAAAAAAGCCATGGGTTTGAAGTGTAATGTAAGTCGCTTTGGATAAAAGCGTCTGCTAAATGACATGTAATGTAATGTAATGCGGGCCGATGAGGATTTCCTTTATTCAGGACGGAGACAGGTGATCCGACAGCGCGGAAGAGTTTACTTTTAAATGTAACATTATTAATATAATCAATATACCAACACACATTTATAACAAATACACAACGAGCAGCTCACAATACCGGCAGCCGCTGTGCTGCTAACGGCAGCTTGTATGTAGTTATTAGTGAAAAGTCCCTTTAATGACTTTACTTTCACACTTTAGAGGCTGACTAATATCTTACTGCGGCTGAGACAGTTTTATATATAGTTTATACTTCATATTATGAAGAGAAATGGATCAAAGTGAGCTCAGGTATGAACCAGAAATATCACTTTCTGAGTCTGTGACGTTACAGAATAAATACACAGAGAAACTGAGCTGAACTGTTGTTTTGTTGTGTGATTATACACTAACTTTACATTTAGTTGTCAAGCTGAAGGAGAACGATGTGTGTGGTGACATTCAGCTACTGTGGTTTGGTCATATTCTGTAATATCTTAAGGTTACAGTTGAAATCATATGCAATAGAAAAATAAGAAGTCCTTGCATACAAGTTAATAAATGTGTTTGCTGTTGTGGTTTTTATTGACAGTATTGATAGAATCTCTGCCTTGAGATGCCATTTTTACTTTTAGCTGAAAGTACATTTGAATTTAAAATAAGTTCTTCTCTCAGCCAGAAATATATTGTGCTCCGGAGGAGAAGCGTGAAATAAGAAGATTCTTATTTATCTGTAGTTCATAATTGTTTGGGCTTTTAAGGCTTTTACTGTTTTTAAGCGCAGCAGGTTGCTAGGCAACAGGAGCAGTGGAGGTAAAGCTAGGACAGACCGTCCCATTTCAGAGAGCGCTCGGTTCAGGTTGGAGGACTGGGGCTACCGCGAAGGCTGCTGAAGGCTGCAGGATACAAGAATGCATCCTAGCCACTTTGAGACACAGCTATTTCCCCCCCCCTCCCTCCACCTAATCAGTTCATTCTGTACACCTGCTCGTCACATTCACCTCGTCAGCCCAATCACACTCACCTGTCTACTACTCACTCCCTACTAACCCTAACCCTAACCCTTCAGTATTTAAACCCCAGTCACTCAGTCACTCGCTGTCAGATCGTCCTCTGCAGACCTTCCAGCACTGTTGACTCTGGTAGTTTCCGACAGGGTCGTCGTGTTTCTCAGCGGTAGTTTGCAACAAGAATGGCTCTCACACGTGTTATTACCAGCCAGTCGTTTCCTGGGGGTGGGGGGTGGGAATACAGCGATACACTTGATGGTTTTTTTTGATACTATATCGATTCTCAAAAGCTCCATCTCTGTTTAATCAATAGCTTAGAGGCAGACGGTGGCTCAAATTGCACATTTCATGAGTTTTCCTCACATTGCAATAAAAAGATTAAAGTATGTCAATATGTTGAATATAACATATAAATATGTTTATCTCAATATATGTGATCCACCTCCCCAAGTAATTCCATTACTTAAGACAACTTAAGACTAAACTCTTAATGTGGTATTTCATTCCTGAGCTGATAATCAATCAGACTTTACTTTGAGATAAACAAATCACACCGAGTAAACTACATCAAACTACATCATAACGCCCCCATGTCTGTGCAATGGATCTCATGGAGGCTGATGTCAAATGAATCATCAAAACTGCTAACGTGAAATAACTGTAGAATTGGATTCATCAATAATTCTTGCTCTGTGGAGATGTGCTATAGTTTTATTGGTCTGTCTGGTAAGCAAGTTGCACACCAAAAAGCGCCGTAATTGTAAAAAGTTAAGTTAATACTGACATTTTCACTTGTTTTTCACATATCGTGTAAGCGTCTGCGTTGACCCCTGACCCCGGAGCATAGGTTGGGGGCTTTTACAAAAGTGGCTTATCACGTCCCTTTGTGCCAAAGTTAGGGACGCCGTCACCGACGTTACGGCCCCGTCTCGTCATGTTAGCCTGCTGGCGCCGGTCCTTTCCACGACATCCTACTTCTGACTGCCGTACCGTCGGTGGAGAACAAATCCACATAAGGCAGATCAAGGGCAGAACTAGAGTCCCCTGAGTCATGATAACATGCTTCTTTCTTCCTTACCACGGGGGTACAGGGACCGTTTTGTTCCCTTCACTGTGAACAGCTTGTGATGATGAAGGTGGAGGTGAGCTTCTGTTTTTTTCACAATTGGGAAATGTAATTTCTCTGATTTGCATAGATATGCAAATGTACCAAGTTACAGTTGAGTTGTTCAGGACCTGGTGATGTCAGTCAGTCAGTGTGTGTGTGCCCCCTCCCCTCGGTGCTACCCATCTAGGTCATTGTTTTTTTTGCTGCATGTGTTCCTTGTCTGATGGATATGTACTGTATTTAAAGCCAGAGGCTTCAGCAGCCTGGGCCGAGTTATTTATGATGGTGCAGGCGGCCTGCGGGTGTCGTACAGGGCTTGCTGTCATCGGTTATATTAGCCATTGTCACTGACTGATGTACTTTTACACATCAACTGTATGTTTGTGTACTGTTTGCAAGTAATCTTTCCCTGAGTTATGATTTGAGACTAAGAAAAACACTCAATCCAGCCGTGATGTTCAATACGTGACTGTGGGAGAGGCTGCGGAGCCATTTGTTGTGGCTTTAAAGGTTAATTCCCAACACAACTGTGTGAGGAACGGTTAATACGACATATTTTCATTGTTCCGCTTCTTCTTCTTCCCCCTGTCCAGCGTCCTCGCCCGGCCCTAACGTCACCCTGGAGGGCCAGTACCACTGTCTGCAGGGCCCTGGGATCCCACTGGACAAACTGTGCGACTTCAGCGCCGACTGCCCACTCGGCGACGACGAAGGCGACCTCTGCCGTGAGTACAGCGAGAAGCCCACCTGTCCGATGGCCCGTCCCACCATCGGCCAGTCTGCCCAGTGACTGTGAGGAAGCCGTAGAGACACAACCAAGCCCCCTCTCCCCCTCCTCCCAATGGGAAATGGGTGGCGAAGGGAAAAATAGTTCAAAAATAAAGGGCAGCGTGTTCTAAGCTTCTATGCTCATTTTTCACCCTTATATTCCGTGGTTGTTATTTCTACCTCTTTAAAGATTTTTTTCTGCTTTCCTCGTTGGCACACTAGCCGAGTATGCTCGCATCTCATTCAGAAGCACAGCCCCCCCCCAGGCCCTGCTTCTTTTGTGCGTCTGAGTCCCACCTGCATGCAGGCGCTTTTACACTGTCCCCGTGATTAACAGACAAAGGGTCGACAGCTCGTACCCCCTGCGGTCTGCCTTTTGCTTCTGACACCACGGGTTGATTTCCGAGTTTTCCAGCCCCCATTAGAAGCAGGCAGAGTTACCCCCCCCCCCCCCCCGTGCAGGTCACCCTCCCACGCGCTGCTCATTATAAATGGTGGCGGCTCCCTCGTGCTTATGGGATGTGAGAGATAAGAGGCTAACCAGAGGTGGAACATCCCAGCAGGGCCCAGTTCCTCTTTGGGCTGAAGGAGGATTTGTGAGTGCTAATTGGCCTGAGAGGCTCTCCCTGGGGGTGGAATCCCCATCCCAGTGTAATAAGGGTGTTTGTGTGCCTGCGGGCGGGTGTCACTTGTTGATCTTGGATTTGAAGCAAAAGTAATGACCAGTGTAAATATAAGAATATAAATCTGTGGGTTATGAATAACACGATGGGTATAATTGCACGGTTACGTAAAGAACAAGCCGAGGGGGGACAGACTGATATTATACTGGACACAGACTGCGGGGGAAGGCTAATCGCTGTGACTCAGCTGGGGAACTTTTAACATTCTCTTCTCTCTACATCGCCACACGCTGTTAACACCCAACACACATCTTTTCTTAAATTAGCATTAATCTGAATCCTTAGATGTTTTCATTTCATAAGTGGGGACAAGGACAGCTGACCCATTCAGTCCACGCTGGCGTTCTCGCGCTGTCAACCACCTCCTCCCGTATCTCAGGCTCCTCATTTGTTCCATTTGCCATCCATCGCTTGTCACCATCACTCCCCACTACCCAAATAATACCGTGCTCCCTCTCTGATACCCTATTCTCTATGATCTATCCACAAGTTACCTCCATGTGATTTGATCTATTTAAATCCTTCACATGCATTGCCAGGGCTCATTAACAGGGAGCGGCAGAGGGAGGCAGGAGGAACAAACCGAGCTTTGTGTCAATCACAAAGATTCCTGACATGTGAGGGGAACCAGGTCCCTGCGGATCTTCTTTTGCCGTCCTACCACAGCATCATTATGCATAAACACATCCGCCGTTCTCTGAGAGTCACCAGCTTCCCGCGGGTGAAGCCTGTTGTTCTGAAGTCTGCAGACACCCCCCCCCCCCCTTACTTTCCAACGGCACCCGCTGCAACTACAGAGCGACGCTGCCTGCATCCAAAGGCGGATGCAATCAAAAATGCAATTTAGTAATCTGCAGTATTCTGTGAGAACAGCACCTAGTTTCCAGCCCACCCCCAGATATCACTACACCTGGAGAGCGGTGCTCTAATGATATATAATGTTCCTTTAGCGACAACTGCCCATAGCCGCCCAGTCCTCCTTCAGTTGATGCCACAAACATACATTGCATGAACCTGACCATTTTTGTTCTTTATTTCTATGGAAACTATTCCTGTAATGACATTTGAAAAATGAAATAATCTTCATTAACACCTCTACCAAGCGAAGGAGAGCTATTGATGACGGCCTTTGTATATGTGCGAGTTACAGCAAAATGATCTGAAGATCTGAAGATCCATTTCCTTAATCCAGCTAAAATTGTTTGCCTTGCTGAGATCCTGCTTTAAGATGGTTTTGCCGGAAAAGTTTCCCTCAATTCAGATTTTTATTTAACTTTAACAAGAAAATTAGTTTGTTGGTAATGATATTGGTCACCAGATGCTCGAGTGCACAATTAAACAGGATCAAAAAAATGCACCTTTTCTTTCCTCCGTATAGCGAACATCCGTTATTTTATATGTGTGGAGAAAACTCTCCTCGGAGAAAACATGAATGCCTTTAATCCTACTCAGAACAGAAGGTAGTGAAGTACTTCAGCCCTTTGTGGATAAAATTAGTTTAACAGCATGCAACACTTTCTTCAACAGTTCTCACAGAAAAAAAGACCAAAACTTTACTTTGAAACATTATCTAGGCAGAACCTTTTCATCTATTCTTAAGGAGAGAACATGTTTTAGTTCAGACTTTGATCACCAGAGCTTCTTTTTGTTGTGTGCACATGCCTCTCAGCGCCTCCTTACCTTTGACAATCTCACTCTTAGATATGGAACCGGCCGTGACATCTACTTATAGGCCGTGTCCTCGCGTCCTGTCGCCACGACAGACACCAGCAGAGTAGCTGTGCACGTTGCATTGAAGTGACTTCTACCCAAACAACACTCCTACATTCATTAAGACTTGAGTGATGGACACGTCGGCTTTTCATAAGCTGGTAATGACACTGTGAGGTCGGCCCTCCTCACGCTTCATTAAGTAAGTTGTTTCAAGTTGAATCCATTCGGAAGACGGCTGAACTGGAGGGAGGGAAAACGCAGGGAGGCACTAGGTGACACGTACTAATGACTCCGAGGTGACATCATCACAAACCGCTTTTATTCATGTCATCGGCGATAATTGGACGATGTGACTGATCCCTTTGCTTTGCACGAACAGACACCAACTGAGACGGAGGAACCAAGGTACACCCCAAAGTCTAGAGAAGCTTTTATTTTGGTTGAGGAAAAAAACACCACGCAGCAAGCATTTGGGTTTTTTAATACATTAAGATAAGAAATAAATGGCATTAGTTGCAGTTGGTCGTTGAAACCTTCTCTTTCTATAACAAAATAAAACATTTTTAGAACTAGTGATCATTTCTCCTGCTTTTCTTCATGAACAATACCTGCTTCATGATCCCTGGTCAGGCCACTTTCACTTCCATTATCTGGATGAGGCCATTTCCAAAAAGCACACTGGTATCAGGCCACTCAGAGATTCGTATGGGTAATGGGCACTCACAGGCAGTAGTTGGCGATGATAAGGAACATGAAGCAAACTTGAGTTGGACACAGACCTGAAAACCCGAGCCAACGTCAGTGTTCTCGCCGTCAGAGTCTGACATGAATTACACACGTTCAGAAACGCCTTCGTTTGTAAAGAAATCCATGCTTCTGTCATTCCAGCTTCATTACTGTCGAGTAGCACCCAGCGTGATCCACACTATTTGGTTTATTCATGTGGGGGCTGCACACCGTATTCACATACAGCCCGGCTGTCTGTAGGTGATGATGTGCTGGAGAACGTCTCCTGAAAAGGAAAAATTCTATCAAAAAATGTGGTCCTTGGGCATGTACCAATATTTGCACTCAGTTTCTAACCCAAACATAAAATGGGCGGCGTTGTTTGCAGATGAAGGAGAGTTCACCCTTTCATGTTGACATTTTTGGAAAGGGAACTTTACATTCCAGTTAGCGCTGCAATGCGCCGCTTGTATCCGAATGATTCTGAGGCTTGCGATGTTCGAGTTCATGGCCGTCTCCCCCAAAACACATCGTGCCCCCCCCCCAGCTTTATTTCCTCCCTGCTTCCTTTTCCATTTTCCGTTTCCAGTCACTCTGCAGCTCAACCCTAATTTTCACCGACACATTTAGTCTTGTGAGCCAATAGTCCCCCTCTCATCTCCTTCATGACCCTCGCACCCTCAACCACCACCCCTCACGCGCCTGTCCTTTTTCTCCTTGGCAGTTTGGCTGTCAGGCTCTCTTCTCTGGACCACCTGCCGGGCCTGTCCAGTCATTCCCCCCCACTGCTCCCACTTATCATCTCCCCCCCTGATGTATTCTCTCTCCTGTCTCTCTCCAGGCACCTTTCTCAATGGCAGCTACTGCTCCTTTGAAGAGGGCGAGTGCGGCTGGCACTCAGTAGCTGGACGCGGTCCCTCCTGGAGAAGACTGCGGGCGCCAGCCAAGGCCACCAGAACCAGCTGCCCGCCATCAGGTGGCTCACACGCCCTCTGGGCAAACAACCACATCTGCATGCTCGCTCAAATGTCTTTTCAGGGCTGTTAATGCCTCATAAAAAATGCACTTCTTAAAAGGAGGGCGGGGGGGATGTTGTTTTGAAGCCTTCACAGTTTTCAGAACACAGAACCCCATTGGGTGTAAAACCTTGCAGAAGCATGCAGAACCTTGCGGTCCTACATCTGCAATCCATGGCGAGTGTGTCTTTGTATGATCATCTAAAGTCTGGGGTTGGCTGAGGCCTGTTTTTGTCTCACAGGGAGTTTGTGTCATTTCATACCATGTTTAGTCATTTTAGATTACTTTCATGCAGATTAGCTTTCGATTTAACCTTCTGGTTGTATCAGTTAGGCATCCAAGCGGAGCGGGTTTTTCTTCTTCTGCGTGTCTAATAACTGTGCTTTTGTGAGTTTTAAGGTGCCACCTTCAGTGTGGAAGGAGGCCAGTCCAAAGGCCAGCGCAGCGCAGCCATACTGAGGAGCCCTCTCTTTCCCCCTCCCCTGAGAAACTCCCCCTGCACGGTGAGCACAGTACAGTGAGTCTCCATTCTCTGAGGTGCACATATCAGCCCACTCCGTCCCTATTGCTGCGCCTGTCGAGCTCTCTGTTGACGCGTGGCACATCTGTTGATGGTAACGTACCACTGTGACTATGAGTCTTCCAGCCCTGTCAGTTGTTGCACCTTTGTGCCGGACGCCGTGTGTTTTTCGGCTTGTTGATGATACGTTGAAGCTTTTGGAATTACAAATTCAGGATTATCTGATAATAAGCTAACAAGTGTAAATACTAATTCGCAAAGAAGACAAACAGCGGCATTTTTCTAAAATATTCTTTTTGGGAACTGTTTCTTGAACAGTTAACGAATTGCATACTTAATAAACATGTGAATAGCACTGTTTCAAAATAAAATGGCAAAGTGCCAAGCCAGCAGTTAAACAGACCCTAACAAGCTGAGGTTGACCTGATCAGCCACGACTGGAATCGGCCGGCCGAGTGGTGAAAATAATCCGACGCCATGCATTATTTAGATCATGGCGCTGACGGTGCGAGTCTCCAGGGGTTATCGGCTGTGCACTTGGACCCGCGATTGATGCCATTGCATCGAGGATTTACTGATGTTATTTTGATATTGTTGTTTGACCTTTGGCCCCCTGAATGTGTACTTTGCATATTTAGAGCTGTGGAGGGGGGCGTTTGTTGATGAGACAAGCACACACAGAATTGAGTGAGACAGGTTGGAAGGCTATGGAAAAGGTCAAGAGATCAGAAAACAAGAGCACCGGAGAGACCAAGAGGGAACAGACGTAGCCTGCAAGAGAGAGAAAAGCAAAAGAAACGTCCCTCCCAGCTGCTCGGGCTCACAGCCAAAGATTAACACTCTAAATTCGTTTCTCTACACTGAACTGGTGCCGTTCCATCAAGCCTGTCTGCTCTTGGACAACTATGTTGAGGATATTAGTTGTGGGTAATAGCTACAAATCACTTTCATGTCATGCCCGGTGTGCTCTCTGCAGTGCCTGTAATCTTGATGTCTGGACGGCCACCATGTGGTCCGCCGGTCGGCGATAAGACGGTAACCGGCTGTCGAACAAGCACAATGCAAGCGCTCAACATGAAAGGGGGGGAATTCATTGGTTTGGGTATAGCGTCGTCTCTATGTGTGCTTTTCATCAGGCTTAAGCCAGCATCTGTTCCACTTAAATGGCGAAAGCAAGAATTATGTTCCTGGTGCCACCGAAATGCTGTAAAGGGACACGGTCACATCCCATTGCTTGTTAGCAAGCTTTAGATTTCAGACTTTCTTTTACTTTATTTAATTCCTGACCGGGTTGTTGTATGTATTTCAAAGCAGGCTTACGCCGACCATATCCCTCGTGTAAAGAGCAAACGGAGATTGACGTGTGCCGAAGCATGCACGAGAACCGTGGACAGCAAATGGCCCTGGATGAATTTGATTAATCTTAAGATAGCTAATAATTACAACCAAACAGATGGCTGTTGGTGATTCAATTCAATTCCAATTCATTTTATTTTGTATAGCCCAAAATCGCAAATTACAAATTTGCCTCAGAGGGCTTTACAGTCTGTACACATACATCCTCTGCCCCGAAACCCACCATCGGCACAGGAAACACTCCCCAAAAAATGAAAAAACCCTTCCAAGAGGGAAAAAAGGGAAGAAACCTTAGGGAGAACGTCAGAGGAGGGATCCCACTCCCGGGATGGACAGACTACAATGGATGCCATGTGTACAGAATGAACAATGTATAATACATGCAATTCCTATGACAGAAATGATTCAAGTAATTGTGAGTAGTAAGCCAGGCGCACCGCAGGACCACTGCAGGGGCAACCACATCAGATAGAACCACCATCCACAGAAGCCTGTGGGGAGGGAGAGCACAGAGACTTTAGGAGAGGGTAATGTTGTTTTATGAGTACAGTAATATGATTAATATCTAAAATAATAATGATGATGATGGCAGCAGCAGCAGGCGTCAGCAGGGCCACGGCAGGTGTCAGGACAGGGATAGAGCTCAATGCAGTTTTGAGTGCATCCCTTTATAGTTGTAGCAGTAACACAGTAACACATTCGCTGGGCTGCTGGTCTTAAAGTTCAAAATAGGAAGTTGCTGTGCTATTTAATTATCTCTTCATATGTCAGCATGTGCATGAAAAATCAACATTCCTACGGCCCCCTTTACTGCATCGCTCATTTAAACTCCCCCCTTGCCTCAACAGGTGCGATTCTGGCTGTGCTCTGGAGGCTTGCAGCAGAGGTCGTTGTCTCTGTGGATAGCTTCGAACGGAACAGGAGCCAAGGAGCAGCGCAGACTGTGGCATCTAGTCAGCAAACCCGTGTCCGAATATGGCTGGAAAGTTGTCAGAATTCCCCTTTACGGGCTGGCAGACTGGTACGGCAAACAGCACGTGAAATGAAGTTTTCAGATTGAAGCAGATTACATTTTCTGGGAAAAAGTACATCTCAGCAGAATGAATGACTCCCAGGGGGACTCACGTCTTATACCGGGGGCCTGCCATGTTTACAGTTGTACGAAATAGACCCCTTTCTTCTTGCTCCTCTAGTCTGTGATGAAGAAAGGAGAAATCAATACACAAAGCTCTAACCAACTTACTCACGGCCCCGATTTCCCCTCAAACAAGAGAGAAATTAAAACAAAATAGAGTAAAGTCAAATTTGAAAAAAGAGAATCCCCAGATGATTTCATCTGTTTGCTGACTGGGGTTTTGTCTCCGTTGGAGCTCAGATAATCCTGCTCCCCTGAGAGTGATTAATTTTTAATTCTTGGGTTATGTAGTCAGCTGTGCTTGTGCTGTTAATTAGAATGTCATGTCCTTAACTATCCGGTCAACCTGCCAGTCTTCGCCCAATGACCTTTGTAGAGCTTAGATGGAATCAGAAATACAGCCTGAAGTGCCGTGTACTGTACTGTGTTTTTGTTGGTATGCCTTCAGGTTTGAACAAAATGTCATGTACATATTAAATGTTCAACTTCACTTATACAAACCTCATCAGTAAGACTGAGAGTCTTAATCAACTTGTATTTAGAACTTGTATTTACAGTTTAACAGCCAGACATAATTTCCTGTGAGTATAAAAGAATAAACATATTTTTGGGATCTGGACATTTTGAGGTAAATGTAAATTATATATTTGACGCCAATCTCTTGTCTGTAGGCTGAATATGAAGCTGGAATGACCTTAGCTCATATACAATATACTCATATGTGGACTTTGTTTCCTTTAGATAGAGCCAGGATTTTTTACCCTGTGTGTGTTTTTTTTGTCAAGCCAATCTGACACCCCTCAGGCTACAGTTTATATTTACCACACAGAACTGAGCGTGGTATTAATTCTCGCATCAAAGAAAAGGACAAGAATATTTCCCAAAATGTCAAACCATTCCTTGATAGGTTTTGGACCTAAAGGTCATGCCATGCATGCCTATATTATTCGATGCATTGACTTATTTAATTGAGTCATTAAATTACTTTCAACCCTGAACTCTTTTTTTTTTTATCTACTCAAATAGCAAACAGCCCTTAATGATATAGATTGTGTGCAGGAAGACATACGATGCGCACTGAAAGCTCAATGACTTCTTTTTTTTTTTCCTGAAGCGAGAACATATCTTGGCCCCATCCTTCGAGTCGAAGGCTATCCGACCCTTCACAGCCTGCTCGTTGTTAACACAGCTCTGTCCCGCCGCAGGTTTTGGCTGCAGTTCAGCGCAGAAGATGGACCTGGACCCGGTTCAGCTATTACTATAGACAACATCTCTTTCAGTATGGACTGCTTCCTGGCATGTGAGTACTAACTCATTTCATCGCACCTTGGTTGAGTTGATGGTAATCTTTGACTCAAATATTATTGACTGGTGCGGTGGGGGGAGGATTGGATTACTCTAAAAGTGTAAACTCATTTTATGGACTTCAGAAAAACAGTGACCAAAGTATTTTAATTATTAATCAAAACAGTTCTGGCCTATAGATCTGATTTGACTGAGTGACAGTTTTTAACTCTCAGAAGCATTCATACAGGAGCCACTTAACATTGATTACATTCCCTTTGCAAGTCTATGAGTCATTTGATCAGATATTTGTATAAATTGACTTTAGTTTTACAAAAGAATGATTGTGTTTTTCCGCACGCTCTCTGAGTCCTTTTGATGTGTCCTGAAATGTCAATGAAACAGTTCAAATCCAGCTCTCCACTATACAGCCTGTTGACGGCCAGAGGCTGATGCCGGAATGTTGTACTGCAGACTCAGAAAGGTCGAGCCCCAAGTCACCTTTCTGGACACCTTTGTGTTCTCATTGAGACAGTATGACAACCAAAGGATCTGCGGTATGGAAGGTTAGGAGATCAGTGCCTCCGTCCAGCTCACCTTCTCTAGGAAGCAGTTTGAGCATTGACAGGAATAGTAATGGTTAAAAGTATTTTTATTTAAATGTAAAACTAAAATGTATCTTTTGTTCAGGCCATGCAATGAAGAGAGAATCATTGATCTTTTGAAAGTTTGCATCATGCTGATTGTGTTAGAACTAACGTTAGAACTAGCATTTATTTTCCAGGGGGATTGTGCCTGTGCAATTAAATGATAAAGTGATGCTAAAATGATAAAGTGATTCTTACAGGGAACCAATCTATCCATGGATGGTGTCATTATTTTATAGCCATCATATTTCACATCATCAAGGTAAAGGCCAAAGACATATCTCTTTTGACTTTAAGATTTAATTTAAAAAATGTTCCGTTGTGTTTAATTAGAGCTATTTAGATGACAGTTTTCATCCAAATGTACAAAGTGGATGATGTTTTTCATGAATTTAATCACGTATCACAGAATTTAATACCAACACACTTAACTATAATATCCAATCAGATGACATGAGTACTTCTGCTGAATATGATGATGGTCTGGGCTGAAACAGATCGTCTTCTATCAGCATCAGCTTATTGGGTCGATGTCTCTTGATTGAAAGAGATGATATTCTTCAGGAGAAATTTGCACACCAATTTGTGTTTTATATCCTGCAGAGCAGCAGCGGCGGCGGCGCTGGTACGGCAGTGCTGCAGCATCATCTGTCCACGCTTTGCTCACTTTCATTACATTCAGCCACACTTGACACACACACACACACACACTTTTTATCGCCCATCAGTTAGACCAGCTGATGGGAGATGCTGAAGCTCAGCAAAAGGCGTCGCTTCCAAGAGTGATCACTGTGAGTGATTAGCGTGATGGATGCCAGAGCGTCCTGACACAGACCCGGTAATGTGTTTCAGTGGGGAAACATGCCCGGGGCCATCACTTCTTTTCCTACGCACTTTGAGGCCTCCCCCCACCACCACACTTTGAATGTTCCCCCTCCGTGGCAGAATTTGACATCACAGGATCGTCAATACTACTTTATGGATGTATTGGATAGAAATAAGGGAATTGATCAAACTGTTTTAACCACAAAAATACCCCACACACCTTTTTTTCCATGTATGGTGCCGGTCCAGTTTGTTTCATCACTACAGTTATGTGATGACGGGTTAGTTGTCTGTTGCATCGTGTGTTATTTGTTGTAGTAATTACTGTAGTACAAGCAGAGGTTACTGAAATGTACTTATTTCAACTGCACCTGAGGGCTTTGGGAAACACTCAGCCGCCCTCCGTGTGTTCACGCCGATGACATTACACAAGCGCGAATTAAAAGCACAATATTAAAATTGGTGCTCTTCCAGGTGTATTAGCTGTGTTTTATATGCACATTCTACATGAAAGAAGTTCATGCAAGGTTACAGATTAGACTGCACCTCGTTAGATTCATTTCTTGCTTTTGTGTTGCAGAATAATTCTGACTGACTGCAGAATTTCCTCAGAGCTTCTGCAATCTCCAGATATTTTAGGTTGTCGCCACCCCCGTGGCTTTTCTCTGGTGGGCGACGGTCAGCTTCAAGCGGCTTGCTAATGACCAGTGACAGCCACGCCGCCGGTTGCCCCGGCCTGTGGCTCACTGCTCCGTGGTGGACCTGCCGAGTCCTCCTCCTCCTGCTGCAGCAGCATACCAATGCTGCTCGCTCCGCCTCTGGCTCCCCTAAAGCCCAGCTGTGCCTCCCGCCCCCACCCTGCTCCGAATAACAATGCGCTGAGCCTTGTTAGCGGCGTTGTTGAAGGTGTAAAAAGTAACTTACTGCTGCGTACATGCACAACACATCTCAGAGTCTCAGTAAACAGTATCTTGCAGAAAACGATCAAACGCATTGCGTACACCCTGCACATCAACTCTATCTCGATCAAATCTCCCAAGTGGTGGTGACTTAGACGCCGATATTTATTTGAGGATTACAATGGAAGGGAATGAGCTATTGATTTTCTAGGTGGCAGGTTTGAGGCAAGCAATGCTGACGGCTAAAGCTTTGAGGACAAAGTAACAAAATGCTCCAGTAGAGACAGCACTTCCATCCAAGGTGCAGTTTAAACGCATCCACAAATACCATTGATGTCAAGTTGTTTAGTCGTTAAAGCAGGTTTTCTTGGACCAAATGGTACACGCAAGACAGTTGCTTTCCAAACCCCCGGCTGTTGAGGGAGCCCCCTGCCATATTGCCATAAACGGTGAGCCTTCAGCCTGAGGTGACAAGGGAGACCGGACAGAGATGAGGGAAAGATTTTGCAAAATGAGAGATAAAGATGAAGCATCCTGCTTTTGTCCCCTGACACCACCAGATAATGGCGGCGTAGGCGGGACGTGACTATGTGGGCAACTAGTTGTTTTATTGTGATTGGTAAACTTCTAGTGTGATTTCTGCTTAATATTGGGCTGGTGCCCCTCCTTTCCAAGGCTTGGAAACACCACATGCTCCACAGTGGGTTGTCTAGGAGAGGCTTCCGAGAGCGAAGCGGGTGGAAGAAAACACTAATGGAACATTTAAATCATTCTTTGCTGCCTGTTTACCATCCATTAGGAACCCAATGGAGAACATCATGGACCCACAGAGCAAACAGACTGCATGCTCTACAAGAGAAGCAAATCTACGTCTACAAATATTGTTTTTTTCGCTTGCCATAGTAAATGTAAATAGGCCCTGAAACCATGTAATCTTTCTCTCAACTATCATTTCCATGTATGCAGAGCAGAAATGGAAGCTTGATATAAGGGTCATATTGTCTCATTTGGAATGCATTGTTTCTATGACTCAAGTGTCTGCACTGCACATTGAGTGTTCAGTGATACGGGTATGAAGATGACCCCCATTGGTGATGATAGGCTGCAGCATTGTGGCAGAATGACCCATCAGCAGTGATCCTGGTTGTTTTAAAGTTAGCTTGGCCGTGTAGCCTCTTTGCGTGGCATATCCAGCTTTGACAAAAAGCCAAAGTTAGAAACCAGAGACCGGAGTAGCAGAATAGCAGCTTGGTCAAGATCCCGTGTTTAGTGGCAGAGCATTCAACGCTGCGCAGTGAACTGTGTCTGCAATAGTCTCACATCTTCTGCTTGGCTCACCAAGGGTCACCGAGCATCAGATCCACAGGGGGGCTTTTTCTACACAACATCAAAGAAATGAGACGCTGTGCAGAACTCAACAAAACGTGGAAACTAGTCTGTCAGCTCAACTGCACATATTTGGGTTCTGAAAACATAAGTGAAAAGATGTCAAGTTGGAACAGGGGCGGACTGGGGTACAAAGCAGGAGTTACTGTCAGACCGGCCCACTCAACCAGTCAGTGCCCTGCGTGGAAAATTGCATGCTGGGTGTGTGTGTGTGTGGGGGGGGTGTTGAAGGTGCATAACAAAACAAGTCTTATTTTGATGCACCTTCTTCCAGACATCTCTTCCTTTTCTCCCTGAGCTTTCCAGTTCCACTTTTAAAAGATTTATGTTTTGCTGCCGGCTCGCCCTCCAGAACGCCTTCGTCTGCGAGCGAGTGACGCAAGTGTTGAGTAAGCTAGAGCAGTGGCTTCAAACGCAGTCACTGAGAGGGACAGAATTAAAAACTGACTACACTGGGGGCTGGTGGACATGCGCAGTAGGATCACGATAGCAAAAGATGACTTTAATACAACACCTGCCGTGAATATCCCGGCACTTACAATATGATACCAGAATTCAATACAAATCCCCTCCCCGTGTATGGAATGCCGTTTTAGTCTAAATTAAATAAATGAATAAATACATGAAATATGCATTTGAAATACATCATGAAATAAATAAATGAGGCAATAAATACATAAATATTAAATACATTTAATTATTTCATGGTACTTTTATTTCATAATGACAACTTTTCATTTCATGGTACTTTTATTTCATAATGCCACTTTTCATTTCATGGTACTTTTATTTCACAATGCCACTTTTCATTTCCAGAGTCTTTTATTTCATGATGTATTTCAAATGCATATTTCATGTATTTATGTATTTATTCATTTATTTAATTTTGACTAAAACGGCATTCCATACCTGTGATCCCTCGCTGTGAGCACGTGCTGCGTAGCCCCGCCTCCTTCTCAACCCGAGAAGTCGCTAGATTTGTCGCTAGCAGCTTTTGCAGTGTCTTCTGGGACTTGAAGCATCAGCCGTGTGCGTGCTATTGACCAGCGGCCCAGTTATGAAAGACAAATGGTAGTTACATGGTAGATATAATTGTACTTGGCCCGCAGGCCTTGAGATTGACATGTCTGTGCTGGAGTGATTGACATTTAATAACACCTAAAACAAAGCCAGACTGACGGAAGACATTAGACGAGTAAAGACGATGGAAACCATCAGTGTGAATACAGATCGCAAGGCAATTTTTATGGGGGCCATTAAAAGTTACACATAATTCATATATATATGTATATGTAACTTGATGCCCTTAAAGCAGAATACAATTATGTTGTATTTTCATAAATTCAGTTTTATAGCTTTTCTTTACATTTTGTGGGGGGGTTTTGTACATTGTTAAGCCGAAATGATACTCAGACGAGGAGTGTACTCGGGTCGAGGTGTGGTACATTTTGGTCATCAGAGGATGTACCCATGGTCTCCGTCCACACTGCCACTTCTCTGCAGGAGGTAGCAAATACGCATGCAGAGTCCAGAAAGAGGACCAATTAGTATGCATCTCTAATGTCCACCGATCTCTATACGTGTTGGTTTGGATGTAACCTTAATATAGATTTGTTTAAAGCTCCCCTCAGTTTTAAGTTAAAAGAATTAGTTTGAAGAAAGTTTCATCATGCACTTGTTTCTTTTCACAGTACCAAACTCGCCCGAAACCATGACTCCAAAATCCGAGTATGAACCAGCCCTTGACCCCCAATGGGTAGTATTAAAGCAAATGACTAAATAAAAAAAGATTTTGTTTTTTATTTTGTCGTGTAGGGGATTTGCAAAGCTGTTGTTGGACAATGATTTTGTCATGTCAGCATTTCCTATACTGGAAAGTCATTTTGTTTTGTTCAGTTGAAAGGGTTGTGTGGGTTGTTCCTGCAACCTTTGCAGTCCTTGATCAGATGCAGCAGCAGATTTCTTTAACGCCATCTGGGCCAATCTATTAGACCCCTGATCGCTGTGCATGGGCCTACACAAAAAAGCACATTAATCTCCAGTATCCATGGGAACTCCTTCTTCTCCAGGAACTGGTGACTGTCTTTCGACGTTAATATCTAACCTTTACATCTCCTACTTTAACATCTTCTCCAAAAAAGCCTCTATATCTTCAACTTTTCTAATCAGTCATCATTCGCCTGGAAGACTTCATTTGGGCAAGAATGTGAGGTTGGGGAGGGGGAGAGCAAGGTACCTCAGTGCTGGGAAGCTACATGCTTGTGAACTCCCGGACTGAATGTTCATATGTGACGTGCTGGATGCAGTGCAGTCCTTCTATTGAGCCAAATGAAAGAATTACCCCTGCTGTTGGCTCCACATCGCACGCTCAGCTCCTCAATGTTAACAGCTACAGGATTCCATTGCTGCACGTGACGGAGACAAAAAGCATAGCCTTTCTCAGATATTTGTGTTTCTTTTTCAGCCAACGGTGAGTTTCCACCTGTGTTCACCAGCTCAACCAGGCTGCCCTTCAGACCGACCGTCAGGACCATGCTCCCGTCCATCGGAAGTCCTTTGATGAACCTCCCCAACACAGATTCCTGTAAGTCTGAGTGTGATTACCACACTGACATTGTCGGTTTGTCCTTCTGTCTTCTGTCTTTTGGATTCTCTCCTCATACACACACATGTATGCATTCAGCACACTGCACCACATAAGGCACCACACATGGGCTGTAACATAGTAAGTGTGCCCCCTACTGGCCTCCACCACGTGCACCGTCTGACTGAGTGCTGCAGAGATCTCCTTTGGTATTAAATGGAGCAGGACGGGCAGTTTGGAAGTAAAAAATCCTCCAGTTTGACTACAGAGAATGTCAATGGAGCACTTACAAAAACTTGACATTTGTCACCTCGCGGTCCCTCTCCTCCCTGCTTCAAAAGGGTGAAAACAGGCAGAGATTCAGTTTCTCTATTTATAGTCATAAGTCACCCTCATATCAAACACATTTCCTCAGCTAGTGGCTTTCAAGTGCTGCAGGTAGTTATTGGGAATGGCCTTTCAGCCACTACCATTGTAGAGTAACATGGTACATCGCACTCATGCCAACGTTAAGCAAATGTGGTCTTTTTCTCGTTTTCATTGACTTTGAGGACTTGTTTTCCAGTCCAAACAGATGGTTTGACAGTGTTCCCAACCTCCAGGATTGAATAGCGTTCATGCATATCTTGTTTTCTCCCACAGGCAGCATAAGAGGCTTTTATGACATTCATATGCGGTTAAAGCCCAACAAATCAATGTTGTAGGGGGCACGGATTGTCTTCTGCTTAAAGCTGTTTGGAGGAATCACGCTCACACTTGGGTCGGGAAAGACGTTGTGCTCTGCATTGGAAAGTTGCCGTTGACCACACACAGAAACCACAGCCAATTTACCATCACCCTGCATTACAGGAGAAAAACACATATTAATCTGTTGTCTAATTTTATAGTAAGAAGTTTATACTAGAACAAATGTTTACAACAGTGAGGACAATTTGAAGATGGATGCGGAGTGTCGTGTTCGGTATGAGCCAAAGCTTAACTTAACGAAAAGAAGCTGCGGGAAGAAGGATAAATGCCCAAGGGGGGTGTCACTTAAGTTTGTCTGGAAAGAAACAATCTGGGCGTCTACAGCCTGCTCCTCTTAGAGTATCTGCTCTGGGCTTAATGCTGCCATTAGCTGCCACTAGATAGTTGCACTGAGGGGGATGCAGGTGCCAAGTTCAACCAGGAACAAGAATAAGTGGAGTCATAACCGCTGACATCTGCCTATGCTGCACAGTTTGGAATCCAGTGTGTTTTGCTGTGTGATACTAGATCAGTGTAACGCTCCTCAAGCCTGAACAGCATGCGGCTTTCCTCCTTCTGATAACGTTGCCCGACACAGAGGAGGACTGATGGTCCGCCACGACGGCGAGGCTGGACCCGCATTCCACGCCCTCATATGTCTGCGCAGCGACTCGCCTGATTCAATGTCGGCGATGTGGGCCACTAGTCCCGGACACAGCGGGCTCTTTATCTCTCGAAGGTCAACGGGGGACATTTAAAGATCAGACGTTTATGTGCTGCCAGCTGACATGATTTGATAATGTTACAGGATTATTCAGTGAACCGGTGCCACAGGCGTGACTCCATCAGCAAACAAAGGCTGCTCAGTCTATCAAGAACATCTTTAATGCCAGGGTTTGGCAATTTATATGCAATATTATATAAAAGCTATTTCGTATAGTCTGGGATTGTGCTGCCAGGATCTGACTAGGAGGGCGGCAGCAAAAAGCCTATTTGAATGTGCTTACACAGGTATTAGTCAGTATGGTTACAATAGAGCTGCCAGAGATGGGACTGTGAGATCACACTGCTATTGCCTCCCCCCCCCGCCCCCCCCCCCTCCCCCTGATTATCATAGATATTAACTTGGGATGGGGGGGGGGGGGTGAATGTGTACTTGTACATTGGCCATTTGAAAGAGAGCCGAGAGCGGTTAACGTTCGCCTCACGTCTCACTTCATCCATCGTCTCTCAAACAAGGCTCCTCCTCTTCAATGATCACCCCCACCAAAACATCCCGTCTCTCATTTCCTCTCAATCTGCACTTCCTCCCGGGCCTCTGCATTTTTAATTTCTTCATTTGATTCCCATGTTCCCCATTGCAAAGCTGCCGCTGACTGTGTGTTAGTTCATAGCCCCCCCCACCCTGCCTCTTCCTGTCAGTCTTCTTTTCCCCCACCCTCTTCTTCCCCTTCATCCTCACTTCACCTTTATTTGGTTCATCTTGGGGTTTTTTTCCTTCATCCACATTGATTCCTCCCTATCCTGGCAGCTTTCATTTCTCACCACTGCCCGACTGTATGGCACCCGCCTCTCACTGCTGACTCATCCTTTGCTTTCAAGAAGGGGAGGATGGGGGGGGGGGGGTCAGCCGAGATGAGCTTGCTTCTCTTTTCCTTTTGTGATTACCTCTGCTGACGGGAAAGGGATGCGTCGCTAACCCTCAAAATGAGCTCCAGGCTTCCTCCGGCCATTTAACGTGTGAGAGAGTGTGTGCATGTGTGTGTGTCTGTCAGTGGGTGTGTATTTTGCAAAGACTACCGCTTTTGTCTTTTCTTTAAGGTAACAGAAGAACGTCAAACGATACGCAGTCAGGATGCAAAAGAAGCATCGTCGTATTTGCACCTCGCCTGGCGCGATGTACACAACAGGAAACAACAAAAAACAAGAGTTGTGTGGCGTAGATGAAAACTGGCACGCAATCAAAGACAGGAGGGACGGTGATTGAAGTAATCCATCCCGGCAGATGTTGCTGCGTGCAGAAAAAGGAGCTTTGGCCCTTAACATGCTGGCTAATTAGCGGCAGAGTGCGTCTGCGCTCCGTTCGCTGCTCGTTGGTAAACACCGGCCTGTGGCTGCGGGTTAGCTCCTTGTTGTTGCGTTGGGTTTTGAAGGGAGGACATTAGTCATAGAGACAGATATGAGACTGATAACGAGCAGCGCCACGCGCAGCAGACTTTTGTAATTAATTGGACCTGGGTGCCTCATAAGCTTTGTTTTCAGCATTCAGATCCATTATTGGCACGTCAGCCTTGATCTGTCTTTCTAATGGCCGGCCCAAGGAGGACAACTGTCTCTGGGAGACACATGTCAAGAGACGGTGGAGGGTGTTTCATATTTTCTGTAGGGGTACAATGCATCCAGAAGACAACGTCTTCCTAAAAATCATGCTAAAGAACATGTGTTATCATGCAGTAGTCTGAGCAGACGGTTCTAGAATTTGAAACAACAAGCACAGAGATGTAGAATGAGTTTGTCATCTTCTCTTGTTGAGTATTGACATGGGATTGTCAGATTGAATGGCTTTTTCATATCCTGTTTGAGTGGCTGGGATTGTTTATATATATTTAACCCACCCGGAGTGACATTTCAATCAGGTGAGACAAGCGAACAAAGAAAAGATAATTGTTTGTAAAGTCTTAAGAGACTCTTTTGCAGGGAGATTTCTGATCTGATGATTCTGCTGATTCTGCTGAGACCGGTTGGTGATGAGGAGGTGAAAGGGGCGCGTGTAACAGCAACATGAACATACTCAAGAATCCGAATCAGAAGGCAGAGATTTTAACAGAAGCAGGATGATATGCTAACTGGGAAAGTGTGAGCAGATGAGAACAGCTGATTGAGACAGCACACGATAGACAGCCTGCGATTACAGAAAGGAGATCCATGGACAATGTTGCCATTGAAAGCGAATGGAAGGGCTGTGATTTCTGAAAGTGGCCTTTGTGCTGCCTAACTGGGGAAAGTGAGAATAACCCAAACATGAAAGACTGCGTGTGCCTCACAACTGCAATCTTGAGTGAAACAGCAGTTTGACGCAACGCGCCTTCTGGGACCAACATGATCCTTTTTCACAAAACTCAAAGTCCCATTACGCCATTTTAAAAATGTGGGTGATGAAACGATTGTTTAGTTGCTAATGATTGGCCCAACGACTGTTTTTGTCATTCCTAAAGAACGACATGTTTACTGTTGCCTTTTGTTACTCATGTTCCGGGGATATAAAGACTGCTGGAACATTGCTGTCAGTATTGTAATGAAATCAAGGGACATTTTCTACTGACTCTCCCTTTTGGTCTCTCAATTTCTCCCCGATGACAGCGCACGGCGCCGCCCTCCCTTTGATGGAGGCCAGTGTCGGTTATGAAGATGGTGCATCACCGCTGGCCGAGTTCACAGTGACGGAGGTTCATCTAACAGTCAGACAGAGTCAGCGTCTCCCCGGGGATGTTTGTGTGTGCGCGCGTGTGTGTGTGTGTGTGTGTGTTTGTGTGCTTGTGTGTGTGTGCGCGCATGCTGCAGGTCAGAGGGACTGTCCACTTATTAGAGCAGACTATCATCTGTGGGAGCAAATCTTGTTTATGTTTGTTCTGCCAAGCGGCTGTCACAGAATGGCTGATTACGCCTGTTGGGTGTTTGTGCACGTGCGATTGTACAGTGGTGTGTGTGTGTGTGTGTGTGTGTGTGTGTGTGTGTTAATTTGTGTGCATTAGAGCTCACTCATATTGATGGACCAACTAGATCGATCGTCCAGGTTGAAGTGTGAAACCCTGCGGAGAAGGAGAGCGAGAAATGGAGAGGAAGACCTGAGTGTCAAGAAGTCCAGCTCACTTTACATAACCGGAGGATATTATTCATGTCAGGGAGCCAAGAATCCACTTGTACAAGTATGAAAAAAACAAATGAATATACAACATTGAGGCTGTAATCCCACCTGCACTCCTTTCTCTTCTGCGTGTCCCACCTTGACTGATTGCCGTCTCGCAGTAAAAATTTAAGTACAGTAAGATTTACATCTAAAGCGCCATTTGGCTTTGGAGGCTTTTCTGCTCCAGTGATGGATTTATTCCCGACAGACCGAACTCTTTTTACCTTGTTGGGTATTGAAAATACTGACTCGAGAGATCGATTTACTTTTGCTGGATGGGAACCAGGCTCCAGTACACCCCCACTCCATTTTCTATTTTTACTGTGAGATTACTTTCGCTAAGACCAGGCTGAACTCCAAATTGTGCTTCTACAATTGTGATGTTTCAAAGTGTTTGAGGGGCAGCTTTAAATGGCCTCTCGGAACTTAAGCAAACTCAAAAAGAGACACAACCGGATCTCTCAGCCGACTCGTACGAAGCCAACCAAACGTTGACCTGACTACCGGTAACTCAGCAGCTATTAACACTTTTATTCGTTAGTGACGTCAGTTGACTCAATAGTCCCTGGAGCCGTCGACCAATCAAGTTAACGTCAACCATGCTCCTTCCTAAGCCCAACTAAAGTGGTTGTGTTGCCTAAACCAGAACTTGTTATGAAGACGAATGTAACTCAAAACTGATACGCAATCCTAAAATAAAGACAGAGGCTTCGTTATAATTGCAATCTGTGTTGAATTCAAGCGCTAGGATTAGCCAGGCATCCGTTTTCTTGGTACCGCGCGTAGACCTCTGGTTTTGAAAAGAGAAGCCAGTGCAGAACATGCATAATCTCTACTGGCCAGCAGGGCGCAACTTGCAGAAAAAGATCCCAATGTGATGGGATTCATTTGGTTTTTGATGAGTTGGAAACAGGAATGTGATGGAGACATAATGGACCTCAGTATAAAGCAATTACGTTAGATGCCTTATTGGATGCCCTTGGACCCAACAATCGGGAGGATCAGACTGACCAATAGGATGCTTAAAACGGGTTTTCAGCAGTTATGCTGTCATCATCACTCGTACACCCGGGATGACTGCTTTTTCTATACTTTACTACTTTTCCTGTAAAAGCACAATTTCTCTCCGTAACCCAACTCTATATAATCAATGACAAAATGGCGTGTAATAAAATAGTGTTATTCAAAGGTACACATAGCGAAGCACACAGTCGCACTCCATTGCAAAAAATACCAGCTTCAGGCCGTCATTTTCCTCAGAGAAAGTGTGCAAGAAATCCTGGTAGATGGCGGGATTAAGTCTAATAGGTGCCTCACAGGCCGCTCTAACAGGGAAAGGTGTTGCACTGAGAGCATCGTAAATCTAAGTCATGAGTCTAAGCACTGCTGAGAATAATCACACGCCGTCTCTTCTCTGTCCTGCTTATCCTGTCTCCATTTAATCACTTTGCCACTGCACCTGTGCTTGCAAAAAATAAATAGCAAGACCATTCTGTATTGTATGTAATCATAAACCGTGTCACATTGGCTTTAAGCAGCAACTCAGAGGCTCTGAAAGAAATCATGTGAGTTGTTGTGTTGCACTTTGACTTTGGAGTGAAATTTGCAGCCCTGCTCTTGAATCAATAAGTAGTTTCAGAGCATTCACAGTCCGGTCAGCCGTAAGGGTATGAAGAGAGAGAGATGCCTCACAGCCGGGTGTCTTCGTCACTGCTGTCTCCTTGCAAGCCTTAAATGAGGACTTCAGCAGCATTAAGTCCTTCCACGTCCATCTGACAAGACTAATCTTGTGCTAATTACAGTAAAAAGAGCTCCAATTAGCGCCGCCGCGTGGGATTACACGGAAAATGAGGAGAAATGCTCGTCACCTGTGATCCTGTCACCGTGTCCCCACGCTGCTGTCGTGAATATGATCCCGTAAACGAATAGCTTCCAGTTCAGAGCTTGCCTTTCCAACAATCAGCGTCTTTCTTCATACCCGCTTTCATTGCTGGGGAAGTGGAGCGGAGGGGGATGTTGAAGTAGGATGAATGCGGGACAAATAGAGCAGCAATGACTTTGTGCTGCGTGCTGAATTTTTCATCAACTCTGTCATCTTTAATTCTCTTTACCTGCATTTGTGACTGAATATTTTCTTGTACAGCTGTTTACTCCACAGGAGCTTAACGTTTATCTTTTTTCATCTACATGTGCAGTCAAAAAATGGACTTTTCATACCTGCGGGGCTGTGGGCCCAGAAGGCCCCACTCCCACCCAATGCCTCAACTCCTACAGGAAGAGCAACGTCAACGTGACCGTAGGCACCCGGGGGCCCTTCAAAGGCATTCAAATGTGGCAGATCCCCAAAACCGGCTCCTACAGGTAGGGCCGTTGGCCTCGTTCAAACATCATAGCATTATTTGGAAACAGATTTTCATACAACACCCAACACATTGCTGATCGTTATCGGCGCATCCACAAACCCTGTAGAATATAAACTTAACCTGAGGCATCAGACTGTGAAACTTACAGCTTTTGTAACAATGCACCATCTTCCTCACGCCCCCCTACACTCCTCTGCGCATCAGCGTGACATCAATCTTCCACAAGCAAGCAGAGAAATATCCCTATCAGATCCTTGCAGGAAGGAGCAGATGCTGTAGTAATGGCTGCTAAATAGCATGAGTCACTCCGCACTCCCCCAAACCACCCACTCGTATGTTGGAGGGCTGTAAGGCTTCAAAATACATTAAACATCAGCTGCAGCACCTTGACCTTAAACGTTGTACTGCTCTAGGATTAATGCTTTAATATCAATAAACCTTTTTGGAGGCATTCATGACAACGGGAGGCGTCCAACTTGTATTTGTCTTGGATGGTTCAAAACTAATAAAAAAAACGTTTTGGAGCCTCCCGCATCGACTCAAAAAAAACACACCACTAAGCTGAGCCAAAACTCTTGAGTCTGAAAATACCAAACTAACAACTGCGTGGACAGCCCTGTTTTAACACATATCTGCGTTTGAGAAAAACACCTTCTGTCTGCGCACACAACTCCAGAACTGTGGTCCTGAGGCGGCCTGGTTTAGCGGGCGGAGCCGCTCAATAAAGCCAACAGACGGTCACCAATATGAATATGCGTTCTGCATCTCCCAAAAGTCATTAGCAAACAGCTGAGGTAGCAACTGAACACCGGGCAGCGCGCGTGCTCTTTCTCCCCAGCACGCACCCCCACCGGGGAAGACAAATATCAAAGCGTTACCAACGAAACAATCAAATGTTTTGTTGTTGTTTTTTTCCTTTCAATACAGCTGGAGCATTTAAAATGAGTCTTCTGCGGTGTGTGTGCCCATTGACTTTGCAGTCTATGCACATTGTTTTCTTCCATCTTAAGTCAAATTGTTTTTTTAATAAAGAAGCGCTCAGCAGGGTGAAGAGTGTGTTTGCAAGCTCCCAAATTAATGTTGGCGGTTATTTGATTTTGTGCACTCGTTAAATAGCAGGTAGAATACATGAAGAATGCTCATCCGCTCTGTTGTTTTTTTACCTTCTGATACATACTTGCTGCTCGGATTGCAATATTCAATACATCCATCCTCCTTAACAAACTAGCTGAAACCAAACGGAAACACTGAATGAAATAAACTGCATCATTAGGGTGATCGTCCAGCTAATGAGCCGTTTAATATGTGTGTCATCTGTTCCGTCACACCACAGGGTCACAGCCTACGGGGCAGCCGGGGGTCGGAGCGTGCTGGCCATGAGCAGGTCACATGGTGTCTGCATCACAGGGGACTTCCTGCTTCGGAGGGGCGAGCTGCTTTACATCTTGGTGGGACAGCAAGGAGAGGACGCCTGCCCCAACGTAAGTATTATATTACTGATTCAATTTCTTCATCTTTTTTTAAATGGCTGCAAAATTCAATTTAAGAGTTGAACCTATATTTTCCATTTCTATAAGCTGTCTTATATTTTGTTATCTCAAAAAAATATGGTATATATATATATATATATATATATATATACCGGTATATATTTTGTGTTGCTATGAATAAAAGGAAGAAAAAGGGTCGTATGAAGAAAATTGTGCTATCCGTCTCAGCTGGCTGGAGGGGCGTGTACCTGTCTGTGTTTGATTGACAGCAGCTTGCAGCGCTGCCAGAGTGCTGGTGAGAAACGACCTGCGCTGCGGCCTACGTGTCATGTGCAGACAGTTGCTGTGGTCGAAGAGCCTTTTCTGCTTTGGCAGGTTTTTCACTGAGCGAGATGACCTGTAAGTTTCTAAGTGGCAGTTTCTCAGTGATAAGAGCGAGTTGAATAATCTAAATGCTGAGGAAGGCTGCTTCAGTGCTCTTTGCTATCTCCTTGAGCACAGGGTACAAGGGATCGTCCCTTACGAAGGGAAAGGAGATATGAGCGTCCTGCGTTGCTTTGCTCCAGCTACACTTGGAGCAAAGCAGCATTCAGCCGTCGCTGTTAAACTCTGCACTCTGGTAGATTGAAAATATCCTTCTTAGGAGATGTGATTATGATTCTGTTGTGTGGGAGTTTGTTCCCCGTAGCCTGCTCCTTATAAAGGTGGAATAAAGGATTCCATCTTTTCATACTTTTTTTATGAACTGTCCTTCAGATTTTTCCTTGACCTGATGACGTTTCCCATTGAAGTCAAGGAAAAGACAAAGGACATGATAACACATTGTTTGAGTAAGGATCCCACCAGCATCCAACTGGACGGGAACACGTACATGCTGTTAAGCTTTGGCTGAGCAGCTAATTAGCGATCTGGCCTGCAGACCGGTTGGCAGTGCCCTTTTCCCCCTTATTAGTTTGATGGGTCATTCAAGGCGCGTGTTTAAGGAAAGCTTTTGTGTGTTGATGCTCACTGTCCGTGGCTCCTTTGTTGTGTAGCAGGCTGCTGGTTAGCTCAGGGTGAGCAGCTACTGCTGCATGCAACATTTCATTTATGATTTATTTATGAGCCTAGTTTATGCTTCTGTGTTTTCAGAGCGACGCAGACGCAAGACCCCCTTGCGTGTCCCTTGCGTCGCTTTTCACACCTCCTTGCGTCCTTGCGCGTGTCGAGACATTTTTCTAGGCTTGCTTGCACTCAGTAATCGTAGTGGACCGTAGATGACAACCAGCTACAACCATCATTTAACATCATTACCGGCACATTAAGAGCAATGCGTCCAGCTCGCAGACCGGTCTGTCAGTCTTTGTTTTTTGACAACGTTTTATCTCATAATTTCGATTTTCTATCCCCTTACATTAGTGTGGAAATGGGCTTCTATAGTTGTGTGAATGCATCACTCCAGCCAATCCAAAGACGGGGTTACAACCAATCAGATGTAGATACCATGGTGACTGGCTCCGCCCCCTTACTGTCAAAAAGAAAAACAACGAGCGCGTAGAAAACACCTTCGAGCGCGAGCAGAGACTAACCTCGCGAGCGAGGAAGTTAACGTTTTGCGAGGGACTGACTTTCCGAACCGACCCTTCAATTGTTTGATGAATACAACTCGCTCCTTTATTTGGAATTCACACACAGGCGGTTGTTCTTCCCTCCTTGGGATAGTACACACCTCTGTCCTTGATATATTCATCTGCACATTAAAACATTTCGGAGGACGGATGGCATGACACCACTTTTTATTGTAATATGAAATGAATATTAGTATCAGCAATTTGTTATGCAAAGACAGCTACAAGATGGCCAAACAGAGAGATCTTCTGCCATCTTATTTTTGACCTTATCTGGTTAAAGCAATAAAAAGCAATACAAAGGACAACTAGTCCACGGTCACAATGTTCACTAAATGCATTTAAAGGTTTGTATTGTATGATATCGAAAGAGGTTTAGGTTGGAAAAACTGCTGACGTATTTGGGGTTAGTTAGTACATAGCCTGACTTATTGTACTTCAAAGTCCTGGTGGCTTCCCTGTCTGGACATGAACAGTGGTCTCCTGGGTGAATGTCCTACACTTGTTAGATGCCATCCACCCTCGCTTCATCCTTTATGTAGACTTTGACTCGCTTTCAAGTACGTCACCTGAATAACTTAGAGGCACACACTGGCTCACAATGATGGGGGTTACATACAAATCACAGTGTCTTTAGTATGAACAGAAAATAAGAAAAGCCTGATTGCTTCCTCCCAAAGTGGAAAATTGTTATTGGGTATTTTGAAAAGGTCTCTTTTTTTTTTAGATATTTCAAAATAAGGTGAAAGGTTCCATCGTTCAATGACAGGGATCCGTAATCAAAATAATTAAAAAAATGAATTAATATGACCAGAACTCTTAATACATTAGTATTATACACGTATTTGACTGATGATCATATCATCACAAACTCTTATTATATTCCTATTACACTGTCATACTGAAAATCTATTCTCAAGTGTTCATATTCTGTTTAATCATCATCATAGTCTTTATTATCATCATAGTCAGCTTCGACAATCGTCCTCTTGCTCTTCCTCACTCTGATTTTACAGGTTTGTAGATTACACATTACTGTGCAATTTAATTATTTGGCAAGGCTGAGACAGTGTGGAAGATGGCCGGTTCCAACACTTGCAGCCTTACAGTTTGTGATGACAAATATGTGAATATCAAAATCAGTCAGAAGGAGTTGAAGATATGGAGGAGCTAAAATGTGTAGAAATCAAGGATATATCTTTATGCTTATTCAATTATGAGAGCAACATGGTCAACACCCATTCATCGTATTGATTATAGGCATACTTTTTTCATCAGTTGTCAGCTCCAGTTGACAATATCCTTTTGGCTCCGGTACAGCAATCTTCCAGCCAGACTCCTGGCTAATCTGCACCGTGTGCATGCAACTGTGCCTGCAAGGGGGAAGCAGGCTGGATTTCACCCCATTTGATGTAGATCAGAAGTATCACACAAATCATTTACGGCTCGGCGATGGTTCGTATTCTGATTCCATGCTGCCGCGTTATTTTGCTGGTAGATCTCAGGATGGTCCCAGGAACTTAACGGACTCTTGGAATGTCCTTAAACACAGTGTTCCTCATCCTGCAAAAGCACTTACTCCATTACAACGTGTAAAAGCATGTGCACCTACTGAGCATGGATGCTGATGCACCAAGTCCAAATTTGAGTGCCCCATTTCTTATGTAGGAGCGTACGAGTCATTTCAGCTCCCCAACAACATTTCAGAATGGTGAGGCGAGCATGTCTCTCCACATGTTGAAACCAGCTGCTTGTCCTGAAGCTTTACTTCCACTGAATGTAGAACGTTGTCACGGTTATTTTGCTGTCGGTCCATCTGCGCAGCACCACGTCCCTGGGAAATGTATTTCCATTGAGGGCTAATTGCTGAACCACGACTGCATCTCTCAGCATTCTTGACCGATGTCTTCTGGCCCACATCAAACACATCTCTTCTCTTGCGGTTTCCTCCTTCCTGCATCGCTTCGTTGAGCACAGCCCAAGCAATCTCTCCAAAAGTCTAGCCTTACCCTTTCAGTTCCTCAACAAGTCTCATTCCATCAGAATGCATGTAGTGTGTTCGTGAAAAGCTGTCTTCCAAGAGTGGCCTTGTTAGTTTTCAGCAATGGGGCATCAGGATTCGAGTGAGCCAATGGCACTGGACCACTGGAAGTATATGAGCCGGGGACAAAGTGAAGACCTTTACTTTGCGAAGCAGTGGTGACATCTCTCTCTGCTCTCAAGAGCACCTTTTTATTTTGTCTCACTTGTAGGTTGAGAATGATTCAGAATGAGCTCTTCATATGTACAGAGTGGGTGGCTCATCCAGAGTCCACCATGCTGTGTCTCTACAGTATCATCAACTGCATGGGTACATTTATGTGTGATTTAGAGTCAGAAGAACCGTCATAAAAAGAAATGTAAACCTTTTCATTACAATAATCATTATTAGTGAATTACTCAATGATTTAGCAGCTCTGACTTTTTCAACACAAGATGAAAAAATGACTTGTTTCAGGTACGTTGTAAAAAGGTAACGTGAACGACGCCACAGTTAATCAATATAAATTGTGTAAACAACATTTAAAATCTTAGAAAAACATTTACATAATTACCTATACAGTATGTTTTTCATGATTTTTTTTTGTCCAAGCTATTAGGCTCATTTCCTCCATTTAGGTTTTTTAAACTGCAAATAAATCGGCTGCAGAGATGACTTTCCCAGTCAAAATCACGAATCCATTACTGAGGACAGGAAGCTCTTCTACAATAGCGTAACAGATTTACAGTCATGTGAACAGGAAATTAGTAAAGACTCCAATCTCATTGGAATTGTCTGACAAAGGGAACATTCGTCCTCTCAGATGCTCATCTGGATATTTCTGCAAGCTTTTTGCTCAGCATTATAGTGCGGAAGGCCTGGGAGTTTGGAGGCTGCTGAGCCCTCTCACACCCAACCGACGCGCATGAAAGCAATTTCATGGTGAGCTGACGTCTCTCTCTCCCTCCTTGCAGTCCAACGGCATGCTGAATCGGATCTGCCTCGAACAGAGCGGCCCGATGGTGAACAAAACCCAAGTGAAAGGGGGCGGAGGAGGAGGGGGCGGCGCCACCTATGTGTTCAAGGTGAGAACACGCTGCAGCAATGCCACGCATTGTTTTGAAACGGCACGTAATATCTAGAGATTTTAGCAAGTTACGTTCATTGTGACCAGAGGAACGTATGAAAACCAAAACTTTGCTATATCTAGGAAATCTGAAAAAATACTAATAATTACTCTAGTTTTTCACCCTCCAGAGTCATGTGCCGTATTTCATGTGTCTTTTGGAGCATTACATTTGCCGGACTGTAGTTGAAAATTCTACCGAGATGTGTGTGTGATGTTACACTCTATGAATATAAAGAGATACAAGAAAAATAGTATAATATGTCATCAGTATATATAGCATAGTATATTAGGTTTTATTATATGTATGTGTATTGGGTCCTCAGGAATCCTCTTTTAGAATGTCATAAAATCAAGGTATAAAATGTTATTTAAAAGGTTATTGCACATATCTCAAAAGGTCACAGCATGGTATTTCAAGAAAGTCTTTCATATGTGTCGCTAAAGGAAGTAATAAAGTAAGAAAAAGTCATAATATAAAACGTCACAAAAAGGTGCACATATACCATGTCATTAAGTCAATGTTATAGTACATTTAAATAGTCATAGTATAACATATAGAATATTTCATCAAATCATATTAAGAAATTCATTGTACGTCATAAAGAGCTCTAATATAATATGTCCAAAAAGAAGTTTGAGTATGGTGTCTCATAAAAGGTCCCACCTGACAAAAAATGCAATTAAAAGTCCGACTGTAGTTTGGCAAAAAAAGGTGAAGAACTGTCATATTGTGGTCTTTGTTTTTGACATAATATCCAATCTCAAAGAAGAAGAAAATTCATTAAAAATGCCACAATTTGTAATGAGATGAATAAGTAATGTACACAGCAGAAACAAAAACTGTGAGTAGATCATTTTGCTGATATTTTAACCAAAACTTGCTCATTAGAAAGCACCAAGAGTCGTGGTATAATTATAGAGTGCAGCTCCTCTCAATGGTCACCGACCTTCCATTTCTAAGTTTGCATGAAATCTCATTTCTTTTCTGCATTGGACGTCATACAGCCACCAGTGGATCGGTCCTCGCTGAGTTACTGTAGCTTCCACCTCAGCTCTCGGCTTTCTTGTCCCCGAGGCAGCTTGGTGGCGTTTGGTCTGGAAGGTCAAAAAAAAGGTGCAAAGGGATCATGGTGTATAGTACTTTATGTTGAAAAAATAAAACAAAAGTCAGAGTAAAGTACATCCTAGAAAAGGATATACAAAAAAAGATATTAAAACATGTACAGATTATACTATGTGGAAAAAATGTTGAGTATGGAATTGAATACTTGGGTGTTTATAGGCATTAATCAGACAAGATGAGCTTCGGAGCGGCTGGTAGGCACACTTAGTTTTCTTGGGCCGGGGCCGGAGTAGCTGGATGCTTATCTAAAGTAACCAACTAGTAGCACCAGCGTCATAATTATCACACAAACCGGAGCGGGTCTTCATCTTGTCCTCTAACTCTTAGAAAGACAGCAGATAGGGCATTTCCCTCCGCAGACGCCCCCACATTAATCCAACCCTACGACAATAATCACCCAGGTGGACAAAGGAGTGTACATCCCCCTCATCATCGCTGCTGGGGGAGGCGGCCGGGGTTACAGCAGCCTATCAGAGACCCAGCTGGAGCAGATGGACTATGACCCCAGCCAACCGGGGCGCAGCGGGAAGTCAAACGCTGCAGGTACGCTGCCAGCAGCTTTCCTCCTTGTGTTGGTGCGGCTTGCATGTGTGCTGTGCGTCTGCAACAAAACGCAACACACACAGGGCACGTGCGTGTAAGCGAGAGAGCTTGTTCCAGGGAGCCGGCGCCTGAGGTGATCACATGACCAACATGTCAACATGCGCACTAACGAGTAGCTTCACATTTAGCGTGAATCCACTTGTGCTCCTAAACACATCCATCTACCTGGAAGGTGTAAACGGTTGCACTTGGCTGTTTGTTGGCCCCGCTCATGACTGTTCACACGCAGCACCGGGTCCCTCGTCACGGCTCGCCAGGACTACACGGCGGAATGTTCCATCCGTGGCCTCCGCAGGCTGCATTATTCATGTGCTCGGAGTCGACACGCAGCCCAGAAAACAAAAGTTATTGATTTTTGCGTCGTCGCAGAGCCCAAGGTTTCCTTTTGAGGAAGCTCGGTGAGTGAAAAATGAAATATTTAGCAGCTCTGGTGGGTTTTGTTGCTAGTGTGGCGAGATGTGTATTTTTTTTCATTTGTTTCTATCTCTCAGGCGCCAGAGTGGGAGGGACGCGGGGGGCGGGATCGGGGGTCGGGGGGTAATTACATTTTCTGCTGTTAGAGAATATGGGAGGGAACAGTGGGAGCTTTATTAGCTATAATTTTAATCTTGTGTTACCAGGTCTCTTTTAAAGTATTTCATTTGTCCGGCCTCTGCTCACACCTATATTCTTTTCCCTAATAGGGGATTGATGCTTGTGTGGGAAAAATACTGAGGCGTGTGTGTGTGCACCTTTAATATATACATTTCCTCCTCTGTCTCCCACACACACACACACACACATTGATTCCCTCCATCCCTCTGCCGGGCCTCAAAGGTGTGTTGTGTTTGGCGACAGGAGGCGGCGGCGGCTGGAATGACAGGACTCCGGTCAGTCAGGGGGGCAGGCCGCTGGTGCTCGGAGGCCAGGGGGGGCAGGCCTGTCAGAAGTTCTGGCAGACCCGCGGCGGCTTCGGGGGCGGCGGAGGTGGCTGTATGTCGGGGGGCGCCGGCGGAGGCTACAGAGGTCAGTCCAAGAGCTCTGTGAGGATTTTAGCGTTTAGTATCAAGGTATGCCCACCGTGTATCAGCTTGTACTGTACACCATTAATTAGTGTGTTTGTGTTATAAGATAGACAACTGGGTCATAACAACAGATGGGGGTACACATAAGGCATGAAAAGACGCCGTTATAAACAATAACAATATGAGAATGGCAAAAAGGGTGACAAATATGCAAATAACTGTTCCATTAAAGTGCGTTGTGACACACAAGGACGAAATATGTGACATGTGAAGTGCGTGGGCAGGAGGGACTGAGTGTGATTGGTGTGGTAAGGCTCATTGTAGCTGTTGTGGCTCTTTCCCCCTGGAATACAGCCTGTGTCATTTAGGTGTTGTCCCTGTTTGCCCACCTGGTCTCTAGGCGGTAACACCTCCGTGGATAACAACCCCAAACACGACGGGGACGACGGCACCTCCTTCCTGGGTCCCGAGGGACAGCCCTTCCTCTACCCGCTGAAAGGTAACGTGACGCTTCAGCGGCCCGTCTGCTGCCAAGACGGTTCCATTCAACAGCTGATGGCTTTTTAGTGATTTCTGTTTAATCAACATTTTTAAATGGGTTCTTGTTGCCAAACAAGAGCGATCACGTCACATAATCCTGACGGATCTTTACAGCAGGATCAGAGTGAGTTGGCTCACGCAGTCAAATCAAAGAGAGGATATTGTAAACGCAGCCCGTATCAGGGTTAGGAGTTTTCCATTCTGACAGAAGACAGACCCAGATTATATGATTAAAGCGCCTCTGGATAGAGAGGAGGAACCGCTCAATAAGTCCATCTGGTGTAGACCTGTTAGACGTTCACTTGAACTTGACAGGTACTAGAAACACAGTCTGACGGAAGTGACCACCCATGTATCACTCGGCTGTATACAAAAGATTAATAGACAAAAGGGGGGGAACGGGAAATAGAAATTGAAGTGCTTTTTGGATTAGTCTTTCATCCAGCGGGCTGTAGAAAAGCACGCATCGATATCTCTCCAACAGGAGCGACGCTGTCCGCAGCTCCCACTCCTCCGCGTTTCATGACTTCTCAGTGATTCTCAGCTGAGAAGTCAACTGAAAAGGTGATTGTTCATTTCAAACCACACGTTGTTATTGTGGCTGGTTAAACATTCCAGCTTCACTGCCTGAGTCGTTCCTTCGAAAAGGAGATTCCTTTTTAAACACTAGAGCCGCTGATGTTGAGACTCTGCCGTGCTCAGGCAAATTCCCAAATACCTAAAGCATCCCATTTCGGCACAGATAATAAAGACCCTCAGAAATGTTTGGTCTGGATCCGACTATTCATCAGCAGATTAAGGTTCATGAATTCAACTAGAAATGTGAGTCCCTACATGAAACAAGGGATATTCTCTGACTTTACACAAGGCCTAAGTCTTTATCTCACACAGGGCTGACTATCAATTAGTAATATCTGCAATGTGCTACGTCGAAAGCACATCCTCTGTGTGAAGGTGAGGGTCAGTGGCTTTTGCTGTTTGAAGTTGCAATCCCAAATGCCTACGCCGGTAATCCCCCCCCTCAGCTTGAGGTGCACGTTCTGCAGCTCAAAAAGCAGCAGGTGATGGCGGACAAGCCTGCCATGTTCATCGGTAAAGCCGAAAAGAGGATCAAAAATAAGAGTTAACGTCGACACGGGCAACCGGATCGCAGTGCCGGGCCCTAAGCCACTGAGCACAGAGAGGACGCACTGTGCAGGACCCGAGGAAACAGTCCTGTTAGAGGCCAGCAGAGCCCCCCCCCCCATGAAAGGAAAGCTGCTGCTGCAGTAAAACCCCAGGAACAAACCTTGCGTCTATGAAGGTCTACAGCCCTCAGTTTGTTATGGAAGACATTTAAACTAGTGGCCATTTGTTGTCCTTTCTTCAACTACTCTTTGTAATTCAAACTACTTTGAATTCCACGTTGTTTTGTTATTGGACTACTTGTTTTGTGTTGTTATGTTTCGTTTTCTGTATTTTCCGCATATTTGTTTTAGCCCCCCCCCGCCCCCCCTTCCATTCCAACTATCAGAAATATTTGTTCAATTAATTACAGAAAACATGGCCAGCTTCCTCGTTCCAGGGTCACAAAGGAGTACTCACTAGTACGAGTGGGTGTGGATGGGTATTCATGTGTACTTGAGACACACATGTTCACACTAGAGACATTTGTATTCATCCTTTGAAGCCTTTAAACTGTTTCTAGGGTACATTTATGTATTTGCAGTTAAAAGCTGATAACAGAATGATGAGAAAAAAACTGATTTTGCAGATGAGTGCGTTTGCTTTGCTTACTAAACAGCACAAGTCTTCACAGGCAGCACATTACTTATTCACGATGGCCTGGTCTGCACTTGGGCTTGCTGTAGTTTATAATTCAGAAAAGTGTTTATTTTTCAGCTGAATTAAGTTCTGGGTGTTGTAAAACAACATTTTGGGCCACACGAGAGAGCAAAGTGTCTTTGAAAGCAGAGTCTGCAGGGTTTTGGTTTCCAGCCAAGAACCCCGCAGATCAACCGCTGATTAGCTCACATTCAGCTCCGATCAGTACGTCCGTGTAGTTTGAGGTGGGAGAAGCACCACACGATGTCGCTCCCTGGCTCGATTCTCCTGCTGCCGCCAACCACTGTTCCTGAGCTGTGGCCTGCTGGACCACCAATAGGATCCTGAGGCGCTGCGTTACAGATACAAGGCTTTGGACATGCAGGCTCACAAATACCTCACCATCAAAATAGTTAGAATATACCTTGTGAGGGGCCTTTGCTGCTGTTATAGACTGTATGGAAGCGTCCTCTCAGATGAAGCTGCTGTGTGTGTGTGTGTGTGTTTGAAGCTGTGGAGGGGGACGGCGAGGTGGTCATCAGTCCGGTGCAGAACTGCAGCCACTGCGAGAGCGACGAATGCCACGAGACCAAAGGCGGCATCGTCTGCTACTGCGATGAAGACCTGGTCCTGGACCCGAACGGGGTGTCCTGCATCAACGCCACAGGTCTGCCACACAGACGTGCACCTACACAAGCAAAGACCCGACTGTTTCTCTCTGTGTGGAATTTATCTAACCGCTCAAAGGACTTAAGCAGAATATAATTGTTCCTGTAATAGACTGTGACTCAGTGAGCAGTTGATGAATTCATCTACAGAAGTAATTAAGCCTGGAAGGCTCTGGACAGGGTATCTTTATCTGAGGAAAGTTTTTTTTTTATATTTTTAATTGTAGCTTAATCATTCATAATAATGATTGATCCCTAGGATAAGTCAAGCAATTACTAGAAAATGTATGAACCTGTAACAGTATTAGCTGCTGTGATTTATCAACCAGATAAAAGCTCTTGTCTTATCACGCAAAGGGCGGCCTGGGCGGGATAACCTGGTACTCGCGTGGGGACACCGTACAATGATTGCTTTCCATGATGGGCTGCTCTGCATCTGGCTCTGTGCTTTACACCATTTAAACCCTAAAAGAAGAATCGGTATTCACACACGTGCTGGTTCTTCTCCCTGGGTTAATCTGCAACAAAGCAGAGTAGACCAAACTCTCACTGGGCCTAAAGTTGCCCCTTCAATTATGATTTGTAATCTCTGATGGATCCTGAGCACATGAATGTAGATCGGAAGTGAATTAATGTGGCGGAATGTCACTTAATAATGTGCAAGCAAAATAACGGGGCGATTACCATTTCAATGATATCTTTATGACCTAGAGTTTCTCCTTGCACTGCGATTTGCAAATCTGTCATAGAATAAGCAAGACGCCAGGTCATAAAAGGTCACAATCTCACCACGGTCTCTTTCTCTCTGTGCAGAATTCTTTTTTCTCCCCTTCGCACAGACAAGTGTAATGAGATCCCCCCCGTCACCCCCCCGTCCCCGAAAAGGGAATTGACATGCGCCGGCCGTCGCTGCTCCTAAGCTCTGTTGTGTCATCGCTTTCACATCATTAATTAAGTGTGGATCCGAGCGGCGATGTGCATGTTAACACTCCTCGGGGAGAAGATAACAACTGTGGGCATCGTTGTTTCCCCTTGTTTTACAGTGGTGTCCTCGCTGCATCCACAGCCGACTCTCTCCCACCTGGCGCTGGGTCTGTCCGTGGGCACCTCCGCCCTCATCGCCGCCCTGCTGCTGACTGTGTCCGGGGTCATGATCAGTAAGTCAGGAGGGCAGTAAAGAGACCACATGTAGGGATGGCTTTGATTTACTCTGGGTTTCAGTCAAATGTCCATCATGTTTATTTAACCTCGTCCAGTTTATCCTTCTAGTTATGTTAAAATATCACTTATTATTTAGTCTATCAAACTAAATGATGCATGATGCTGCATAAATGCTAACTGATATGATGACGCCCTCATAGCAACAATTGGATTTGAAATGAAACCATTAAGATGTGCTTTGAATGCAGACTGAGTGACGCTTTATTGACCTCCATATCAGGTAAACGGTGTAGGATTCAGACACATTATGTGGTCCCTATTTGAAAGAGCAGTCGGCTGATCAGCTGTTCCATGGCCCGGTTTGTGTTGTTCCCTCATTACTCTAATAACAAGCAGCCGATGAAAGGTCATCGCTAATTTCAACTGTGGGATTTGCATTTGGAATCTGTTGCTGTCGACTCTCAATATTCAGTGAAAGGAGCTGCTGCTTGCAGTGAAGCAAGCCATGAGTGGGCTGAAGAATCCGACCAAACCATCAGAGAGATGGAAACATCACTACTGTATTAGTGGTCAAACCAACTGTTGGGTACATTCTCAAATAGAAAGAAAGCACTGGTGAGCTCAGGAACACCGAACGACCAAGGAAAACAACTGTGGTTGATGACAGAAGAATTCTTCCGTGGTGAGCCTCTAAAACTGGGACATCAGCTTTGCCAAATAACATCTCAAACACATCGCATGCACAGATGAGACAAAGCTCAACTTGTTCCAGAAAGATGAAAAAAGAAGAGTTGGGAGAGGAGGAAGAACTGCTGCTGATCCAAAGCTTCCCCCTCATCAGTGAAGCCTGCTGGAGGTAGTGTCATGGCGTGGGCACGCACGGCTGCCAATGGAACTCGTTCCCAAGTATTTGTTGATGATGTGACTGCTGACAAAAGCAGCAGGATGAATTCTGGCAATATAATCTGCTCATATTTATCCAAATGCTTTAAAACTCATTGGACAGCGCTTCACCGTGCAGATGGACATTCTACTAAAGCAGCCAAAGAGTTTTTCAAGAAGTGGAATGTTCTGCAGTCACCCGACCTGAATCCACTGAGCATGCATCTCAAATTGAAGCACATCTCGATTGTTTCATTCCAAGGTTGTGGTTATGCACAGAGCCCAAATGGTGGAAGTATTTTGATTCACACACGACTCTAAAAACCCTCCGTGTGGGTGACAGTGTGCTAAACATCCGCTCAGGACCTGAAGGGGTCGCTTCTACTCACAGTACTTGAGCGCTATGAAGTACTTTTTTAATGTTTTACATTTCCGTAGTATTTGTGCTTCTGCGCTCAGTGTGTAGGACACGTGTTCCCTCTCTGACACACACACACTCAGCTGTAAAGAGCCTGGTCTCTCTCAGACGGCCCTCAGCAGGTTGTTGAAGGGGACCTCGCGGCCATCGCACACATACGTCTGCTCCACTGCTTACAGGCTCTTACAGCCAGACACGAGCACTCGTTGGGCCGTCATCTCTTCCACACACACGCAAATCAAGACTCCCGCCTATGCAAGTGCATGCACATTAGCAGCAGCAGGTGTGGAAATGCCTCCTCGATGAACGCATTGCGCTAATGATTGATGGCTGCTCGGCCGGCGGCTGACTGCACTCTTCCATTGGAAAGCAGGTGGTTAATAAAGAACTTCCTTGCAGACACACATAAACAATTCTCCCTGCGACTAATGTGTTTCCCCGCCCAGGTAGAGGCTTCAGACATGAAAAAGATTTATTGATGACATGACAGGAGGAGGTACAGCCTGTCGTGCTGTTATACGTGCTGCTGCCGTACACGTGGGATTCTTTCACCTTATACGTCTACAAATCCAGGAAACATTGTGTCTGTGAATCATTTAGAAAGTCCGATCTGGCTGCAGATTGAGGGGACTCAATAATTTACGAGCACAAAGGAATTTCATTTCAGAAAAGAAATGATGTTGTACAAGCAGAAGAATAATTACTGAAGTTTTTATTTTTAATAGTGAGTGAAACTTTCCATTCCCCCCCCCTCAGTGTACAGACGTAAACACACAGAGCTGCAGTCTATCCAGCTGGAGCTGCAGAGTCCAGACTGTAAGCTCAGCAAGCTGCGGGCGTCCACCATCATGACCGACTACAACCCAAACTACTGCTTCGCCGGCAAGACGGCGTCGGTCAACGACCTGAAGGAAGTGCCGCGCCGCAACATCTCCCTCACCAGGTACGAGAGCCGAGGTCAAAGGTCCACAGACGACCACTGTCCCTGGAACATAAAGACATTGTGGACACGTCCGTCTGTGGGGAGATCTCGTGTCTGAATGAACATGACAAACTGAGCATTTCAACGTAATTGAAATGTAAATCCACTCGTGCCGACTATTTAAATAGAGGGAATCATAAATAAAGAATGATGCAAGAAAAAGCAGTTTGAATCAAGTCTGAAATATTAAAGTCTTCTAAAATAGGAGTCTACGGCAGTCATCCCAGCGGCTGGGAAGTTATTTTCGTAGAGCTCTTTTTTATTATTAATGTATCTCAATCTTTCATTTGTTTCTTGTTTGCCAGTTTATCTTTCTGGTTCCTAATCCTAACCTTAAGTATTTTTCTTGTCAATACATGAATATTTCTCTGCATCTAGATTTATTTACCAAATTTTTGCTGCCAAAGTCTTCAGCTCAATATCAATTCAATCATAATGAAATAACAAATGTTTGTCTGCCTCCAGGGGCCTGGGGCACGGTGCTTTTGGTGAGGTGTATGAAGGGCTGGCCGTGGCGATACCGGGGGAACCGAGCCCCCTGCAAGTGGCAGTCAAGGTGACGACCTTCAGATCAATACTCGTTCTTCCTGTTTTGGAAAGTTCAAACTTTGATAGAATCAAATGAGATCCACGGGGACGTCTAAACAAATTATATGCATCAATGTTTGTAGCAAGAGTCACTGTTCCTGGGACAAGACATGTTGTTTTGTAATTGAAGACTTTATGGCACAAATGGAGACGCACCAGATACAAAATCTAATAACTGCTGTTATTTTCTGGTGATGATAATGATAATGTGCTTCGGGCATATTAATCTAATATGGACCGGCCTGGGTTTTACTCACGTGTGATGCTCACATGGAGTCAGAGGTGGAGGCGGCTGAGCAGGCATTGATGCTATGAATCAAACTTGTACCAATACTATTGTGTTGCATTTATAACAGACCCTTCCTGAGGTTTGCTCGGAGCAGGACGAATTGGACTTCCTCATGGAGGCTCTGATTATCAGGTAAGCCACTTGGACAAGGAACAGAATTCTGTCTCTCAAACACGAAGCCTTCTGATCCTCTGCTGCTTCTACGTCCCTGCAGCAAGTTCAGCCACCAGAACATCGTGCGCTGCGTGGGCGTCAGTCTGCAGGCCATGCCCAGGTTCATCCTGTTGGAGCTGATGACCGGAGGAGACCTCAAGTCTTTCCTCAGGGAGACGCGACCCCGGCTGGTGAGACGCCCGAGTTATCATTGCATAGTGCATTATTTATTCAATTGAACCACCTTCAGCCACAACTGTTCTTGTCATATGATCCAAGTGGGCTCATTCAGCTTTTCAAACTCTCATTTTACAACCACAATGTGTGCGTCTGAAATGTTCTCTAAAATTGCATTCTGGGTATTTCTCTGTTTATCTATTTGATCAGGAGCACCCGTCCAGTCTGACCATGGTGGATCTTCTCAATGTGGCCAGAGACATCGCTAAGGGCTGCCAGTATCTGGAGGAGAACCAATTTATACACAGGTACTCCACCAGGTGACCTCACATTTAGCCTGTGAATGTGCCAAACCACACAAACAGATGTGTGCTATCCTGCTGCTCTACAAACAAACCACACAAACAGATGTGTGCTATCCTGCTGCTCTACAAACAAACCACTCGGACAGATGAGCTGAGTGTCTGTCCATGCGTAACATGTGGACTCTGCACGCCTTTTGCCTTTTGTATGTTAGCAGAAAGGACAAGTGATGAGTTTAGCATCAGAGGAGCCAGATGTGGTTGCCGGCTTGCCATTTTACGGTCTGTGTCCAAGGCACTAGTCTCCTTCTTTGTCCAAATTACACAGCTGCTGCTGAACCAGGGGAGAAAGACCCCCAAAAAAATGATGCTCTTGAAACTGTCTTGCAAAACGCTCCCACATGGTCGGCTTGTACGGAAAGTCGAGTACATGTCGAAAAGGGGAAATGTTCACAGTTCCCAGAATCACATCGAGACAGTTAAAGGTCATTCCTCCTCCATCATGTCTCTTTTGAAGAATGACAAACACGGCCCATTAAAGCGCGTTGGCGCTAACGTGGCGCAGCAGAGCCCCATCAGTCCATCTAACGGCCCTGGGTTTCTATTCAGCGTGGCTTTGTGTGCTCAGGCCTGTGTTAAGGCTCATTTCAATCTGTATGGAGGTGTGTTGACCCGCGGCTGAGTCAAGGGCAGGCGGATGAGTAGCTTTTTGTCAGGGATTACCGGGTTGGATGATGTGACCTGTGAGTTGTTCCCTCAGGGGAAGGTGTGCGTTTAACGTTGTCTGAATACCGTACTCAGGTTCTGTGTGTTTCTAAGCTGCTCCTGCGGTGATATTTATCCGGCGCGCTCTCACAACCAACTCGTCAAATGCAGCAGCTTTGTCAGGACCTCCACATCACTTTTTAACACGCTGGATACCCATTTAGCATCGTTGTTTTCTGCTTTAGCCTTTCATAAAGAGCAAACGGAGCCAACAGATTAGGACGCCGTCTCCTCTGCTCTCCACTTAGGCCTCATACAGTGCATCCGGAAAGTGTTCACAGCGCTTCACTTTTTCCACATTTTGTTATGTTACATCCTTATTCCAAAATGGATTAAATTCATTATTTTCCTCAACATTCTACACAACAACCCATAGTGACAAAGTGAAAACTGTTGTTTTTTGCAAATTTTTGTATTCACAGCCTTTGCTTAATACTTTGTTGAAGCACCTTTGGCAGCAATTACAGCCTCAAGTCTTCTTGGGTATGATTCCACAAGCGTGGCACACCTATTTCTGGGCAGTTTCTCCCATTCTTCTTTGCAGAACCTCTCAAGTTCCATCAGGTTGGATGGGAGCGTCGGTGCACAGCCATTTTTAGATCTCTCCAGAGATGTTCAATGGGGTTCAAGTCAGGGCTCTGGCTGGGCCACTCAAGGACATTCACAGAGTTGTGCCGAAGACCTTTGTTGTCTTGGCTGTGTGCTTGGGGTCGTTGTCCTGTTGGAAGATGAACCGTCGCCCCAGTCTGAGGTCCAGAGTGCTTTGGAGCATGTTTTCATCCAGGATGTCTCTGTACATCGCTGCATTCATCTTTCCCTCAATCCTGACTCGTCTCCCAGTTCCTCCCGCTGAAAAACATCCCCACAGCATGATGCTGCCACCACCATGCTTCACTGTAGGGATGGTATTGGCCAGGTGATGAGCAGTGCCTGGTTTCCTCCAGACATGACGCTTGGCATTCAGGCCAAAGAGTTCAATCTTTGTTTCATCAGACCAGAGAATTTTGTTTCTCATGGTCTGAGAGTCCTTTAGGCGGGCTGACCTGTGCTTTTTACTGAGGAGTGGCTTCCGTCTGGCCACTCTACCTAACAGGCCTGATTTGTGGAGTGCTGCAGAGATGGTTGTCCTTCTGGAAGGTTCTAGTCTCTTCATAGAACAGCGCTGGAGCTCTGTCAGAGTGACCATCGGGTTCCTGGTCACCTCCCTGACTAAGGCCCTTCTCCCCCGAACGCTCAGTCTGGTTGGGCGGCCAACTCTAGGAAGAGTCCTGGTGGTTCCAAACTTCTTCCATTTCCGGATGATGGAGGCCACTGTGCTCATTGGGACTTTCAATGCTGCAGAAATCTTTCTGTACCCTTCGCCACATCTGTGCCTCGATACAATTCTGTCTCGGAGGTCTACAGATAATTCCTTGGACTTCATGGCTTGGTTCATGCTCTGATATGCACTGTCAACTGTGATACCTTATATTGACAGGCGTTTCTCAATCATCTCCAATCAACTGAATTTAGCACAGGTGGACTCCAATCAAGTTGTAGAAACATCTGAAGGATGATCAGTGGAAACAGGATGCACCCGAGCTCAATTTTGAGTGTCATGGAAAAGGCTGTGAATACTTATGTACATGTTATGTTTCTGTTCTTTATTTTACAACAGATTTGCAAACATTTGCAAAAAACAGTTTTCACTTTGTCACTATGGGTTGTTGTGTGTAGAATGTTGAGGAAAATAATGAATTTAATCCATTTTGGAATAAGGCTGTAACATAACAAAATGTGGAAAAAGTGAAGCGCTGTGAACACTTTGCGGATGCACTGTATGAGGGCTAAGTGGAGAACAGCAAATAACCACTGCTTGATTTCAGCTCCGCATTCAACAGCATCCTCCATTCATCTAATTGGTAAACTTGGCATTCTGGTGTTAAGAAGTACAGGCGGTCCTGCCCGTGAAAGGGACACATTGGGCCACTGAACAACCTTGTGTTACTTCATTTTACAAGATTCTTGTAATTGGAATCTGGAATCTGGTAGTCTCATTCAAATCTGGGATGTTAAAATCCACTGGTAGCAGAGATGGTTCAGTAAAGTACTGCAGTTAAATTGGTCTATGAACTTAGGTTAACATTTGATGTAAATAAGGTCTGTGAGCAAGATAATATTGTTTTAATAAAAGCGTGGGCTGAGTGTACAGCAGCACTGTGTCCCTCCCTGAAGCCCTCAGCCAGCAGCCTGTGATGCTGCTGCTGCACTTCAGGGCTCATGCGTGCCAAGCAAAAGCAAATCGTAGGCAGGACTTCGTCCGATCCATTAAACAACGACGCCTTGGATTTAGCTGCATCACATTGTGAGATAGGAAATTGTGTATTCTTGAATAGCAAATATTCCCTGATGCCACATTTCAGCAAATTCCCTGTAGATGGTTGATAACTCAGTACACCAACACGTGTTAAGCTGCTTCTGTCTAAGACGGACAGTCACCCAACAATTTCACATCAAACTTGAAGTAGTGCCATATTGTTGTAAGTTTCTGGCGCATTGAAGCGGGCGCCCGTCCCAAAACCATCAGGTTAACTTAGAACTATCACGTTGTGTCAATTTACATCCAAGTTGAGAACATCAGTGTTTCCTTCTCCATCTCGTGATCTAGTTTCAATCCCATTCAGTGTGTTTACATGATGGTATAATTTGAATCTTTGCTTAGTCGGACTATGCTATCTTTCGGGGCAGTGAATAAATCGAATCATTGGCCGAAAGTCATGAAAGCTGTCATATCCGATACGATAGGTGGCGCTGTTTTCATTACAACTAGTTGTGATACAGCCATTTCCGCTTGACCGCTTCACCACTACCAACAACAACCAACAACAATAACAACATCAACATTACGAGAAAGATGGCGAGCGGAGAGCAAGGTGAAGCTACATCCCTCTACTATGTGTGCATGATGTTAATAGGAGCACAGCGAAGGCGAATGGCGCTATCGGCTGATTTGATAACGGAGAGAAGACGCCGTCGGGGTCTCAAGCATGCGCAAAGACGCAAAGTCCAGTTCCTCATCCGATTCACCGTCACATGCCGCAATAGTCGAACTATCAACTGGATCGGATCGAGTTATCCAGGGGTGTTAGTCGGATCGTAGTCGGACCGCACAGTCGGACAAAGGTGTTTACATGAAACGGATACTCGATTTCAGTCCGACTAAGCCAGTTATTCGAATCCATGTAACCACGCTGAGTGTGACTGTGTGACGTTGTGGGAGCAGTGTGCCCACCTCGGCCCGGCATGGGATGAGAGCTGGAGGGATGGTGTGGGCACCATAATCTTTTTCGGAGATTGCAGTGTGAACTACTGTATTTTTGCTACCTGCTCCACCTGCCATTACTGTGGAACATTTCAATCTGGTCCCTGGATGCAGCATGTGGGCCGAGCTATCAAGGCACCGTAGGAAACTATACACTTCATCGCTGGGCGGCGATCCAACAGGGGAGCGTCCTTAAATACATGAAGCCTGAGCTGTGTGAATGTTTGTGGTTGTGCACAGTACACCTCATGGCTGCGTATAAGACCCCGGCCGTCTAAATGTGTTTGTTTTTTTGCTCATCTTTCAGGGACATTGCAGCTCGGAATTGCCTGCTGACCTGCAAAGGGCCGGGCCGCGTCGCCAAGATTGGGGATTTCGGGATGGCTCGAGATATTTACAGGTACAATTAGATGAATGATGTGAGACAACAGGCTAAATCTGCCGAGTCTAAATCGGGTCTAAACGGAGTTCACATCAAACTGAAAAATAAGAAAGAAACAGATGTGTGGGGGAACATCCAGTGGGGCTGAGTTGTATTCAAACAAAACATTGTGTGGTATGTGAGAATCAAATGACTTTTGTTTGACATTTACACTGAATAAATACCGAGGATTTAAATGGTGATTGTTTTGAGGTGATGTATCAACACCTAATGGGCCTCATCGCTGCACTGAGGAACATTTCATTACGGCTACAATAATTGGCTGCAACAGAGAACTATTGTACCTCTGCTAACCAACGATTATTAATCACTGCATGCAAACGCCACCCGATTGAATATTTAACATTTATTATCTAATCTGGAAATGGTTGAAGTACCGTTTAATCACAAGCTTTCACTGCCCTCTCTTGGTACGTCTTAAGTGGAGTGAAAGCTCCCAGCATCATGTTGGATGTGGAAAGTCTGTGTTCCCCTCACAAAACATCAACATGGGTTTTCTTACCCCATTTCAACAAATCAACTACTGCCGTTTCCTCAACAGTCCCTCCTTGACTGAGACGTGTTGGGCATGAAATTCTTTGCATGGACAAATTTTCAACCCCAGGATGTGACAAATCAAAATGCAAGCGCAAAATCCCCCCCCCCCTCCAAACAGCGGTGAAATAACACAATCCAGTGAGACAGTCTATTTGCTCCTTATTCCCTTTAGTGTATTTAAGCTGCACATATATTACATTCAATACATAAGAAAGAAAATCCATCTGAGAAAGTGTGTCAGTGAAGCGGCAGCTCAGCTCTCTACGTTCGGTTGTAAAGTCCAGGCAACTAATTCATGACCGCCGTGAACGTTTCATCATTCACAATGTCCTTCTTTTAATCTGGATCCGCCTGAAGCCCCAACGGCGTCTCATTATTCTGAGTTTAAACTTTTTAAATGGTTGCGCAATCCAGCAGGGAAATCTCCCAAAGCCTTCGTCTGGTAACAAATACGAGCAGGGGAGACATGGACAACATCCAGCTGTGTCGCCGCAGCACTTTGGAATCATCTGATGGAAAGTCACTGTCGGAGCGCGGCGGAAAGGCTGCTGCCTAAAACCCCTCGGAAGCCGTATAAGGAGCGCTGGATTTAATTGCTGGTGTCAGTTTCCCAGGTGCCTGGGGTGCGGTTTCCTTTTCATCTCTCAGCCTGCAGCCGTGGCACCGCGACTCTTCTTTTATTAGTCTATTTGCCACATTAGTCTATCGTGAGACGGAGGTGCTGTTCCATGATGCGGCCCTCCTGCTATGTGACGTGGGACATGGGGAGGGGGCTCATGAAGGCCGTGGTGGGGGACGGCCGTCACAGTGAGGGGCCGGGATGAGGCTTAATGTCATCCTTTTATACTGTGAGAGGCGAGCCACAGGCCGACTGGCTCGTGGTAAATTCCTCACACGCATGCTCGCACACCGGTGATGCAGCTGTAAACAAAAAGCTGCCGTTGAGTAATCATGCTGACGTACACAGACGCCACTATGAAGACAAATTCACTGGGCTTTGAGAAGAGAGTAGCATCAATTGACCACACACACACTCAAAGGAGCATCACTTCGAGACCTAAGTGATGCTCCTTTGAATGTGTTATTTATTGTTACCAGCCTGGTGAACAGGAACGCAGGAAAAGGTAGAATAAAAACATTCAAACCAAAGGACAGACACAAATATGAGGACGCACGTGTCCCGGCGTGCGCATGTTTGTCGCGTGTTCTCACTCCTGCTGTCTCTACCTGTTAGTGTTTGCCTCTAATGTATCTCTAACTTACAGCCCCCCCCGACACACACAGGCAGACAGACGTATAAAACCCCTCTATTTGTGCTATAGATTATGGGGACTGTATTTAAGCTTCCCTAATCTGCAGCTCAGCGTTCAGCCTGTGCTGGTGTTGTTAGCAGTAGTCATAAATATGTCCATAAAGCCGCAGCTGAGAAAAGAAGCCGATCTACTGATAGGGGGGATTATCAGTCTAATCCTCTACGTTTCACCATCCGTCGACCTTTTCAAAGAATTCCATCATCATTTCCAGATAACGGACTGTATAGACGTGTACACAAGTTAAATATCATCTGGCTATTTTAGTGAAGTGAAGTATTTCCTACTACATCCAGTCAGAATTTGCAGTATGCAAGCCGGTATGCTTTTTTTGTCTATTCATACCCACAATCCTTTGCACAGCAGTTGAATGAGCAATACGGTGCAATGTGTCATGATGTGGCAGGAAGTACGATGTCCCAATTGCATCATACCTCCCTGTTCAGGTTCTTTCTTCAGGGAGGGGGGGGGGGTCTCAGAGAGACCGGTGCTAAAAGGGAGCGGTTAACTCTGGTATGCTCAGGCGGACACTGTAAGAGATTTAACATGTTTTTAAACATTGAAACCCGTAGAAACCTAAAATATAATCCCCAAAACATGAACTGGATAATAAGCACAACATGTTTGCTGAAAGCGTCCTTTCTTCGGCGTTCGGTCCTGTAACAGCTGGACAGGAGGTCAATAGGTGTTGATCTAAGTGATAGATTAGTCGCTGGGCAGGAATCTGTGCGACGGCCCTGCGGTGGTTATCTGTCGCGCAAACAGCTCGACTAGTGGGTCCCTTCTCTGCCTCGTTTAACCTGTCATTTTATTCAAGGCAAATGTCTTATGCCAATACTTTGCTAAGTATATTTACCTCCCTTTAGCTATCCTGGCTTGACAGCATCATCTATCCAATCCGTTTTATTTATGAAGCACAGTTTAAATGAACAAAGGCTCCCAAAGTGCTGTACAATAAAATAAACAATAAAACATAATAAATAAATAAATCGACTATCTATAATAGTCCCTACTAGCTCCTCTGAGGTTAAACAATCAGTGCTGACTTGTTATTTTCCCTGACTTGATACCATTGACACTGCAGTTGTTTCACATCCTTGTAAATATCACAAGGAATCGAGGGCACGAGCGATGGACAACCGTAGCAAATGAAGCCTATTTTGAAGTCAAGTTTAGGTCTTTCATGGTAGCCCAGACATTTCATTTTAATGACAAAATGTCATTATTTTCTTTTCCGTAGTTTTGTTTTAGGCTCTTATCTGTCCAGGGAACGCCAACTGAACATAATGCGCTCTTCTCATCCTTCCCACCTGGGAGCTGCCTGTTGTGATCGCGCTGCTTATTCCCGAGCAGCCGTGTGCAGCAGTTGGTGCTTCAGACGGTTACGGCTACTTCTATACTTCCCCAAAAGACCCAGGGATTTCAACTGGCAACCTTCCAGTCACCAACCTGTGGTTATAGCCTATTACATAGTCCTATTTGCCAATAACTGCTTAGAGGGAAAAAAAGTGTCACATTCATGACAAAACCACTTGGGGCAAAGGGATTCACTCCTCCGCAGCAACAAACGGCAAAAAAGGCTTCAACACGGCGGGCGCTTAGCCGGACACTTGATGTGTGTCCATTTCTATTGGCAGACGGGCAGCCGAGCGGCGGCTCACGGCGCGTACAGACATGAGCGAGTTCACCTCCATCAACGATCAGCCTGAGCGCGCATCAGATTATTTCTCTTAACGACGCAAAGCCGCTCAGACTGGACAAACATCTCGTTCCCTCCAACGGCGAGGAGTCGTCTAAGGGTCCGTCACGCCAACGCGTGCTGACAATGTGATTAGATCAGAGTGCTGATACAGCCACTGACAATCCCTGATTTAATTGTCTGATGTTACTCATTTTATTTTTTTACCCCCTGCGTTTGAGGGCACGGTTGTTGCCATGGTGACTGTGTTGCAAACTGCAGATGCCGACTTACTTTTAGCAATCTTTCTCTTTTTTTCATGATATGTGGGCGAACAAAACAATGTCATTATTGGACAAAAGGTTAGTCATTAAGCTGTGTGTGCGTGTCTGCAGAGCGAGCTATTACAGGAAGGGGGGGCGCGCCATGCTGCCTGTGAAGTGGATGCCACCGGAGGCCTTCATGGAGGGGATCTTCACATCTAAAACAGACACGTGGTGAGAATCCCCACTCAACAGGCCGCGGTCACGAGCACGCCAACCCTCACTGTGGTTTCCAGAACTTACTCCCCCCTTCCTCTGTCCTCCAACCCTTGATCCAAATGAGGTTTTCCTCGTCTAGTCTCCATTCTCATCCTCACAGCTTTTCACTTCATGGCCTGGTTGTCCTTATGTCCCCCTCCCCCCCTCTATGGTCCCCTCCCTGTGACTAATGTGTCCTCCCTCCGTCACCTGCAGGTCGTTTGGCGTTCTGCTGTGGGAGATCTTCTCGTTGGGCTACATGCCGTATCCAAGTCGCAGTAACCAGGAAGTGTTGGAGTTCGTAACCAACGGTGGAAGAATGGACCCGCCAAAGAACTGCCCCGGGCCGGTGTGAGTGCAGCTATGCAAACGCACGCCAAATGCATTCCCACGCTGCGCGCGACCACCAACCCGATCTCACGGGGTCTAATTTAAGCTCCTCCGTCGCAGGGGAATGAGGCTCAGCTGCATGCGACACATACGCAGTTTGTGAATCTTTGAAAACAGAGACTCTGTCCGTGCGCAGCGAGGAGCGGACGTTGGGGGAAACACTGATTAGCAAGTCTCTGATGATTCGCTGATATCAGAACATAAAGGAAATGTTATGGCTTTGGACGTGCAAACCACATTAACAGTTTTCTTTCATGCCAGCCTCCCAACTTGGAAGAAGTTGTGGGAGGCTGACAGGGAGCTTAGAAAACATTTCCATGAAATGCTGTATTTCTCTCACTGCCTCGACTGCCAACTCTATTATAAAACGTACACGGGCAGACAGACAAGCGCATTTCCACACCTGTTGGCCACGGCTTTGCAGCTTACTTCTTCTGTGCATTTCTCACCCAACAGAAATATGCATGGCCCTGAGGTTCAGTCTAAAGGCTGGCGCATGCTTCTGCGTCTGCGTCGTTGCGTCAACGCACTCGTTTCAATTCATGGTTCTGCGTGTGTTGCAGAGCAAAGCCAGAACAACAGGCGGAGTGACGTGTTTTTGTTGAAGACGGCCTAGAGAGTCACGTCTATTTATTAATCATAGACCCTACTGCCCCGTGCATCGCCACTGCTGCTTTTTATCGCGGACACATTTGTCTCCACAACTTTTTGCGGCGATCTCCCTCCATTAATTGTCTTCACTAGACTGTTGTCCATCACCCATTTAACACAACCACTCAAACTGGCGGGAGCCAATTATTCCAGATAACTTAAATCTGGCATTCATTCAAATCAGCAGGGGCATGTGGGGGGGGGGGCTGCTTAGCCGCTGTTTTCTGGGGCTGTAAAAAATGATTTCAGCTTGTGCTCGTCTCCAGGTACCGTATAATGACTCAGAGTTGGCAGCATCAGCCTGAAGACAGGCCCAACTTCTCAACCATCCTGGAGAGAATCGACTACTGCTTACAGGTAACTGAACGGAGGATTCTGCTGCAGCTCATATATGAACTAGGACCCAGATTTCAAGCGCATGCAATGTGAAAAATGACCCTTTAAAATTGCGGATTTGATACTGATGAACACTGAAAAATACAACTCTTATTATGTTATTGCAACCCCATCAGGACCCTGATGTGGTGACTATGCCCCTGCCTGAAGAGTATGGACCCATCCCCGAAGAGGAGGAGCGAGTACCCATGCGGCCTGAAGACTCCTCAGAACCGACCGTGCAGCTGAATGCCCAGTTCTGTAATGGATGTTCCCCGCCGCCCCATCCTATCTACTTGATGACAGCAGCAAGAGATGGGGAGCACACGGTGAACAGCACAGCATCCGAGCAAAGAACAGACGTCTGCACAGTCCCAGCCGTACCTCCACCAGAACCAGCAGCCCACACGCAGACCTCCGTCACTATGACAACCACCAACGCGGTCAACCTCGATGGCCAACTCCACACTCAATTCCAAGGGGTCACACGTCGCCGCTCAGCCCCGGCCCTGAGGGGGGCCACATCACCCTGGCGTTCACCCAGGGCCACGTGCCAGAGAGAGACGCCCACAACCGGGAAAAACACCAGCCTCTGGAACCCAACGTACGGCTCGTGGTTCCTGCAGCAGAGGAAGCAGCAGCAGAGGCAGGGAGGGGTGGGGGGAGTGTGCAGGAGCGGAGGCAGGGTGCCTGGCGAGGGGCAGGAGCATGTGGGCCGGACTGTGGCCGAGGTGGCGGGGGCGCTTGGGCTCCAGCACCAGCACAAGCAGTTCCAGCAGCAGCAGCATCAACTCCAGCAGCAGCACCAACTCCAGATGCTGCACCAGCAGCAGCAGCAGCAGCAGCAGGGGTTTTGCAGACCTCTGTTACCTCCGCCCCCACCTCCCGCTGCCCAGTCGCCCTTGCTTTTGGATTCCGCCACCCTGCCCCCGGTTCCCCTCTACAGACTGAGACGGTTCCCCTGTGGGAACATCGGCTACGGCTACCAAGAGCAGGGCCTGCAACTGGAGGCCACTCACGGTAACCCCAACCGCCCTCCTGCACCGCCCCAGCAGGGCATCGCCATGCCCTCCTCAGCAGCCCATCAGAGGGGGGTCTCCATTCCCGCCTCGGTGTCCCTGGGTCGGTCGGGTCTGTCCGAGGACAGCCGTCCACTGCTGGTCACCATGGGGACCGTACAGGACCCCAGGCTGCCCAGGATGGAGGGCCACAACGCCACTGTGCTTTAGCCCCGTGCCTGCGCCGCTGCTCTTGGTTTATACAGACCCCGTCTTTGGCGTCTTTGGGACACACGAGAGGACACACCGCGTCAGGACTGAGGCGGTTTTACAGCACTCCTTCCGTCCAGCCATTTTAGTTTCTTCCTCCATTTCTCACGAAAAAAAGCTGAACGAGTCCATGAGAAACCTGGAGGTGAGTTAACAATCCCCGAAGGATGCTGAAGCACATCGGAACAAAAAAAAGAAAAGACTTCTGACGGGTAAAGGCTGGTTCAAAAAATGTATTTTTTCAATGCTGGAAGGATCACATGAGTGAGACAATCTGATGGAGAGTTGAAGGCACAGACGAGGACATTCAGCGTGTGTCCCAGTGAGCGGAGGATCCTTGTTTGACTTCAGTAGGACTGCAGCTACTGAGGGTCTGATGTGTGAGCGTCACACTGCAGCGTGCTGAAGAACTCGTATCACACGGATTTTACACTGGATTGCCAGAGACATTTATACAAAAAAAATGTTTGTTGATGTTTGCTTGCCTGCTTGTTTATTTATTATTTGGAAGTGGCTCTATGAATTATTCATGAAGATGCTTCTTCAAATCAAATACATTTTACATCAACGGCTTTTTGTTTTCTTTGAGAAGAATCAATTTATCTTGGTAATAAGGAAGAAGAGATTGAATAAACTCCTCCCAAATACTCAACCTTAAATAACCTGATGGTTTACACACAACAGGGAGCAGGAAATGATCTGTGTTTTTTAAGGTGAACATGTTCTAGTTATAACGCAAACCAAATTAGCCTGCCATGAAGATGTTGCCGCTGTTTCCATTGAATTCACTGCTCTGCAGACCTTTTGTTCACAGCTCCATTCTGTTGAAAGAATGCTTTGTACAGTGAAGTTGAGCCATTTCTTATAGCTTCAATAACCTTTCATCAATTTCTTTGTTCAAAAAAATAAAACCTCTCTTTTCTTTTTGTCAGGATATAGAAACACGGTGGATATTGCTGAATAAATCCTAACCTTCAAATGCCTCTCAAAGCACTCTACATGCCAACAGTTGCATATTTTATCTTTTCTATTATAGGACTGTTGTGGAATACAGATGAGACTTTGTTAAAGGTTTGACTGCAAACTGCTTTTTACTCCACGTGGGAATGAAACCCTCTGAGCGCGCGCGCACACACACACACACACACACACACGATACCACTGCTTTTTTCCAGGTTTAGGGGCAGTTTGTGAACAGGAAAGCAGCGTGAGTCGGCGCTGTTGACATTTAGGTTGTATGATAACGTGTCAGGTTTTTTTTAATGCTTTTGCTTGACTGTATTTGGCAATCCTGTTAGTGTTTCTGGTGTAAAGTGACTACAAGCCGCCGTGACCCATTAAGACAAACGCATTCCTGTGGGCCAGGAGAGTCAAACACTGGCAAAATTAAAAAAGTATTTTGCTTGTTCAACGTTCACTCATTCTGTGTCCAGCTCCCGTTCATCTACATTGTTTGATGTGAAAAGCCAACCTGTACATGTTGTAATTATAAAGTATTGTACTATGGCTCTGGTAAAAGCTGTAAATTGCCCTTCAGAAGACATTCGCCAAAATTAATAAATTACTATATAATAGCCGCTTTGCATTTGTCTGTCTACTTTGGGAACGGGGCCAAGTTAATTAGATTAATCGAAGTAGGACGTTGTAATTGGGAGATCTACCTTTTAAAAAACGCTCATCAAACACACAAACCGCGGGTCGTCTAATACTACATCCCTTAACTGCACACGTTAGGCCCGTTCATCTTAATATTGTGTATAATAGCTCAGCGATATCGCAGATGAAATCTGTGCTTTAAAACTTATCGGCAGCACCAACCATTGTCGACCCAAAGAAGAATCCCAATATAAACCTAGCGGCTCGTTTCAGTGCGTCTAAGCTCAACAGACAAACACTTAAGTCTTCTCAAATTGCTTCATTCACACTTGTTCTAGATTGTATTATTTGGCAAAATAAAAGTTTTACAAATGAGAACTTGTGAATCTTCCTGATTGTATCTTTAATATTTAGAGCTGCAGCCCTTTTCTTCCGGTGCCCTGGTGTTACAGTGGTGATTTGGACTGTCTTCTCTCAGCATGACAGTCTTCCTTTAACTGCCAGAGTCTCATGAAATGGTTTTTGAGACCATTATGTAATAAAACTCCACTGTGCTGCAACGTCGATTTGATTAAAGCTTTTGTTTTTCCTTTTAATAGCATGTTTTACCACCCTTGACAGAAAAAAGGTAAATAGCAATTTGTAATAGAACAACCATCCAAATGAAAGCCGACGGACAGAACAAACAAGAGAAAATGTATAAATGACCTACAGTAATCGATCCAAACGCAGCGGCTCAGTGAGACGTTCACGAGAGAGAAAGGAGACCGTGGCAGCTGGCCAATAGAGGGGCGTGGCCACAAAGAAAATGAAAAAAACATAAATAACTTGTTGAGATATGGAATGATGATTGAAGGTTATTTCTGTGCAAAATACATGCTTTTCCCATCCACCTGTTTGCATGTGTTAGCAGCTGTGGGGCCACGGACATTTGGCCCTCAGGAGGCGGGTCTATGAAGCAGTTTGGCCAATTGCTGATTAAAGGCGTTTACATTTATCATTCAGATGTGTAAAATACAATTTTTCCAAACAGCGGTTATAGGCGTCATTTTAACGCCGTGAAAAAGGCGAGTGCGAGCTCTGAATCTGTCCTCCAAGAGACGTTTGAGAGGAGAACGTTGGAGAAACTTCAGGTGGAGGAGCTGTAGATCGACCTCCCTAAGTAGAGGAGGCATCAGGTGTGGTGGGAGTCCCACCTGGAGCTGATCTCGGCCTCACACTTCACTACTGCGAGGAGTCGTGTTTCAGAGCTGAGAAGCCACGGCCGTGTTCCAGATCGCACATCGTCAGATGATTCACGCGCAGCCTAAACCTTTCGTATTTGGTGCGGTCCGATTGTGCCGGATGTTGCTTTTGGGAGCAGGAGAAATGCCACGATGCATAGCAAACTAGCAGGGATTTCTGAATATGCACCCAAGATGCATAGAGTCTGGCTGTCAATCAGTTGAGCCGGGCTTAGAGCTTATAATTGGTCATGTCTCTTATGTCTTCAGTGAAGAGAGTATCCATTTAGATCTTGAATACGTCCAACGCCTGTTTGGAAGTGTGCTCCTGTTGTTTTAGCATACTTACACATCTTGTAATGATCGCAAGGAGGGGCACTATTATAACTCTGCACTGGCCGTCCTTTAAGAGAACTGATAGAAGCTCTCGACCGTTGACAAACATGGGGGGAAACCAAGGGGACAAGTCAACAGTGTTTGGTCGTAGTTCCGTTTTCCTAAATCTCTCAACCGTCCATGAACAAGGGTCACGTGAAGTCTGCTCTTTAATAAAAGGGGAAAATGCATTTAGTTTTGTGCACTTGAATGCATCTGCTTCCAAACTACTGCTCTCCAGCAACACAGTGTCAAGCTGAACTAAACACAAAGAGTAAATATGCTTTGACGGGAAGAAAACATTTTAGGATCCGGCCAGACGCTCCGATTATAGGCTGCGAGCATCTTAACATCAAGTGTTTGTTAGCTGTTACAGCACATTCATGTCTGGGTTCCCGCTGCTTAGTGAGAAGCTTTGAACTGTGCTCCACTAATAAAATCACTTTCAATCAATATTTGGTGTCAAACCATTACAGCTCACTTAAAGTTGTTGTGTAATAAAGGGGATTATGCACAGTGAGCTGGTCATTATTGCACATAAGCCTGACAGGGTGAAAGGAGACCCAGCAGGATTATCCCTGTATTGTAAACATGTCTACGTGCAGAGGCTCGTGCCGGTATGGATTTGCTAGCGATAGCAAAGCGTATTCCTTGCTCTCCATGCTGTTAAGGAGCAGACTGGAGCCTTTCTACACGGTCTCGCTAAGATCATTTGCCTCCCATCAGGCATCGGCAGCACACAGTGCTGATGCTGCAGCTAAGCACTTACCACGCCGGGACGCGGAATGGGCCTCAGCTTTTGCCATCAGCTCATATGATTCTAACGATAACGAAGCGTCTCAATAAAAAGAAGTCGGAGTCTGGGCATCAAACAGCAAGATGTCACATGGAAGCCTATCAGTTATTTACTAAAGCATCCCATTCGTCCTGGAAAAAAGGACATCTCCACGCAGAGGCGGAATTCAGAAGCCGTTTGCTCATCCACTGGAGCTTCACTTTCACATTAGCATACACAAGTCGTTTAGAAACGCACTCACACTATTTGCAAAAACAATTCAACAGCACTGCGCCTGAGAATTGAATCTCCCTAATAACTTGAAAATGAGCTCAAGCGATTGCAGATTTATTCTCTATCGGCAGCATGCGGCATCACCTCCGCCGGCTTCGAGGCGCTCACCCTCTGTACCAAGCACGAGGTTATCGAGGTCAGACAACACAACTCGCCTCATTGGTCGGACTTCAAAGAACAGTTTAGGATAGAAACAGGAACCGGTCCAAGAACACAGCTAGAAACCGTCTTGTGATGGGATCTCACCAGGTCCGGCCACTTCCTGTCCTCCTTCTGGTACCTGCACCATCGTGATGCAATGCTGTGACCCACCCGTACACGTGCACACGGCCCCCCGGCATGGTACTGCTCTGTGGCCATCCCTGCCTTCTAATCAACGGCGTGGCACTCCGTACCTCCATGGAGGTGATAGCCGCTGGTTACTCACGTAGAGGTCTGACAAAGCACTGTAGGAGTGCGAGTTGATCACAGGCACAAAGCAATCAGCACTGCCCCCCCCCATAATCTTTATATGCCTCTGGGCATATGAGGGTTAGGATATTACACTATGTGCAGTACATGAGGTCCTAATTTGAAAAACAAAGCTGGCTATAGGACTGAATCAATATTTGGATGCTTCTTCAGATTTCTTCTAGTTTTGAGATAAAACACTACTTGGACGTATGACAACATTAACTTCTTCAAATCACCCTCAAGGTGGACAATAAGTAGAAAAATAAAAATGCTTGTGCATTACGAGCAATCATTTCCTAAAGGAAGGTGATCAGTCTGTTTCCTTTGGTCCTCCTCCCAAGTTTGTTGCGTTTGTATGCCCAATATCACTGCAAGATTGGTATCTTTCTTTTCTGGGGGTTTCTTTGATGCTTTGTGTTCCATTTAGTTCTCACCTCTGAATCAATCTCGGATTTAGGCAAACGCTGCATCCCTGGATGCTTTCCCTCCGTTTGGGCTAAAAGAGACACACAATAAGCATAGAAAAATATTGAAAGGCAACCTCTCAACCATTTATTCCACAATCCCGGCATACTAGAGTACGTCACCCACACTCGACCCTGAATGCGTGTGCCCAGGCCGGCGTTAAGCAGACAAAGCCCCTCCAGCAGCTGGACCTTCTTCGGCTTTGGCTGATATGAGGCCCAGAGGAATCCGAGGGTACGCGAACAGACGTGTAACCATTTCAAAGTGCTCGTGCCGTTTCATTGTTATTCCCTGAAGGCAGCGCTACGCTGCACTTTATGAACAGTCCGAGTCGAGCGCACCACTTTTTCATTAGTGCAACCAGGCCATCGAGGCACGGCGGCACAGAAGAGTCATGGAGAGAACATCAAATCAGAATACAAGCTTTTATTTGCATTTTTTTTTTTAAACAAATGTATTACAGAGCACGTAAATGCATCAGACTTTCACCCACTCACACTGCAGATATACAGTTCAGGGATTATATGAAGAAAAAAAAAAATCTATTACCCACAAGAACACCCCCACTAAAGAATTTCATACGCCTCAGCGGGATCAGAAATCAGCCATCCTGTACTAGTTGGGATTGCAGAGACACCAGAAGAAGTTTATTCTGAGATGAACGGCAAAAACCGCCGCAGTAATGTTCACAAAGGACTGAAGGAAGTGTTTAAAATGTTTTCTGATGGGATTCAGAAAGACTGCAGTCATTTCCTCTATTAGACGTGCGGCTGCTATTCCAGACAACCTTGGGCTCTGACCACCGCCGCCTTTTAATCACAGCGGGGCCCGAGCGGACGGATCAATGAGGAGGCCATTGGAGATTCCAGACCTCTTGTTGTGGCCGACACGCCTTAATTGGTTGCTACATGAGTGTTTTGCTGAACAGCGCGTTGGTTTTTCCACATGCAAGATCGATGGCCGACTCCCTGCAGTGCCCGGATGGATTTAATCACATCGCAAACTAGACCCTTGAAACTCCTGGATGACGGCATATTTCCTCTGTCAAGCTACCTCAACTACAATCACCAGTGCTGTGAACTGTGGTCAACTAACGGAGCGGTGCCATCCTGTGATGATCAGCTCTGCCGGGTCTGACGCGGTCAGAAACAAGTCAGGTTCACAATTGGGTAGCGCCAATGTGAGCTCTGAGACGCCGTATCTAACAAACGCTACTGTAAGGGGGGCGGATAGGATTCTTTAAAGCGGTGCCGTTTGTTTTGGGTGGCGCTCAGCCCGGGATGCAGCAGACGGTATGACTGGACTGTTTGCGGTGAGTCAATGGGCTCCGATGTACGTAGAAATAGTACTTCCCTCGACACACACATCTTGATTTGATTTTCACTTAATTAAATCGTGTTGACTTCACGCTCATTCATAAAAGTGAAAGCACAGTTTCGCTCGTCTCCAATTATCTGAGAGCCGAACGCCGACCCTGGAAGAATTGGTCCATTTATCTTGTTTCAAAGTGCTCTTAATTAATACACACAAGCACACAATCCCATGCACACGTTTGGTTAGAGGGTGGGCTACATTACCACCTAAATTATCTGATAGAAATCTAATGGATGTGATCAAAATTAGCTTTGGGTATCAGAAAGTTCATGTGCGTACATCCAGTTCCATCAAATTAATTGATATGTTTAGTGCAATCACATTTAAACTAGTGCAGCGTCATCCAGCGTAAGACTTTGTCCCACCTTTATGCCGCCAAGACAAGTTTTAGTAGGAATTTTGAGTTTAATCAGTAAAGTGCTTTCATGGCCTCGGACATAATAAAGAAACCAACATTAATAGATGTAAATATTACGGTAACTCACAACAACTTTAGGAATGAGCAGTAATAGTAAATGCATAGAAGAATGAGAAGCTTAAACCTAAAACAATAGAACACAAAGAGGAAGTCAAAACATCTCAAATGTCCCTCTGAGCCCCGCCCACCCGCGTTCCTGCAGCCCTCAGCTGCCTTCATTCACCAAGCGAGCGCCGTTGATGCCGCGGTAGGTGACGCGGCTCGGGCGTACCAGCACGCCGTGGCCCGGTTGGCAGGTGAAGTAACGGCGGGCGCCCACCGAGCCGTCGTTCTTGCCCTTGGGGCTTCGGAGCTCCAGGCCCAGCCAGACGCCCGGGGCGAAGTCCGCCGCGCCCAGGTAGCGGATGACGGCCATGTCGTTCGCGCTGCTGAGCAGGACGTGCATGCCCACGTGCAGACGCACCTGTCCGTCAGAGGGCCCGCAGCCCGCTGCGCTCCTGGGAACGCCGCCCACTCCGCCGCTGAGCGTGCTCCACCGCCGACGGGGAGGATTGGAGCGACTTCTTTCATTTGTTTCCGGATATTTGGGGTAAGATGCGGCGGCACAAGGAGAGAAAAGGGTTTGCCGTGTGAGGACATCTCAGACGTAAGAGGGAGATTGTTGCATGCTTGAGTTTGAGATTCAAACCCCTCTTTCAGTCACATTGGGCATTGAAAAAAGGAAACGTTGCTGACTAACACCACTGCTTCTTATCGGTATTGATTGAGCCACAGCTTACAGGGAGCTGAAGAGGATGGATAGAAATGTGAGGGCTGTGTTGAAGAGAGAAAGAGCCACACCTGGTACCAGGACGTCTGCTCGTCTCCTTCGGGGCGGCGATAGCCGACGATGTGCTTGAACTGCGGCGGATTGTCTCTGCACAGCCATCACAAAAAAAGGTCAAGTACTCCTGCACTGATTCTTGATAAGAATTCACCAGCACTCACAGCAGAAAGAAATGCTATTCTTTCTAAAATAAATCTTAGTGAACGCTCGCGACGAATGTGAAACTCACCGCTGAAAGGCTGACTGAGGCGGGAGGAGGAGAGCTCTGAAAGGCAGTCCACTGATCCGTGGATCCTGTGGAGGGGAAGGAATAAACAAACATGAGCGGGACGTGGGGGGACGTGTGTCTGCCAGTGTAAACCGGTATCCGGCAATACGGAAACCCCTCGTCAAGGTGGACCGGGCCATTTGGGAACACGAGTGTTTGAGGGTCAGCGTCCCAACAAGGACATAAGGAAAACATGTCGTAGCTCTGCGGTTGTTCCAGCAGGTTCTCTAATCCAGTGAGCTGGCTTTGTTCACAACGGCAGAACATTCAAAGCCCAAAGACACGGAGGTGCAGACCCGGTTAGTAGTTCCCTCATTTAAACTTTTTTTTAATTTCATGTAGACGAGACACGGAAAGCGTTTGCATCCCCTCCGGTAAAAGCAGAGGTCTGGTCTTTGTAAGTAAAGATGATGTTGCCTGCGTGTTAGTTTGCATGGAGAGCTGGCAGCCGGCCTCCTGGTGCCCCGGTGGGCGGCTCCCCTCAGCTCTGCATAGTGATTCCTAAAAAAGCATAAAATATGTTGGAATGTCCCCTCACAAATAATCTTTGGACCACCAAATAAGTGATTTGGGCCCGCATCTGAAGATGCCCCCCTCTCAAAGTAAAAATAGGGGGGAGACAGCCTGTTTGCGCAAAAGAGGCAAAACAATATTTTTTTCTCACCTTCTTGTGTAAGAAAAGCCGTTTGTTCCCTAATGGGTTGCGAAGAAGAGAAAGAGAAACACGTTGCTAGATGGAGAAAATGTGCGATTCTCCATCAGAAGTTCCCAGGGTTAATTAGGAAAGACACAGTGGGTTAAAGAAAACATGGAAAGCAATGAAGACCAGTGAAATCTGCCCCCGACTGGTGTGTCTGCATCGAGACACAAACAGCAAAAGAAGGCAAAGAGTAATGATGCTAAATGGTGAATCTGTCCATTTAACCAGCAATTCCTTAAATGGGAACAACCAAGGTCTTTCACTTTAAAAGGAACACAATCGGGATTGTAGATTGTCTGACGTAAGTTAGATCAGAAAACAATTTGTTGCAGTTTGTCGACCCGCTGGTATTGCTTCTGGTGGCAACACTAGCAGGCACAACAGCTAACAAGCTAACACGCTAACGAGCTAACTCGGTGGCCAGAGTTGGGCAGCGAGCGGTCCACATCTGCTCAGGCAGATGAAATCGTTTATTTGAATAAATACTGTGATATACCATGAATTTTTGGCCGTACCACCCGACCCATCAAGCTTGTCCCACAGCGAGAGCACTATGATCGCTTTGGTTCAGGAACGTTGTCCCAACGCGGCCTCTTCACGGCGATCTCCACCAGCAAAACTAAATTAAAATAAAATAAAAAACCAAATATGGAAAGAGCTTTTTCCAGTGCTGCGGACCTCTACTGGAGCAATGAGCAAACGGTGCAGTCGTCGGGACAGTTTGTGTTGGCTTTTCCTTCAATGTGACACCCACGTGCATGTTGGACACAGCCTGTCAGATAACAGAGGCCCAAAGCGCTTCACGGGTGAGATTAATGAGAAGAGAAAGGAGGTAATGTGCCAAATGCAGATGCTCAGCTGCTCAACATCTCTGTAGCAGGGCTCAAATAGCGGCCATTGCAGCATTATTGGATTTCTTTTAAAGAACTGAGTGTACAATATGCACACTAAGGCAGTAATACGGAAAAATCCACTTTTAACACGTTATTAAGTCCAACTAATCCCTTCCAATTATTTTTACATTTTGGGGGGATATACCAGCAAAATGGCAATATCAAGCAAACATCTGCTTGGATCAAGAAATTATAAAACTATTTGATTATTTTTCCATCAGTGTGCACCTATTCATCCTTTTCTAAAACTCCAAGGTCACGGCTGTGACAGATTGTTACGAATTAACATGCACAATTAGAGACAATAATTCAAAAAGACATCTAAGGGACAGCGAGGCAATACTAGCTTGGATGCATGACCAGAGCAGATTGGGCCCATCAGGGAGCCTTTCAAGAGGCTGATTAGACTCCTCATGAGACGAGTGTACTTGGGTTGAGAGGGTCTGTTCAACAGAGCTCCCATCAGTCCAAGAGCGGCTGCCCTTTATCTGAAGTCTCCCAACAGATGTTGCAAACACAAAACCCGGCTTCAGTATCACTTTCTCACAGAGAAGGTCGTTAATCAAAGTTTCAGGGGATGGAGCTCAAGTTGCACAAATATCCAGTGACGCCAGTAAGAAGCTATGCACAGTTACAAAAGCCAGATGGCCTCATTTGTTGTTAGGCGAACACGTCAAAAGAGTAAACCTGAGCGAGTTCCTATCAGGATGATCTCTTTAATTGTTTGATACGTAACGTAGATGACTACTGGCATAACATATTTACGTCCTCCGGTACAGCAAAGCTGTGCTTTTTGGGGTTAGGGTTAGGGCAATAACTATAACGCCAAAACTCTCAAAATACAAAATGTGAAATTAAAAAAAACTAAATTGAGGACGCACAGAGGAGGGATTGAGAACCACGGCACACAGCCCAATGTACTTGACAGTACTTGAACAGTGTTGCTAACTTTAGACGAGCACCGACAGGAGCTGCCGGGGAAACGTAATGAGAAATCACTTCGATCTTTTCTGCTCTGTGCGGGTTTTAAAGCAGCAAAAACGTTTTCATCTTCTCTGGGATCGTTAGAAAGGTTTATGGCACATGAGCCGCCCCGATGGGCCGTGTTTGATGGTGGGACTTTGGCACCTGTTCAGATTTTAAAGCCATTCTTATTTAAATTCTTTACCAATGTGTCCGACATAATGTTTGCATATGACATCTTCGTGAAGCAGCACAAGCGGATAAACCAGAGTTCATTGCTTTTAATCTCATCTTAAAGAATTAAACCTCATTAGTATTGACAGCCAAGATATTTTACAAGACAAGCACTTCAGATCATTTCTTGTTGGCAGTAAACGGAAGACAAGAAACTACCGCTACGCTGCCTCAGTCTGATGTTCTTGTAAACATAACTTGATCTGTGCCTTATGACCTGGTACATTCAATTTATATGAAAAATAAAAACATTGCATGTATTAAAAAGGCAAATGCATGGAAATGTATTCTTACATATTCCATAGCAGTTATATGACCTCTTTACATGTCCACACTAAAATGATATTCACACCTTAATGGTCCTCGATGCATATTTAAAGGAGGGAGGGAACCACGGCGTCCAGCTCATAGCGAGGCGCCACATTAAAAGTGATGCGTGATGCATTGCAAAACGCCCCAGGCTTCAAGTTTGACCCTTCAGACGCCACTTCATCCCAAGTAGAGAAGAGGACTGAGGGCCAAATCAAAGACATGTCAACTGGAGCACAAATGATAGTCAACGCAGCTCGTTAGTGTCACGTGTGTATTAATGAGGGCAATCAAACAATGATGTCACATTCTTTAAAAGTCTGCTTAGTGCTGAAACATCTGTTTCTGCCAGTGTGGGTGACCACTGGCAAAAACCAAGAAGGAACCATCAGTCACGAGGGGTGTTTAAGCTTAACTCAAAAAGTGGATGCACTCACCTCTGAACACGAGACGGAGGAGCAAAGACGCCGTGTTTAGGCGGGCAACTGAAATACGTCACTCCTCCCACTGAGCCGTCATTCTTGCCGCTGGGCTTGTCCAGTTCGATCCCTAACCAGAGTCCTGCAGCGACAAGGAGAGAGGGACCAGGAATCAAACACACTGCCAAAGGCACAAGTGAGGTTACGTAGTGCACTAGAACATAGAGGAGAGACCCACTCGAAAGAGAACTACAAAGCTCTTGTCTTGTGGTGCTCCAAGTGCCAAAAAATGACCCGATACAAATCTACAGACCTTCATGTGAGCTTTTCCTTTTTTACATTCTACACCCTCCAGCTGTATCACCACGAGGAAGAAGCGGGCATCCATTACTGGACGAGAGGCTCTGTGACGGCGCCGGGAACGCGAGGAACATTAATGGCGTCACACTAAAACCATCTATTTTTATAAATGGCTCTGAAATGAGACATGTCGCTTGACAGCTGGTGACTAAAAACATAGCATGCACGTTTAATCTTTGCTACACTAGGATAGGACAAGATGTGAAGAAAAACAAACAAACGTGCATATAGATTTCCATGTGAAGCATCAAGCAGTTAAGAGATGTTTTTACATAATAACGCAGAGGCGAGATAACAAGGACTAGCTGGATTTATGAGCTTCAAAGAAAACCCTGAAATTCCCTCAAACACCCTCAGTGGTGTGAGATGCCGCACTTCTTATTCGTTAATGAATGAAGCGGAGAAGAATAGGAATAATGAGTTCTGTAGGCTTTTTAATGGCTTTTGCTCGGCAGCAGCTTTCGGAAGCATCCAAGTACGTTCTGTCAAACTCCAGGTTTTCCACAGCGATGCCGTCTGGATGAGTTTAATGTCGGATTCTGAAAACCCAGCCATCAGGTATACATCTGTTTATCCTGTTGCACAAGTTCCACAACAATGACAATAACATAACCTATAATAACGATGCAAACTACTTTGCCTTTATTGTTACAAAAGGATTCAGTGTTTCACAACTTCGGGGGGGCAATAAAGTTCTAAATCCAGAGACAAAATCTCACCTTCGATCACGATCATTCCTTCATTTGTGTCGATTGTGGACAGATCTCACTTATTCTAAACCACATATAAAATAACAGTTTCTTTGTGTTTAACAATACAAGGGTGAAACCATAACATTAATATCCATTTATTGTGCACTAACATCAGAGAGCCTTCCAATCCAATTAAGAAAATGTCAAACTGCATGACCGCTGGTCTATCACAAATTGTAAACACGTTTGCCAAGATGTAAATTTAGGCTCCCTTTAAGTGAAACAATTGGTGGTGGTCGGTGTGGGCGTAAGCGCTCTGTGCACTGGCACAATAGCCAGTCCTCACTTAGACCCAGACAGTGGATCACACAGCTCCAGGTCTTTACACAGGCTTCCGGTCCAAAAAAGAATTGACTCAAATCCTGCTGTTATAAAGCCCTGAATGGTTTGGCACCCAAATACATGTCTGACCGGATTTGTATTGCAGTTAATGTATTTGCACAAGTGTTTTTATTTCATTGTATTTACATTTTTCTTTTCTTCTGCCTGTCTTAATGGTTTTAAGTAAAGCACTTTGAATTGCCTTGTTGCAGTGTGCTATACATGCAACATGCTTAACAACACAGGTACAAAGGAAGATAGATGTGGGTGCTGGAGTAAGCCAGGTGCTCGCCAGAAACAAAAGTACAAAACAGAGCATTATACTATGTCCATGTTTGGAGAGAGAAAGTGGGAAAGAAAACAACACTTCAAACTGACCTGGAGCAAAGCTGGTCTTTCCACAGAACTTGATTACGCCCATTCGCTGGCCCACCACCAGCACCCTCTCCCCCAGGCGCACCACGGGGCCCCCGCACACAGAGCTACGAGCCGCCGGGGCGCGGCTTTCAATACCTGGGAGAAGCAAAAGAAACAAAGTCACATCATTTGATAGTTTACAGCCACCCATTTTGATTCCATAAGATCTGTATAATCGCACAACAGGGCAAGCGCACAGACCTGCGGCGGCATCGGGGGGGAGGCGAAGGCCCGGCGACAGCGCAGACCTGTGACTGAGAGGAGCGCGCTCTCTTCGCTGCCTGGCGGGAAGCCGTTGCCCTGGCAGCGGCCGCGGTCGGGCGCCCGGCGCGTGGCGAGAGTCCAGGGAAGAGGACGAAGAGGAGAGCGAGCGGGTGAGGACGCCTGTGGAGGGAAAGGACCCAGAGGAGGGAGTGAAGAGAAGCACTCGGAGGGGGGATTCAGAAGGAAGGAGCATCAGGGTCGTCTGTTAATGCTTGCGAGCCTCGCCTCTCAACGCTGAGCCCTTCATCCACCCATCGAGGCCTCCGTCAGAGATCACAATGAATCTCAGCCCATTATTCATGTCACCATATCATTCTTCTGGAGATCACAGTGCTTGCAGCAAACAAATCCAGACAATTACTGCCGCGCTTCTTTTTTTCCTTTATTTCATCCAAGCAAGCTGCGTCACATGCTTCTATGGCCCCGCTCATTCGACTGAGCTAAAGCTCTACCTCGTCCTGTTCTCGAGGTCCAATTAAGGGCCGACATGCTAATCCGGCTTCTAGCTTGAGGGAAGGAGCTGGAGAAGGTGACTCTGAAGAAGCCCTTCGGACGCAGGACCTCATTAAGCTTTTAACTTTCGCAGACCGTCACGGGCCATGAGTTCACTAAGTGCCCAACTCTTGGAGGCCCACCGATTAAATCTGTGCCAAAGTGCTTTAAGACAAAAGGGAAGATCCAGCTACAAACAAATCGGAACCCAGGCGATAATTGGCTAAGAAACAAAAAATGTTTTCAATGGAAAGCCTTCGTTAATGGGTCCCTGAGTGTGGACAACATTACACATTACAATGAGAACTACGGATTCTGCTATTTCCCTCCTTCCTTTAAATGATCCCTGCATCAAAAAAAAATACCAGCATTTCATATTTTAGGGTTGAGAAGATATATATATATATATATATATATATATAAAATTTTATTTGGAAGAGGCATGCATGTTCCTCCAGAGCAACACACATGGAACATGTTTTATTACTGCACTGGATATCAGTCAAGGGATGGTTGGGAGTCTGTGGAACAAACAATTGAACCAAACCAAAGAGATTCTATGAAATACGTCCCTGTTCTGATGAACACCGCCCGTTAAAGCACACACAGCTGGAGCTGTGGTACGCGCCTTTCTCCCCGAGGCGTCGCCCTCTGTGCCCTGATTGGAACCAGTCAGACTTTAATTACCAAGGTTGTTTTTATGACGGAGAGATAAACCCTGCCAGACAAACACAAACACAGACAGACAAAAGGAAACAGTGACGTGTCTGCAACACACAGAGCAGTGCTCACCTTAGTAAGGGAAGAGCTCCGTTTGGAAGATGATGGCGTACATAATGTAAGATCAGTAGTGAAAAGCACTATGCATCCCTTTGACGTGCTTTAGTTTGACGTTGGACATTTATAAAACTCACTATGATTTCTGTAGTATTAAATATCATCAACATAGATGGAGGGTTTGCATGTAAATACATTATGTAGAGAAGAAGTTGATAGGGTTCCTAAAGTTGGGGGAAACAAAGGAGTTTACAAACAGACACAAACACAATGAGCGTTCTGTGAAAAGGAGATTTAAAAGATGGAAAAAAGCCTACAGTGGAGCAGGAGGGAAGAAATGCAACTAAAGGAGCACACGGCATCAAGTAACGACAAATGACTCAAAAGCAATTCTCTTTTACTCCAATGCACACGAAAAACACAAATATGCTGAGAGACACACACGCGCACACGCGCTCTGATGAGAGCGAATAGAAAAGAACAAAATAAAAAGGAACTTCAAAGGAATCTCAATACAGACTCAAATAGAATACATTGAGAATAACATTTCTTGCAGAAGTAAACATGATTATGTTCTTGACTGGTGTATAGCACAGATTCTTCAAAACTTTATACTTTTTATACTGCTAGTTGAATCTACCTTTAACCTGACAAAAGCCTTCTAGACTATATTCTTTAAAAGAAATAAAATCCACTAAACAGAATTAAGGATAAAAAAAAATTATCGGCTCTAATGACAATGACATTAGCACTTTACCCAAGTTTAAATTTTGTAATGCGCTTTTAAAAAGACCTCCAATCAACCTGGTCTTTATTGATTGCCATTTTGGCTCACATTTAGCGAGAGCTGCCAAGCGTCCCCCCTCAGAGGCAGAGCTTTGTCTTTCCTGTGAACTCCAGACTACACTTTGAGTCAGAATACTAAACACTTCTTGTCACTTGACCTTTAGCTCACAGGGACCTCCTGGCTCCATCCATCCCTTGCATACACTGACATTCCCTTCAAGCGACAGGACGCAGCACCTCTGGGGCCTTTATGACGAAGGCGCTGGTGCCTCCTGTGAGCCTCGTCTGTGCTCCTGTAGTTGACAGTCTCAAAGGGGCCGGCCCAGCACAACAACATAACAATGAGCCGTCCAATCCACAGATATGCGCGAGCTGTCTGCACCGGCTGAGCCAACAGGACGCTATAACAGGGGGGGGGTGGGAGTCGGGGGCTGCAGCTGCAATTGGCCAACAGAACCCCTAGAAAGTGTTTGGTGGTAAATGAGTCTTGTTCCTGGGTTGCTGGTGCTGACACTCACGCACACACGCACACACACACACGGGTTGCATGGCCACACACACACACACACACACACACAATCACAGCGGGTGATGAATGGCTGCCATGTTATTCAGCCCCTCTATGCCCAGGTTATTAAGCTCCTACTTAATTGGACTATCAATCACCGAATTCCATAGGCCACCCTCGTTGGGACGTGACCGGAATTGCACGCCGCAATTGGCATTCGAACCCTTTGAATATTACAGCATGACAATACACCTGCACACCCACGACAAGGTTTCTACAACGCTCTGAGGCGGCCCAACTATTACTGTGGGGGGGCGACACACAAGTCAGGATCCGGGGACATGGGCCTCCCAGGACTAAAGAAGCCAGGTCTCGTTAGCAGTCTAATTTATGCATTGTACCTTGGCAGTGGTTCAGAATCCAATTTTCACCTATTTAAGGAAGATTAATATGAGAGTCCAGACACCTCCTGCCATGCAGTGAGAGCAGCCGGTGTGTGACATGACAGAGGCTCATGGCCTCATCTGGACGCCGCGGAGACGTCGGTGCAGAGATTCTTTTTGGTACCCAGAATGACTCACGTAATGACAGACTAGTAACACAAAGACTAATTCTGTTTTCAATAGACTTCATATGGCACACCTTAACGAGAGACCGTTACAAAAAATAAAAAATGCATGTTTAAAATTCTGTTGCTTACCGAAGCACTTATAGGAATACACTGTTAGTATCACGCCTAAGAGATGAAAATGGAGTGTGTATATAACTGCTTGATTAGGAGAAAAAATAATACGAATGGCAGCGAAAAAAAACACATTTAGTTGAAGTGATCTCAGAGTGGAAAATACATTACTGAGGGGATTGAATAGCAATTTCAAGAGTCCCCTCAATTATTTCTCTGCATTGCTTTCAGGTGGGTTTGTCTCTACAAACTGGGATCCTGCATACTTCTTTTAAATCAGGTTCAGAATCACTCCCACGGTACAACTCTTGGTTTATTAAGGAATTAAGTCGTTTTCAGTGTTGTAGAGGATGACAATAACAGCGGGACAAGGACTGTTTCCCAACGTACGTAGGTGCTTTAAGCCCATGGGTTCATAGTATTGACTTTGAGTCAATATGATGAAGCCATTGATCAGACTAACATGGTTTCTGAGATGAAAGTTTCTATGTTTTTTTTTAATATATATGATATGTGCTTTCTAATAATGTTTCGACCGGTCTCCCCCAGTAAACTGCACATGACTGCAGGCTATCCGCTTCCACCGCCTTTGTGGTTTTTGATATGACTTAATTATTTGTACTAATTTCCCCAATTCACTCACCCTCACGTTGATGCATGTGGAGCGGCATTGAATTGAACACTTCCTCCGCTTGTGTGTGTGTATGTATCTGTATGTGTATCAATATATTGTTTGAATATATCGACTTGTGGGCCATTTGCAACAGACTCTTTACCTGTGTTTATCTTGGAGGTGACGCAGGACAAGTCGATGCGACGAGGGGGGCGTACCGGTGTCGAAGTCTTTCGAGTGCCGGTTTTAAGTCTTTCCAAAGGTTTGCTTATCTTAGACAGGGGAGCAAAGATTCCTGTGACCAAAAAAAAAGGAGTTATAAACGTATATAAATTACAAGATGTAGGATTAAAGATATACAGATAAGACAACAAATGGCAAGGGAGACGTTGCAAAAGCTTAGTTGAACACAATTAACCAAAAAAGGACAAAATCAATTTCCTGGGGTTGGAGAAGATGCCACTAAAAACCTGATTGTGCCAATTAATTCCTATGAAGTCAGGACTGGGGGAAGTAATTAGCTGAGTGGGTGAGTCAGAGGCAGGACCCACCATGTTTGAGTCGACAGGTGAAATACTGCACCCCCGCTACGGAGCCGTCGTTCTTTCCCTCCGGTTTGTCCAGCTCCACTCCGGCCCACAGGCCTCCGGAGAACTCCGTGCTGCCGCAGAAACGCAGGCTTCCAACCTGCGTGAAAACAAACACAACAGGCGGTTGAAACAAATAAGGAAAATGAAATGCCACAAAAGAGAGGGCCGGTCCACCGAGAACAACGCAAGAACACACCTTCGTGAGGTGCATTTCATCCAGGGTAGAACACCGCTCTCAAACCACGGGGCAAGAGCACACAGCAAGAGCCAAACACAACTACTCAAGTTGCACGAGGTCTTCAGTAGACTGAAGAGATAGCGAAAGCCGGGACTGGGAACGATGTCCAGTGGTTTTCTTCAGTCCACATTACTGGTGATCAATAAAGGCAGAAGATGATGCAGTAATTCTGTGTGAGCCAGCGGTAAACACCAGCAGCGTCATTTGATCACTTTGCCATGTGGTCCTATAGACTGTTGTATATTGCTCTGGAGGTCAGGACAGTTTTTCAGGCCGCCGGCGTGGCGCCGTGGCAGCTCCTTGATGCCGAGCCAAAACTTCTTGATCACCCGGGCCAGCCGCCCTGCAGCTGATTTCTATGTGATTTTTATTCGGGGGATACGAGCAATCAGAAGATGCGGCACTGAAATGTGGCCAATGTCACATGAAGGTTTGACCTCGAGAGGATGACCAAGTTGACTTTTCCAGACACAGCATTAAGGGGGGGGTTATCGAAGGTGCACCCATATCCAGGTAGCAGAACCCAAGACTCAAAATCGTGTTACATAATTTTAATTACAAGCTCATGTTTACCTACATGGATGGTTTGTGGTTCCTGTATAAAGGGATAGTTGACATAAAGTGGCTGATTAGACATTTTGCTTTGTTTTTATCTTGAAAACCATCTGCACTGGAAATGACTGGTTTGGTAACATGCTACATGCTTAACAGCACAGGTACAAAGGAATTTGGGGAATTTATTGGTGTTGGAGTAAGCCAGGTGCTACAAGTACAAAACAGCATTATCCTTCAATGTATCCACGTTTGAAGAGAGAAAGTTGGTAAGGGACAAAAAAAGAACACGGTTGTGTTCAGTAATAATGATACTGCAAAGACTACCACTAGAACGAACTTTGAGTGGCCGTACAAACTGAAGGCTATTAGTCACACGAGTCTCATGCGAATGATGAAATATGCCAGGTGATATTAACAGTGGAGGTTTCTTTGCCCTGATTTGTTGGACCAGGGGGCAAAGGGAGGGCAGATGGGGCCCATGCGGTCAGCCTGACTAAAATGACTAGAAGAAAGAGAAAGGCCGGTTGAATTTTGCGCTGATTTCTTGAGTTTTTATTGCATTTATGGAGCAGGAGCACCGTGAAGAAAATTGTCACGGTTGGATTATGCCATGGACTTGGTGAGAAAACTGCATATTATTTGACCTGTGGGTCTAAACCTCCACTTTCAAAGCGTGCTTCCTGTCATAAGGATTACACATGGCTTGTAGCACCACACTGGACATGCGTGGTTGGGTTGAGCAGCCACACAAGAGGGGTTATTTACATTTTATGACAAACTGGCCAAAAAAAATTGTTGGATTGTTGGATTAAGGACTGATTTAATGAAGCACTAAAATATTTAAATACATTTAAAACTCAGCAGCAAAAGCAGACATAAACCTGTGTAATCAGATATGCAGATCATCAAAGATGCAGACAAAGAGTAAACTGCATGCTTTGAAAGGAGGGTTTTTAAAAAATGACTGTAGATCGTGTCCTCTCAACAGACTTAAAAACTGCACCTGTATTTCACTTCAGTGGTTCCATATGTCTGCACTTTGCAGGCACTACTTTTCAAACACTGACATATCTGTCACAATCAAAAATGGAGTCAAATGAACTTAAACATGCTCAGATACATGTTGATGATATGCTGGAGTGAACTGTCAAACATAACATGCGATGTTGGTATGCAAGTATGCCGAAAGGGTGTTGCTTAGCAACTGGAAACTATGTTTCACTTGGTTAGGGGCTGAAATAATTGTTGAGAAATGACCCAAAGCGTCCATGTTTGTTTAGCATAAAGCATAAAGGCAGAAGACCTAGAGGCCAACTTCATATCAAACGCTGTTATTGTTTTATTGGCCATTTGGGATGTGCATTTTTCATTTTATGTGGCATTATAAGCACAATAGGTGTTTGTAAGATACATGAATACAATCAATAATCCCGAGGAAAAAAAAAAGCTTGCTGCATTCTCTTTCAACTGCAAAAGTGCGAGGCACAATTTCATCTCCATTCATTTTATGCACAGAAACCAATGTTAATCTGCTCAGGGCCAAAGTAACAACTTCTGTGCTGTGTGTGCATTAGTGAGTCGGCGGCCTGTCCTGTAATTCCGCTCTCTGACTACATGGAGAAAACGTTGTCACCGAACATTTGATAACTGTAGAGACTCAAGTTCCACCCCAGATGCAGGATAACAATCTGGCATGGGATGCGCTCCATGTCACTCAAGGACACATCCATGCTGGTCTGAATTCTGTACAAATTAGGGGGTGGTTCGCAGCGAATGAACCTCTCCACACTTAAAGCCCCCTTGGTGAAAAATGTATGTTCCAGTGCAGATGCAAAGGTGCCAACACAGACGTCGCATGTGTAAATATGCTAAAGCCCTCTGAGGCTAGACAACATAAATTGAATAGAATTGTAATAATTGCCCCACTCGCTCACCGCTGCTAGGGGAAACTGCAAAGTGTCCGCTCATTTAAATGCAGCTAATAATGAGCCTAGGGAAGCTTCCCTCTGTTGTGCCACTTCACACAAGTGACAAATGGAAACAACGATTGTCCGCGCCTTCTGCCAGCGAGCTACCACACACCTTCTGTCCAGCTATCATCACGCGGCCCCCCAGGCGGATTCCCATGGTGGCGAGCTGTATCCTGGCCCTGTCGGAGAGAACTGGAAGGACCTGGGCTTGCAGTGTGAGCGGAGGTGGAGAGCTGGGTCTGGGTAGAGCCTGGCTGAGCAAAGTCCAGAGCTCTTTGGCCACAGCAACTGCATCCGCCATCTCCAACGGCATGTCGAGAGGGTCCGGCACCACGTCTGCTGGGCACTGCCCTTTCACATTCTGGAGGACGAGAAGAAAAACCACATAATATCCCATGATAAACTGGTGACTAACAGGTGAAAAACTGTTCTTTCTGCATATGTAAACATCACAGGAATGATTACTGATATATATGATTCATTACATGTCATTTAGCTGACGCTTTTATCCAACGCCACTTGCAATAAGTGCATTGAACCATAGGGGTACAAACTCTGAGCAATTTCATCAAATAAGCCAATTTACAATAGATAAATTGTACTTAAAATGGCACTTAAGTGCTACAATTTGGTAGAGTCTGATTTATGATTGCTAAATATATAGTGCAGCATCAGCCTCCCTAACGCTGCAAGGACATACAAGAAGCAGAAGCTGTGTCGTTGCTCACAACACACAAAGTTCCCATATCATTTCTGTAATGAGGATTCTGGGCTTGACAGAATCTTTAATGTTATCTCTGCTCCCAGAACGAACCCCGAGCCGCCGTACCCGCCGAGCTTCAAAGCAGCTGATCGGCAGCCACAAAAAAGAAAAGACTGAGTGGAGGTGGGCTCAGCAAGCCTGATGTGTAAGTGAAGGTAGAGGACTGTGTGGGTGGAAGGGACGAGGGGACGCGTCCCCTTCACCACAAGCGGGCTATAAGTAGATGAGGATAATATTATAAGTGTTCAGTTACTCTGAACCGGTCTGAATGAGGTTCGCATTGAATGTGAGAATTACCTTTGAGCTCAACCGCCGCAATCTGGACACAATCAATCATGTAAAGTATGTGGAAGAATAGTATATATAATAGAATAGTCATTTAATAATTAAATCACCGTAACCCCCGTTGAGTCAACACGTAAAGCTGCGTCTGCAAGCCCCCATGGTCCAACCCTTCTCAATGCTCCTTTCGTTTAGCTCGTTCATTCAGCAGCGGAGTCTAGATGAAGTGACTTGTAAAATTTGTTTCTCCCAAAAATGCATGGACGAAGGAACCCTACTTTGATATTTCTATTGGTTGAACTTTTTGAAATTCATGCAACATCGACATTGAGCTAATGGGGGCTTTACATGAAAGACTTCACTATAGCGACCAAAAAGACCAGCACATACTACAACAGTGGCTCACTTTAAATCTGAAACTGGAGCCAACGGGTACGCAATGCACAAAACAACGTGCTGCTAGATGAAAGAGCGTTGCTCTAGCTATTAGATGTGCGGTGCGCCATGAAAGGCCAGCAACATTTCTCTTTTTCATCCTTATGAAACTACCCACTGATCAAATGCAAGGTTTGTTGTGACAAATGTCTGCCGAGCCCGAGAAGGGAAATATCGAATTAAAGCACTTCCCGATCTGACCTTTACACAAAAGATTTCTTGGATGTGTTCTCATGCTTTAAACTCCACTGACAGCCACCGATTACATTTTTCAAATGTGAAGGAAACTATTCGGTAGCTGCGGTTAAGGATATCACCACCAAGGAGTCTGCCCATGCCATATTGTGGTGGATAAAAAGGGGTTATAGCGATTCAATGCACATCTTCTTTTTCTTACTAAATTGCTGAACTCAAGTAGGAAGAAAAAGGTAATTTAGTAGACTTAATATGTACTCTGTACTTCAACTGGAATAGGTTGACTCAAAGTAAACACACTACTCAAACTATGTAGAGGATGTGTGGGTGAGATGGAAGGAAAGAAGGAACGAGGTTGTGATGGAGGAGAGGACTTAATAAGCCTGAAATAATAAAGACAGCAAATTACTCTCGTCAGAGGGGTCCAAACGCTCGCTTGGCAGGATAAGGAACACACCGTATTTCCTGACACAGTAAGTCTTAAACTAAGAAGGATTTAAAAGACGACAACAAGAAGGTTCATATCAGCCAATGAGCTTGGCATTCCATCACTACAGAAAAACGGGGCTCTGCACATTATTGTAGGATGGAGCGTAGTGCTTTGGTGACCTCCAGTGGGAAAAGAGTTACACAAGAGAAGAGGCACCATTTTGTTTAGAAATAGCTTTGATTCATTGGGGAAAAATGCTTTTAATATAAATACTAATGACACATTGAGACAACTTTAGGATGGGTAGAAACTGTCGACAGAACGCCGTGACGGGCCGTTCAGCCTTGATGCCACATCACCATCTACTGGGGATCTGAGGCTACAGCGCCGCTACGCAAACGCAGCAGCCAAAGAGAAACGGGGCAGACAGACATGAGACCGTCAAGTGGTAGATCTATCAAAAATATGTCTGGCAAAATTTGCATTGCAAACTATTGCCTTTTGGGCCGGTATCTGCCGGTTCTGTCAGAAGATGGCAGACAGGGAATATGTAGAACAAAAAGGCAGACTATCTGAAATGGAACAAATGTGAGACCTGTGTGAGAAAGTCATTGTATTTCTAACTGAGCATAAGGACTTCTTTTGCAAAGGTCTCTGTCAAATCAAATTGATTCTGTAAAGCAACAAATAAAAGGACCTCGGATTACAGAACATAGTTAGGCGGCTATAGGCTTAGACTGCCGGGGGACTTCTTAGGACACCAAGCTCCTCTCTCACGCTCTACAATAATTCACGTTTTATTAATGCACATTATTAGATTTAGACTTCGACTAATTCAGCTTCTTTCCGGGAGTTTTTTTGTGCTTTCTCCCCTAGCAGGTCTCCGTAGATCGTAGTTCCTTCTGGAACCTGGTCCTGACACCTGCTGCTGCCATCATCATCATCATCATCATTATTATTTTAGATATTAATCATATTACTGTCCTCATAAACCGACATTACCCTCTCCTAAAGTCTCTGTGCTCTCCCTCCCCACAGGCTTCTGTGGATGGTGGTTCTATCTGATGGTGGTTCTATCTGATGGTGGTGGTCCCTGCAGTGGTCCTGCTGTGCGCCTGGCTTACTACTCACAATTACTTGAATCATTTCTGTCATAGGAATTGCATGTATTATACATTGTTCATTCTGTACACATGGCATCCATTGTAGTCTGTCCATCCCGGGAGTGGGATCCCTCCTCTGACGTTCTCCCTAAGGTTTCTTCCCTTTTTTCCCTCTTGGAAGGGTTTTTTCATTTTTTGGGGAGTTTTTCCTGTGCCGATGGTGGGTTTCGGGACAGAGGATGTATGTGTACAGACTGTAAAGCCCTCTGAGGCAAATTTGTAATTTGCGATTTTGGGCTATACAAAATAAAATGAATTGAATTGAACATGAAAAGGCTAAATTCAATGGTGGGAAGGAAGTTTTTTCTGTCTGTGAGCAACTAGAAGGGGGAGAAGCAGCTGTGCAACAGAGCAATGTTCTGTTTTCAGTGTCTGAAAAGATCCTTAACAACAAAAAAACCTTTAGGAGTGCACGACGCTCAAGGTTAAATAATGCCTCCTTACCAAGGCAAATCAACTCTGGGCTCGGGCAAGTGGAATACCAGGCAGTATCAATTAGACTCATTTAATATGAAAAAATTGATTGGAGTTGCTTTCAATGGTTGCAAAACTACTAATGCCCCCCAAAATTATTTTTTTGTAGCAAATATGGACACAAAAATAGAAAACAATATTTCCTAATGATAATTTGCTTGTCTTTTAGATAATAACTACTATGACAAAAAATCCCTGTTGATTTGCTTTACTTAATAGAATTATCTTTGTATTCGTATTACACAAATTAAAAATAAATCAAAGCACCCCAAAGCATTGAATCGTGCATGTATTTCCATATTTCAGAAAGATTAAGCTCGATAATGCTCAAGTCACAGAGGAGCGAATGTGAGCGAACAATGACACTTACCCTGAAAGCAGGGTTGGCTCCCAGCTCCAGCAGACACTTGACAGCTGATATGCACAGGTTGGAGGCAGCGATGTGCAGGGCGGTGCCGAAGTCAAAGTCACTGCAGGTGGCATCTACCTCTTCAAAAACAAAAAGGCAATTGGGAGATTAAACTGACACGATCCATTTTGGGGCATGATTTATACGCAATTGGCAGAAAAATGAGTGATTCTGCTTATGTCCTGAACCTTGTAGTGTATGTTGTTACTTACATAGACTACATCACACTACATCAGACAGGAGGATTTATCCAGATAACTCAAAAAGTAAACCGTTACCCTGCAGCCCCAGGTCCCCTGTCGAGTCATTGCTACAGCATGTGGCAGCTGTTATCAGGGCCGAAGGTGTTCTTCCCCTGTAGTGAACAAGGCCTTCAATCCCCCAGTCTCTTGGGGGATTTAAAAAGGCCCGGAGTGACCACGCAGCATACAGGACCAGGTCAGTAATTCAGTGGAGGCTGTTTTTTCAGACATCATCCTCAATACAGAAGGCACCTGAACTGACCATCAGATTCCATACACCACTAACGTAGAGAAATAGCAGCCATGTGTCAAATAACCAGTGAACACGACAGTCATCGTTCATTATTAATTGATTTCTTTTAATAATACATCGTCCTCTGGGGAAAGATCCTTTGCGTTTCATCTCTCACGCTCCGAACAGGTGCTGCCGCAGCAGAAAGAAAACAGCTTTGGTAGAAGTGCGTCCTTTGGGTGCATTTATGGCAATTTTAATCAATAAGTGTACTTCAAAACACGCCTTAGGTGCTTTGGGGAATTTGGGCCATGATGAATCACCAAGCCTGGATAACAGTATTCATTTGATGTAAACTATGTAAACAATAAACAAACCGGATTGAGCACCAATTTAGTATGTCACATTATTTAAAATATAATCTTCAACAAGAAATACCTCTGCAGGAAAGCAAAATATGATCACTAGATGGGAAGCCAGCAACAACAAAAATGAATATACATTTTATACATTAGGCTTCAACAAACACCTAAAGAGCCGCATTTGCTGTACAGTCATTTGTTCGTACTAATCTGTAATCACAACCTCCCATCTGTGCTTATTGGCAAACTGAAGGAGGTTTTGGTCGCAAACCGTCTTCCACACAGATTGTTTTTCTCAGTGCTTTTCCCATTATTCTTTGTTTCATCTTAGCTACATCAACACTGCTTTATCTGCCGAGTGATTTCTGTAAATTGGACTCCATACATGTGTGAAGTCAGTGATAATTAGAAATAAATGTGGTCTGCTACTGCCACTGTGCACGTCCGTCCACGCTGCATCATCATATTCAGAAGAAACCCCAGCAAGTAAATACAAAAGGACATAAATTACAACACAACCTCCCGGAATGACACCTATCACAAAAATAACACGCAAAAAGGTTCTAGAATGAAATTGGAACGCTGGATTGCAGGGATGTCGTATTGGATTAGATTGAATCTAGCTGCCGAGGGTTGATCTAAGAAACATTTAGCACAGGAAAAAGAGGCCTTAATCGCCACGGGAGCTGGTTATGAAAGTAGCAATGTGCGGCCTGTTCTGACCTCCAGGCTGCGAGGCCTGCAAGACGACGCGGATGAGCTGGGGCACATCGAAGTACGCGGCGTAGTGCATGGCCCTCATGTTGGTCCAGCGCGAGCGCAGGTTAGGATCTGCACCCAGGGCAAGGAGCTGGCGGGCAAAGCCGGCAGACGTCTCTGCATCACCTGAGGAACAAAGGCATGGGAGTGTGTCAGCTCCGCTGCATAGAGGGAAGTATTACGAATAGCAGAGCTTATGGGGTCATACAGGGTCACGTTCAGTGGTCAGAGTAGCTGGTTGAAGTGCTATGAGGCAGTAGTATGTGTCTATGGTCTGAAAGTCGAACACTCCTGCGTGTACCCACCGATGCCGGGGGCCCCGGCCTTGCAGCAGTAGTGCAGGAGGCTCATGTCTGTCAGACCATCTCGGTCGTTCACACCGCAGCCTCTCTTCAGGATCTGTGCGGCGAGAAAAGGTGCATGGTGTCACTAAGGGGCGCTACGCTCACTGAGCAGAATGTAAAGAAGTGAACAATTTACTGCATTGCAGCTTTGCGTAACTCTGCGCGACGCGGGTGAGTTTGCAAAGGCTCATTTCATTCAAAAGTATTCTGGTGCATCAGTTATCATACCATGTACTTAGAACATAGTTTTATATTGACTTGATCAAAACTGACTGAGTGGAGTTGTGAATTGAGATGTTTTTAGAGAAGAGTATGGAATGGTGTCACCTCGTTGCCGATGAGGTCGATGTTCTTCTGAACCTGGGGCACCCACTGCCTGACCACAGCGAACAGCTCTGGGATGGTGGTGCTGGGGTCTACGAGAAGCTGCCTGCACTGTGGCTCGCTGGGGGCAAAGAAGGAGAAATCTGAAGGTAACGAGAAGACAGAAACGACTGTAACGTGATTCCCCCTTGAGTCTTTCTTTGGAGAGAGATAAAGAGAGAGAAAAGAGAGAGACTAGAGAGACACACAGAGAGAGAGAAGATGAGAGAGAGAGAGAGAGAGAGAGAGAGAGAGAGAGAGAGAGAGAGAGAGAGAGAGAGAGAGAGAGCGCATGTGTGGAACACTGCAAGCAGCCATACAATAACTTTCTGCGAGGCACTGTTCAATCGATTCAATCAAATTAGTAATCTTGGGAAATGCCTTTTGCTGTGCTTGCAGATGCGGATGCAATCAGATGTGACGGATGGCATGCTGTGAACCAAAAGAAGAATTAAGAGCTCAGCCTCGGGATAAAAACAAATTGGGTTGGCCTTCCACAGTGAAAATCAACGTATGTATTATTTACCAACATCCACCTTATGCATTTGCATTACGGACTCCTATATTACATATAAAGGCGGGGGGGATTTAGAAGCCCTTAATGTTGATGAAGGACGACATTACATTTACATTTTTCATTAACTGACGCTTTTATCCAAAGCCACTTACAATCAGTCTACTGAATCAAGAGGATATAGACTCATAACAGTGAGAATCAAGAAAGAATAACTTCTCCAAGAAAGCCAAACCACTAAGTGCTGTAGGTAAGGGGCATAGTAAGTGTAAGGGAAATGTTATCTATTCAGGTAGCGTTTGTACACTACATCTACGATCGACTCCCACATCCACTGAAACTTTGTACCTCTAATAATAAGAAAGGTAATAAGAAAGTTGTATGTGCAAACACACAGAGCTGCATGAGATGAAACAGTAAACTGTATTATACATATACAAAATATTTTTGAAAAAAGTCTAAGAAATTACTTAAGCAATCAAAATTTGATTGAAGAAAGTTATGACAAATGAGGAGCATGAAGTAGATGCATGGAACACTAAAGCTGGAGTCATCATCCAGCATCGTTATTAAAGGTGGTTTCAGGACTCTGTACCGATATCTCAAAATAATCATTATTGATTATAGTAACTGCTGGAATCTTCACTAGTCTCACCTGGCTGTGCCCTGATCAAATGACCAACACTGGTTTCCAATGACTGAAAATAATTATTTATATATTACGGTACACAAGATCTCAAACGCAGCGGAAACCTTTTTCCAGGTTTCAGTCAGCGAGCAGTTAATGTCTGATCTTCTCACGGTGCGCTGGGTCCTTTCAGTGAGGGCGTCGATAAACCTTTGTGTCACTGCTTGCATCTACTGAATGTGTGCGTTTCCTCACCACAGTCGTTGGGCATCGGGGCAGAGGCCACCTGGTGGATGACCGATGGCTGATGGAAAGAGGCCCAGCCCAGCACGGTGTCCGCCTCAACGGGCGCCGAAACCTCCTCCTTTGTCATCTCCCCCTCGGGGCCTGTGGCAAACAGCAAAGTCACATTAGGAGGAGGTCTGCTTTCTACTCGTTGGTAGTCCGTCTGCGAGCACGGAACTGCTGCGCGCGAGAAAACAACTTTTCTTTTTTACTTATTTAGTGCGAGGAGGAATTAAAACACTAAAACCAGAGGGGGGGGGTGTCTGTGGATGTACTTTTTCAAATATATCTACAGATATATATTTGCTCACTCTCATTATACCCTGTTGATCCCCTCACTCCTTCCTTTGACACTTCTGACTCTCCCCAGAAAGAATGTCACTCACTTTCCACTCGGGTGCCCTGCTGACCCGACGGGACGACCTCCATTGCACCAGGAAGACTAATTGAGTGTCCCCGATGGCTCCACTCTGCTAACCAGACACCTCTCTAACGTTATGCATTATTATTATTATTTTTTATGAATCGCTCCTCCGACATGTAACACACCTGTATGCGGCCCGCTGCTTCTCAGTTTTTCTCAGATACCCGCAGACATTGTCCCGCCACTGGTCAGTAGGTCGTTTCGCAGTTTAATAGTCACCATGTCGTGTATCGACCTAAGTTCGGTTGAAGCTTGCGTTAACTAACTAACTAACTAATGATTATTAAGGAGGTCCTGCTCACTTTGCTCTTTCGACCGCTTCCTCGTCTCAATGATTGTCGGCACCGAAGCGATATTAAATGTTTAATAAATATGAAACACTTATTTAATCGCTTCAGTCAATATTCATACCGGGATAAGAGAACAGACGGTACCGTTAAACCGGCTAGCGTGTGTTAAGGAAAGACGTGTGAGCTGGAGTACACGGCGGTGTGAACGTTAGTTCAATGCAGGCTTCGTGGATCCCAGCGACTCACAACGTACAAATACAACCACGAATTCTGGGCTTTCAGGGGAAAAGTTGCCAGGTGACATTAATTAGGAGGCTTCTCTCTATATGCCCTCGTAGCTCCTCGGAGGTAACGGGATGTTATCGAGCACAAGAACCAGGCCACGCGTTTTAACCCGCACGAGATACGCGTCACGACACGTGAGGCGTCGCGCGGAACTGAGGGTACGCGAGAAAACCAGAGGTCGCGTTACCTTCACCTGTCCGCCGGCCGCAACGCGCTCATGAGCAAAGCGACCGCGGGGCGAGTCGCGGATTACGCCTCCATCGAACCGGATGTGTTCCACGTAGCTGACGGAGCCTGTTCTTCCTGCTGCAGCATTTACATTTCACAATAAAGGCATTTCATATTTTGCCCGTCTTCAAAATAAATGTGAAAATTGCAGTTTTAGACTGAAAGCCCTTTTTTAACGTTCGTGTCATACATGTGTATTTTGTCAGTAAAGGAAACGTGCCTAAACTCACGAAATCTGAACTGCAGTAAGTTGCCATGTGGGGCCTGCCTAGAATATGGCGCGTGAATATGAACATTATGCAGATGGTCTGTCATTCATCACTTCTGGATTTCTTTGGGAGGGTCTCAAGATATTTTCCCATGAAAAGAGTCCGTGTTTTAATGTTATTCAAGAAGCTGTTGATGAAGCTGTTGATGTTAATTATCCCATTTATCTAAATTTGAAGAAAAAATCTCGGTCCCAAAAAAATGTCATCTGCTTGTATGATATGGATCAAAATACTCTCAGGACTTGGCTGATTTTCTATAAAGTTCTATAATAGCCTAAATCGATCAGCCTTCAGTGGATAAATACGGAAGTGAAGTGAATAGCGGCTAGCGCCACAGAATAACAGAGGGAACGAAACAACATTGCCTTCAAAATAAAAGTCAAGCTTGCTATAAGAACACTTTAGGATGATCCTTGCTTTTAAGACTTCCATTAAATATATATCATCAGCTTTTCTGTTGCTTTTAGATTTTCACATTATGAAATATGTTGGAACTATAGAAACAAAAGCTCTACTTTTCTTTACTTGGAAAGTACAAAACGGAAGTGTCCCCTGACTTCCTCCGGCTTAAAGCGGGTGACAGCACAGCATCATCATCATCATCTGGCCGTCCCATTTAGCTAAATCCCCTGAGATCTGACATTATAAACCTCATATCTAGTTATAATGTCGGCCGATACGTTGTTGCACGCCGCCAACTTCAGCACGCTGTTCGTCTGCATGGTGCTGAAGTTCCCGCAGATTTTTGCTTTGATGCGGGCGAAGTCATCGGACGGAGTCAGCCTCAGCAGTCTTCTCCTGGAGTTGATCGGGTATGTATGCTTCTAGATTGATGTTAGGAGTGCACCTTACAGGGGGAACTAACTAACCGCAAAGCGTGTTGCACAGTTATGCAGAGCGTGCTGCGAGTGTCTCCTTCCTGTTCCTACTGTGCAGGAAAGAACCCCGTCAACAAAGTACATTTCAAATCTTTCTGATTAACTGTGTCTTTGGTGGAGGAACGTTGCATTCGTCTCAACGACCTTTTATTTTTTACACGCATGAAACGTGATGAAACCTGTCTGTGCCGAATGAAACACATTCTTATTGCGAGGGTTTCTCTTCCAGATGTGGTGTAATATAGGACACGGGCATTAGGGGCCATCTGCCAGAGTTTCGAGGCGCACAGATGAACCGCTAACACATAGTCCCCCTGTGGAGGTTTAACACTCAATAACTGTGAGCAGTTTACACAGATCGGGGACAACATGAGTCCTCAGTTGATTATATTGGTCCCAACAGCTGTGAAAAGCTCAGGTTAAATCAGCTCAGTATGCTGCTCCTTGTTTCTACAGCAGGAAGCTTCGACACAAACAGGGAATAAACCTGCCTTTGAAATTAACAGCCATTATCCCCCAAACATTTCAAAATATTTGTAGGTTTTAAAAGTTCCTATTGTCTGTCCGGTTGTATATGTGGCCTATCATTTCGCACCGTCCCTGTCTCTTAGGAGACGGTGCCCGGCGGTAGCTGCACTGTTCATAAATGTCTCCTCTGTGCCGGGGAGTGACATCGGGCTGTCACTCCCCGGCACGGAGGACAGACAAGCCCTGAAGCTGCACTTTATTTTTGCCTTAAAATGGTATGAAAAATCAGTGTATAGATATATTTGTGTGAATGAACATGAACATTGCCCTGATGTGATAACCTAACGCCATCTTCACAGGTTCATCGCTTTTGTAACATACCAGATGTACTACGACTACCCACCTCCGACGTACCTGGAATATCCGATCCTCATCGCTCAAGGTGAGCGGGGTGAAGTCACATGACCTCCTTATTCTGTGGTTTCCTCTCTACAGGCAATGCCTAGTGAATTCAATGAAAGCATAAGACATCCCATCTTGTCGTAGCAAAAGCAGACCATCTAACTGACAAGCGGGTTTTAAAATCCCATAAAGGGGTTTGACAGGAAATCAACGGGTCTCCTTGGAGGTCCATGTGGGCAGGAATTGATGTCATATTAGAATGTAATCTGATGTAGAAACAAACGACTTGACATCCATTGAAAGGCGTATTACGTCATCTAGAATGAGGCGTGAAGCCCACTGCCCGTGTGCGTGTTCTAACCCGCCTTCTGTCCTCAGACGCCATTCTCCTCCTCCTGATCCTCCACTACAACGGCCGCCTGTGGCAGGGCCTCCCCTACACCTTGCTGTATCCTTTCAGCATCTTTACTTCAAATGCGACAATTGGCCGTGTTCCACAACATCTTTGTTCAGATGAATGCCTTGACGTGAGGCGCTCAGGTTCGTCGGGGGCTGGAGGCTCCTCACGGTGGAGAAGTGGATCGTAGATTTGGCCATGGTAATGAATCAGCGAATCACAGCCCGTCAGAGTCAGCAGTGTGAACAGACACTGGTCCAGGCCTCATTGCGCCTGCTGGTCTATCCGGGAGACCTTGTTGGTCAACGACGGGAAAGTGTCTGAAGGTGTATATTTGCACATAGACTAGGGGTAGATATGGATTTTTAGTAAATACTTTAACCAGTAGGAACCCTAGAGAGACCCAGGCCCAATCCCAACTCCCCCCGTACGGACTCACAGACTTGGAGGTCTGCCTCCCTCTAACTCCTTGGGGCCCTGTCACATCGTCGAGTGTTTGAGGGCTCTCTGGCAGACATCTTGAGCCCTTTATCTTGATCTTGAGCAACGTAAACAATGAGACAACCCGTGAAAGCATCGGGACGTAGTAAAAGGGGAACGAGGACGACACATGTTCGGCCTGTCAAATTAAATTCACAGAAACATTTAGAATTAAAGACGGAACCAAAACACACATCAAATCAGACAGTAGTTTGACACATTTATTCATCAAATCAGGGCGCAGGTCCGATACGCGCGTCTGACCTTTGCTCTCTTTTCAGAGCCTGTGCACGTTCATCAGCGCTGGCAGTAAATTTGCCCAGCTGCAGTGCCTGTGGAGGACCAAGGACGCCGGGCAGATCAGCGCCCTTTCCTGGGCCTTGGCCACCTACACGGGCACAGGTCAGTGTCCCACACTGGACCTCAAACACCCACACAGACACTTTGTTTTGTTGTCCTCTCATGTCCAGGTTGATGAGGTCCCATAGTGGACTGGGACATGATGTCTCAACGTTGCCTCATTTCAAAAAGCATCCGCTTATCTGTCCGTCCCACTTTCTAACAAACAGACATGTTAGCATTTCTAACAAATTCAGACTCTGGCTTCCCCTTTGACCACGAGGACGCCGTTGACTCGTCTCCCTTTTTCTCTCGCAGCACGGATTTACACCACCATGGCGACGACCGGAGACACGCTGGGTGAGTCGAGCTGAATTCACAAGTGGCTGCTGAGGGCCCACGCCGGGTGCCCCAGACGGAGGGTGCTCAGTTTCAGAAGTAGCCACTTCCCCAAAAAGCGATCATCATACAGGTCACCGTCCCCCACGTGACCTGTGAAGCTGATCTCTTTCCTCTGTGTTCAGGTGCTTTAAGGGAGACGCTGTGCACTGACAGGGACATGATTCCTGTCGACACTGGTATCAGTGTGTTAGGCAGTAATCCATCCAGCCATGTAGGGTATACCAGTGTACGATTTCCGTACGGTATGAATACCGTTCATACCGGTGTTACGTCATGAGCCAAGTAGCAGGAGATATTTTTTTCCATATCTGAAGAGATCTACATCTTCTTGTAGTGTTAGGTTTCTCGTGATTTAATCTTTAACTTGCAACTTCTTGATCACGTTGGAATGTCCTTACCCAGTTGCTATGCATAGATACGACAACTTTCCGATCAAACTACGTACTAAACCCGCCCTCTTTTCAGCGCTCCAATTGAATGCAATAGATTTGATTTAAATCCCTCCTGTGACTGCGCAGCCGCTCACATGTTCAGTTTCCCCGGGAGAATAACTGCAAGGCGCTCTGACCTCACTGATAAAAACCTGTCCTCTTTGTCTCAGTTGTGGTACGGTTCGTCGCCATGACACTGCTCAACATGTGGGTGCTTCTCACCGTGCTCCACTACCAGAGGCGCGCCGGCGGGTCCAAGAAACGGGACTAAGCTTAAAGAGCCGGATCCCGGGAACGGGGCCCGTTCGCTCCCATCGCATTCCCAGCAGAGCAATAACTGGAGTTGCAACAGTTACGAAAGCTGCTCTTGAAATACTGACCTATAAAAGAAGAGATTTTTTTTTAATATTGTAATTACCTGGTAATGAACCCACATTTTTTTCCATTCCCACATTCCAGGCAGTGTGTGTGAGCAGAGATCAATTCATTCTTATACTGTATGTGACACAAACATCTTCCTACTTTTGTAAAAGTCCTTTTCTGAACTATTTTAATAAAGCAGACATTCTAGCAGCTTACATTGTGAGCATTTCAGTCTCCAGGATATGGTTCTTTTTTTTTCTTTCAACGTAGAAAACAAAAAAATCCCAAACCAAAAGGCACATCCACATCTTTATTGTTGAAGTTATTACTAAAATAGAGCCGATTGGTAGCAAACATGCATTCTGGATGTAAAGCCCTTTAAATACAAAGTGGACAAGGCTGTATAAATAAGTGTGCACTGTATGGCATGTAAAATATATATACTGTGTATATTTATATGTATAAAACATGCTTCTTGGTTAAAGGAGAGCACTCCATACACGCACACACAAACAAACACACAACCCATACATACACGGTTACTCTCCACCTGCTATATAAGCCACGACAATGTGCCCAAACTCATGAGTTTGGTTATTTTTAATACAAAAATATCAGGACAAACACTTTTAGAAAAACTTTCAACGGAATAGTGCTGCTCAGTATTTGGACTCTTATGATGTGATTTCACACCTTCTTGATTTCTGGTTCTTACTGGTTCATTCCTCCTCGTTTGCATTGCAGGGAATGACTACAACACACACACACAAAAACTACACAGCTAACAGGTGGAGGCGGGTGGGTGACAGCACTTAAGTGTGAGGCCTGAAAAGGCAAACACATGCAGGTTCACGCGAGAGTAGTTGGTGATGGAGAGGGGGCTCCGGTCAAGTATACTTGGATAAATAGAAGTCATATAATGCCTGCGTGTGGTCTCTGGTGTAAATGTACATTCAAACAACTCAAAAGGATCAGAGAAACATTAACCCCCTTGAATCCAGTAAACACCAACCCCTTACGGACCTCCATCTAATGCCGATCTGATGCCCCAGACGTTGCCTAGAAGGCTTTTTTTTTGTTCTTCCTTAAGTGCCTCGTTTAGGTTTTTTCCTCCTGAAAGCAGAATCGTTGGAAGCTACAATCAATACGTAAAAGAAGAAAAGCCAGTACAGATACTGGATCTGGGATTTGAGTTCAACAGTCTCAGCTGCGTTGGGCCAACATATGTTTAAGTGTAGTGTAGCGTCAATCCCCCCCCCTCCTCTCCCCCTCCATTAAACCCTTCATATATTTCACAATCATTCAAACAATAGTTATTTGGCCACAATAAATCACCCCAAAAAAAAGGTGGTGAGAAAAGGTTTTTCCCCGCTGGGTCCTTCATTCAGACGGTGTTGAGGTAGTGTACCCCCCCCCCCCCCTCTTCTTATACAGAAGAACTCTCTTCTGCTCTGCGGGAGCTCAGCAAGCTTCTCAAGTAGTTCAGCTGGGTGGAAAGATCACCAGGTGACTCGTGAAGCCGTCACCGCTTCGAGTGCCTTGGAAAGAAGTTCAACCCCAAAAAACTTAAATAAAAGGAGGAAACCAGACTTTGTGACTGTCCCGATGCTGGACAGGAAGGGGTCACGAAGAAGCGACGTGGCGTTCAGTGTGCCGATCAGCAGACGGAGCGTTGTGATCTGAGGCGAGCCCACACCCCCCCCCCTCCCAGCATCACCGTGGCGACGCAGAGCATCCTCGGGGAGAGGTTAACTGGAGGAGGAGAGAGACAGAACAGATACAGGATTAGCCTTTGGTTTTCAGTCACATGGTCCTGTATGTGCACGCCGGGTCAGCGAAGCCCCTTGGGAGCACAGGAACACAAGCAGGTCCTCGTTTTATGCATCGCTAGTCGACCGGGGTTTCCTCCCCGGTGTCCATGACTGCAGATAAAAGAAATAAAAAGAAATCTTTCAAGTGAATGTTTGTTGTTGTAATACTCAACTCTTCCACAAGAGGCTGATGTGCACCACATGCACATGCCCTGAATTTAATAAAATGTAATACAATTATTCCAGGCTAGTGTTAGTTTTATTTAAACATAAAGTATGGATATATTATGTAAACTTTCTCAAGGGGAAACATGTACGTGGGAAAGTTCATCCTGGAGAACATTTTCCACCTTTACTTTAGGAGCACACATTTCTCTACTTCCTTCATACATCACTTTATTGCACCTTTACTACCAACTAAGATATAGTGAGTGGATCTTAAATACAAATATGAGATACTTGTCACTCGCACGACTACTTGAGAAAAAAGGTGACATTTGCCACAAAATGAATAATTATAAGTAAAAGTGAATCAGTTTCAACACCTTGCACATGTTCTTTAAAAACACCCAGCAGCATCAACACGACAAGCACATGCAGCACCACCACAACCTGGGACCACCTGGGGGACGTGGTCTGGACATATAGTGCAAAATAACATGGAAGCACACACACACACACACACACACACACACACACACACACACACACACACTCAACAGGGGAAACGGTCTCGGTCGTCACCGCTGCGGGATTCTTCCTGCTTCATGTTGAAGCCGTTTGACCTGCGGGGGCTGAGGCCAGAGAACATAGGTGTCCCCACGGGGGGACACGCGAAGGAGAACGTCAACAGGAGGACGGGACTACAGAAGGGCAGCTTCTCATCCTCGGCTTCACCCCCAACAACTAAGTTACGGGTGGCCCGTTTTCCCAAAAGGTAGAAGAGAACAAGCACGACTCTCAGAAAAGAAAACCACAGCAAATCGAGACAGCAGACAGCAGCTGTGCTAAACCGACGGAGACGGCTGTGGGGACAGCTTTCCTACCGCCACTGAAAGCACCGCACTGCACAGCACACACTGCTACCGCAAGTGGTGCTCAGAAATGAATAGAGGAGCAATCATCATGGATATCATCCAGGGACCAGTGCCAGTCCTGAAGACAAAAGTCCTCTGATCTGAAAGGGGAGATTACTTTTCAAGGCGGGGTTAAAATAAATGCACACCTGGTGTAATAAACGAGACGGCCACGGCTATCACTTTGAGAGGCCGCGGCACTATAAATCCTGAGACATTGGAGACTGGTCAGGAGCTAAGAGCAGACAATTTTCAGCTAATTATTTTTATTTGACAAGTTTGAGATCAAAAGATTGTGAATTACGTAGAAGTACAATAGAGTGGAATGACACTGGTGGCGCTCCGCTAGCACCAATGCAAGGGGGGGTTGATAGCTACAGGACTGCAACTGTTTCGGTGCATCGACCTCAATGCATGTGTGTGTGTGTGTGTTGGGTCTCTGAATGCACACAGTGAAACTCTGGTCACTGTGTCCTGCCCACCCACTGCAGCAACAGGCGCATGCGTACAGGCGTGCCACAAGAGCTCTGATTGGCTGATTCTCTTCAGTCCCAATAAAAGTCCTTCCATACAACTAAGAAGTTTGCCGTCTACATCCATTGACCTCAGCTCCTTCATAACAAAAATTTGGGGGACTGGCTTTGGGGCGAGGCCTGAAGTCGACGGTCTTTGTGTGTTGCTAGTTTCTATTTTTGCCTCTTTCTGTTGCCGCGTTTCATACGGTCCGGTTATATCACGCCACTCTAGGAAATCATTATATCTGGGTGTTGCTATAGTCGGACCCCAGATACCGTCTCAACTCCATCCAGTATGCTGATTGGTTAACAAGCTGATGAAAGCCACAACCTATTCTTTGTCTTCTGCAATGTCCCAACATCTCACACACACACACACACACACACACATCTTCTGGATGTCAGTTGCTCACAGACCAGTTTGGTCCAGTTTGCTACCTGCTCTTGCTGATGGGCAGCTGTCGACTGGGTCTCCTCATGGACTGGCTGGGCTGGACCTTCATGGAGGCGCGCGGCGAGGAGCGTGCAAACTGCTCAGGCGGCAGAGGCTTCTTGGGAATCTTCTTGACCAGTCGGCTCACCCACTTCTGCTGCTCCTCCTGCGACACGGCCAGCAGCAGCAGGTTCTTGGCCGAGGAAACGTCGTAGTTCACTGGTGGTGGAAAAGGATTGGGGGAGAGTTACGTTTAGGAGCGAACGATCGCATAGTTTTTTTTCATCCCTCGGGTGCACGTGAAGCTGCCCACCTTTGCAGGGAGCGATGATCTCCTCCTTCTTGTCCATGTGGTCCTTGTGGCACTTGATGTGGCAGCGCCGGCACTCCAGGGCCGGCGGCGGCTTGAACATGTTCCACAGCGGCTTGGTGCAGGCCTCGCAGTTGGTGGGGAAGTGGTAGAGCGTGGGGATGAACTCATGGCCCTTGTGGCAGATGTAGCTGGACTTCTCTCCGATGGGCAGCGGGTCCACGGGGAACTCGGGCTCCTTTTTGCTCTCGCCTTCGTTGGCATAAAGAATCTGGACAGTCGATAAGAGAAGGGGAGAGGATGAGGACCTATTTTTCATTTCTTTATTTGACTCTCGAACAGAAAAGGCATATTGGTTATTTGGAAGTTCAGAAAATGAAGTTTTAAAATTAGAAGTTTCGCTAACAAAACCATGGAAAAGCTCCCGAGACCTGAAATATCCTGGGAATCTCTTTGGCGTCGGCACGGTACACGTCGGTCTGAGTGACGGGCCTCACGTGGAAGAGTTTGCTGTGTGAAGAGAAATAGTCACGTCAATATCTGCACCTCAGCTCAACAACAAATGCCCCCCACAGTGAATAAACACTCCGTCTCCAGCTGTTACACTCACTCTATATCAAGCACCATGTAGGGAATGGACTGCTCTTTGTCTTGCTCGTTGTTGTAGAAGAGAACCTTCTTGCTGCTCACCACAACGTACTGCGGTAAAAAGAAGTCATGTTTGAGGGAGTCACGTTGGATTAAGAAATACTCTGCAGCGTTCGCGCTCTCTTTACCTTCCTCTCCCAGCCAAACTTCTTGGTGTTGTTTCTCACGGGAAGAGAGAGCCAGCCCTCCAGCCTCATTTCTGAGCGGGAGAAAGACAGGAAAAGAGCCAGCGGTGAGGAGGCTACACTGAATCTGTAAATGTTTTGTTATATATTTTAATATTGATCTCCCTGCAGACGTAGTGAAACTTTAACAAACACAATACCAACACTGGCTCTGGTACAAGGACGAAGCCACTTATATATTTATTTTGGTGTACAGCGAAAGCGAAAGCTTTTTTTTGGTTCATTCAAAACACTAATCCTCAAATTAGTTACTCCCAGAATACACACAGCAAATTAGGGTGGTGCACGTAATGAGGAAAATTTAGCCGTATGCTGTTAGCGCGCGGCGCCGATGTAAGCGAGACAGGCCGATTAGCATGCGAGTCGGTGGCACTTTGTGAAAGGCCGGAGCGGGAGAACCCGACAGCTGCAACAGCAACAGAGAGCCGTGTTTGAGACGAGGACGGGGAGATGCGGGTGGAATGCTAAACACGCTGACACCCGTCACCTGGTAGAGGAGAAAAACTAAGTGGAGCCCAACACCTCTTCCCCGCTGCTTCCCTCATTATAGCATTAACAGCAGAAATCTGCAATTACATTGGAATAGAGCCCAGTGTGACACACTGCGCCAATTAGAGCCAGACTGAAGCGCGACTAATGAACCCCGGGTATGAACCGCCCCGAGACCTGCCTGCCGCTACGCCCCTGCAGGACGTGACATCTCATGTTGTTTGCAGGTGGAGCACGCATCGAGGAGCGCTCTCACCTGTGAACGCGTCGTCAGTGTCAAACTCCGGCCCGCTGCAGACGCTGGCAGAGTCCATGGACTGGACACTGAGCGACTGCAGCAGGTTCCTCAGCTGCTCAATGTCGCTGTCCTTGCTGTCCAGGGCCATCTGCAGCTCAATGCGCATCTGGCTCTCCTCAGACAGTTGCTGCAAGTCAAGGGGCACAGGAGAGACCCGGTCTAGTCAAAGGCTACCGACAACAGAGGAGCAGCCTACAGAAACTCGAGAGGAAAGGGCTTCCCCATTGGCTGTGAGGAAATTCCTCGGGTATAGAAGCTGCTACTGACCGCCTGCATCTCGTTGATCTCCCTCTGGTATTTGATGATGCTGCTGTTGAGCTTTTCCTTCTCAGACCTCAGCTCCAACTGCAGCTTCCTGTTCTCCTTCTCCTTCCGCCGCATGTCCGTGTCGTTGCCCCGGCGACTGCCTCCGCCGCGGAGCTCCTTCCTGTTCATGATCTCCGCCAGCTTGTTGACGGCCTGCGGACAGACGCGAGCGGCACAGACCGTGCTTTAGCCTCCTTTCAGGTTCTGCGTGCATGTGAGCGAGTGAGAAGGAAGCACGTGTCCGGGGAGCTGACCCGACAGCGGACTGACCTGAGTCTTCAGCGTCCTCTCTGACTGCAGCTGCTTCTCGAAGCTCTGCTTCATCTGGCTGATCTGCTGCTCCCAATCCTTTGACTTTTCAGATTCTGCAAAAGACGCACAAAAGCGGTAATTGTCGACCCCGACACTATTTTTGCTTCCAATGACATTTTCAGTAAAATTCCAAACATTTGAATTACCTTCCATCGCTTCCTTCAGTTTGTTGTTCAGCTCCTCCTTCTCATTGGCTAGGTTGGCGACATCACTGGTCAGGGTCCTGTTGGCTTCTTCCAGCTGCTTGGGACAGGAAGTACCGTCATATTCAATACATAATTGGTTATCAGATGGCACCTGCGCAGCCATTTCACACCAGCACCAGCAGCTTTAAACTCGAGGTTCATGATCACAACAGACAGACAGATGAACTGTGACAGGACTCACTGAGCCGATGGTGATGTCTTTCTCAGACAGGTCCTGGCGGTGGCGGGCCATCATCTCCTTCAGCTCCAGCTCCTTCATTATCTTCTCCTTCTCCAGGTCAGAGTACTGCTCCTCGGCGATGGAGCGCGCCAGCTGCTCCGAGTCGGCCTTTGTCAGTGTGATCTCCAGCTGGGCCGCCAATGAATCCCTGGAGCAAAAAAGTATGTGTCATTGGGAGATGTGAATCAACGTTCGTATTCCGTCTATGGTTTTCGTCTGCTGTATCCTGTGGTTACTAAAGTGGATTAAAGAGAAGAGACTTCAAAGCACCTCTCCTCCTGTAACTCCTGCAGAGACTGTTGTGCGTCTTTGTGCAGTTTGTTCTTCTCCTCGCACTCCTCCTTTAGTTCACGGACCTGGGTCTTGTACAGCGTCTGGAAAACACGGTGAAATGCGCATCATAACACAGGAAGTACTCGCAGTGCATTCACAATACAGCTGTGGTACAAAGGAACAAATAACTAGCCTTCTACGTAAAATCGTGGATTTTAAGTAGAAGACGGATTATTCCACTTACACACGGACCAAGTGAAACAACCAATCAGCTATTCAATACACACAACCACTTGCAATACCTACTGGAACAAAAAGGAGCGCTGATGGCACTCTGCAGCCCACGGGCTCTCCTCAGACACGCACACGTGTAAACAAACACACTCACAGAGAAGTACTGCTCGGCTTCCAACTGGTCCTGTAGCTCCTTCATCTGCCCGTCCGTGTCCTGTCTCTCTCTGCAGTCAGAAAAACAGAAACAATCTATGAGCCTGCTGGTGTCGCGATATGACCGGAGGGTTGAAACCAGATGCGCACTGACTTGCGCAGCTCTTGGTTCTGCTTCTCCAGGCTGCGCTTGATGTCGAGCAGATGGTTCGCCTCCTGCTTGAGCTGCTTCTCGGAGGTCCGCAGAGAGTTGAGCTGCTGGTTCTGGGCTTTCAGGTCGTTCTGCGTCAGGCTGCGCTTTTGGGTCTCCTGCTCGATCTTCAGCGTCAGGTTCTTCACCTGGGACAGAGAGGACAACGCAGAGCGGGCTGGTGTGTGCGTGACCTTGAGACGTTTCAGTGTGGACCGTCGCCCGTCCACAGCTCACAGTGGACACACACAGTTACACAGGACGGGAGATTCATATCTAAGAAACGGCGCAGAAGGTTAAACACTCCCTCACCTCTTCGGTCAGTCGGTCCTTGTGTCTGCGCAGCTCGTCTAGTTTCTGCAGAGCCTGTTTGTAGTCGCAATCCATCATGCTGCTGTGCTTCTCCAGATCCAGGATCCGGTTCTCCAGCCTGAGTTTGGCCGCCCGCTCCTCCGCCAGCTTCTGATCCATCTCTGCATAGGAGTTGTATGGTACAGATTTACACGTGAATTAGTCGTGGCCTGCGTGAAGCGGCGCTAGTTGAAAATGTTGTGGCTCCTCCCTCCCAATCACCATCAAATGTGTATGATGGCACAAACTATGATAAGCAGAAAGTTAACAAGGAGGTGTGAGAGTTCCACAATTCCAAAAAAAAGAGAGAAATTGGCACCTTTACCCTTCATGGACTCCGACTTGGCCCCCTCGATGGTTACTTTGATCTTGCTCTTGTCTGCCAGCAGCGCCCTGGTGGCCCTGTGAGAGGCCTCCTCCTGCTCCAGCTCCTGCTGCACCACCTTCAGCTTGTAGGTTAGATCAATCTCCTTGTTGCTCTTCTCCTGCAGAGAAAAAACGAGGCCGGGCCGAGCTCAGAAGAGGAGCACTGGACTAAAAGGTCGGGCTCAGATCTTGGGTTGAATGTCTGAGCGTATGCCGATGGGGGAAGTGACGCCGCCGTCTGTGCTCTCTTCAAAGACTCTTACCTTCAAAGACTTTTTAGTAATAACTCACACAACCCTTACAAAGAAAGAAACCATGGATTTGGCATGTAATGAAATGACTAAACGCATTAAAAGTACTGGTTGATTATAGTGCCTCACTTACGACCCGCCCAAATAGTCCAGGAGCAATGTTCTTCACTAAAGCCCTTTAAGCTTTAGGATCAATATGCCCTTTGAATCATTTAGTCAACGAATGGACCTCAGCAGCTGATCCGCGTAAGTGCAAGATTCTATTAAGCTATTAAGTAAGATTACAATTCTATTAAGCCCAGCCGTGTAATCAGCAGCTTGTTTGCAATTGTCAGTGGTAGAATACTCTCTAAAGAATACGGCTTTTAAACCAGCCTTTTTAAAGAGCCTGGACCAGCCTCTTAAATAGGTTTATGTAGTATCAATCGGCCCTGTTTTGTGATGCTCCCACTGCAGGAAACCACAGCTATGCTCAATGTTTTATGGCGGTACTGAAGGTATCAAAGTTTTCTGAAAATGAATCCTCCTGTGCGTTTTAGTTGGGAGTTCAAGACGTCTAAATGAACCATGAGATATTCATAGTAGATTAGATGCAAGAGAGCATCCCAAAGTACTAAAATACCAATGATGGATTTACAAACCAATGAAGAAAAAGCCTAATCCTGCTTTACCTTCTCCAGATCCGTGTGTTTTTCTTGAAGTTGTCTCTTCTCGGTCTCGGTTTTGGACAGAGTCTGTCTCTGCTGGCGGGCCTCGTCCTCCAGGCTGGAGATGCGTCCTGCGAGACGAACCCAAGAGTCCGATGAGAGGCAGCTTTCAAAAAGGAAGTCAAAAATAGATCCAGACATACACCTAATATGCTCCAAACCCGAGCCGGTGATCAGTGGCCGGCACCGAGCAGCAGTGAGTGTGTTGCTTTATAACCAGCCATGTGCCACTGTTTGTTCACACACACACACACAAAATGGCCTGATTATTCAAAGCAAACAGCTCCAGGGCAATATTTTGATTGTGAACATTTACATTACACTCTTCCAATAGCCCGGAGACGGCGCTTCACTGCGGTTTCTGTTACAGAAACATCTGGTACGATGACCAACGTGCAGTTTGGCCAAAGCCAAAATGAAAGTCCACTCTGGCGTTGACAGGTTGAAAAACACAGCAGGCCCCTGAGCATGTTTCAACTATGACCTCTGCTCAATTAAAGAATCGGACAAGAGGCTTCATGTTAGTTTGAGCAGCCATAGAGTACCTCTCTAATCAGACAAGGTTACGACATCAGCCTTGATGTTAGATCACCCCCGTCAATGCAGCTGCAGTGGAGGGACTGGCTGTAGCTTTAATCAAGGGCAGACAACAGCTAGTATTACGCTTTTTGACTCTATACCCCGGTCAGGCCAGCAGGCTTAAGCCCTTTATCTGGAAATCTCAGATGTGTTTGTTCCGGTTTGGAATCAAGGCCGCTGTGGCTTTGCAGAGCGTCTCCAAAACACACTTGTTTGGACCGAACTCGTCACCACACGCACAAAGACAGCAACGCCGATCGAAGATACAAAAGCGCGCGTGTGTGTGTGCATGTGGCTACCCATTAGGTCACTGATGGTCTCGGAGCCCTGGCTGTGCTCCCTCCTCTCCGCCTCCAGCGCGGCCTGCAGACTAATGCATTCCTTCTCCAGGCTCAACTTGCTGCGCTCCAGCAGGCAGCTTTTGTCCTGCAGCTCGCGCACGTTGGCCTCCAGCTGCTGCAGCTGCTTGCTGCTCTCCGTCTGGGTTTTACGGAGCCTCGTCGCCGCCTCCGCCTCGGCCCGCAGCAACGTGTTGGCTTCCTCCAGCTGGATGGGGAAGGTTAGTCGGAAACGGTTGGACGAGGGAATGCAGCGTGTTTGTTTGAGTCGACAGTTATGGTGTGTTTACTGTTCCAAGTCAAATCCCCGATCAACTACTTTATTTTGGAACACCCAGGGGCTGTTGGCGAAGGCCATGATATCCCTCTCTTCCCAGAATAAAGCAGAGTCCGAGCGCTTGATCATCTCGAACTTGCTCAGCACTTTCATGGCGTAAACCTTCTGAGAGGCTTTGTGCCGGACCTGAATGGAGTCAAACCCTGACAACTAGTTGATAGAGTACCTGTTTCTGCAGGTGGATGTTCTTCTCGTTGGAAATGTGGGAATTCTGGTTCCTCTTCTTCATGTCATCAAGCTGGTCTCGAAGGCTGCTCACTGCATCACAGACATGAAGACACAATTATTCCGGTGAATCACCTCTGCGCCATTATAATACTCAAATAGCAATATTTGTTAACATTGATTGGTTGAAGTATTATGATTATCAGAGTAGTATTGCGAGAGTTATGAGGCAAATTGTACAATATCCACAAAACTAGTTTTAAGTTCATTGGCGCATCGACTTGCTTTCTATTTGACCAGGTGATGGCAGCAATGTCCTCATTAGATCAGCAAACTTCCATCAAACTCTTCTACTTAAAATTAAAGCCCTCGCTATTCATTTGGTAAAAAGGCATCTTTTGTTGGGTCATTACATATTAACTGCAATCTTTTAACTATCTTGGGATGCCATTTGACAGCTCTAAATGATGCATCAAACTTGCTGCCATGTCTCATGACAATGTCATCATGCAACGAGGTGATTGATCCTTGGCGGCTCATCCGCTCATTAAGCAACGGCGAGTGTCAACGTGCGCCTAGCGTCACCTTCGCTCTCCAGGCAGCGCTTCCTGTCGGCCTCGCCCTCGGCCTTGCGGCTGCTCTCCAGGCTCTTGTGCTGCAGAAGGGCCTTCTCTCTCTCCAGCTGCCTCAGCGCCGCCTCCAGTTTCTTCCTGCCGCTCACCTAAAATCAATCGTGGAAACACTTTGGTCAACGTGTCTCACGCCAACTGGCTTTATTGGAGGCGGCTCGACGGGATCCGATGGGCCTTTTTGATGCAGGTTCTTTAAGCGTTTGAGGTGACGAGTATAAAAGCTTAGTCGGACTTTTAGAGTTTCAGCTCCAAAAAGAGAAACTGGGCCAATCTGCTGTTGAGTCTCTGCACCAGCAAATACCAAAAGTGGGCTGCAGCCCAAAATATCCAAGTGAGCTCCGGACTCTGACAGGTGCCTTCACTCTGGGTGCAGGGGGGCGTAGCTCACCTCTTCCTCGAGCTCTTTGGAGATTTTGTCCAGGCGGCTGGTGGCAGCTCTACAACAAAGAAAAAAGAAACGTCTGTGCGGGCTCACAGGGCGACGCTCGCTGCCACGTGAAGGACAGCTGTGAAACGGACCTGTGTTTGCTCTCCAGATCGCCTTTGACCTGCTTCTCGTTATTCAGCTGAACCTCCAGGTGACGCAGTTTCTTCTGCAGCGCCGCCGACTGTGGAGAGAAAACAAAGCGCCGGTCACACGCGCTGTTTGCGACCTTTAGCCCGGGGTTCGACAGCCAGAGGAACGCGTGCACCTTTCAACCCTGCAGTGACTTTACAATCCTGACCGCATGCTGTAAACTGACACAGTGTGGGCTTGTCAGGTGAATAGTATTGAACGAGCCAGTAACAACACAGAACGATCATTCGATTGAGGTGTTCACCGGAAGAAACGGGACACGCGGCTTTTAGCTCCGTTTGCCTGCGCTGTGTTGACTGGGTGGTCATCGTTTGGTTATTAGAGTCACGGTAAGAGAAACTCCGGACTTCAAAGACAAAATGAGCTGGAAGATGTGCTGAAGCGCTCGGTACGGTTGAGGAGAAGACCGCCATTGGGACGTAATCCTCGGTGTGCTTATTGCATAGATGAAGATGACAGCTCTTCAAAACACAAAGCATCTGGTTTGCTTCGTGGTTTTTATTAGTTATTCAACGCTTTATAAAATAGGAAAGAGAGCAGGAGGCGAAAGAAAATCTTCCATAACCGTGATGTCAGTTTCAAATATATACACGTACAGATCTCTATTTGGAGTTTATAGTTCATATAGACACCATCTGGGTCACTAGCAACATTCCCACAGACGACACAAGACAACAGCCGCGGGTTTTCATATCAGACGACGTTTCTGAAGCACAATTCCACCGTCTGCTCACAGATTAATCTGTGGATGCATTATGGATATTATGGGCGGCACCGCGATACCATGCAGCTTCATTCTGGTACAGTGGGAGGAAGTGGAGACCTGCCGTCCATCTAAATAATCTGCCCGTAACACGTATGAAGTCTTATTCATACGTGTTCTGTTGTAGCTTTCATAGCAGCTTTTCACCCACACACGGAGAGTAAGCTCTTTGAAACTTCTCAAGAGGAAAGGTGTCTCGATGTTACAGAGGAAAAACTGCAACACTCACCATCTTGCACTCTCATAGTTGTTCTGCAGAGATTATAATTTATATTCTTTTGCAACACAAAACCTGGGGCTTTGTCATCTTCCTCCGAAATTGATTGACAAGGCTGCTCAAATAGTACTGATGCCAATGAAAGATTAGCTTAAAGCTCAGCCACTTACACCAAAAGCTGCTTATGTGTTTGTGTGTGGCTAAGAGCACTGAAACTAACAATGCTCAAGTACATCGTGGAGAATCCCGTCCCTGAGTCATGTCCCTGGTAATCCTGAAAGTCTTGAAGCGCTAATGAAGGTGGATTGATCACAATGTCAGCAGGTCTGTGTGGTCGTGTAAAACAGACGCCAGCTCACTGATTTCCAGCCGCAGCGCGTGGAAGCGTAAGAACCCACCTCGCCTTTGGAATCGTCGTGGGTCACCAGGACGTTGTTGGAAGCATTCATACCTGATCGGGGGGAAAACATGAGTGAGCACTGATATCTCCTGAAATGATAAGACATGGCCGCAGGAAAACTGATTCTGACTCACTGGTCTTCTTTGAAGTAAGTGAAGCCAACAAAGGGGAGCTGGTTTCCGACGAAGGCCTTAGGTTTGGGGAACGTCTCCACGTCGCCTTTGTCATCTTCAATCTCGTCGAAGTTACTGGTGTCTATGTCACTGCTCAGCTCCGGGACCACGGGGGCCACCGCTGAGGAAGGAGAGCCAGAGGGAGAAGGAGGCAGGGAGATGGAAAGGGAAACGGCAGGTGTGAATGGCCGGAAAAAAGGAAGCACTACGTAAACAAAACGTGCCGTTTCAGCATCTACAAGTGTCTGGCTGCTGTTCTAGAGGAAGCCTGTTTTAAAAGGGTTTGAGTTTCACTAGCTCAGCCGAGGCTGCTTGGGGAACCGTGGGGATACTGACTGTCTCTGATGGTGTCGAAAGTCCACAGGTCGTTCTTGAAGAAAGGGTGACGCTTGATTTCCTCCACGCCGTTTCTGCCCAATCGCACCTCCCTCAAAACAAAGAGAGCGAAGCAGTGACTAAATGTTCCCTTTGTCCTCAGTTCAACGGTATCAGCGGATCCATATTCTTCTCGCGGAGTCATTAGACGCCAGAGCTAAACATACGGACATCGATTGGGCTAAAGAAAGAAGTGAAAGTGGTCACATGGAAGATATTTAGGGTTACAAATTGACTCCACCAAGTGAGATCAACACAGACCACAGACGGTGACCCGATCCCATTACACTTTGCAACTAGATTCAACAATATCGAAATACATTGAGGAGTGACTCTCTGGATACCTGTCGGTCAGGAAGGCACAGATGATATTCTTGGCATCTTTGGAGATCTCCACGTCGTCGGGGAAGTTAAGGGAGTTCTTGTGGTCCATGATCTTGCTGTAGGTTCCCACCAGAGAGTCGGCGTAGAACGGCGTGTCACCTAACGGTAAAAATCCAGTAGGTTAGCGATATAAAAAACAACCTGGTGTAAGATGTCCCCTCCCCTTGCTCCACCCCTGTTTTAAAGAATCAATAAGGGGACTAGATGCTCACTGACCAACAAGCATCTCGAAGATGAACACCCCTACGGACCACCAGTCACACTCTCTCCCATAATACCCGTCTCCTCCCTGGGACTTCAGGACCTCCGGAGAGATGTAGTCCGGGGTCCCCACAGCCGTGTCACAGTGCACCATGCCGGTCTGCAACGCAAATTCACCAATCAGTTCCCTTCAAAACGCCTGTACGCTTTATGGAATAGAGTCTCTGGTTCGCCATGGATCCGAATGCAGACATGGAGACCGGTCAGCCGTCTCCTGGAGCCGCTGAAGGTCTGTTGGAGCTCACCGAGTTCATCTTCATGCACGTGCCAAAGTCGGCCAGCTTGAGGTGCCCGAGTCTGTCCAGCAGCATGTTGTCGGGCTTCACGTCCCGATGGATGAAGCCCATGGAGTGGATGGCGTCCAGGGCCATCACCACCTCCGCCGTGTAGAACTTGGCCCACTTCTCCGGCACGTCGTAGGTGCTGGTGAGGTTGACCAGGTCGCCTCCCGGCATGTACTCCATCACCATGTAGAGGTAGTGCTCGTCTTGGAAGGCACAGCACAACTGAGTGGACCCAAACGCACAAAGCTCTCGTTAGGAACCGTCTTTAGACATTGAGGATCAAACTGTGGGAAGAGAGAGGGGGAGAAAATCAGAAGCTCGGCAGTAGATTCAAAAAGGCTCATACCTGCACCACCCAGGGGCTGTTGGCAAAGGCCATGATATCCCTCTCTTCCCAGAAGAAAGCAGAGTCCGAGCGCTTGATCATCTCGAACTTGCTCAGCACCTTCATGGCGTAAACCTTCTGAGAGGCTTTGTGCCGGACCTGAATGGTGGCAAGACCAGAGTTAATCAGAGGTGGAAAAAAGTGCCCAAACGGTGGACTGCAGGGTTTTATAGAAATGCAAACCACAGTACAACAAACCCCGGACAGCCTTTTGAAGTCAAGTACTCTTGACATCGACTCGAGGGCTTTCACTATAAAACAGCTCTGTGACCTTTCCGTGTAGAGATCCACAGCAGGGGTCTCAATCCCTCCACAGTGACCGCTTTAAATGTGGAAACCAATACTCACTAATTGCACTTCACCAAAAGCCCCTCGACCGATGACTTTGACTCTGTCGAAGTCTTCCGATTTCATCTGGAGGTCTCGAGTCTGTTTGATGACCGCCTCATCTGCGTACGAAGAGAAGAACAGAATCCCGATCACGATGTTGGGAATCAACCAAGAGAACAAACTCCATCTTTGAAAGGTGGCAAATGTCGCCCAGCTCCCCCCCTCTCTCTCATTCTCAAACAATAACGACTCACATCTGATGAGGAAGGTTTCGATGTTCTTGTTCTTGCGCAGTGCGGGGTAGTCCAAGTCCAAGACCAGGGCGTTGATGGAGTCCTGCGTGGAAAGAGGCAAACAATCAAGGCGCTGATGTCAGAAGGCCTCGGTTCTGACGCGCTCTCTGCGTAGACGAGTGTGGGTGGAAGGAAGCTGACGCCACAGTGCAAGTCACAGCGATTAAAACATGACAGATTCTCAAATAACAAGAAGTGTCGTCTATGTTCCTCAGCAATGGGATTGTGCAAAAAAAAAGAAAAAAAGAAATCACAGCTTATGTGTCAAAATATGAACTGTTAAGATTATAATCATGCAGCCGAATACCAAACAATACGTGACTGGGATTTTTGAGCGCACTGAGCAATGGATAAAAATGTGTCATTCCTTAAGTTCATAGTCACATTTTACTGACTACAATGCTGTAATGTACTCTTTTATAGTACATATATATACATACATACATTCCAGAACATTAAGAAAATGGTATTCATAAAAACATGGGGGTGAACGTACCAGTCCTACCCAATGAAGGCAGAAGAGCAGGACCGACTGAATGCATCTTAGAAGCTTATTTTCGGTGTGTTTTCTAACCGCTTGGCTCCAGCGTTTCATTCGACAGTGATCGACTTGACGGACTGGATACATATACAGCAGCTACAGGCTGAGGGAAACGGCTTCGACTGAAGGCTTTTCCCCCCCCAGAGACATAAAGAGGCGGGATGACTCATTTTTCAACCTACTTGATTCTGTCCTCTTCTGACAGCTGAGGATCACACGCTGTTTGCTGTGAACAAACTGTCGCTGTAGAGAGACGATCCGACCGCCACAGCGTGTGGTCACCGCACTCACCGCACCAGTTCCCATTGGTCCTTTCCACACATTTCTGCGTGAACACAAGTGACTGTCTCGCACAGGTCATGACCAGCTTTAACGGGACAGCTAACGGCAAACAATATTTTGTTACAAAGAACTGTTAATTTAATGTAAACGCTTCAGTTTATGCAATCCATCCACTTTTAGAAGTAAGACACTACTTTAAAAGGGAAACTGTATCAACTAAAAGCATCCGATCCAGGCTTTCCCAACGTTTGCTCTCAATCCACCTTGATTAATGCAACCCAAAATAATACTATGGCCCCCTGAAACAGAGTCAATAATATGAATTAACTTTAAAAAAAAAAATTCTTAAATGATTCTGTGGATAGAGCGAAAACACCTTGTGGAAGCTGTCAGGGAACCATGAAAACATGAGAAGATAAATAAAAAGGAAAATCAACGTCGTTAGATTTGATTTATTTGACCAACTCAGTTAAAAGGAAGCATGTAATATATATCCAATTTCTTTTTAGACACCATTCAACAAACCGTACAAGTACTGACGTATCTGCGAGGTGAGGCTGGGAGCTGGACTGAACCACTGCGGCAGCACGTCGGGTCAACTGAACACAAGCGCCCTGCTTGTACAATGGCTCCTTCCGTAAGGGGCACAGTTTGACCCGGGGCAACGCGAGGAAACCGCCAAACAAGACAGGCCGAAGCGGACCTCTAATGGTTACAGTGTGTTACAATGAGGAAGTCGTCCATCAACTCCCGTCAGCTACGCATTCCTGGGCGCTCAACGAGGAGCCGTTTGGACCCGACGCCAGAGCCGAGGACCTCGCTCAGAAGGTCTAACTGGACCCCCCCCCCCACCATTGTTCTCCCACCATCACAGTGCTGAGAGAGGAGGGCACAATCTCACTCTCCGTTTTATCATCTCAATGTTCACTTCCCCATTAAAAGGACTGACCTCACACAAAAGCTACTATTTAAGGGGGAAAAAAACAACAACAACCCGGGCGCGTGCACGAGGATCTTCCTTCAGCAATACAGGAAACGATCCAACCCCCCCCCGGCAGACAATTTCACTGTGTCATGAAGCCAGTCCCTGTGTGCAAGTCATTTCCTCTGACGCTGCTCTGCCTCCCCAAATCTATCGTTTACACATGCGTGGCAGCATGTAAGTGTGTGAGTGTGTGCGTGCAAAACTTCCAGTGCATTGTGTGCGTTGCATTACTTTCGAATTACTTCCCTAAAAGACATCTGCAACAGGGCGCAGATGAGACGCGCTCCGTTTGTTGACACCCGCTCACTGGTGAGTCACACCGGGAGGCCCGTGACGTCGTCGTGCCTCACTGGGGTCACTTCGCAGTGGCAACCCAAAACACCGGAGCTACAAGTCCGGCTACAAGTGTCACGTTTCGTAGTGAGATCTCCTGCATGGCGCCTCGCTACGTCCACACAACCGGTCCCCGTGCCTCCAGCAGCAATGACAGAACCACCACACGTAAAGCCTTGGGCCTCCAGTAACCAGTAATCAGTCTGCTTCAAGAGTCAAGTCGGTTTGTGCTTGATAAATGAATGGATGTGGATCTATTCATCCACGGTTTTGGTAAAAGGCTTATGGAGCATACGACTGGATAAATGAGACCCGCAGCAGTTGGAGAGTCTGTGAACGGATGAAAACCGCCGGGTTAGTTTTCTTCAAGAATTCAATTGGACAAGGTGAGCAATTGATGTACATTGGTCACCTTGTTGGTGAGGTATTCCTTGAATGTATCACACTTTATTGGAGTAAAAATGTGGTTTCCTAATGACTGCAGCTTTTTATTGTTTGCCTTCAGTGACCTTTTGCCTCATGTTTACATCTTTTTGGTGACTTTTGCCCGGATGCACAGAGCTTGTACGGCAGGAAACAGCAGTTTCCATGAAATGACACCGTAATGTAACTATCAGGCAGTGGGCAGTGCATGGTGTGCATTTAGCTACAGTTAGCTCCTTCTGGAGTCTCCTAGCAACAATAAAATAAATATGCTCTTTGTGATCGAGGCCTGAGGCCCATCTACAGTAGTTAAATAATGAATAATTGACAATTGATAATTATCTGACGGGTAGAGAGGATTTCTCCGCTGCTCAAACCACGACAGGATTCCCGTTGAGTCCTCTCCGCAGTAACGCATGGCCAGAGGTCGGAGCCCAACGCGTCGAGGACGGGTACCACGGGAAGGTGTGTACAAAGCAGAGAGGCAGGTAGAGGAAGTTTACGCTCTGGACACAAAGTGTCGGAAGCAGAAACGCTGCACTCCAGAGAGGACAGGCGCTGTGGGTCCACCAGGGCCATCACCATCTAGAAGCTGGAGCCCCTCGCAGCATTTTATTCCCTTCTCTGTCGGCCCACTAAACAAGTGCAATCAAGTACGAAGGAAGGAGAAACAAATAAATACGCGTTGCCCCGGTGACGGCGAGCCGTTGGCTCCTCTGTGAGGTAGTGAAACGATGTGAGTGCAGCTGGTCTTTCCATCTCCTTTCTTTGGAAAGCAAAGTGCACGAGCGGATCGGCGGCTGCGAGGCCCGTTTGCAGCTTATGAACTGCTTGAAAATGGGCTTTATTTAACCACATTAGCAGATATATGTTGCAGAGACCCGGTCAGTCACGCATAATGAGGGGGGTTCGTGGGCTACTCGGCTGAAGCGTCTTTCTATAGATATGAAATAGCTGACAAGTGCGCGGGGCATTGTGACGCCGACATATCTGACCTATCTGGCGCTGCTCCAGACAATCACAGGTCCCGCCCTCCTCGTCCACCGCCACGTTGGACAAGGGATCAGAACAATTATGCAGCGTGACGTCCGGTGCGAGCGCGACGTGTGCGCTCAACGCACAGCCGAATAGGAAGCCTTATCAGCACGAGTCGTTTCGGATCTATTCGACAGCACTTCAGCCGTTTATCTTTCTAAGGGGTTATAGCTGGTCGCTTAGCAACTCCTGCAAAATACAGAGTGTTGAAATCAGTGGCGACTAGGGAGCAGCAGCGGGCCGGAGCTATTTAAAGCCCATTCTAGTCTTTTCACATTTGGATTTAGTGTTGCTGTTGACATTACGGAGCACCCCCCCCCCCTACCCGTTGCTTCCACTCTTTAATCACTCTATAAAACGGCCACGTGGATCCACCAGGCAGGAATGTGGTGATGTTAACCTGAAAGGAGCTCAAAGAACACAGAGAGGACACCCCGATCACTCCGACCGCTCAAGGCCTCCCTCTCAGACACTCGTCCCCGGGCATGAGGGAGGGGGGGGGACTGAACACCGCTTTGGGCTTTAAAAGGATCGGGCACAGAGAGTTAATGTTTGATTGAATTCCAGTCGTTTTAAAAATAGTTTGGCGGGGATAAACGGCGGGCCGGGCGGAGCGTTGGGGGCCCGTAAACCCTCTGAGCAAAGACACGGCGGCTGGGATCCCCGCTGGGGCCGTCGCAAATAGCACAGCCAACGTCTCTGTGGGGAATAACGTGAGCATTTCTTACTCTCATTTGACAGATTTCCACCCCGGGCTCCTGTGGCCCGAGCGCGTTTGGCACCCGGCGTTACCTGAGGAATGCGGCCGAGAAAGGAAAGGAGCGAAGGGAAGACTGCATGTAAATAAGGGGTGTCCTTGAACTCGGCTTTCTGAATGCTAGTAATGTCCACAAGAGAAAACATGATTAAAAAAAAGGGATGAGGAAGATTTTGTAACAGCAAAGCAGCTGTATGGTTGATCACACACACAACCTAAGATTTGGGTCGTATTGGGTCCCAGGAAGGCAATATAAATAAATATTAGAATTACCCTGTTTTTTTTCTCCATTTTGGCTTAAACTTGAACACGGCCTCCGATGAAGGGTCACAGATAAAAGAGGCATCCCGGAGGCATCCATCCAGCATCTCCATCAATCACATCAACTAGCAAAAGCTGTCAGTAAACAGCTCCAGGAGCAGCCAATCTTATTGACAGTCCAAACTGTAATTTAAGAGTAAAAAAGGGAAAACATTCCCAACTAGGATGCAGGAACCAACTTTGTAGTGTTGGCTCAAACCAACGGCCAGCTTCAACACTGGACAAAAGACACACACACACACACACACACACAACCCATGGCTGGTTCTGTAACGTGTGTGAGAGATTGTTCCGCCGTTGCTGCTGCATGCACACAGGGTTCCTATCGAGTGAACATGGAAAGAAAGAAATGTGTCCACAGGAAACAAAAGCCTGGTGTGTGTGTGTGTGTGTGTGTGTGTGTGTCAGGTGGTGCTCCAGCAGCGGGTTGTGGTGCAGATGGATGTGTTATGTGTCGTGCGTGGGAGACTCCCGTTCTCTTCTCTGCTAACTCAGACACCCTCGATCGGATCTAAATATACACAGAGATGCAGGTGTCAAACCCAGTGCGGCTCACACAACGTGCACGGGGGGCGTGTGGGGGGGGGGGATGTGTGTGTTCGGTGTCCTTTGTGATCCATCAAAGGTCAAATCTTCCATCAGTATCTGAAATGCCTGTTGTATCCGTTTGTGTTACACGCCCCCCCCCCGATCATCCCATCCACGGCCCTTGTGTCTAGACGACGAGATCCGCCAGATTAAGACGAAGCTCGTGGTGTATACGTTTCCTTTCACGTGAGAGCCATGCAGCGGGGGGGGAGGACACCTCGGGACGTCCCGTTGCAGCTTTGCTCTGTGGTCCAAACGTCTGATTATGACACGGGATGAGACTCAGCGCAGTTCACCCAAAGGTGCATCACACAACCAGATGGATGCCGTGGTCAGAGCGGTAATAATAATAATAATAATCATAATTGTAGTTTAAGCATAATCATAATATTTTGGACGATCCTGAATAACCTTTCAATTGTGGAGGTTAAGTTCTCCCTCATTTTTGGCATTCCTTCTCACATCCCTGCGAGGTGGATCTTGGCTCGACTCACAGCTTGTTCCATTCGTCCGAGGTATTATATAATGTGCCGCCAAGTAGGTGTATATTTATCTTTGTGTGCTTTAGACTCCTGCTCGGCTTGGTAGTAACGTTTGACGCAGGCTGGGTGGGCATTCCTTTCAGCTTTGCAAAACTTCAAGACGCAAGATTTATCATGAATATATTGCTTTGGTATTTTGACATAAAGTACTTGCAGTACGGCCCTTGTTCAGTGGTAGGGGACAAGAAATGTCTGTGCAGATGGGTAGAAGATGCTTACATGGGGAATTTGTACGATATTCCAAATGAATCAATAAACAATGCAGCACATAGGCGTCAGCTGGAAGAGCGGAACACTCCCTCACGTTTGCTTTCTGCGGGTCTTTTTTTTTGGGTTGGGCAGCTTCTGAACTCGGTTCTCTACCCTGCTGGGAACGCGTCCCACCACACCGCCCCCCCTCGAGACTTCTCTGCTGACTGCTAACAAGGAGGCACCTTGTGTACTGTCAGTCACAATGGGAATGTTTTTCCCCTGCCAAGAAGGTTAGACTTGATTGCGCTCCGTCTCCATTGAAGTCTGTGAAACCCTGATAAGTGCATTTTAATTCACTAATTACGAATACTTCAATAAACATGTTGCCGTTTCATGGGGCACACGACTATTTTCAAGTCTCATCGTCCCAGTGAGGGAACCAGGCAAGCAGAGGAGCAGCCACTCATGTGGCTGAATGAGATTTTATTTACCGAGCAGACATGACACACAAAGCTTCATCACGAAACTCTCTTGTTAGCAAAGTGTATTTCCCAAAACGTCAAACTAGCCCTTTGCGGTCAGCGGTGAAATGATGTTGTGCGGAGACGCATTAAGGCAGCGGAGCAGGAGAACTATCTATGTGATCAGGGGAAACCCTGACGAAGCGACATAGTTGTGACCACTAAGGAGGACCGGACGATACACAGCTGAAGTCAAGTGTGACATTTTAAGAGCGCCGAGGACGGAAGACGCCGGGGTCTTCTCCAACGGAGTGGAGCGAAAACCAAAAAAAGACTCTCTCTCCAGAGGAGGTTCGGAGCAGAGAGACTGGCTTGTTTTGCAGAGAGAGGGAGAGGGAAAAAAAAAGAAAAAGACAGAAAAAATTGGCTGGGGCCACCGTCCCCAGTGCCTTATAAGGCAGCGTTTCTATCCTGCTAGCACATCGAGGGACTGCTGCAAGCCAGCTGCACTACGGAGACGGAGCGGACGCTCTCAGGCTAGAGACCGTCCATCAGGACACACGGGGGTTATCCCCACCTCCCCACGAGAGCTGCACTAGAAGCTAAGCCCCATCGTGGTGTGGGGGGGCATGGTGGGTTAGAAGAAGATTGGTAAACATTCGGTGGGAAATGAGCAGACAGCGTCCGGGGAGCGGCGTGAGTAACCGCCGCTACAAGCCCAACGAGTGCGTCAACGCCAAGAGTCACGGCCATCTGATGCCGTTTAAAGATCACACTGAAACGAGACGCCACCCCCCCCACCGCCCCCCCAAAAACAAACAAAAGTGACGTGATCTGGAAGACATCAGGCCGGACCCTTAGCTATAAGCATCCCATATCACTGCCGGCATGAGGCTCGAGCGCCGGGTTATCTGGCAGCGCCGGGTCTGCAGCTGCATCGAGAGGCTCTGGAGCTACAGTTAAAATACCTGCAGTGTGTTTAACATGCCCAGAGGGGGGGGGCAAAGGAAAATAGTAGATAAGGCTGGAAGAGTGAAAGGGGGAGGGGGGGAAGTGCAGTCGTTCAGAAGGGGACTTTGAGCCCACATGGTGCTGCAGACTTATTTACCCAGTGAGGTCATTTCCTTCAGGTCGGCAGAGAGAAAAAAAAAAAGGAAAAAGAGGCGACTCGTGTGACTCGCAATGGAGCGTGCGCGTTGAATGTCCTCTCCTTTCAGCGCCCTCCACCATCACTCCCCGGCCCTGCCGCTTGGCAGCCAAGTCCAGCCCCAGTCAGCAGTAGCCTGCTGCCAAATAATGATCACAGCGGTTTGCACAGGGAGGGGGGCACTTCAGGCAGCGCTCGATTTAACGCTGATAGAGGCCGTAAAACGGTGCTTGACAGCATATACGACCACGGCGGGTGCAGCAGCGCCTCCTGGAAGCAGGCGAGCAGCGAGTGACACGCAGGACACTAAAGTCCAGAGTCCCGGCTTATGACGGGCCGGACTCATTTACGGGAATGTCGGCGCCTTTGCTCGACAGATGCTGCGGATTCCTCGCTGTCAGCTTTCCATGTCCTTTACTGCTCCCCGCCGAGCCCTAAGCTAAACACACCTCGCCTGGAGCGGGCCGACGAACACAAACGCTGCGTTAATAGCGGCCCAGCTTCTTCTATAAAAGCAGCTTTGTGTTTTTCTCCTTGTTGCTAAGCCACGCTAGCAAAGGGATGTGCCATTCCTTTTTTACCAAATGATCAAGTCTGTTATTCCACCTGCAAATAAAAGACGCAAAGAACTACGTTTCTGAGCCTTGGTGTTTGCGTGTGCTAGTGTGCGTCAGCTTGGAGCAGCAGAACTTCTTGATCCATGTGACAGCTAAAAGTGTGGATCCCTGCATCCTTCTCTCTAGCTCTCCCTCTCCCTCCTACGCATTCCCACTCAATTTTAGTCTCCATGCAATCGACGCCTCCGTCACTTCGGGCTCGTGTGCAGCAAGTAAACACAGACGGCCTTCATGCATGTATTCCGCCGCCTTGACAGAAGAGGGATAGGACCAGGATTGCCTTAAGTAGAGTTGGAGTAAGTAAGGGGGGGGGGGGGGGGTAGATGGGGCCCATTGAAAGGTGATGCTTTTTAAGGTAGACCCCGACAGTGTGTTTCCCCCTCTGTCAAGTCCAGTTAAGGGGCCCAGAAATCCAGATGCCTTCACTGAAATCGGATGCAACTTAACAGCTAAAGGAGTCCCTGCAAACGCACCACCCGCTATTGTGCAGCGGACACACACACACACACACACACACACACACACACACACACACAGGTCCGGGCATTAAAAACCTCCCCCCTTAAAGCCCATTTCATGATATATACGCTGGCGTAAGCACACTAATTTTGCCTCTGTCTAATGCTTGCTTCCTCACCGGGCCCAGTTCAGAATTAAAAGTTAAGTCTCTCCTCTGCTGTGTATCTTTTGGCAAAACGAGGCAACTTTTATCAAATAATACAACTTAATTCCCCAAAATGAAAGATCAGAGCGCTTGTTTTTGGAAAAAGGGAAGAGCAACCATTGCGTGAGTATGTGAGGGACTTGTGCCGGGGGTCAGATCATCTCAGAAGAGGACATTTCCAATACGGATACCCCACAGCACGTGCAGTATACAATAACAATGGGGAATCAATTCTACAAATTCTACAATTCCAGGAGTTTCTTGACAACTGCAAATAGTGTCGGAAATGCGCTGGGCCACCACCCAGAAAAGCATGTGTGAGCAGGAGAGGAATACATTTCAGTGGAATCGCTATGATTCACAACAGGTTATCCGAATGGATTTCAGCAATACGTGTGCTCTAATGGGACATCTAGAGACGGGACATCGGGTACATTTACTCCCGAGAGCTGGGTGCACTGCATCCTTCTAATGAGCCATCAGTGGGGACGGACCAGAACACCGTCCACTGGGACCAATCCTGGTCTGGTGGGGCCGGCTGTAACCCAGTAGCTGAGTATTAGCCTGGAAACAGTCTCCATAAAAGACACCAAGTGGGCTGCACTGGTTAATCCTAATCTGTAGACAGGCTTCACAGAGCCCCCAAAGCGGGTCGTCTGCACTCAGCCTTAACTAATAAACAGGCCTATTTAACTTAATGCCAAGGTGTCGGATTTCAGGAGAGAACTCAAATTGTGTCGTTTCTTACGGAGAATAAAAGTGGGCACGCAGCATCACGGCGTGAATGATGTAACAGTAGCAGGTCCCAGCTCGGGAGTTAACGGGGAGCAAAACAACCAAACCGAGAGGCGTCACGTGCACGGCGCCGCGTCACCCAGGTGTGCGCGGACGTTTCCCACCCCACTTACCAGCAAACTCTCCAGGTTTATGGCACATCGGGGGTCTCTGATCATGTCCTCCAGCTTCTTCAGCCGGGCTTCCATCCTCCTCTCCGCGCCGAGCGACATGGCTGCACAGTCGGTGTTTACAGCAAAAAAAAGTTCAGTCAAACCTGACGGGCTTTTTTTGTTTTTGGTTCTTTCTTGTTCTCCAAAAACTTCTGCGTGAGTTCACACGCGAACGCGCTTAGTTCGTGGCTAACGGGCGCGGGCCTGGCCCTCGCGGGGCCGCCTCGGGGCTCTCAGCCCACCCGGCGGGCTTCCAGCGGGCTCGGTGTGCGCGACGAGGAGAGAAGCGGTTCCCGAAAGCGGAGGCTCCCCGCGTCCCGAAGACGAGCTGGCCGCGCGCAGGAGCGGGGCCCGTGGGATCGATGTGGCCCGTTGGATCGATGTGGGATCGATGTAGCCCTTCGGCTAATCGTTACACTCCAGTTAACCGCCTCCCGCTCACTCAGACATGCGTTTTTTCCCCAACTCGCCGATAAAAGTTCCAGTGTTCCACCCGCAGGCACCAGGGCGTTTTCCTCGCCCTTTTCTTCCCCTTCCCTGGAGCGGGGTTCTTTTTTTGTTTTTTTTGGGGGGGGGGGGGGGGCGTTTGGAAATTATTCGGGACTCGCTGTTTCGGAGTGAATTCCGCTTCGTTTTCACCCCATTCAGCAGTGTGTGGAGGCCGCTGAGCTTGAGTTCCTCCTCAGCGCTGCCACAGGTCATCCGACCGGGCGACCATGTCCGTCCTCGCGCGCCGACTCTTCAACGGGCAGACGCGCTCTTCCTGCACTTCTGTTCGCATGTTTGTGTCCTGCTGCGTCTCGTGCTCGTTACATGGGCGCGCGCGCACGCACACACACACACACACACACGCACACACACACACACACACACACACACACACACGCAGGCCGCAATACGTATTTTGAGAAGGAGAGAACAAGTCCTCCAGAGGCTCGCAGCTACACACCGACACTCACTACTGGCTGAGTGCGGAGTCGCTCTCCTCCCCCCGACGGCCACGCGCCGAGGACTCCGCTACCCAGAAGCCACCTCGGCTTCTCTCTCTCTCATTCATTTCAGTGTATTACGTTGTGGCCTTAGAATTTCGACAAAGGACTCTTTTTTTAAGTTTGTAGATCATCCTCAGGCCCCCGGTTAGTTTTTTTAGTTCAATCAAAATTAACTTTAATCTCAGTTACGGATAGACGGATAGATATAAATATAGAGAGACATAGATGTACAGTATACACACACACACACACACATTCTTCCGTTGTATAGACCAGAGCCGTTCTTTGGTGTAAGAGCTCTGTCATCATGACGTGCTTGCATTCCTACAGCAACAACTGTTTTGCAACTGTTTTTGTCAATGTGACTCGACTTTGCAGCTATTTCCATTTTCCAATGCACAACTGGAATGTGTACTCACTATATCTCGGGGGTGGGGGATCACCAAACAGGAAGTGATGCATTTGACATTTTCTTTATATAGTTATTTTGCACTAGGAGCACTAAAGCGCAGTGGTAGAAGCAGGCAAACACACAAGCGCTCCATTCAGAGACTCCAAGGTTTGTTTCAGGTTATGTTCGGGAAATGTGGTGTTAAACAACAAAACACCATATTGCCTCTTGTGGAGCATTGTTCAATGATGACTATTTTTCCAAACATATCATGGTACTGAGCTATTCCAATGCAGGCAGGTCGTCTTTCATCTGATTCTACAGGCAAAGATAAAATTGTGACGTAAGTGGGCTTCTGTAAGTGAGAGCAAGGGTCTATATACATATATACGCATATATATGTATACATATACTGTATATGTGACCAACAATGTTGTGATCCTGTGATCAGCTGTACCACTTTGACAGTTGCATACACTGCAGATTTGGATGGCCTGGTTTGATTCCTGTTTTAGGAATTGGCGGTGAGAAGTTTTATTCAGTACAAGAATAGTCACAAATTATTTCGGGTTCTTTTACAAACGCAAAATACAAATATCAAAAGTTGAATCAACTCAATACAGTTTCATAAAAAATAAAACAACACTGTCGGCTTTGTTTTTCTCCACCATTAAGCCGTTTCACGGGAAGCATTTAATTGTGAACCCATTAAATTGCATTTCTCCCTGAGGAAATCAAGCCTCCTCCCGTTACCTCTCCGCTGAGCAGTGGGCTGATGCCCGACAGCAGCCATACGATGGAGCTAGAGACCATTCACCCCTCAATGTCTGCAGTCACACATCACTCTGTACGCCGTGACACTATTCATTGTTTCTGATACGTCACGATGGGTTAAATGCAGAGAATAATTTCCTCACAATGATTAACAAAGAATTCTCTGAGCTTGAGAGTTGAATTTTGGATTAATTTTCTTAGTATCCCAAAAAAATAACAATTACACTTCGTAGGTAATTAGTTAAAGACGAAGCAGAGCTCATTAGTTAGTGCTGATTTTATTTTCAATCCACTCCATTTCAACCATCAATATTTAAATGGTATAGCCTAAGCCGAGTTATGAATGATTCAATATTCTAAAATGTGTAATCACTTGCGCATTATTCATAACATTTTAGGGCTGTGCATGTATTTGACTGGTAGGCGCTATGGGATCTTTAGAGGCGAACTCACATGCACGTTATGAAGTGATGTATAGAGTTAAAATCTCCCCAATTAAAAGGAAGCCAAAGAAGAGGCTGTAGTTTCATCTCTTTCAGATCAAAGAAGGTGAATGAAGTATCCCTCGTACATAGAATGACCAGATATGACCCATCTGACACAAGGTTGTGTGCCTCTTATTTATTTGTCTTCATGAGCAATTCACTGGATAAAACAAATACTGTTACAACACAAAAAAAGATTCAAAGCAAATTTGGCCACATGTTATGTACATGTTACAACGTCATAATAAAAGACAGGAGATCGTCTCCTCGTGTCGCTGTTTTCTCCATTTTTAATAGTTAAAAAAGAAATTCAGTGTTCACCAGGCATTTACATCGCAATCCAATGCTCAGGTCAAATCACCTCTACTTTTATTTTACTTTTTTTAATTTATTATTTGCAAATGCAAAACCTTGTCAACAATAAATAATACTATAAAATGTACACAAAAAGATTGACAGTCCACCACAAGTCAAAACGTTGAACAGATCGAATGTTTGGGAACGAGGGAGTTGGGAGGAGGGTTTCCTTTTTAGCAAAAATGTGACAGTCCATACAAGTTACAGAAAAAGCTGATTATCTATACATTGACACTAGCGAGATAACAAAGTCGTTGTTGTTTCTGTTACATTTCATTTTGTACAAAGAAGGGAGCGTCTTCCTGACAGGCGAGCATCATTATCGTAACTGAATGGATTATACAAGCAAAAGTTAAGGCAACTTCTCTGTTTGTTTCTGAAAAGTATGACAAGGAGTGTCTCATGTTTTATTTTATCTGTGGGTCCCTCGTCTACATTGGGGTTGGGGTTAGCTGTCATTGCATAATTCAGGCTGTTGACGAGGTCTGCAGTCCGTTATCAAAGAGAGGAATGCTGGCAAAAGGCTGATTCAGTATAATCCAGGATTTCCAGGTGAGAGTTAGGCTCTCATGTCAACGATATCCGCCTTATTAAACTGCAGCCGACCAGCTTAGCATAAACACTGGGAACAAACAATTGTATTTATCATTTAACATTTTTGTCTTTGGACAGAGCCAGGCGAGCTATTTTTTCCATTTCCAGTTTTTATGCTAAGCTAAGCTAAACGACAACTGGCACAGTGGGAACAATCTCCGCATTTAGCCATCAGAAAGAAAGCCTCTCAGTGTATTTGACAAAAAATTAAGTTATCCCTTTAGTGGAAATCTGGCTATTAATTTAAAATGTTTTGTCCTGAGGGTGGCGCTAGAGGACAGCTCATGGAGAGTCCAAATGGGAAAAGGGCTCTTCCTCTGATTAACATCAATGTTCTCGATACACTTTATGGCAATGGGCCCCCACGCAGGCATCATCTGTCTCAATTGCTAGCAGGACAAAATTATTGATCAGCCTACATCAGTCCTACAACATCATCACCTTTCTTTTCCCATTTCGACAACACTCTTTTTTGAAAATGCTAGCACTGTGTGCTAAGAGGTTAGCTTGGAGCTGCAAACAAAAGGGCAAACCATTTGAAAACTTTGTCTTCCTCACCCAACATGATAGTCGTCCACCCTCCTGCACACTTTTTAACCGCCTGGCTCATTAACAAATGTTCAGCCTCAGACAAAGGACCCGTGTCAGTGGCTGCCATTCAGCAGATCGTGTCCTCTGTGTTTTTGCCACCTGGGAGTATCGACATTATATTCCCAAAACCTGCGCACGGTGGGTGTTTTACACGCTTGATAAGATGTTACATTTGCAAAAAGTATAACTGAACAAACAACTGAATAAATACATTTAATAGCGTTAAGAGATATTGACTCCTGGTCAGAATGGTGAGGGGTATGTTGGGGGGGATAATGACCTCTAAATATCCTGGCTGTGGCCTCGGCTTTGTATCACTCCCATATTACAGACATTAGAAACTACAGTGTCCAGTTTCTTTGTGACATCAGCCCTGGCTTCTGGATTCTGGATAAGACAGCTGCCAAAGGGAAATCTTGGAGTAAGGGTGCATTTGTTCAATATTTGAAAGATGCATATGCTTACCTTGCAAAATAACTACAGAAAGCATTGTAGCCAATTATGGACAAATGCCTTTAAGCAGGAGGTTGACAAAACAGCAGAAGCCGCCATAAAAATGAGCATTTTCCCTGCCCCAGTAGGGGCAAAGAAGTGCTGAAAGTGATACCGAAGCTGGGCCTTGGCAAGCGGCAAGCTGAGCCTAAATGCCTGAGTAACAGAGTCTGAGTCAACACTGTGTAATCTCAGCTGGGCTCTCTGCTTGCACCTGCCTCACACAAACACGTACCCACGGTTAAATGTACTAAATGCATTTTGTGTGTGTCCGTGTGTGCCACATAAAGACTGTCGGTATGCTTGTGATTTGTGATTATGTGTTAAGTGCCAGGTCTCTTTAGGACAAAGAAAGGACCACACAGTGTCAAACTGTGACCAAAAAGAAATAAATCAAAGGCTGCGGCGGGAAACTGTGAGATGGCAGGGGACACACATAATATTTTTGTATTTGATTTGTATTTTGCCTCACTTTGTAGTGTAACATCATAGGCCTTTATGGATGGAGTAAACCTTAAAGAGAGACAACCCGGTCATTCCACTTGTATTCTCCTTTATCATCCTTTATTTTAAGTGCTTTTATTTTGGCAACTACAAATTATCTGGTCAAATCTTCAATTAAAAATTCCCATTTTCTCTAAAAAAAGCCTGCTGACCAGGTGACATGTTTTCTTTCATTGCATCATAGGCCTTTGGCATTTGATGATAACTTGTCTTGCAGCGGTACATCGTACCCTTCTCCATAGGAGATTAAACTAAATGCTGGCTTTGTTAGACCGTCCCAGCTGGACGCGGTGTGACTGGAGCAGATCAAACACGATGGCTCGCCCCAAAATGTTGCACATGGAGCATGCTACTGAATAACGGACAACGCATGGCTCTAAAATGATAATTGGTCAAAAAAAAGAAAAAACAAGCTGCTTGGCAGGACTGGTGTACAAGTGAGAGGCAACGTTTGAAAATATTTCTGAAAAATGATTTCTAAAAAAGAAATTGTGTTCCCCCAGGTCCCAAAATAATTATGGATGAAAAGAAAGTTGGCTTCCCTCAACCACCCTTTAAATTCAGTGCAGTCAGTCTCAAACTAGCCCATTTCATGAACATCTCAGGTAATGTATTTTAGAAAAGATGAAGCCTTATCCCGCGGGAGCAAGTAGCCTCAGCAGTTTGAGTGTCGCCGTCCCGGTTGTTTTGGAGGCGCAGCAAACGTGCTGAAATGTTCTCAAACGACAGCTATTTCTCGGTACCGGGACGGCTCACCGTTCACAGACATTCCAGAGGGTTTAGAAATGTCAAAGAATGATTATCATGACAACACTGTCCCAACATTTCAATTCAGTGAAGTTTAAGAGAAAACAAGGAAGAAGGAAAAAAATACATTGTAGATTGTATGACCCACGTACCATCACTTGCTGGTGAAGGTTAATATTTGATCCTCTCGTGCGCTGGGAATAATTCTCAATACAACTGGTGATTTTATGTCCAAGGACAGTTTCCCAGCCTCTGATTGAAACATCTCTTTAAAAATGACCCTTCAGTCATATTGCATTATCATTACTCACGCTTGTCATTTTCCTTTCAAGCAACCACCCATCCAGAACGCTTTGTGTCAGGTTGCCAAGTACAATTTCTTTTTGCTGGTTAGATAGAGCAGATCTCACTGGCGCAGATTTGTACCTGCGGCTCCCTGGTTGGAACAAAACATTATTTCTTTCAGGGATAGAAATCACTTTTTTGGGGCTCCTTCTCTAATCGCCCTGGTGTTCCTTCCATAGCGGCAGACAACATGCAGGGCACTTGCTTTGATAGGGGGGAGCGAGTGAGGTATCAGGGGCAGTGTGGGCTGAGAGTCTGGAAACGAGGACAGAAGCGGCGGGGCGAGGCCGAGTGATCCGACTGGCCACGTCATCAAGCACGTAGAAGTTCAGTCCGGCGCCGCGTCGCACCTCGACGCCTCGGGTAGACTCTCATCAGTCGTCAGAAGGCGATTTGTGGTGCTGGTGGACTGGGTGATGAACGAGGACGAGAAAAACGTGTGTGACGTGTGCGGCGATAGTCGGGAGGTGCGGGAATCTGTGGCTGGGGGCGGGGGAGGGAAAGGGGGAGGGGGCGAGTGAGTGTCGTTGATGGCACTGTGGTCCTCAGAGCGTCATCTGTGAAACAGAACGGGAGGAGAATTAGACTGAGTTGTCAATTAGGAGCGACGGGGCTCATATAAGAAAGGTTTTGGTGTCCAGAACACTGAGGATTAAGTGCACTTTTACAGCAGTGCTTCATAATTTGGGTTTTATTCTCTTGCTCGAGGACACTTTTGGGCAAACAAAGAATGAAATATTCAGAGTCTGTTTCTTTGTTGGCATTAATTTTACATACTGTTTTAGATCATTCATAATAAATGCTGTGGGACACAAGTGGGAAAAGGCAAGATAGAGCACGGACACTTGTTTTTATCCTCCCATATCAAAAGTCAAACAGTGCATTTTTAAGTAAGCTGAAGGTTACGGTATACTTCACCTCAGCTGCTTGTTTGTGTTTAGCAGAGCTGGCGCTGCGCGGGTCACGATTCCCAGCTTTTATTGTTATTAATTACCCTCATTCAGAGCCGTCTTCTCATGTTACGGCAACTTGAATTGGTCTCCAATTGCTCTTGAACACAATTTTATTAAATTAGCAACATTGCATCATTAGATTTGGTTTTAATGTGTTGAATAAAATGAGAGAAATACATGTGTATAAAATGGAAAATTGTTGGTAAAACACATGACTTGGAAAAACGATATGTTTATATTTATATTATTGTATATTAATTAATCTAAAATAGATTTTTAATTTGTTATTTTAATGGCATTAACAAGTGGGTTTACCTCATTGGTCACTGTCCCTCTTAGAGGCTTGTCAGAGTCAGTGCTCCATTTGACACTGTCTGCCACAGTGTGGTTATGACACTTTTATCAATGCACTCTAACTCTAACTATTAGTTGGTGGTATAAATGAATCTGCTTGTTCGATTACTGTCTGTATGAGGGTACACGGCGTCTGCCCTCGAATCAAGCATCATATTGTGAAATTCCGCTTAAGTGATCAGCCCTATTGTTAGCTGCGCTGGACCAGACAAAACATTAAATAACCATCTCGCCCGAATTACCCACATTTTACAATGAAAAGACTAGATATGAATAATAACCAACTCGGTTAAGAATATTAAGAACATCGGAAATGCAAACTGGGAAGAAAGAAGGAATCATCAGAGACAATCATCAAGAGTTATTTAGAAAATACTAAACTTTTGTGGATATAAATAAGCATTTTTGAGGGAGCATATTGTGACAAACCCACCTCATTTGTTTTGATTGCGGATTCGCAGACACCTCCTCTTCAGCGGCGGCTCCAGCTCGGCGGTCCCGTCTGCTGACAAAGGGGAGCTGATGGAGCAGGACAGGATGGTCGTCTTGTCGGCGCCGGGCTTTGGCACAGGCTGGATGACCACACAGCCTCCCGTAGACAGCAGCGGTATGCCGTAGGCGTGCTCGCCCTCCTCTGTGTTGGAGTCAGGATCCGGCTTACCCTCCAATGCGTCGGCCGTGTTGTCTTGCACCAAGCCCCGCTTCCCCCGCTCCCATTCTCCAGCTGAGCAATTGTTCTCTTTCAGCGCCTCGTGCTCCAGCTCGCCATTGGCTGGCCGCTCCTCTGACTCTCCTTCTCCTGCAACGCTGTCTCCTCTTCGGTCGGCGTGAGACTCAAAGGCAGGGGCAAGAAGTGAATGCCACCCCGTACCATTGACTATGACATTACACGGGGCAGCGGGGCTGGCTTGGAGGTGGGGCAGGGTTTGGGGCTGGGGATGTGCTGTGCTGGGCAAGGGTGGTGTGGTACTGTTAAAGATACAGGGAGTTCGCTGGCTCACTGCAGAATCATTATGGGACGGAGGACTGCTATCATTGGAGGGAGGGCCTGATAATTCCAGTGTGTTTGGGTGTGTTGCCCCTTCCAGTTCCGTGGCACCGAGAGACCCCTGAGGAAGGGCCCCTCCCCCCCCATCATGACTGCTTCTCCCTTCCCAGCTCAGGCCAGCAGACGGTGGGGATCTTGATTCAGCCTCTGCCTCTACTTTGACTTGGACTCCAGTTAGCACCCTCTGAATTACCTGCTGTTGGCATGGCCGCTGGCCCACAGTTAGATCAATAACCCCCTCCGTCGGTGCGGGGCCGCTTAAAATACAGGTGGTACCCAAATTGTCCTCTGCCTTGACAGCCGAGTCCACTAGCGCCATTCTGCTTTCCTCTGAGCGGATTGGAGAGAGACGCTCTGCAACAGCCGGATCTATTTTCTGTTCCCCTCTGTCATCCCCAGAAGACCCTGGAGAGTTGTGCCAAAAAGATGAAGCTTCAGAGGATTCTGGAGCACTAAAAAAGTGGCCCCTGCTCTCCGGCTGGTCCCTGGAAGTTCTGGGGTTAAAGGGAATTGGGATTGGAATTGGGATTGGAACTGGGAGTGGTACAATGACAGGGTAGGGGACCAAGAGAGTTGGCGGGGGAACCAATGGGGCCAAGGAAGGCATGCCAAAGTTCATCATTGGGGGCAGAGGATATCGTCCATTGGGCATCATGTTGACTGGGGGGAAAGGGGGCAGCCCGGGCATGGAGAAACCTGGGTGGGGGGGCATCATGCCAGGGTTAGGATTGGATGAGGGGTGGACATGGGGAGACAGCAGGGGTCTGTGCATGGGGCTTGATGCTGAGCCCATGGACCTAGGGGGAGGTGGTGGACCAATACCAGGGATGATAGGGTTTGACAGGGGGCTATGGGAACCCCCTTGGTGGGCCGAGGGTCGAAGGAATGGTGGACGCATCTGCTGCATCATTTGATGCTCCATGAACAGCGGCAGGGGCATGGGTCCCCGGGGCGTCATCACCATAGGAGGGCTACCGGGAGGAACCCCGACAGGCGGGTGCAAACTGGGAACAGGCGGGGGGTGAAGTGTGGGGCTCTCATGGGGTCTGGGTGTGGGGATCTTGGCTGAGGAGGATAAGGATGGAGAGCAGTGGGCAGCAGTGTCGCAGGGTGAGGCGGCAGAGGACGGGGCCAATGCAGAGGTGGAAGAAGGGCCTCCTGGTGAGGGAGCCTTCCGCCGCATGTCTGTTAACGGCGTCCCCCAGGACTCAGGAGTGAGGAGCTGCACCCCTCCACCGCAGTCCATCTTACCCTCCCCACTCGCCCCGTGACCCGGGTTACACAATGCTCCTGGCAGTGCTGCCTGGGTCTCCTTGTAGAAAATGTCCATCTTGTATTGGTTCAGGCATTTGGCACTGCAGAACTGCAGTCTCCGCTCACCCGCACCAAAGTCCAGGTACTCCTTAGTGTGGCGTATATGTTTGCACCAGTCACACACCTGTGGCAAAAAACACACACAGTACAAACACACCACATCAGCACTTGTCACTGGGCATATAAGAGACTTCTGAATTGTTTGTGATGAAATGCAACATAATATCCTCTGAAGTGACCCGGTGTGCAGAAGCTCAGCCTGATCTCTTTTCAAACCAATCCAAATTGATTGTTCTTCATGTTCTTCTTCAACTTTTACAGTTAAAAGATCACTTTCAGATAAACATATAAACATATATAAGGGTTTGTAAAATAACTTGATTTTGCCAGTTCAGTTTCAAACCACATTTCTCCTCACATATTGAGCCCAAAGGCAGGACCATTCTACATGCTCAGTGCCGTGGCGAAGATCCTAAAACACCGCGCTGCACTGTTTCATCACTGTTCTACACCTTTGCAACACATAAAAATGCATTTTCCCTTCGGGGGGGAAATGAATGTGACCCTGGACGAGCAGATAGCGGTGGGCGAGCCCCTAACACGACGTTACTCGTCGGGCCACACACAGATCACTCCGTCAGCTCCGGGAGGAGTGGCAGGTCTTCTCTGGAGATAATTAAGGCATTAATCAGTTGTCAGACCCCTCAACGACATCCATCCATCACACAGACCCTTCAGCCCCCCTGCTGAATGTTAATAAGTCGAAGGATGCGACCGGAAGGTGGACAAACTCCTTTTTTCCGCGCTGCATAGCAACACTGGTTCATCAGCAGCTTAGAGGGATTTCGAAAGGGGACGTAGCATGCTGTCCTGCAGCTGCTACACCTGTGAAACATCAGGTTTTCCCATTGATTATGTGTTTTACTCATTCCAGAATTCAGCGGCGCCAAAGGGGCCCGAGGATGGAGGTGTGGAGGAGCATCTGATCAGAGGCCGGACTGCAGAGCGAACAGCTCGCTGGTGGCGCTCACATGTCGGTGCCTCGAATCTGACACGCTTCAACTGCCCATTTAGTGCTAGCTAATTCAATGAGCCGTGACTGAGTAAAAGTCAAAAAGGTGCTCTCGCAAGTTGGGTTTGATAATGGTAGGCCCAGGATATTTTAAATAATGAATGTGCTGAAATCCTTCTCCTCGACTCGGGAAGACAGATGGAGAGCACTTAACGACTTTCTGCACTTTGAGTGAAATTTCACTGCGCATTACGCTAATGGAGTTGTGCTTTCTCTCTCGCTCTCCCCTCACCGCGACACAGATGTTTGCAGTTGAATATAATTATGCTCATTTATTTCCCGTTGTGGCCAACGAACCGGCGGCGGCGGCGGTGCAGGACGACCGTGTGCATTACAACAATTAGCGCGCTTCCAAACGGGTGCAACCACCTCGGCAGTCTTCGCTTCCGTGACCAGGCCGATGGCGGTTGAATTTCGCCAATACAGGCAACGGCTACTGTCATAATCAGCTTAAAACACGCACGTTAGGTGAGGCCTTTCTCCGGGGTTAAAGGATTGGACGACGAGCGCGAAAAGGCTCCGTGGTCGGAAGAGCAGGTTGGAGACCAACAGGTCGCAGAGGACGACGACAGGGGAAGAGGCTGCAGATGTTGAAGACATCGCAGAGGACGTGGAGGACCTGAAGTGGTTTTATATTTAGAACGAAGACTTTGCAGAGTGCAAAACACAAGGATTAAACCAAGGAAAATGAACTAGATGCTTGAAGCGAGACAGATCGTTTGCTTTTGACTTGAACTGTCTGAAACACGCCTAACAATCTGCAGCAATTTATTGTCTTTCGACAAGTCCATCAATGATGGCGAACGGAAACAGTGCGCTTGTTGCATCGTGGCTCTAGTCCAAATACTAGAATATGTAGCGAGAGACTGCAATCATAAAATACCTCCGTCGGAAGAAGAAAACAGAATAAATCTCTCACTTGCGTTTACACAAGAAAATTAAACTTTGGCAGCCCATAACAGACCATCTGCAACATGTTGCCTCATTGTGATGAGTAGCCAAAAATATAATTTTACAGTGGCCTCATTTTTTGGAATATCTGTCCTGATGGTTTTAATTACCTGGCTTACAAAGGAGGGGAAACATCTCTGGCTCGTATGCTTTCCCAATGTTTTAAATTGGATTCGCCGCGTACCTGATGTGTTCGTTAAAACCACGGATGGAGCGTGAAAAGTTTAAACTGGACATGAAAGCCCAAGAAGAGCAGGACCACACTCCCTTTGAGGTTGCTCTTATCACAGCCAGCCATGGGTCATTATAGACGTGACAAACAAAGGTCAGGTGAAGCTCTAATCGCCCAGTGAGTAGAATAACTCCGGGCTGGTGGGCCGCGTTTGAATGCCACTGCAGCAGACTGGACCACTCAGAAATCTACGATGTTTTCTTTTCCCACGTGGGACATCTTCACGTTATGCAAAACCTCCCTTTCTTGAGGAGAGTTCCACAAGAAGATCAATATGATGCTGCAGTCTAGTGTTTTAGCTTCAGGGCTGGAAACGGGGATAGAACTAGTCCATCCAAAAAACGTTGTACTTTTGGATTTTAGTGTGAATTATGTGCTTTTGGCTTTTGTATGGATTAAACAAACAAAGTGATAGTGGTTGGAATGTGTTATGAACTAGGAACTAGGACAGAACTAGGCTTTACTGTAGTTTATGACATGTATTTGTCAGGGACCATGTACAAAAAAGATGTATTGTACGAGATTTAGCCACTCATCGTTACAGTCTCTATGCTAAGCTAAGCTCACAAGGTGCTGGCTGTGGAATCATATTTAGCTTTAGCTTGTCTTGATATGCAAGAAATATTAATTGTCTCATCCAATTCTCACCAGAAAAGGCAATTCCAAAAATGAAGTAACTGCACATTTTAGTGATCTACCTCTCTGATCTCTTTTTGCATGATGCTTCTGGCCATTAATTATATGGGTTATGATACGACTGTACCCATCAAAGCCCTTCATGAGACCAGGAAACCAGCAACGATGCTAGAAGGAAGTCCAATGGGGCAAGACGTGAACAGTCAGCCGATCCAAAACGATCAACTAAGTCACAATATTCAGAGGTAAAACTCTGAACATGTCGTTTTTGAGTTATATATATATATTTGAGAAATGTATATTGTTTTTAATCCAAAAAATGATTAGTCCAATCCATTGGTGTGTTTCAAACCTAAACCTTGTCGTGATGCTGCCACAATCCAAAATCTCAGCCAACACATGAGTGTGATGTTATTATTAGACATGTGCAATACCATATTAATAAAAAACTATAAATATTAAGAGCAAACTATAATAAACCTTCAATAGCAGTATACGTGACAGGTAAGTGGTATATGTTCCATTGTGTTTTCTTGTAATGAAGATCACAACCTGTTTTCATTCACTAAATTATGAATGATCTATGCAGAACATATAAAGTATAATAAATACTATAGCTATAAATATTAAACATAAATAAGTAAATCCTTAGTTTACCTGTCTGATAACTCAAATCCCCAACACAAGTCACTGAATATGAATGATACAAGGAAAATGAGCAAAGCAAATGTTAAAGTTATGAAAAGCTCCAATTGAAACGTGGGCAAACTTTATGTAAAACATTATTTCTGAGTGAGATGGTGGATGTCTGCTATAGAAATAATGCCCAAAACATGAACCAGTCTATTGAAATGTCAGGAAGAAAATGAGATGAAAATTATACACTTTGAAAAGATAAACAACATCAAAACATATTTGTGCAGTAGCCATCAAGCTTAAACTCTATCTATGTGTTAGAGGGTTATGTTCCTTACAAGCACATCGCTGTTTGTCTTGAAGACAAGCCTGGGCGTGTCCTGAGTAAAGCTGTGCTGGGGTAATTTCCCACCGAGGCCACCGTCGTCTCTCGCCTGGGGGGGAGAAATAATGGCTTCTTTTTACGAATGGACAAAATAAACAAGTGAACAGAAGCAACAAGGAAACTCAGAAATGGAAAACAACACTGAGAAAGATGAACAGAAATGGTGACTGTAAAATGGGTGAACAATAATTGGTTTGTGTTCAAACCAATCAACAAAACTGTGTGTGTGTGTGTGTGTGTGTGTGTGCGTGTGCGTGTGTGTGTGTGCGTGTGCGTGCGCATGTGTGTGTTTGTGCATGCATGTGCATGGTGGAGGAGTCTGCAAGGCATTTAAGTTTGACATTCAAAGGTCTGTCGGCTACAACAATAGTGTGTATTCATTCAAAAACCTATTTATGTCAGATACAAATGAAAAATTAAAGACACTCAAAGTAAACAAGTTTAATGTAATAATCACGCTACACTTACCATGAATAAAGGAAAATATATGGGACGTTTTGAAATTAGTGTACGGTCTAATCCAGATGTTTGCAGGAGCACTGCCATTTGGAAGCGGAATGTCCAAGACAGCGATACCTCCTCACGCAGGACATTTTATGTGTCTTGATAAACACTTGTATGTCTCTGCGAACCGCTGATACGTTTAATGTTGACATCATGAAGGTTTCATGCGATAGTCCACTTTTTCTCCCCTCCACCCCCTCTCAAACATGTACACAGCATAAGTCTTCTCTTATTATTTCAGTCCTCAGTTCAAAAGCCCAAATATATTGTAAAAAATCAAGGTCTGATAATTGCCGAAAACGATGATTTATCAAACTAAATAAAATGCTTCAATGCATATTTGTTGCCGTTTTAGTCTCGTGCAGAGACCTGGATTAACGAGGGTGGTCAGCAGCAATCTTACAGCACCATAAATTACATTCATATAACCAAAATAACAGGTGGCATTTTTTGCCTCTATTGGACCGAGGCAGTGGCAGACTGGAAACTGGGAGAGGAAGGGGGCGAGGGGGGTGTGAAACATGCAAAAGAGGTCCCACGCACTGCTTAGCGAGACGAGCTTCCTGAATTTGCACCCAAATGCTGTCCTATCTTTCAATTACAATGGCGCAGCATAATTCAAGACATGGAAAGAGGTAGAAAAAGAAAAGGCGAAGGCGGAAGGAAATAGAATATGTCCCTGAATCCCATATATGCCGATTTGAGCAGGACTAACATTATCACATGACCTCTGCGAGTGGCCAAACACGGTAGGGTATTTTTCGGTCAAATCTTTACGTGTGAAATTACGGAGACGGCGGACACTGACGACAAGCGCAATCATTTCAATCACTTTCCTTCCTTTATATTTTTTATATTTTGACAACCCTTACAATTCAAAACTTTATAAAAAAGTAATTTTTTGTTAAAGGTAAGTTGATGTGTATTATGCTGGTGTCACTGCTTGTTTAATAATTTGATAATAGTACCAATACCATATGCTGTTTGGCTTTTAGATGACCTAGCAATACAGCAAAACAGGGAATAACATGGTTGACCTCTAACGTTGTCTGTTTTGGTGTGGTTGTATTTCTCTCTTTTTTTCTCTCAAGACTGATTTAGTTTTGCCTCTGCTTCCATCGTACCTTCCAGGTGTGGCCTTCTCATTGCAGGCATGTAATAAATCCAATACTGCATCTTTTAAAGCTACTTGGAAGGACACAGTGTAGGAATCTGAGAAAAATATTGTTAATTTACAATGTGTGTGTGGGGGGGTTATTGTTAAAAAACAACAAAGCAAAAAGATTGGAGAAAAGTAAACCTGAGATTATGGGGTCATGGCTATTTATGAGATGCACTAAATGAACAGTGGGTGTAGCATTCTTCTCCATTTCAACTACGCTCATTCACCCATCACACACACACACACACACACACACACACATATGCACCGTGTCCCCTCGGACGCATCGCCCGGACACGCTCGAAGACAGACCACACGCATGTGAACACACACACGCACACACATGGATTTGGGCCGGAACACACACAAAGATGCTCCATTGTGCTAATATTCCGTCTCCAGTTTGTGCGCTGACCCCCTGGCCCCGAGCCAGTTAATTTGCATATTGCACTAATGAGGTGTTGGCACTGTGAACGAGGCGTGAGGCGCTCACAGGGAGCCACAGACTGATGAGGGAGATGGGATGACATCTTGGTAGATGGATGGATAGATAGATAGATAGATAGATGGATAGATGGATAGCTAGATAGATAGATAGATAGAAAGATAGATAGATAGATAGATAGATAGATAGATAGATAGATAGATAGATAGATAGATAGCTGGATAGATAGATTTAGATTTCCCATCCATCAGGGCAGCATACTGCAGCTGCCGCTCCAGACGAAGTTCCCTATGCGAACGACAGAGCAGGACATGGACCGCCTAGCTCCCCCTCTGGCGACTCCGGTCGTCCTGAGGGAGACGTCACACCAGCTGCCACCGCGCTTCCCTCCATCTGGGCACAGATACATGTCCAGGTGTGGGTGTGTGTGTGTGTGGGCCCTGTCACCCGCCAACAGCACCACGTTTCCCAAAGAAAGGCGCTTGCAGGCAGGCTTTCCAAAATCCAAAGACAAACACGCCGCGAGCAGCCCAGCTCATCCCAAAATGCCAGAAGCGAAGGTGCAGACCTCCCACTGCAGCACGCTGGTGACGGGCAGGAAATAAAACACCGCTGTGGCTCGTTTCTGCTTTCCATGTTTGGAAACATTATCCCAACACCAGTTTGGTTCAGGTGCTGCGAGTTCTCAGAGGGTTGTATGGTGCAGGTTACTGCCCTATGATGCCCTACAAGTAAAACTTCTCAAGGAAGTCAGATCGAGGTAAGCACACCAAAGATAATGTTGCAGGTCTGGAGCCTTATTTCATCCTTCTTTACAGCAACAACACCGAACACATACCGAAAATTGAAATATATATTATTATTATTATTATTATATTATATATATTATATTATAGAGTATATTATCTTTAGGCTCTGTAATATATTGTATTATAGTATCTCAAATACCTTTCTAAATACATCTGGAATATTATCTTTTTGGATTATTGAGTTTGAAATTTGTATTTCCTTGCTCAAGGTCGTCATGACGACGCAACCAAAATGTGCAAAATGAGGGGGTTTGCAAATAGAAAATTAAAAACCCGCAGGAAGAATTCACTTTTTACAATCTCAATGCCTGGTTAGTTTGGGTTACTTTTTATTTTTTCTAATCTTTATTTAAGTTGAATGGCTGGCAGCTATGAGATAATCACCTTCCCCTCTGTGCCCTGAAGCTGTGTCAGGCAGGCCTCAAGGCTTCCAAGTCTGAGCTGTTCTATGCAGACACATTTCATCACACACAAACAATACATATACAAGTAACACACACACGCACGCACACACACGCACATGCTCAGACTCCCTCTGTTATTCCCTCTCATTCCCTCTAGCTGACTGTAGATGCAAAGTAATGTGTGTCTCGTGTCTGTGTGTGTGTGTGTGTGTGTGTGTGTGTGTGTGTATGTGTGTGTGGGTGTGTGTGGGCCATAAAGGCGGGCGTTTGGAGGGAAGTGACATTTTTGGGGGGACAAAAAAGGAAAATTTTGCCCCCCCCCCCCCCCCCCCCCGCCTGGGGGGTGCTCCCGGGTAAAGACACTGATGGAGGTCTGAGGGTCCCCAGGGAGGAGTTTCATGGTGTGAACAAAAAGCCCGACGCTGCGGCAGAAACGACCCGTGAAACACAAGCTGGAGTCTCCTCCACTACCTGCTTTATTGCTCTTTTCAATACTGTGAAAACGGAAGACTTGGTTTGTATGTTTTTTACATAAAGTATCATTTTACATAAAGCATAATGATATATATAAAGATAAGTAAAAGCTTTAAAAAAGCAAAAACAGTGGGATCCTTCCCATGACAAAATGCGGTTAAAAAAAAACTACAGCTCACACATAATAAGCAACTCTGGGATTTTGAACGAGTAGTCTCTCTAGCTGCTTACCAACAACAACAAGTGAGTATTATTTTCCCTGGGGAATTTGAGCTCTGCCCAAAAAAACCCACCTGCACACAAACCGAACTGCAGCAACCGCAGCAGAAAACGTTTCATCTCAATCGATCGTCCCAGCGACTGGCCCCCCCTCTACCCGACGCCTTTTTCGCCGCCGTGCTTCACACTTGCAGAGGGTCATTCATCACCGCTAATTGCCTTAACTTAATCTTGGCACTGTGTCCGATGAGCATGTTCATCGCCGTACGTGCGGAGATACCGCGCGGGTTTGAGAGCCGTGACAGAAAGCAAAGCTCCACCTTCAACTCAACGCCTCTAATCCCCCCCCCAAAAAAACATCTGCTGTAGTGTGTCGATTCTCTGCAGACTTTCCCCTCAGCGGCGATCTCGCCACCACTCTAACCGACTTGGATCAACGGTGGACAGTCAGAAAGGAATGGGAAAGGGCGGAGAAGTGAGGTGACAGAATAATTGAGTGGTGCGAGCGGCGAGGAAGCAGCGGCCTCCGTGCAACTAATCCAGAGGCTTAAGGCGTACAGTACACAGGCCCATAACCGATTAGCCGCAGTTAAACCATCAATCATCTACGACCACACTCACACGCACGCTGCATAAGGAATATACATATGTATATAAAGAGAGAGTCATGCAGGGTGAGAAAGTAGCAACCAGAGTCACCCTAGGAGGGGATCGGGTTTCTTGGACGAGGCAGCGGAAGATATTTCATGCAACATAATCCCAGAACTGTTTGCAAGCCCCCTTGAGCCCCCCCCCACCGCCACCACCTCCTCCCCCACATCCACTATCCAACGCACACGCAGACAGTGGATGAGACTTCTGTTTTCGGCCATGAAGATATTTTGCAGTTGGGGGGTAAGAAAGGAAAAGCTGCAGGCTGCGTTGTTGTGGCCAACCTTGTGGGTGCCTGAGAAAAGAAACACGTGGGTATCGCTTACACAAGCGGTCCCGCGCCAATGTGCCAGAGCCAGACAAAATATAGAATCCGAGCCGCTGTGGCAGAGCAGGCCCTTCCTGTGTTTGGGACGTCTGATAGGTGTGCATTCACAGGCGATGCACCAAAGACACATGGCCGACTTGCTTCCCACGGGACTGTGTGTCTGTGTGTGTCAACGGTATGATGTTGCTGGACTGTATTTGTGCGTTGCTGTTCTGGTGAGCAACGGAGGCGTATTAACTTGGCAAATCTCAATAGATCTGAATAAAACCTGTACGTCGAGTAGGACATTGCGATAAGATTCTATTAGTATCTCAGTGACAGACGGAAAATTCTGTTAGCTTCAATATCAGTCTTTTCAATTTGCTAAGCAAGATTTATTTTTTGGAAGTGGTTTTGGAATTATGATTCACACAAAACATAATTTGTTCTCATGAGGTTGCCGTGGGTTACCCATGGTTACACGTCTCCAGTCGGCTTGGACGCTCTCAGAAGTGGTAATTACAGCTCATGGGGTCCGATTAGGAGAAATATCGTCGTAAACATGAAGCTACATGCTCCATGTTTACTATTGTGTGAATAGCATGCGGAATATTTAGTTATGTGCGATTTCAAAGAAAACCGATGGATTTGATGATTATTTATTGTTAACGTCTTATTCAGAAAACCATAGTATAAAGTTAACAAGCCTTGGGTATAAGTAGAAGGTAGCATGTTTTGTAAGAAGCCAGAAAGTAGGTAATTGTCTTTAAGTTAACATTAAGATTTTTTAGTTGTATTATGATGCACTGACAGGAATTTTAGCAGGAATTATTTTCACCTCCATGTGTAACTTAATAAAGCCTTTTTTACACTGGCTAACATTTGTGGAGCACATAATCAAATATAATTGCATCAAGCAGTTACTGTAATAATCAAAGTGTGATTAAAGTACAGGGACTGATTGCTAAATTGAACAATAATTCAAGTAAACCGAATGAATGTGTGTCTTGAAGCTCTTTCTCAGTTTTATATTAATTGTTATGTTAATATCAGCAGAAAGATTGGTTGACTGCTGTGTGTCAGCGCTCATTAGGAGAACAATTTTCTCTACTAATGATATGCTCCCGCCTGTCACTTTATAAGTAAACTTTACATTAGTTAAACTTTAGACTCATGGATTCCTGGCATGGAGCTTTCTTCACAGCAGCTTCACATTTCATGTCAGGCCTCCCGGATTGATCTGTGTTTGACATGGAGCTTCCCTGTCAGCTTTGTTGTATGTCAAATGGAAGACACACTGATCCACTTGAAGCTCTGAAGCACAGAGAACAAAATTGTGTTTTGATCGCATTTGAAGCTGCGCACAAACTTTTCTCCCACGAGGTTTCAACAAGTCAGACTCTCCTTGTCGTCGTCGGAGCGAGACAGATCAACTGTCATCGTTCAAACATTTAGTGCAATGCATTAAAATAATTAATTAAAAACTACAAACTTTTTTGATTAACTTGAATGAGCTAAAATGTCAAGGTAGAAAATGAAAAACACATAGTATGAGCAACAGTACAGTAGACGCAAGGATCAGCTTGATTCTCATGCTTTGGGAAAAAAAGTGTCAGAAAAGAAAATAAACTGGATATCACTAACTGAAAATGAACAGACAGTACTCAAAGTGCACCCCTACTTTTACCTTCTCCAGTGCAGTGCTTGAAAAGTGATTATGTTTAGATGAACAACTGACTTTAGGACAGACAAGCAGGAGAGTAAAACACATCATACTCACAGCGTAATTCCTTATATATCCCAGCTTTGGTACAAGAGAGAAAGGAGATTGTTTAACTACAGTCATTGGGGAGGAGGGAATGAGAACACAATGAAAACTTATTTTAAACGATATTTGCTGTCTGGCGTCTTATGCACCATTATTACCAAGACATTTTGGAGTTGACCGCCTCGACGGCGTTTTGAAGTGAAGGCTATTATGTACTCTGTTTATTCGGGCTGTCTTATGCATTTTGTACTGCTTGAAATGGAATGTTTCCTTTTTTGATTTTTTTAAAGACCTTTTAGTTGAAATTGCCTTTTGATTTCTTGAGTGCGATCAAGCGCAATAATTGCAGAAGTTACAACAGATAAAGCCACTGCTCACAGTAAGCAGAAGCAGTGTTTTTTTAAAGAGCTTACCAGATGACGTAACATTATCTGGCAGCCATATTTTATGCTCTTGCATTCATTACAGAACTGAACTCCATTTGTTAGCCCCCCAAAAAATCCTTCCATATTGTTCCATCAAAAGAAAAAGTTAACTTACCATATTTTTTGTCTGTAAATAATGTTAGCTTAGTACGCTAGCAGTATGATGTTAGCTAAACTTCCAGTTGCATATCTTGTTGTAAATACAGGCGTCCTTTTAAGTTATATATAGATGTTGTGTGGTAACATTTTGGTTGGTCGTTCTGCTAAATACTTTCAAACGTATCAGTGCTAAAGGTAGATGTTTACTATGTAAGCTACTTTAAAAAATAATGAAATCTTATTGGGCCTCTGGTTTTTCAGCCTTGATATTGTGGGAACGTTGTTAACGTGGGTGCAATGTTTGAAAAGCCAGTGGCACAATTGTTTCCCCTCTCTAAATAGATTACAGTGAATGAAGAAGGTATGGCTAAAAACCGGTAGTGGTTCTGACACTGAAATGGTGAAAAAAGAAGGTGGTGGAATGTTATTTACAAACCCTGTGTTGAGTTCTCATGTTCAGCACGTCCGTGAATTAGCTTAGCCAAACTGTTTCAAAGTTCTTTTAGCTACCTTACTTAACGCTAATTTGCCAGAAGTTAAAGAAATGCACCGTTATGGGAAATACACTTATGTATCAAGAAAAAGTTACATCGAGTGACACCTTACAAAACCACAAATAATCAGTTTTTCATTAGTGTTGTGGCAAATGAGATCAATGTGTTGGATATAAGCTCCACCTCACCATTCATTGTGCTAAGCTAAGCTCATGTAAACTGTATAAATGCATGTCCCAAACTATTCCTTAAAATGTCAAAACCTTTACAGCTGATGTACCTGAGGTCAATGTCATCATGTGCATGTCATGCGAAGCATTGACAAAACGGTAACATTACATGTATCACGATAAATAGATCAACGGTATGCCTTATCTTATATTCTGCCCCTAGGACTCACTGATGAAGATCACATGTACTTGCCAGGAGATGCTGTATCTGTAAAGCCTAAATATATGGTATAATAAAGTGTCCAGCTGATGAGGAGGAAGGAATCTTACCTTGTTTCTCTTGAAATAAGCCCTGCGGCAGGCGGCAAAGCACTTCTCGCTGCAGAAGCTCTTCAGCTCACTCCCCATGCTCAGAGAATAGCGTTTGACACCGACCTTCTGGCACCAGGCGCACATGATCTGCATGTTGGATGCATCTTCATCTGGAAAAGAAACAACCAGCAGTGAGAGATAGGACGGATCCCAAGGCTTCACGCTTCTTTTTTTGGAAGATACATTTCCCTGGATTTTTTCCAGGATATTTGCGGAGACGATCTGGCGGTTGTACGTGTAACTACCCACACACGCACGCAAAAACTAAACAAATTAAACAAAAGGACCAAATGGCATTAACTCCAATTGACTTGGCCCAGCTGCAGACGGGTAAATCCACTCAAGAGCCAAGCCACAAAATCACTGTTCGATTTGTAATTAAGGGCTACATGGGTAAACGTAGCAGACCGGATGAGTCGGGGACATCAGAAGAGGATATTCGTGGCTGTGCTGGTCGTATTAGGGAACCTGAAGTGGAGTATTCACCACACCGTCACAGAAAATGCTTGTGTGATACTTTGGGTTCTTACATAATGCCAGATGGATGAGGTTTGTTTTGCAGGATAATACTGTACATATTTAAAACATATATTTTTTTTAAATATTTGTAAGACAATTTGGACCAGTTAATGAGGGCAGAAAGAAAACGGCATAAGACAAAAACAACCAATTGACCATACAATTTGAAAGAATATGGAAAAGGCAGGACTTTGAAAATGTGGTTAAAGAAATAATAATTCCCAATTTAAAAGAAGTACAATGGAAATATTTATTACGTAATGAGAAATAAAAGTATTCATAAAAAATCAGGAAGAATCCAAATGATACAAAATAATATCACCATTTGTTTGTGCCTTTGATTTAAACATGGCTGTGGTGGCTTTTGTGTGGTCAATTTGGGCAACACATTATTTGGGCAACAAACTATTTGAACCCCTCGCTGTGACAATGAAATGCCTCTTCTGTGGTAAACTGTGACTGTTGGTGATGAGCTGCTGGCTTTTAGCGCTGTCACTGTTGTAATAAGAGAGATCCTCCAAGATTCCCTCCAGTATCTCCAAATTATCACATTATGACTGCGCGGGTGTGAGGACGCCAAAACGCAAGCCCATTAGTCTTTCACCCCCGCTCACCTCCTTATCGCAAGCTTTTCACCTCTTGTTGAGCTTAATGGATCTGTGGGGCCATCACATTTTAAGTAAAGACTATCTCACAATTAAGGGAATAACTCCCCGAGGCCCCAAAGAAAGCACAGAGGACCCAACATGCATATTTTATGTCTTTCCTCGTCTGCTGCTCTGTCTCATTCCGGTAGCCTCTTATTTGTCTGGATAGCTGCACACTGCAGTGATAACCGGAAAAAAAACTAAAAACAAGCTAGAGTTTCATTCTGGGCTGACTGGGTGGATCAGGGTTTGTGCATTTCATGGGATAATGTCTGTGTCACGGCGTAATGAACGGGATCCAAGGCAGAACCTCAATATCTCTCCAAAAATCAAAATATCTCCACACTATCATGCATCTTGAGGTGGAGTCGTTCTTTTTGTTTTTCACCTTCCCAGGTCTTGGCATCTCATACCAAGCCCGTCTCGAAACACTCACATCTGCATGAGAGGAGGTGCAGGGGGGGGCGGGTGCTAGTAATTATGCAGCCTCCATACTAAATGCCACCATCGTCCGCCGTACCTGCACCTCAAAAGGTCCTTTGTCGGATTCTGCGGGGCACATGAATAATTCAGCGTGTGTGAGGAGGGGTTGGTGTGGGGGGAGTTGAAGGAGGTGGCGGCCGGGTGGCGGGTTGATTCTGGGCTTTAAGTGGGACCACACCATCTGTTTCCCCGCCTAGGCAGGGCCAGCGGGGACTCCTCTTGGGTGATGCCAAGGCGGTTTCGCTCCCTCCATCGGGGCGTACCAACCTCCTGTGCCACAGCAGACGCAAGGGATAATGAAGCCCTCTGTCTGGCCGAGGAACGCGGATATTTCCTCAGAGAGTTGACGGGGTTATATTGACACTTGGGCAGGTGGAGGAAAACAAGGTGTACAGAGGGTAGAGCTGGCTCATTAGTCGCCTGTCCCTGCCTGGTTTGGACGGTTTGAGGGGCCATTGCAAAGACAGAAAGTTTTCATGATGCATAAACATTTCGTTTTCCTGCTTTAAGAATCAGCAAGTATTAGAACAATGTCATCTGGAGAACAGCTGTGGACGGGTTCATTGGCCTTCTCGTTAGGTGCTTTGACTGCTTGTGTGCTTGCTTTGGGTTGCCAGTTTGGGAGAATACATCAACATTCTGCCGTGGGCTGAAAACGTCCTTGATCTATTTACACAGGCAAGATGTGGCCAAGTTCAAATCACACACATTAGTGAGCATAAAACAGTCATAAATGTACGTATCGGCTCCAGAGGTGGACTCGTTCTACCATTTTTAGAAGACAGCTGTTTTCTGCTGGCAGTCGCCGTGTTTAAGTCCTTTCCTGATAAACAAGGACTTGTATACGCCAAAACTCATTTTAATTAATCACCTGAATGTGTCTTTCCAACAACGGTGTCAGTGCTCCCTACCTGCAGGGGGCTTGATCAATGGCGGGGGGATCATGGGGACTATGATGGGCAGGCTGCCATGCTCCTTGGTGCTGTGCATGGAGGTGGACGCTGTGCTGGAGGACTCTGTGACTCCGTTCCTGGAGGCTGGCAGAGACTGGGAGCTGTTGGCTCGATCCGGAGAGCCTTCGCTGCTCTCCGTTGAAGTTGGAATTTTTGGCAACAAGTTTTCTAGACGGGGGAAATTTGAGCGAAACAAAGCATTGCTGAAAAACTGATTAGATGCTGTGACAATCGCTGCAAATCCTGCCACAGTGTCAGAGCTTTTTGGGCCTAAAACCTGACACCACGGGTCCCTTTTTACCGTACTGGAGGTAATGTATCCCTGTAACGTATCGGATGTAACCCTACATATATAAGGTGAAAGGGACTGTTAACATCCATGAGCTTGTTGTTATGGTTTTCAAGCCCACAACTTGACTAATTTCGGTTCAGTCTTACCGCTGTCATCAGCCACGTCCTTCAGCATTGAGCGAAAAATACCTAATTTTACAACTTCCAAAATTGGAAAAGGAGCGTGGGCGCTATGCATCCGTGAGGAAGCGTTATCAGCTGAGCCCACGGTTATATCCTGCTCAAGACGGCATTACTCAGAAGTTTGAATTTATTCCCTTTCGAGTTTAAACAACTTTCTTTGATAAAGTGTCTTACTTTCAACACTCAAAAAAGTCAGCAAATCTGCTTCATCGGAGGGGATGTGGTTTCAACAATGGTTCAGCATGATAGCAGAAACAGCCCATTTGTCAACACATTAACATTCAGGATATGCTGAAACCTGATTGATTCACACTTATCCAAGTGAGAAACTGCCCCCTTGAGAAAGAAAAGTATGAGTAGCATTATCTAAGCCGAACATTTTAAAAGGAAGTGGGTTCATGTACAACCTCATTACTTCTAGTAAGTAGGGGTTTCATCATTTAGGTTTTTACATACCCTTGAGGACGGAGATGTGCTGCGGCGTCTCCCCCATCTCCAGGTTGTCAGAGTCTCTCAGTTCCACCTTGTCGTAGCCGTACCAGCCCAGCAGCTCGTTCATGGTGCTCTCTGCAAAGCTCTGCAACGCAGACAGTCGGCGCGTGAGAAACAACACAAAGTCAGGCACAACTAAAGCTGTAACTCTCGCAAAGCAAGCTGCCACTTCTGATGAGTATTAATTGAGTAAGCAAACAATAGGAAAGGAAAGTATGTCTCAATGACATACCGTGTAAACGTAACCCAAGTAAACGTTTTGAAAACAGGATGAGGATAAATTAGATTAGAGGTCCGATGCCCAAAGTTAGACAGTCAAACGGATGGACTGATCGTTGCGACACACAAATCAGCATAGAGAAGATATCATTTCAGTGACAGCAGAGATGGGGGATTAACTCATGCGGTTTTAAAGCTCCTCCTGTTTACAGATTCTCTGATAGGCTGAAATTATTATCTCTGCTGACAAAAATGGCACAGGGGTTAAGTGGCCCATCGGGACCAGTGATTCATGGGGCCCGAAGCTGAGGAATCCAAAAACAACATGCCAAAGAACGTACATGTGTTTTGTGTCATGGCTGTTGTTCATCCTCACCATAGAGGAAAAAATATGTTATATTCATTTATAATGATTGATTTGGATTTGATTTGTTTATTGATTTGAGCCAGCAGGAGATTAGCTTAGCTAAACATAAAGATGGGAAGTAAGGGAAGGCAGTAGGCCTCAATCCATCTGAAGGTAACGGTGGTATCTCACCTTTGTTGATAAAGTACAAAAGACGAGGTGAAAGAATGATTACGATGACCTTGTGCTGGTTTATGCTAAGCTAAGCTGATGCTAATGCTGGCTTCAGCTTTCTATTGAGCACACAGAGGTGCATCGATGTGATTGTCTGTGTCTCAGGAGAGAAGCCAATAATATATATTTTTTTAAATATGTTGAGCTATAGGGCGCTACAGGGCACAGTGGCGTGGCGGTTAGCACTGTCGCCTCACGGCAAGAAGGTCCTGGGTTCAGTGGCCTTTCTGTGTGGAGTCTGCATGTTCCCCCCATGTCTGCGGTTCTCTCCGGGTTCTCCGGCTTCCTCCCACAGGCCAAAGACATGCTCTGGGGATCAGGTTGATCGGGGACTCTAAATTGGCCGTAGGTGAATGTGAGTGTGAATGGTTGTATGTCTCTGTGTCAGCCTTGCGATTGGCTGGCGACCAATTCAGAGCGTACCCCGTCTCTCGCCTGAAGTTGGCTGGGATGGACTCCAGCCCCCCCGCGACCCTGTGTGCAGGATAAGCGGTTTGCAGATGGATGTTGAGCTATAGCTAAGTGATTTTAAAGTTAAAGCATCTAAGTTAGTAGATCCCCTACATCACTCGTCATGTGTCTTTCAGAAGACTATAGACAACCAATAACAGCGCAGTAAAAACCCAAAATAGGAGCAGTATATAGCACTTGACAGTTTACAGTTATCCAATATGTTTTGAGTAAGGCTGTAAAGTCCTGACATTCAGCAGCAGCAGCAGAGCGAAGCTGACTGGCACTCAGATAGTTAGTACATGTATGCAAAAATAAACACACCTAATCTATGCAGGTGAAACATTAAAGTTTCTCCTCCACAACAGCCTCTAGCAACACCGTCAATAAGCACTCAGAACTAAAACCCATAACCCCGCTAATGCATACAGCCCATTATCACCATCCACCTCTCAGCTGGAATATTTCCAAAAGCATCCATTCAATGAACCCTAAATTGTGGTAAATGGTTCAGCTACCGTTTGACTCAAAAACATAGATGGAAATGTGCTTTCTGGGAAAAAAACGCAGCAGAGAGGAATCCGCTGTAATTATAAAATATTAGTCACAGGTCACTAAACTATCGGCTCAGATGGAACACTGGTCCTCCGCGCTGTAAATTATGCTTCCGACATATAGCTGCTGAATGCATTTGGGTATATCCATCTGACAACCATTAACACATCCGGCCCATATATGTGCTCAATCAGCCATGGGTGCGGGACAAGCTTGTCAATTTGGCGTGTGATAACAGCTTGTGGAATCGCATTACAGGCTCGCAAGGGTGAACCACCGTGCCCCGTACGGTGCGTTGCCACGGAGATGACCCGCCTAGTCTCGCCGATGGAGGTCTTGCTCGACATCGACTTGACAAGACTCGAGTGGGTTCATTACTGCGTAGTCGCTCTTTGTGCTTTATCTCATCGGGGCAGCAACCGACACTCATCAGTCATTACATTAAGCAGCTGGATGTCAATTACAAACAGCCCGTGTCGACACGTCGGAGTGCTTCAGTAACTCTGGGCGAATCTAAATGTAACGGCAAAATATAGACATCCGCACATTTGAAAAGAGAGTCTGCATCTGTAAAAAGAAAAAGAAAAAGGGAAAAGGCTCATTCAGAATGGGGCCTAGGTGTTGCCCGTATCCAAATAAAGGTAAAAGACAATAGCTATCTCCGAAGGATGTCTGATTTGACAGTTGGAAGACAAGACACGTCCCACGTGAACCTCTCAGGGGAGACAAGTTTGAAAAATTAAAAGATAAGGATCATTTTCACACCGAGTTCATTTCTATTAATAAGGGCCGGATGACAGAGAGGGAGAAAAAGTCCTCTGCAGGTCTCTCTTGAGACTGTGCACTCACTGCTGGAGGCGGGGCTGAAGTATTGATTCGTGATTTCCTGTGGGTGGGAAAAGTGACCGTGTCTGCAACCAGAATTTAATTCGGGCAAATAAAGTGAAACTGCGCGGTCTCAGTGGAGATGGGTTTGGTGGTTTTTTGTCCACAATACAATACAGTATGCAGCTCAAAACCAAAAAAAGAAAATGAAAAGATGTCTCTCGCCGACCCGCGCCATGTTGCAGTCCACAGCTTGCAAACAACAAGTTGGTCCACCAGCCTAATCGCTTGATACAAATCAAATTAATGAAGCCCCAACACAAAGCAGATTGGATATTACTTACCGTAGGATTATAGTAAGAGAGATACAAGCAGTGAAGAGCCCCGCACACACACACACACACACAGTTGTTTAGCTTGAAGCAGAAGTATCTCTCTGCATGTTTGAGACACCGGCACAGCAGAGGTGCAGCATGGGCGGATTTCTTTATACTACCGCAACATTCACTCCGTTTCTCAGCATTTTGGAAAGAGATTCACAATGTGCTGTAGTTGCACCACAGAGACGGAGCGCCGCTCTCTGTTCACACGGAGCAGAGTTGCTGCTATTCCGTGCAGGGGGCCACTGGCCACACTTGGTCCAAGGACTCGGGCTAAATGCCAGGGAGGGATTATTGATGAAGAATGACAGGAGCCATTGATCCACCTGTTATGAAATACCACTGTGGGGAGGGGGGTGGGAGGGTCAGTGAGCAGAGGGGCAGAGCACGCTTTGAAGTCAAAGAAGAAGAAGCGTGCTAGCAGCAGGAGCGTTTCAGTGTGAACATCTGGAACTCAATGTTTAACAACTACAGCACTTACAGCAATTGTTTACGGTTTTGTCACAGAGGTTATAAAAGGATTTGAGTTCAAGCGGTCTCTAAATGAGGACAGCTCATGCTCGCTCACGTGAGCGTAATGCTTTTGCTTGAACAATGCTGAGTGACAGCGGTGCTCACTCCGCCTGAAGGTTCCTGCAAGTCAGATTCAGCAGCACATCCCAAAGTTAAGTCCTGACAGAGATGTTCTACACATGGACACGCCCAGTGTTTTCACAGCATATTACAATACGGTTCTCAGATTTAAACGGGGGGCCGATGCTGCACGTTCTTCTCACTACGGTTTCTTCCCAACCGTCCCATACGTGAATGTCACATTACTGCAAATACTCCACGGCTGTGTTTTCTAACCATGTTCCTGATGATTCTTCAATGAATCCGTTAGGTAGACAACATGTATGTTGTGTAAACTAAGGAGCTGAATATTCTGCACAAGTTGTTTAATACATTCACTGTGGATTGCAATTTACCAAAAGGGAAAAGCCCTCCGACGGACTCAGAGGGCAAACACGTGGCCAGCACAACAGCACTGCAAGAACACAAACCTTCAGAGGAAAATCATCCTTTCGAACTAATGAGTTGGAGCATAACTCAACCCGAGAGTAAAACGGATGTAGCCGCAAAATATCCACCTCGCAGGAGACAAAAAGAACACAGCATCTCTCTTTGTCTCCCGTTTCTTTCCACCAAACTGTCCTCTGTGTCACCCTACTACTTTGAGAAAGCGGGAGTGATATTAAGAGCGGAATCGAATCCCAGCTGGCGGCTCATCAAAGCGGCGGCATGGGCTCTGACTGTGGGTGAGCCGGGGAGGAAGAGGCGTTGGAAGCACACGGGGCAGCTACTGATGTCTACGCGTTACACGGGATGTGTGGCCCTTTAATCAGCTGGTATTCTAGCCGAAGTGTTCTGAGAGCCTCGGAGCAGAACCGAGGGTCGCTCACCTGGAAGCGTGGTTTCTGTTTCAGGCAGACAAACATTTAACAGATCGGTATATACCAAGTTAGAAATCTTTAAAAAAAAAAGAGGCTGAACCCTGAGATGGCAACGTTTGGTCCGTCCATTTGTCCTCATTATGTTGCCGACCTTTTGTTGCCAACATCAAGTAAAAATCCTCCCTTGACCAAAGGTTTTTTCCAAAAGGAGTTTTCTCAAAAACCAAAAGGCAGTAGCTTCAAAATATTTATGGTACCCAAATAATGAATATATTTGTAAATATTTAATTTATAATGAAACATTTTGCATTAGAACCAGATCAATATCTTCAATCAGAAGCCATTTATTGCCACGTGTACAAGAATTTGTCTTGGTGCAATATAAGAATAGAATAAAATTAAGTAAAATAAGGTAAAGGTCTACAAGCAAAATGAACAATATACACAGTACGTGTAAACGCGTTAAAACGCGTATGTATGTACACATTTTTAACCAAATATGTACCTAAACCTGAACTTGCCTTCTACCGACATGAGAGATACAAGATAAAACAGACAAAAACGGTCTTGGTTAGTCCATCCACCGTTCCAACTATCCCCATCTTGGTTTTGTCGAAATAAACCTTAAATTCACCACGTTAGATGTGGAAATATGCTGGATATTCCCACATCGCTCCCGTTCTTCCAAAGCAGCAAATTAAATGACAAACATCAGTCATCATTTCTAAAAAAATAACAAATAACAACAAGCAAATCCGGCTAAAATACGGTAAAACATGTATTAAAAACAGCCACGACAGTCAAAAATGCAGACAGACAGACAGAGACGCACGCACACTCACAACTGAATGCATAATCTCCCGGGGGAGGTCATAATAATGGCAGCGAGGGCCGATTGTTGCTAATCAATGCGTAAGTCATTGTGAAATGTTGAGACATTATTGAATTCTTACCCCTTTTTTAAAACTATTTAACTGATTCAACACACCTGCGTTTTAAACACCACTTTTAGCATCATATCTACGCTGTGAGGCAACTTCAGAGCTTGTGTCGTTAAACAATATATCTCAGTGTGTTGAAAGGTGTTTTACGAGTGAAAGACCACATGGTGGTTTCACATCGTCACACATGGACTCCGGATACTTTCACTACAGATTTGCGGGTTGCACTTCCCTGCTGCGTACTGCGTACATACAAAATACATCTAAAGCCTCCAGTGAGGCCCAGTCGCGGCCAGCAGGGCTCTTGGTAACGATGATGGCGGGAATTGGACACCCGGCCTGCGCTTAGAAACCAGAGCAGGTCACTATAGACCGTGATAAAATTCCCAAATCCACGCGCCAAGTTTCCCTTCGCCTCCTGCACTATACCCCACTTTTCCACTCCCCTGCTCCCTCTCTCCTCCTCTGCCTCTGCCTCTCCTCGGCTTTCATTTCCCTCTACTTTCCTTGATACCTGAGCCAGTGGGGAGACACTCGGGTTACAGTTTTTACAGCTCAGCCAGCCCAGCGCTGTATACATTCCTTTCTCCACTGTTCTTACCCCACTCTCTCCAGCCTCTCACATCCCTTCCGATGCCCCCTCCTCCTTGTCCTCGATTACTCACCGAGGCTTATTTTACCGCGCAGGCACACATTAAGGAGTCATACGAAGCAAACACTGTCGGGCTCTTTGGTTTTGCAGAGTATGATCTCCCCACAAGGGCACATTGTGTGTCTTTCTTGCTTGTGTATGCGTAAGGTGTGTGTGTGGGGGGGGGGGTCGGGCCTGAAATATTGAAGATGAGAGCGGGAAGGAACTGTGTCACTTTGTTCTCCATCTGAGCCCTTGCAATTGAAGAAGTTTTCCTACAGGATATCAATGCGTTAAACTTCTCGTACAGGCTTAACTGTTGACATCAGGCAGCTGAGCAGCTTCAAGTCTTTAGTCTGATCCGCGTCTCGCTGCAACGTTCTCCCACAGCCAACCAGTAATCTTATCATGTCACACCTGTACGGCCCTATTTGTTTTACATCATCTGACTTATCAACTCCCAGAGTCAGAATAACAACGAAGGCACTGAACGAGACCAGAGCAACCTTCTATCCGTCAATCAGTGTTTTCCTAAATAAAACTGGCCGCCGCCGCTTGTGTGTGAGAAACACCGTGTGCGTGTGTGCAATATGAGCTGAGATTCAAGGGCGCGTAATGAGCTACAATCGAACATGTTTAGCCTTTGAAAGTGTTTTGACACCTTAACCACATCTGCTGCTCCCTTCAGCAGAGCTTCCCCCGGCGTTGACGGGAGATACTGGAGTTGCCATGGGAGAGCGGTGTTTTCCCCTGCACGCACCAGCAGCGCCGCAGCGTCTGCTGCGTTTCGTACTGACACATAGATAAAAAGTGCCACAAGCTGACATATTTGTTGAGTAGCTGGACCGTAATATTGAAAACTCGAGATTCACAATTCGACAGATCACTGAATGTGCCTAAATAACAGCAAAACCACTTCCTTCAAATACAACATCATGTCTGACCCGCGACTGACATGCAGTAATTACTTGGCAAATCTGATAGATTAGAAGAGAGGACATTTCATTTTTTGCTCCACTGCTGACACAAATGACCGAATAAAAACTGAACGGACAGCACTGCTGTGCCTAAATGATGCTCATAAAGATTTCATCCATTCTAAATGCTCCAGTGAGACCAGCTCAAGTGCTCCCCTGGTACGGAAATACGGAAATGTCTCCATGGAGGGACCGTGGCTGACTGACAACACCACCCCCACTCCCTCCCTTCCAGACAGCAGGAGGATGTATTAACTGTATTTATTCTCAAACGGGGAGCGTTACAATTTTATTTTTTATTTCATCAAAAAAAAAGAAAATTCCACTCCAACAAAGTGTTATTCTGCTAAATGATTAGAAGCCCTTTCTCAGGATGCAGTAGATGAGGTCAACTCAAGCAGCTGCAAGGAGGTGGAACACGGCACAGTGTTACATTGCATGGTTTTAATAGGCTAAATAATCGTGCATCAACATGCAACAACGCATATACACAGTCATCATTGAAATAAACATCACTTTTCGTTTTACAGGAACAAAAAATAAGCGGTGACACGTGAACGCGGCTGTAATTGAAGCTTTTATTCCAGCAGGGGTTTTTTGTTCAGGGTCCGCTCAAAGCAGCATCCTCGCTGCTCCTCTGATGATTTCATCTTTTTATTCATTTTTTCCCAAATGATCCCCGATGTGATCACCTACGTGTCCGCCCGCAGCAGCGGAGCCCTGCGTGCGTGTGTGTCTCCATACAAATGTGTATACAAACAATGAAGAGATGGAGACAAAGCGGACACACAGCCCGCCTCTCTCTCACACGCACACACACGCACACACACACACACACACACACACACACACGCGTCAGGAACACTTTCTTTCTCCGCACGGAGCGCGGGGCTCAAATATCATAACGTGCATAACGAGCCACATACAAAATAAGGAATAGAAACAACGTGTGGGGTGAACATGGGGGGGGGGGGGGGGGGGGGCTGCAGGCCGAACACAGGGGACAATGTGCTCCTTGTAGAGTGCGTAAAGCTCACGGACGCACATCTGGATAACACGCCTCTGGACAGCACACGCACACAAACATAAACACACACCTCAACTCAGGCAAACCCACGCATTCAGACCTGCTAAAAAACCACAACCCCCCCCCCCCCCCCCCACACACACACACACACCCCTCCCGCACACACACACACACACACACACACACGCTATCGATCCGCACTAATCGTGCACATCGGATGCCCTCCGTTGCGCCGTACTTTCCCAGCGGTCGTAGTAATAGTGGAGGCTCTGTTGACGCCTTCACTGACGCACTGGATTTTCCATCAACTCCGGGCGAGCCGTGAAAAGGCGAGATTGTGGCACGAAGCGGCGGGGAACGCGCGCGGCAGCCTCACCGACTCCAAACTTACTACAGGGGCAGCGAGCGGGCGCCGCATCCATTGTGCGAGGCGCGACACTGGCACGGCGCGCGGCTCGGACCCACATCCAGCGGGGGCGTTTCAAAAAATAATAATAATCAATCAAAGTTTGACTATCGTGCAGCCAATTTCACTTGAGTGGGTCGTCGGTTTCCACGGAGGAAACCCGGCGGGGAGCCTCCACGGACATGCACGCTCCTCACAACCAATCTGCTTCCACGCGTAATCACATGCAAGCGGGCAACACAACCACGTTTTTTTGTTGTTGTTGTTTTTTTACCTTCATCTCTTCATTTATTTCCCTTTTCACCGGGTGGGCTGGTTTTCGGCTTCTTTTATTTTCCGGAGGTCTGCCCTCTTTTTCCATCTCTGCCATGTTTTCTCTGAGATACTTCTGTCAATATTTGCGGTGAGGAGGGGTGAGATACGGGGTGGGAGAGAGAGAGAGGGAGGGAAGGGGGGGGGGCAGCGGCTGCTGTTTACAGTTGACAGACGGCGGAGGTCTTGCGGCTTTTCAGCGGCCCGTGTGACGCTGGTGATCCCGCCGAGGGTTTGCGGTGCCCGGCTAAGTCAGCCATCTTCTGGCCGTATCCTCCGCGGTCCGTGCGCCAGTGGCGAGCCGCCTCCGCGAGTCAAAGGAGAGGTTGAATGAGGGAGAGGGGGGAGGGGGGGGGCAAAACGAGACAGGAGGAGGGGCATGCGCTGAAACATTATATGACGCGTTGGTGATCAGAGGTTTTTTTCTCGCGTTCCCCACGGAGCGCAATCAAAGCGGTCACATCCGCTTAGCGCTGCGCTGATTCCCGCATGATGGCAGTCTGCAGGCAGCAAACAGGTGCCCACGCACGGTCCCCTAGTTACACATTGCTCCTCAGGGGTGTCTCCCCGACATGTGACCAATGTGCACTGGTCTCTCTCCCGGTCACAGACGTCACTGCTTCAGTCCTTAAAACACTCCATGTCTCCAAACCACATGTCCTTGTCTGGACGTTCCAGTGTGCAGTTCAATGATCATAAAAAGGTCAGTGTTGACCAGAGCAGCTGTGGTTAAGGATGACCAGAGCGGGGCCTTGCTCAACGTCAGTCGGTATGGGTCAGTGGATGTTGCTGGGATTTAAAAACCCACAGCTTTATTTGTCTTGCGAAGTTCAATTTTAATTGATTATCAGTAGACAAAACACTACAAAGAAATGCAGTTGTTTAGTCCTATTTTGATATACATAAGAAAAAGTTCTGTCCAGTGCAACAAGTGCAAAAATGGCTGCCTTCCAATGGGGTGATTGGTTAATTGTGTACTACAGCCAAATACTACAGCCAAATGCTGCCCTTTTTGATCCTACGACAGGCAAAACCTTATACAATATAATGTTTACATCAGCATGTGCTTACACAAGTTTTAAATCCACACGCATTCAGATTTATGTTTTCGTTTCAACATGCTTTTTGCATGACACGTTCTGACAATGTTCTGACAGTTTTATGCAACGAGGCCATTCACTTACTATACATATACATAAGCACTAAAACTGGGTCATGAGACATTTACAGGTACCTGTGTAAGTAACTTTTGCTCTACCTGTTGTATCTGTGTGCTCTGGCCACGGAATTACAACAAGGTGTCGGTTGGACAGCCACGGGGGCGAGGGGGGGGGGGCATTGTGACAAGCATTTGAGCAGGATAATCGGTGGAAAAACAGAAGCCGTGAACCATGATGCAGGGTCAGGGTGAGATGACGTGTGCGTTACAGTGCTGCTCCCGCCTTTGCAAACCAACAAATCGCTGCAGCAGCTCGGCTTGGCCTAAAGCAACTGAAATGCTCCCGGTGACACAATGTGCAATAATGAGTATGATGCAAAATACTGAAAATGTTGATTCGAATTTCCCGATGCTCTAAAACTGTCATATCGTAACAAGGATAGAATTACATTAAGGTGGTTTTCACAATTGAAACACGTTGGTATAATTGGATAGTTAATTTTCTTTTTATATCTGACATTTAAATAATTTTCTATCTCAGCGTTGGAGTTACTACGACGTTGGAAATAGAAACACATAACGAGATGGAAGAAAAACAAGACGGAGTTGCATCCAAAAGTGTTCCCACGTAGGCGTTGAGTCTCAGTACGCATTTTTCTTAACTATATTTAATATATTAAACAGGCACTGGAAATGTCAATGATGTCCCTGCCTCAATTGAATGAAGAGCAAACTGAGGCAGTGCTGTGCCATAAAGAACAAAAAGAAATATTTTAGTTAAAATTCCCAGCCTTGATTCATTTAAATTGTCCAACGGCAGATGAGGTGAGGGAGGGGCACAGACAGAGAAGGTTTTACAGACGGAAAAGTTTCCAGATGGAGTTTTTGTAATTTGCTTAATGTGACGTTCAAAGGAGAGGGTTGGATCGAAGATAAACCCTACGTTTTAGATGTGTGTTGAAGCAGGAATGGCGGGCCGATGACGAGGATTAGTTTAATTAAGCTCAACTTTAGTCTCGGGATGCGTTATGAAGACATTGACAGCAATTGATTCGTGAGGCATTCTAATTAGTAAAAGGAAATTATTGTTTTTGTAACGTTTAGAGACTCGTTGATTATATTGTCGGCAGACGAGGAGGATGCTATTGAAGTTTCCCCGATTATTCAAAGTTTCTGTACAACTTAGTTGGCTGGACTTCATTGTTACTGACACACATGCTTGAAGCAGTGCACCTCTCTTTTGACTCACACTTACATTGTGCACACCACTCAATGATCTATTTAATTGAAACCATAAATATCTCATGAGAGCAAAGTATAAGAGATATAAAAGTTGTTCTCTAACAGCGTAAGATTACCAATACTGAAATATGATCCCCTCACTTAGTTTTGTTTTCAAGACAAAGCATCCCTACATTTTTTTAAATCAATGCATTCTTTTGACTATCACATCATTTAGTCATTTTTTAACAAGCTATTTTGTAATTGATTGAAAAAAAAGAAGTGAACTCCTCTTTACTGCCGGGACAGTATAGGTTAAATAGCACAACTGGCTCACAGTTGTTGAGTTGGTGAGTGTTGTGACACATACAACTGTGGAAACTTGTAAATAAACATGAATTGACCTGCTTTGTATTTCCACAATCACGTTTGTTCAATCATTCCCAGTCGTGGACTGGGACAACTAGGCACGAACTAACTGTAAATGTTTCTAAAGCTACACTTTGTTTTTGTTATAGTTGCCGAATAAAGCAGCGACAATAATGAAATATCTAAACGGACTCATGTCACGTTCTTACGTTCAACGTAAAAGGGTCTAATTTTGTAACGGAATTTCGCCAGGTGCTCTCTTACTTCATATAATGGGGCGCGTCCTGTCGGAATTTTACGTAAGACGTCATCGCGTTGAGGACGACGTAACGTATTACGTGTTCCAAGATGTCAGCTCGCAGTAAACGACAGGACTTGTGTTGTGAAGCGTCTGGTTACTCCCACCGTGACATTATGTTAGTTTCTTTCTGATAGCAGATTGTACGCTTAAATAAACTCACCAAATGCGCTTTTATTTGAGAACATGTCAGAACGTTAGCGCGTGACTCTGGAGACACGGTTCAGAAGATGGTGGAAGGTACCCGAGTGGCGCCGTAAGCAACTGTTTCACAAACTACAAAAACATTTCAGTCCGAGAGAAGATGTTTCCCGCTACGTGGCGCCGACTGTGCCGCAGGGCTCCGTCCTGTCCGGCGCCGAGGACGCAGAGCCTGCTGGCCGGCTCCGGGCCGTCGTACTGGAGCAAAGTGGTGTCGGACGCGGAGAGGCTCGTCGGGTACCCGACCTCCTTCATGAGTCTCCGCTGCCTGCTGAGCGACGAGCTCAGCAACGTGGCCATGCACGTGCGCAAGCTCATCGGGACGCAGCACCCGCTGCTCAACACTGCGAGGTAACCGGGGGGGACACACAACACACAACAGAACAAGTTGTGCTGAACAAGATGAGAATAACCATAAACAAGCACGTGACATTGGGTCACGGTTCAGAAGTGTGTGGTTGCATTATTATGTGAGCTCACTGTAACTTGAGACCCTTGTTTAATCTTAATCACCGTGGCTCCTGTTTTACGACACCAGCTCAAACTTTGAAACCTGCCACATGCATTGTTCAGCCCTCCCATTGTGGGTTAGTATGTGTGTTGTGGCTTTATCTGCTGATCAGACGCGCTATTGCATGTAGTACTTTTGTGATAAATGGATTGTGATAAATGGAAGTAAGATGAAGTCTGAAAAACGTGCTGACTTTATCAGACGAGGATGAGCGCAGCTCATATGCTGAAATGTTTCCCTCAGTCTGCTATTGTTGCATACGATGAATACAAATGACCAAAGTTTACTTCCAGGGAATCCAAATCAAAACCATCTGTATCATTTGGTGCCTCCGCTGGGGATATATTATCAAAATGTCATATCTCAAAAACAACGTATGTCACGATAAAGCTGGTTTTTCTGGTAATTCAATATAGTATAAAATAACCGAAGGGGTTTTGAATACTTTTGTGTGAATGAGTCGTATACAAACGAGAAGTACTGAGTGTTTACTCATTGTAGTAAGCACTTTAGTGCAGAGTAATCAGATTTTCTGAGAAATTTGAGTTTGCTTGGGCTCGTTTTTATCAGCTAGCAGTCTTTGGGAGACGTTTATAAATTGGCTGTCTTTTCTTCTCAACACTGGATAATTACATTTTATTATTTATTAAACATTTATTAAATAATGTTTGCAAACCGGAGACAGAATAGTCAACATACACAGTGTCATGTGTCATGTCAAGTTCTTCATCTTGATCATCAGCTGACCCAGAACACAAGGTGCCTCCGTGTGGAAGAGAACAGACTTCCTGTCGTCTAAGTAATACTGACAAAGGGGAAACATTGCAGTTTTTCCAACAACTTGTATGAATAATGTTTTTTTAAGTAAGAATCATCCAATAATTCTTTCTGAAATGTGGTGCAGTAGAGGTTTAAAGTATCACAAAGCACAGTGCCTGTAATTAATTACAGTCACTCAGTAGCAGTGAACAACTACATCAAGTAAAACTGCTGCCATTTAAACTAAATACTTCCTCACGAGGAGACTGGGCCCGGAATTGCAAAAGAACATTCTGTGTACGGCAGTGAACTTTTTTACACAGAACTCCTGCATCTTTCCATTCGTTGTACCACCTGCATTAAAGGGGAAAATGTGACCGTGTTACAGCCACCTCTTTTTAGGGTAGAAAGCGTCTCACTAGGTGCACCAAACCGATGTACGGCCATGGCATCCATTGGTTTTCACATCCAGCATTTAACTACGTTTGAGCGGATTTGTGATGCAACCGCTAAGTGGAGGCGCCAGAAGGGGTCACATGTTCCAAATCGGATCCAGTGGCTTCAGGGTGGCAGCAGCCTGCAGGTTCCTCATGTTTTCATCCAAGAAATCAGGGACTCGGAGCACCGAGAAGAGCGAGTCCTCAAACTCAAGCCAGACGGGTGTGTTGGAAACCGGAGCCCAAGGGTGTAATAACCTATACACCTGAATCTGATATGACAATCCATTTGGGTGTTGTAGAGGGGTGAGGGAGGGGGGGGGGTGTAGCAGACCTCTTGACAGTCTGACTCCTCACTGTCAGCTCGGGTTGGCTGGTTCGTATTTCCCCACTGCGTCTCCGCCTTAGACGCGCGGCGGATAAAAATATCCATAATAGCAGACAGGCAGACCCTCGTGGAGTCGGGTGTCGGTGCTCCCTTTCCTTTCATTCTCAAAAAACAGCCGCTCAGCGAGCTTTGCCCCAAAGTCTGGAGTTACCGCGACGGGGACCGCGGCCCGGGAGGAGAAACTTAACTTGCTTTAAGGACAGTCCTTGAGACTTCGACTTGTGTTTCCTCCCGGCGCTTTTTCTTTTTCCCTCACCGTTTCCCCTCTGCAATCTCCAGCCCCGTCGTCGATACCTCGATCGATGCGCTTCTCATTGCGATTAGTTTTAAATGGAGTCTAGCCCGGTTCATTTGGGCCACATTGTGCACATAAGTGAAGGCTGCCATCAAAGATGGTCTCCGGTCTAAGACGTACAGTGGCTTGGTTTAAAGGGAGAGTCGCGGGGACAGAAGCACTTTGGCATCCTGGTGTCCTCCTGCTCCACCACCAGCTCTTTTTATCAGGGCCATTTTTCTATCACTGTTGTAGAGGACCATTCCCTCGCCATAGAGAAAGCCACCTGCTGTACTTTGTGGAACTGTGAGAATCAAGTGCAGAAGGTTGTAATAAACTGATCATGACCGTTTCTAAATGATGTAGCTTTATCTGCAATGCTCACTAGACTCGAACACGTCGGATGCATCCGGTCCTCAAGAAAGATGCGAGCGTATCGGCCACATTCATTCTTCTCTCAGTACTTAAAAAACAGACAGAGGATCAATACGCCAACACACGCGCACACGTACACACACACACACACACACACGTGAGGTCATACATTTGCCTGCATTGCCTCCAGCCCCTGCACACGGTGTCTGATGTTCCTAAAATTCCTGCGCAGCAGTTGCAGAGTAGGAGGCGTGGTGACCTGTTCACAACCCTTTTTAAAATGACAGCAGGCCATTTCTCTCGCTCTCGCTCTCTCTCCCCCGTCATCTTTGCCCCACCCCTTTGCGGGAGGGCGGTTGTGATTGATTGATGTGTGCTGGTGTGGCTAGTGACATAAATATTAATCATCCGCCAACACCAGGCCACCGGATAAACTGGACTCCCCGGGAGGAGAGAAGCTTTATTGTCTTTTTTTCTTCTTTTTTTGTGTGATTTGTAGCCGGTTTTTGGTTCATCAGGCTTTTTCTCCTGATTGAGCAAAAATTTAAAGTGACATTAAATCTGTGATGAAAGGCGGCCCTGCATGATGTCAACCGTATCGTAATTATAATCGTTTTTGGGGACCAAAATGAGTCTTTATATACAATTAATATATATATATATATATATATATATATAATATATATATATATTTTATATTTTATATAATATATATATATATATATATATAATATATGACTTTTTTGAAAAGAACAAAGCTTCGGGATATTTTTCTCCCTTTCAGCATCGGAACACTGAATCACCTGTGTGTGTGTGTGTGTGTGTGTGTGTGTGTGTGTGTGTGTGTGTGTGTGTGTGTGTGTGTGTGTGTGTGTGTGTGTGTGTGTGTGTGTGTGTGTGTGTGTGTGCGTGTGTTTCTTTTCTTTTGTCGTCATGTTTTCTGGCATTCTCATTCCTGTCTGGCCTCTCTTCCCTCCATCCATCTCTGGTCGCCTCCCTCTCGTCACGCTTTATCTCGAGCAACCACTCTCTTTCTGCTTCGGGTTCCTCCACCTCCCCCATGTGGTGCAGGGGTGGGTCAGAGAGTGTGGGCTGTTGGAGGTGGCGGTCTGGGAGCGGAGAGGGTGGAGGGGGGGGGGGGGGTGGAGGCGTGGCCGCCTGTCTGCCTCGGAGCCCCTAACGAGAGCGTGATTCATGGCACAAGGGGCTCCCATAGGGACGGGATTAGAGGTGCTCTGTCTAACTGCTCCCCAGAGAGACCAAAAAGATATTTAATCTGCCCACCACGCAGGCGGCCGCCCCCGGACGATGCCCCGTCTACTGGGTGCGTTTCTGCCCGTGTGAAGTCCCACCGCAGTAAACTTATCAATTATATTCCTGTGTTTGTTGAGCTTAACAGTCCTCTCACATGGAGAACAATGTGTGTTGTGTCGCAGTAGCGTTTCCGTTGCTTTGTTCCCTTTCAAATGGATAACTTTAACATGTGTACATAATAAAGCCGCTATAATCAATATTCTCCTATTAACAAAGGCTCAAAGGCCTCTCTCATAGGAGCTTAACAGCGAATTGCTCCTCTCCATACAGCATTTCATCACCCTTTGACTCAAGTCACTTGTTAGGCGTTTTGAGTCAGTCTCTCAAGTAGTAATCAATTCCCAAATTATTTGTGAAGCTTTATTGGAACCAACAGCGTGTAACGCAGCCTTCACGCCGCCGCACACAAGCACCTTCTTTGGAAATCACTGACTGCATGTTTTTATTTTTTTCAGCACAAAGGAGAAAGAGCGACACGCTCTAGGTGTAATATGTTGGCCGACGTTAATTCTTTTCCACTATTTAAACCACACAGCTTTCTCCTGCGGCGGCGAATGTGTTCAAGCTGTTACCGGCCTCTTAAACATTGCTCATTAAAACGGGGCGGCGCGGTGGGAGCAGGTGTAACTGGAGCCGGGCTCTGCAACAACAGATGGCAGCAGGGTGTCTGGAAAGATGTTAGAAACACCAATGCTACACGTTGCTTCCTTTTTCTTTTCAAGTCCTCACAGTCCGTAGCCGGCTTAGAGCGGTCGGACCAGGCGGCGCGTCGCGGCGGCCTGCGAACACGGCGGCGACCTCAGCGTCACTACGAGGAAAAAGTTGTTCACGCGGCTGGATGAAGACGCTCTCCGTGTCTGCACTTTAACCTATACGGACGTTGTTTCTTCTCAGGGGCTACGTCTACGACAGCAGGAGCAACCTCCAGACCCGGGGGCTGATCGTACTGCTGATGTCGAAAGCGGCGGGGCCGAGCCACGCGGCCTCCGACCTCCTGCCTCAGGACATGGTCAGCGGCATCTACCCGAGGTACTGGACAAACTGTGTTCCCTCCATCGCAAATTAGATCCATCGAACGGCCGTGGACCTTCCGGTAGGAAGTCCTTCTGGCTGCGGTTTGTCCACCTTCCTCACCTGACTGCTCGGCGCTGAAGTGTAATGTCTGCTACTGCATGAACACGATAGACACAAAGAATGTTACGCCTTTGAGGGTAAATGGTTTCCACAAACCCTTCTCACGGCTCCATGGCCACACCGCACCGCAGCTGGCTCTCCACCAGGCCGTAGGCTGCAGCCACTGGTTCCTGTCAGTAACCACACACAGGCCGCAGAAAACGGGGGGCAGTCCACATGTGATACATTGCTTTGTAGGTCCTTAAATATGCACAGCGAGCGGAGCGAATCCATCTGTTACAGAGCTGCACAGGGAGGAATAGTGACATCAAATCTGGGTAACAGGTTATTCTGTCTTATCCTTTGTGGTTATCATCTGTATAAATTCCTGTAGATGAAGCACTAAATCATCAGCGAATATGATGGAATGTGAGGGCGATATAACCATAGTTACAAGATGGAATGTTTGTACTTTTTCTTATTTAGATTAGTTCAGACATTCGTGTTCCTCAGAGGATGGATCCCTGATGCCTAAAGCCTAGTTTATGCTTCTGCGTTTTCAGAGCGACGCAGACACAAGACCCCCTTGCGCGTCCCTTGCGCGCCTTTTCACACCTCCTTGCGTCCTTGCGTGTGTCGACCCATTTTTCTAGGCCTAAGCCTCCCGCAGCGCACCAGGCTGCGATTGGTCCGCTAACTACGTCCTTTACGGAGTCTCACATTTCCGTTTTCATAGCACAATACCGCCATTATTAAAACGAAGAATGTTTACGACAGAACGGATCAGATTGAAGAACTTTTGTTGGAAGAAATGCGTAAATATGGCCGCGTATACAAGCCGTCATTGGCGGGTCGGATTCATGGAGGAAGATCTCCGCAAACGTCGGTTTGCTGGTCGAGAGGTGCACAAAGTCGTGGAGGAAAATACGGGACAAATGTGTCCGCGATGGAAAGCAGCAGTGGCGATGCACGAGGCAATAAAGTCTATGATAAATAAACAAACCAACGACTTCCACACACAAAGACGTGACTCTCTAGGTCGTCTTCAACAAAAACACGTTACTCCACCTGTTGTTCTGGAGGTGAATTGCTTTGCAACACTTTTAGAACCATGAATTGAAACGAGTGCGTCGACGCAGACGCAGAAGCATGCGCCAGCCTTAATGTAGGGGAGGACTCTGACTTTCCTCCAGCACCCCCACAGGGTGAACGGTTGGGTTTTGTCCCACGCTGAACTTTGGTCTTGAAGGGGGGATGCGTGCCAAGCGCTTTCCAGAAGTGACTGCTGTGTTTGGCGTGGCTGCGCACCGGCTGCCTCAAAGGCGTCTTTCTTTACCGCCGACACAAGGCACACGTGTGTTGGCGAGCCGCGTGCGTGTGTGCGTGAACATCCTAATATTAGAACTAATTGGAATCACCCCGGGTGCCGTGGAAGCGCTTGAAGTGCCTTTCATGGCTCGTGTCTCTCGCCAAGGGGGAGTTCTCCCAAACTGGCCTCGTGTCATAACCGGGCACTACCGGGTCACTGAGTCCAACGTGCAGCATTCCCTCACTCATGTGTGATGGATAGACCAAACACACACACACACACACACACACACACACAGCATGACTTGATCACCTCATTTGCACTATCTTCTCTGGCTTTCTCCCCCCTTGCAACCCACCAGACCCCCCCCCCCCTCCCTCCCTGAGCTCATTAGCACATCTGATGGAGGAGATGGAGGAATGGTGGGAGTTGGGCTGGGGCGGGTTTGGTGGTGGGGGTGATTGAAACCTCCGGGGGTTGGTCTCCTCCCTCCTGACAGGCAGCATTTGTAAAACATTTCCCACTTTGCTGCCTGACACTGATGATTCATAAAGGCCCAACTGTGATAGATGGATGGATGGAAGGACGGACCTATAGATCGATAACACACACACACGCGCGCACACACACACACACACACACACACACACACACACACACACACACACACACACACACACACACACACACACACACACACAGGCGCAACTCGTATCCACCACACCTCTCAATTTCTGGTGACAAATGAAAGCGTGCCACTGAACACATCGCGCCGCCGGGCTGATGGACAGGCCGCCTCTTTAAATCACGCCCGGGGACGCACTCACATCTGCTGCGTTTGATGGTGAAGGCAGACTGCAGAGGGAGGAAAATGGAACAGAGCAGTAAGGACAAGGGGCGTGGTGAGGGGCGTTGCACCTCGGCAAGATGGCATCCGTTGCTATGCAACTGGGCACCAAAGCTATTTATACACCGGCCCCCTTGTCCCCCTTTTTTCCTCCCCAAGCTCTACTGTTACGGATCAGGACTGCTAGCGGAGGCGCAGCTTCAGCATGCGGATGCACCGGCGCTCAACGGATTCTGGTTTGAGACCCCAAATTCAAACTAATTCCAAGGGTTTTGACTTCCTCATATTTCCTAGCTGATATTTTGTGCTGACACAAGTGTTGCCGCTAAAAGGGTCGATTGAAGCCAAACCAATAGATTTCTGATCCCTCCATTCACCCGATGAATTACAGCCTGGAGATGTCACAATATATGCTGGAAGATCATATAGTCAAATCTGCTCCGGTGGACAATTCAATATCACTGATGCCCCCACAGTTATCCGTCTTTGTGTACACATGTGTCAGGCCATTTTAAAGAAACTAAAGCTTTCTGGCAATTTTACAACATTACTTTGGGATTTTTGCATCATTGTGATGAAGCGGCATGATTTATCATTTGGGGAATATGCCAAAAGAATGCCTCCCCATCTGGTTCCCTCATCCATAGCTGGCTTCTTATGGCTTCCTCCAAAAAATGTACTATATTACAGCACGGTATATAAATATCTCAGAGGATAGATGGTTGTGTCCATATTGGGCACTGCTCCTCTAATAATGATAGAATGATAAATAAAAGTTTATTAATATTCTCATTCAATTGAGATACTATTGCATACGTGGAAATAAAAAGGGTTATAAAAAACCCTTAAAAAGGGTTATCAGCCCAAAGCGTAAGCAGATGATGGGTCCATCACAGATTATCAATTAATTTTTGTTTCCAAGGTAAACGACCAAGCAAAGCGGTCAGTCTTTCTGTATTTGGCCAAAACCTCTAAAACGTTAGTTTTTCTGTGACCCCGACTCAGCCAGCGCTCCTTGCCGCCCCCCTCCTGCTGTAACAGCGAGCCTCGAAACCGGCCGAGCATGGTCGTCACGCCGAGGCGCCTCGAGAACACGCAGTCCGCCAATCCATTAATTTCCACTTATTTCGAATCCTGAACTTTATTAATTCTCATTCGGGGCGACGGTGTTGTTGCTCTGCGTCAGCGAGCTGAGGAACCAGCCAGACAATGGATGTGATTGAGAGGCGAAATAGATTACATTATTGAATTTTAATCACATCTTTTCCACGCCGGCGTTGAACACGACAATTACCTGGCTGCGAGGTGTGTGTGTGTGTGTGTGTGTGTGTGCGTGCAGAAAGGGGTTGGAGCTCAAGGCAGACGACGGGCTCATCAGGTTCTCACAGTGGCTGAAAGAAGGTCGTAAGTGGCTATCAGCGCACCCGACCCTGTGTGGATGGATCCCTCCTGTCGCAGCGCGGCGAGCTCCTTCCATATGGAGAGGGGCCTAATTATCCCCCACCAACGGCTGAATCAACATTTGATTATATCCTCCCTGAGGCTGCTCTGAAAGGCTCTATTCAAAGGCCACTTTTATGTCTTCGCTCTCTTAATCAAGAATGGCTTTTATTTGTTAATGATGAGTTTTAATTTCTTTTTTTAACGCAAGCCTCCCGACACGCTGTGCATCAAGACGTCTGACATACGGGCTGGTTCGTGCCCTTGAGTACGCTGATTTTAACTTGAAAGGTTTTTAAATCAAATTGTAGATATCTATTGTCTCTTTTTTGAGATGCACAATAATTTATTATTTTAAGTGGTCTACTGTGTTAATGTGTGTGATAGCAGTTGAATGAACTGTGATGATCCCTGAGGAGCTGTGGTGTGTAGTGAAGTCAAATGAATAAATGAAAAAAAACACGACTCCACAATGTGAATATTGCATTTTACTGACTGAAAAGATGTTTTTGCTCAAAATTAAACCGTATAAATCCCCGATTGATCCTTTTGTGGTGAGCACACCAGTACGTGGTGCCGTGAATGAGTTTCCCAACCAGCATATTTCGCCGGAATAAAAACAATGAAACGGTTTCTGTCAAAAAGCTCTCTAACCGTCAAGCCTCTGGAACGCCTCTCTTAAAAGCTGTGGGAAAAGCGAGGGAATGTAATGTTTCTCCTTTTGTTCTTTGTGTTTCATAGCCAGCGACACTTGGCAGAAATCACCGAGTTGATCCACACGGCGTTCCTGGTGCATCGTGGGATTGTCGATCTGAAGGGGTGGACGGACTCAGACGGCCCGCTGAAGGACATGGAGTTTGGGAATAAGATGGCGGTCCTGAGCGGCGACTTCCTCCTGGCCAACGCCTGCACCGGACTCGCTCAACTGAATAACACAAAGGTCTGTCCGTCAAAACCAACCGTAGCCCCTTGAGGCATCTGCCCTGATCGGTCCTAATACGAGCTGCACAGATGTCCACGTGTCCGTCCTGAGCCTCACGTCTTCTCTCCAGCACATCCACCCTCAACATCTCACGCCCGCAGTGATTATATACTGCAGGGCTCCCACAGCTGATTTGTGAGCAGTGCAAACGCCCTCTTCACCCGACCGGCAATACCTCTGTTTTTTTTATTTTGTCTAAATCTCTGCAGCTTAGCGTGCATGGGTCGCATGCTCCGAACGGCGTGGCGTTCTGTGTGGTATTGAGCCCTGTCGGCATTTCCTGTTTGCGGCCTGGTGATGATCATCCTCCTCACACTCATAAAGTAAATAGTAAACACCTCTGAGGCCGGCCTCCACATCAGCGTGGTGGTGCGGGAGACGCCGTAGACGTGGGCACCATGGCGGCCTTTCGTATTTGGTTTTCAGTGGTGGTGGGGGGGGGGGTCCCGGGTCCCGTAAGTGCAGCTCAGATCCTATCTGCTGCGGGACCTGGTAGCCCCTCGCTGACAGATGCTGTCACCACGCTGCTCCGTCAGAATGCGGTCGCCCGGTCGGATCAAAATAACCCTCTAGCTCTCTCTCTCTCTCCCTCCCTTCCTCCCCCCCTCCCCCGGCCCTTTCCTCCTTCCCTAAAGCTTTGGATGCAGCACGCGGCAGTCTGGCTTTATGTCGCCTTCCCAAAATAGGACGTAAGCGACGTCCGCGGTGTTTCTCGTGTGGGATTAAAAAAAAAACTGTAGCGGGAGTTACAAGCAACCAACATTTCCTTTTCTGAATGAAAGCTCATTTTAAAGGTGTGGCGCTTCCTTTTCAGAGCTAATTAGCTTCCATTAGGATGCAACAGTGCTATGAGCGATAATTGTCAATCTGTGGCTGTGCAGCAGATTACAGTAATAAAGTTGATACTGTTGTTTCCCTGAAAGGATGGAGAAGAAACAACGACACTGGGAATGAAATGATGGCGGGTCTGCTGATGAGTCGAGCTAATGAGGATTTAATCCCATTAAGCGGTCATTCACAGCGAGCATGTCGGAAAATTGGTCCCTCTTGCAGCGCGGTTCATTGTCGAGGAGACCGATGGCGCTCAAAACTCAAGTGGCACCAAAACAGCACACAGACGATGGGCGAAACTATCAGTCCCCGCGCTGTTTACAGGGAGGGAGACTGTAATCCGACGCAGCCACAGGAAACGTCCCCCAAAGTGGCCCTTTTTTCTTTTAAGAGTAATAAGGGGACGGACATCCGATAGCCGGCAGTTTCTCATGGTTGAAAAGGTTAGCAAAACAAAATGAACAGAGGGCAAACCACAGCTGATGCTCATATCTGGCGGTGCTTTTGGGAAAGCTGTTCGTCACTGCTTCGTGAAGAAGGAGGAGGAGGGGAATGAGATAACTGAAAGACAATGATACCGACTGCAATGGGCTCTTGTTTACTTTTGGGAAGATGGGATACTACAACCTCTCATGTTGCTCTACCTTGAGAAAAGCAAATATGGACCTGGAAATGATTCTGGTGCTGCATCCACTCTGGTTCAGCTACTCGTGAAAAAGAAACCACATTCAATCTGCTGATTGTCGTATATTTATGACCCCGCCGGCTCCACAGTGTGCGTGGTTGTATTCTCTGTGCGCGGTCATTGTCGTGCATCGTCTTCATACACAGGAGAACGGAAGAGTTCTTTCACCTTTTCAAACTTTTCTTACTTTTTTTTTTTTTCCCGTCAAGTCCGTGCGAGCGATTTGAGATCATGTGTGGAGGCCTTGAGAGGAAGCCCGTGCCGCTACTGTTATAAATTGTAAAGTAATCTCACTGTGGCCCTCCGGTTTACCCCAGCCCCCCTCTCACCCCTCCCCTCTCAGACCTGTCGGCAAAACACGATCTGGCTGGATTTGGGAATGGAGTAAGGGGGGGGGGGAGCTTATCTGATACTTTCCAAAAAAAGCCCACCACTGGCCCCCGCTTCCCAGGGCAGCCACAGACACCACATCTGGTAACACTGTAGGCACATTGTCCTTTCAGGTCTGCGGGCGAAAGCTCGGGTTTCCTCAATATTTTCCCCCGGAGGATTTGGTTACCCGTAGGGCAGCGCGGGGCGAGCCAGCGTCACCAGACGGTTCTGACCAACCAAGGGTGTCTGGGGTGAGCTGAAGGAGCTCTAAATGTAACCTCAGTCCTGCGGAGGAGAGACTGACTTCACTCTTTCATCAGGTCCGCATTTGGAACCTTGACTTGGAAAGACGCAGCTTCTCTGTGGTGGTGGAAAAGGACCCCGCTGTGTGTGCGCGTCAGCTCAAATGTAGTCATGCATGCCCCCTGCAAGAGGAAATGAGCAACTGCAGTCTTAAACTTAAATTGTTCAGACCCTCAATGTGTATCTATGTTTTTAGTCGTTGCCTGTTTTTTTAAATGTCTTATTTTTTCTCATCTGTTTCCCAAAAGCAGCTTGTTTTCCCCCTGAGCGCCGTACGGATTGACTTGAAAACGGTGGAATGGGAGGAAGTAATCATCCTCGTTTCCAGTTGTTTTTCTCTTGCGTTGTTCTATCTGTGATAACCGCTCTGCTCTCTGGACATCACGATCCCCTGACTGGACCTGTCTCCATGGAGACGACTTCTCTATTAATACAGTGTATTGAATGAAGGGGAGCCTTGGTCGGCTTCCCAGAAGATGAGTGGACGCAGTTAGTGGCAGTTCACCTGGTTTCCAAACCTCTTCTCACCTCAGATTTCCAGCTCTGTCTTACCAATCAGGAGATGCCGTGTCATCGTACTGTACAGTTGGATCTTCTGATAATGCTTAAGGATCGTCCTTCTGACCCAAACGTCTGGTGTTTCCAATGTGTTTGGCAGGTTGTGGAACTGATCTCGAGTGCCATCGGCGATGTGGTCCAAGGGATCTACAGCGAGAACAACAGTACTACTGAGGTACACCACTGTGACCCCAAAAATATCCGACAAGCACTTGACCTACAAGTATGCCGCTGTAGCCAAAGCTTTTGTGGTCTTTGTTGTCATTTCACTGAGCTGCTGGCACCGAGTTACTGCCAGTTCAAGTTTTCATTCTTCTTTGAAAAACGCCTGAGGATTAATTAACATAGATTCACCTTTTCAGTCCTCCATATCTCAACAAACGGAGGTCTCTGGTGTGATAGTTGAATTACTTCTGATGGGCTCTGTGGGAACCTTCTTTAAAGTGGCAAAGTAGAAGCAGTGAGGGCTCAGGACCCGCGGCGTCTCTGCCTGTGTTTGCCCTGCAGGAGAACGCCGGCGTCGACGCGGCGGCGTGGGAGGACCGCGCCTTCCTGTCGCACGGGGCGCTGCTGGCCAAGAGCTGTCAAGCTGCCTTGGAGCTCGCCAACCACGACAAGGGGTCCCAAAGTTTGGCCTTCAAGTACGGCAAGCACATATCGCTGGGCCACAAGGTGAGTCCCGTCCGACCGTCCCACCCACACAATAGCAGGGACGTTGGTCAAATCAATGACTGGTGACTTCCACCACAGGGGGCTACTTATTGGGGGTTTGATCACAGGCACAAAAATCCCCTTTTTTTTTTAAATCATCGTCTTGCTGTGAGTGATGGGGAAACACTAGAACGGTCCATATCCAGCCAAAGCGAGGCAGGCCTTCCGTCCTGGCGGGGCCTGAAGACGTGGTAGTTTCCGCGGCTTTAATGTGGTCGCTGTCCCTCCTGACCACCGCTCTCAAATGAACTAGCGAAACATCTCCCTCTTCACAACGTGGCCTTATTTTGGTTCAACAACAGTCTGTCTTTTGACGAGTGTGTCCTTTTCACATCGTAGCTGATTCTCATATAAAATATATAAGAAATATACAACTTTTTGGGGATATAACCGTTCCCTTGTAGATTCTTTTCTGGCAGTAATCAAGACACATACATATTTATTTATTTATTTATTTATATGACTGCTCAAGGTTCACAGAGAGGTCAGAAGTCACCGGTTAGATGCCTCTGGGCCTGGTGAGTTTGCCTGCAGCTGCCAGTCTGCTGGCCTCAGGAGCTACGAGGGAATTCGGGACGCAGGACGAGAGCGCGCTCATCGGGCCAGCGGCTCGTTACGTAGGCAGAGCGCGCACGCTCACCTGTTTATGCTCTGTAATGGGCGCCCGGGAGTCACCGAGTAGGAGCTCGGCCCCATTTGCCATCTGTCATCTAACTGGCCGACGCGCTCCGTCTCCCCCGCAGCTGAACTCTGACCTGCAGCCGTTTGTGAAGAGCGACGCGGGAGAGCCGGCGTCGTTCAGTCTGAGCGCCGCCCCGGTGCTTTTCCACCGGCAGGTCGTCGGCCAGGAGAGATGGCGTCAGCAGCTGCAGCAGGTACGAGCGGCCCCCACTGAAATGTCTCGGCAAGCGTTGGTTCTTGCAGATGTTGGTGCTCACCTGCTTACTTTAACAATCCCCACGTTTCCTCTGCACATCGTCTCACATTTTTTTTCCAAATGAGTATTGATTATCAAAAACAAATAAAGTGTTTTTTTTCCAAAATTCTCCAGGTTCTTTAGTTTCATAAACTTGTCCCTTGATTTGCTTTGAAGAGTTTATGATTGCAATGTAAAGGCAACCTTCCCCTCTGTTCTCTTTGCAAGGCCACAACACTGAGGAACCAGCTGGATTACTCAAAGGTAAGCCCACTACTTTATGTGCCGCTTGTTGTTGCATCTCTAAATAAAACAGTTGTTTTAATTCTGCATGTTGCTGTATGCTCACCGGCGCGGCATGCGACCGACCATCACAGAGGAACGGGGCGTCTTCTCACGTAACCCAGATCAAAGTTGAGACGTGAGCCTCCCAAAGTCAATGTGTGAGGGACGACGACGGGGTGCAAGAAGAGAGCAAAGCTACAGAGGAGGGGTCCGGTGGTGTCGTGGGGGTTATCTGGTCCCGTCTGAAACCAGAGCAGGAAGGATTGGTTACCAAGGCCTATTTGTGGAGGAGACACTCAGGCTCTGAGACAGTGGCCTTGTGAGAGAATCTCCTTCAGCAGACCTGGGAGAGAGCTGAGGGGAAGGAGAGATGAGAGCGGGACAGTGGGCAGGGACGGGGTTTTGGGGGAGGGAAAAGAAAGCCCGTGGGACCCATGTGGTGTCAAACATTGCTTCGATTCATTCAAAAGTGTATTAGCCCGATTAGAAAACAACCCAAAGAATTAAAATGATAAAAAATAATTGAATGATCAAACTACAATCCAGATTGGGTCAAAGTAGATATTCAAGATATCAATAGTTTTGTCACCTACAAAACAAGAAAGGGGGAGGAGGAGACACGGTTGGCTGAAGTCTTCGGTTGTTGTTGAATGAAAGACTTAAGATATTAGACATTGTAAAATGTAAGTGAAAAGAAAAAAAGTTTGACATTTTCATTTTTTAAAAAGAAGTAACGCCGGTGGGGATTTCCACCTCTGAATTCATGAGGTAAACACACCGCCAGCGAGACGCGAGGAGACGCCCACATTCACTCAGTCGGAATCCTTAAGTTGCTGGTTGGGCGGATCGAACTCCATGTTTTCCACTTCTTTGTGTATGAAATGTATATGTTGTGTGTGTGTGTGTGTTGACGTGCGAGGCTTTGTGTACACATCTACACACTTTCTCAAGAACTCTTTTTGAGAGTGCAGTTTTCTTTTAAACTAAAATAAAAATCAAATCAATCACAAATTGACTGCCTAACAAAATGAATAAAGGTAATTGCTAACGCTATTGCGTGGTTGGGTAGTACAGTCTCATATGCCCACTTTGCACCTCAGTTTAATTTACTACCCCGACCGCAGCAAAAGCTGCCTCTTGTGATCTGGTGCCATAATAAGGAGGCTGCAACATGTCCGAGTCCAACATCTGCCTTTTTCCCCGGCCAAGATAAAACTCTGAAATGTTTTCCTTGAAGTTAAATGTGATAAGCTGCCTCCAGCTTCCATGATCGTGTCACACAATGGCAATTCAGTTGGTTTCTTTGTGCTTCCACACCACCCGGTCGCTTTAAGTGTGGGCCGACTTTGCCGCGCCTCACAACAGTCGGCCACGGGAGCAACGCTAACTTGTGTTTCCACCCCCCCCCCCCTCCTCCACCCCTCCTCCCCCCTGGCAGCTTTTGGCAGCAGTGAAGTCGGAGAAAGGCGTGAGCTCAGCGGTGACTTATGCCGTTACCATGGCAACAGGGCTCTGGAGGCCATCCAGGTTTTCCCCTCCTCCGAAGCTCGATCCGCCTTGGAGAACATCGCCTCCGCCATCACCCGATTTTGAGCTGGACACACACACACACGTCTTGTCTGCAAAGGTAACAGGACGAGAACCACTGAACAGTTGAGACAAATCAACTTTCTCATGTCTGGAGAAACTGCTCTGCTCTGTACTGGATGCCGGCGTGCAAAGCATGGGCTATACCCATAAATGGTCATCATTAAAAGGAAGAAAAGCCCATTACTTCAGCATTGTGTCGTGCGTTGTGTTGTGCTCGGATACATACCCTACCTCTCCTTTCCTCTGGAGAAAGAATCCCGCCAAGCTGCATCTAAAAACTTGCCCGTTTTATTACCACCTGGTTCATCAAGGAAGACACATTCCAAGCAGAACGCAATTCACGATGTTTTGCAGGATTGTAATTTATCTGGATAATGTGCCATGAAGCTGTGCATCTTGTAACACAACTTCTCCCAGGTTCACCCCGCACGTCCCTGCACACCTCCGATGGGGCAGAAGCCGTAGCTACTGGTTGTATCGGGTGTTTGCCAAACAGAAGACAGCAGCTCCAATCCGGTTGTAAAGGTTTCCCAAAGTCATGTTCTGCCAGGTGTCTGCTGCTACTGATAAGCACAGCTGCAAAAGTGAAAAAAGAAGGTCTTTTCCTAACGGGGTTTGGCGTGATATCCACTCCACAGGAGGGAGAGAGATGGTATGGATCAGCACCAATGTCATCTATGTTTCCTTATTATGTCCGTCCCCATTCCTGCGTACGCGTTCCAAGTCGACCCAGGGGCGGGGAAAGGTCACGTAGTCTCTCCCCTTGGCCCAGCCGGCGAGCGCATTCAAGCTCCGCCAAGCAGTAATTATTAATGAAGAGACCTGAGCAAATGGACAGGAAATGCAGAGGTATTGATCGAGCCAGCTGCCCTGCTGCAAGCCGCACGGGCTGGCGCCAGCCTGGTGGCCTGTGGTTCCCCGGGCTGCCGTGTGCCGGAGGGGGGCGGGCGGCAGCAGCAGCCAAGGTGTGAAACCAGGCCACCGCTGGCAGCTGACCGTCACATCCAGGCCCGCACCTGAAGGACCGAGCACAGGAGACGAGGACCGAGCTGACAAAGAGGATTCTGGGTGTCTGTAGAGAACAGCAGCGTCAGAACATGGAGTCAGCCAGCTAGAAACTATCCAGCGCACAAGTAATGGGCGATTTGGCTGCAGGGTCCACTGAGCATTACGACCATTAAGAGACATGTTTTGTGCAACAGGAACAGTCCCCAGAGGAGGAAAACTTTATAGCATCTCAGTTTGATCACATCAGCCAGCAGGTGTTTGCTTTCAACACAAGGGCTCAGCGTTGTTCATCGGATGGTTCCTTAAATAAAACTTTCAGAAAACTTTACTTTTTGAGAGAGCTCATTTTAGTGTAAAACAATGACTCGTAGCTTGAAACTTGTATACAAGAAACATTCAATGATACCATGCTGATATTCAATACTTCTATTTTTGAAAAACTATTGTTTAAACGCAAGTGATTAGCAACTGATTAGATTAAAAAACTTGGTGAAAATAAAATGTAGACATATAGAAAATAAATGTGGCGAAGCAGCAGTGATGGAGGAACTGGCTGAAAAGGAATATTCAGAGGTTTGGAATAGGGGGGGATGATGCGCTAAAGGGCAAAGTAGGTGTGGAGTGAACCGTTTCCAAAACAAACTCCTGTCTTGCCGAGTCGTCCGTCCACTTCCTCTGCTGTTTTGGTTTTCCGCTGCCTGGGTACACGCGAGGTACGGCGTGTGCCAGGGAAAGCCTCCGGCTCCGCATGAAATATTTATCCTCGCCGTGAGGAGACACGAGGAAAGTTCCATGCAAAGTTAAAAGGACCAAACAAGGAAGGAGGCTGGTGCACTGCCAGAATGACAAATATAGTTAAGAAACAGAACTTTTCTTTTCAAAGAGGTGTGGCCTGAGCAACGACACCACTGCGTAGACGAGCCCAGTAAATCAACCAGCCGCCGCAGAAGCGGATTCGATGGGACAACTCCAAGAGGAAAGCTAGCTAAATGTTTAATGTAGACCAAAAATTGTAGCATTGTTTTTTTTTTTGTCTGACAACATTGCTCCTGCCTGCTCCTGCATAACGGATGAAGAGCAGGCGGAGGAAGGAGGGGGGGGTCCGTCAGCTGCAGGTCCTGACTGACTGTGTGCTCCACAGTTTGAGATTCTTCCCGAAAGCAGGAGTTCACATGCAAAACATGAAGCGGACAAAAGCGTCCTTAGTGTGCCTCGGCCCAGACGACGAGTCGTGTAATTACAGCAGGGTCCAGTGGAGAGAGTGGGTCAGCACGGATTCCATTACACACACAGACACACACACACACACACTCTTGCAAACACAGCTGTGGAGGCCGGAGACGGAAGGACCTCATGTAACAAAAAGTAGACTCCCGACTTCTGAACTCTCAACACAATTTCATGATTTTCACTCTAATAGAAATGCTAAATCTTAAGGTCTGCCGCTTCAGTCGAGTTCAGCGGATATTCTCAAACAACCCTTTGCTTCCAACGAGCGAAGGTCACAAAGGCCGTAAATTCTATCGGGAATGCTACACAGCGGAAACAGCATATTATTTTTAATACGTTTATTATATTATCAAATTGGCTGAATAAGTCCTCACAAATCTTGACCTTGAAAATATTTCCTTTCAAAATGTTATTTTCTTCATAAACTCAAAATGGGACAACCTTCTCATAAAGCACGCTACTTATTTGCTCTTAGTTGGCCGACCTATGGTCTCCTCGACAAAAAGACTTGAAAATCAAGAGAAAATGTGATTGGAAAAAAGATTGTGACAATCGAGCAAGAGCACAATAAGAGGACTTTATATATATTTATATATAAACAGACCTACAGATCTATAGGTTGGAAGGTTTGAGTTAGAAAAGTTAGAAAAGCCGCAAGGCGACGAAGGCAGACTAGCGATGAGTCATTCGGAGCTTTTGCTAATCTGTCAAACTTGTGTGGATCATTATATAATGTGTCCAACCACAAACCTGTTTAAAAAGGAACTACAGACCTCATGAAGAGGGAACCTGTTCATTCAATAACTTGCTTGCTGCGGTGGAGTAGTTGTGTTGGTCTAATCCCCTAATTGTTAACGCCCGGCCAGGGTTCCAGATTACTCCAATCGCTGTAGGCCGTTACGGTGTGAGACAAGTCGTCTCCTTTGACGCATCGCTCTTGGACTAGCAGGGCTGTAGCTTTGTTGCTGGGTTCATAATTTATTATCTCCTGCTATCACTAAAACAAATGTGCCCATGTGTTGTAGCGTCCTTTAGCCAGGAAGGAGTATCTTCATCTGCTCCACAGTGACAAAGCTGCTGTACAGTCGCCATGTTTCCCTTATAAACTGGGCACTGCGATGCTTCATTTTTTCTAAGTAGGTTCACTTGGCCCGTTACTGCACATTGGGTGTGGATACGGGGTCAGGGTTTGCCAAACTGAAGAGCAGCTGCAAACCAGTTGTGAAAAAAAGATGTTCTACCATGAATGAATCTTTGCTGATAAGAAAAACTGGATTCTAACTTTGAGTGACATTCTCTTTACAGCTTCAGAAATTGTATGAATTAGACGATGCCAAGAAACCTGATTGTGAAAAAGAAATGTACTCTCATGTGTGTTTGGAGGTGGACTGTCTTTGCATGGTGTCCGCGTTGAAGGACTCATAGAGAGACGTGGAGGTCAGACGCCGTGTGTTTAAACCCTGCGGTGGACCGGCGTGCATCGGCCGTGGTGCTTCCTCCACCCAGGTGCATGATGGGATCGATCCCCTGCGACGCCATCTAGAATACACCTGTACGTGAAATGACCGCGAGAGCTTGAGCGCGGAGGGATCTCAGAGCCACGTAAACACCTGCTGATGTCGTCACACAGCGGGCGGTGATGGGACGACAGGACGCCTGATTGGCGCGCCTCGACGCACACGAGCATATTGTCCTAAAACGACACTTCTCACCCCCCCGCACAGGAGTCACCCCATTGGCTCGCGGATCAGGCTGCCATGGAGACGGCTCATTAGCCGCATAATGAGAAGCTCACTTCGGCTTGTTAGATCCTCTCCGTGTTCCCACGCGGCCCGCGTGCGCGCGGAGTGACCCGTGATTAAGTTACGGGACGGTGACGTCACACATTCCCTGCTCAGTAACTAGTGAGCACCGTTGACCGGGGGAAACCAGATCACGAGGTCAAGTAACCAGGCCTGTAAAGTGGCGGCAGACCCCGCCCCCCACGCGCCAATCAGATCCCCCCGATGTGCACCAGTACGGTGCGGCTCCACCGCGCCGCCTCCTCTCAATCATCTCCGTGCCCAGATGCTTCCAGCTGCCACCAGCTCCAAGTTCACAGCAACACTAGTTTCTTCCACTTAATCTTTAATTATGTGATTATTGATCTGTCCTGCCCCTGCAATGATCTACGATATTTAAAAAAGTAGAATAGCAACTTTACATTATGTAGGAGAGGTGAGTGGTTTGGGTTGTTATTCATAAAATAATCATCCTAATAGATTCATCTTTTGTTTCATAAAATGTATTGTCTGTTGCTCTACTCCTGGACGCCACAGAGGTCGTCCTGCTGTAGTTACAGTCTCCTTCCACTTGAGGGCGATGTTTGCCCACCCAACGCGAGTTGTGTCGTTCAAAGTGTACAAAGATAATGAGCGCAAGAAGAGGTGTCACTCCTATCCTACTTCTGTTTTTGCTTTACTAAAATACTTTTATGACCACAGAATTATTTTAATGCAATATTAACATTTAAATAGAGCGTACACAAAAGATTACCCATTTGTTCAAGCATGTATGTTATGGATGTACTGATTGCTATATTATATCGTTATTACAGTTGCATTATTATGTAAGCATCACTTTAATTACATATTTGGCTACGGAACTGATTAAATCTTTTTCGTATAATGTGAGCGGTTGTATTTATTGTATAATAAAATAATAATAATGCAAAAAGTAAAACTGGATGTATGCAGCGCAGCTAAAATGTGTCAACTTCAGTTAATCGATCACTTTTTTTTCAAGCGCGTAACTATTGTCCTAATACACGAGTACGACTTTAACGTCTCCGTTATTTCTTTTCTAATAACTTTTGGTTTATTTTTATTTTCCTTTATCGCACACAGCTGTGCGGAAGTGACACAGCAGGCGCGCGCCTTGGTCACGTCACGCGAGAAAGCACAGAAGCCGAGCGAGGAAAAAAAAAGAAGAGATATTTATTTATATATTTATATCAACAAGAACAACAGTTACCTGCAAATAGAGCAGCGCGCGAGCCCGCAGACATGTCCGACGGGTCGCCAGCAGTCCGGAAGGATTGCGTGGACTCGTAAAGGTGAGCTCTGACCGCCGGGCACGCGCCTTTACCGTTAATTTAACTCGAGTTAGAGCAGGAGGAAAGAGGGGGGGGCGAGAGGGTCGGGGGGGGCGACTGGTCCACGCAAACATTGCCGCGTCATTAGAATTGACACAAATGACGTAAAATGCTGCGCTGCTGCATCGGCGCTCGTTGGAATGACCCGCCGGGGAAGGAGCTGCGGATCCGTGCGGGGCTTTTGGTTCACGGGTTCACGGGCGGAGGAATGAGGAAGTAGCTGCTTCACGGCGCCCGGCCGGGCGTGCGGTGGAGCGCACGCACGGCGGGACTCTCACGCGCTCACGTCAGTTTTCCTCCCCGTTGAAGAGGCCGCGGCGTCCCGGCCGAGCGGGTCGGGCTGCAGGCGGCCTCTCGCAGCGGTACCGGACCCGCTGCCACATGGTCACGAGCAGGAGGTTCTAGAAGGTGCATTGAAGCTTTGCGGGACTCGTGTTGTGGAAATGTTCTTCACACGAGGCTTCATGTTCGTTTCTCAATGAAGCATCGTGAAGTCTTTGGTTCACATACCAAAGGTTATGAAGCATTACATACTAACAAAGACTTATACGTTCACTTTTGAGAAGGTGGAACTGGTTAACTTTTGCTAAGAGAAATACTTACGAAATAAATGCATCTACATTTGTTGCCAGTTTATTTTCTGTGTAATGACTTATCAATAACTCTTGCTAATGTCGCTTATTAGACTGCTTTGAGTGACTGTATGTCTGGTCTACCCTTCTAGGCTATGAATTCCTCTGAGCATGGAGAAGTTTCAGAAGAAGCAATGCTTGAGAAAGGTATCTACTACAACCTCTATCTGCGCCGCAACAGTAGAATTTCTCACCAACTTTCTTCTTGATTACGAAGAATGTCTGTGTTGGAGTATAGTTAGATTTCATTCTTTCAAAAGCGTTTGCCATGAAGCTAAAAAAAAAATGCAGACACCGGTACTTTCAGACAATTTACACATGATGCTATTCTCAATAGATGTTACTTTTCTTTTGCAAACACACATTTTTATTTCCTAGTATTTATAAATGTAAATCATACAAATGGTGTAAAGAAGGCAGCGTTAATGTCATTATCTGCAGAACACAACCACGTCCAGGACGTCAAGGAGGAGCCAGAGGACTTTGCCGTCTGCGTGCTACCTGAAGGACTCCGAGGAGGACCTCCCGCAGCCGCTGCTGAACAGCCACCTGTGGGGCCGGGCCCTTACACAAACCAGTCCTCCAGTTGCAAGAGACCCCGGCTCTCTGGCGAGGTGAGCTGACCTCACAGTATACCACACGTGCATATCCAACTCGTTGCATAGATGAAGTTGTCTCTTCTGACTGTGATTTGCTCCGTCCAGATGAGGCAGAGCGTGGTGGACGAGAGCAGCAGACACGAGCCCCTTTGCCTCACCACAAGCGGGGAGCGGAGGAATTACGTCCAGCCGAAACCCAGGGTCTCCCACAGGAAGCCTCTCTTCAGCATCTCCCACAGGATCTCGGAGAAGAGGAACACGCCAAGCGTGGAGCAGCAGGCCGGGCACGATGCCGCCAATCAGCTCGACTACGCCGGCATCCTCTCCTCCAAGCTCCAGAGCTCCTGGGGCAACGGCCCGTCGGAGAGCCTCCCCTCCTCAGACGCCTCAGGCCAAGCCTCGACCTCGGACACCAGCCTTTATCCGCTGATTGAGAAAATGTTTCTCATCCTCAACACCCTCAATTCAAGCATGACCCAACTGCACAGCAAAGTGGACTTGTTAACCCTCGAGGTCATGCGAATAAAGAAGCAGATCAAGCCCGCCGAGATGGTGACGGAGTTCCAGCCGCCCCCAGAATATCTGCTAGCAAGTGACGAACTGAAGCAGCTGATGGAGCAGACGTCGAGCGCCGGGGAGCTCGGGTGCCGGCTGCTGGTGCACCTCTTCCCAGAGCTGTTCAAGGCCAGGGACTGCTCCCATGAATGCATGGCGAGCAAGAGGACACTGGAGTCCCTCCATCTGCAGCTGATCCGCAACTACGTGGAGGTGTGCTACCCTTTGGTCAAGAACAGCAGCGTCTGGCAGGAGGAGTGCCTCCTTCAGATCAATGACTTGTTCAATCGCTTCTGGGCACAGAGGGACATGGAGAGCGCTCGGCTGCTGAGGAAGCAGACGATCACAGGCGCCGTGATAAAGGCGGAGCATCCTCAGACCTACCGGTTCATCAACGAGGAGGGCCGGGAGGAGCACGTCCCTTTGAATAACCAGCAGAGCGGCGCGGCTCCGTCGGACCTGGCGTTCAACGCGCTCGACGAGTTCTCCTCACCCGAGGATTTTGTTGTTTTTCTCATGCACCGTCTCTTCCCGGAGGTTTTTGAAGAAGGAAAAATGCCAGAAGGCTCCGGCCGATTCAGTAGTGTGGGGCAGCTAATTCTGGACTCTGACAAGATGGAAATCATAAGGAAGTATATGGAAGCCAATTTTCCCGATGTCCCTGAAGACAGCTGGCTTCAGGTGTGTATTCAGCACATGGAGGATGCTCTGGAGGGTCCTCACAGTAATGGCAACGGGAGCGACCCAGACAATATCAACGAGGAAGGTTACGACCTGGGCAGCCATCCCGAGGATGTTTCGATCATTACGGTTCCAGAAGCAGGTGATAACGAAAGGCCCGGTCGCAAGGCCAAAAAGTCGCTGCTTCCGTCTGTGGATTTTGACGATCTCGAGGTTCCTCCTCCGGATTTCCCTATTCCCCAAGAGTACCTCCTGTCCAGGGAGCAGCTGAAGAGCAACTATGAATGTAGCCTGTCCATCGGGAACTTTGCCTCTCGCCTGCTGGTGCTCATGTTCCCCGAGCTCTTCACCCTTGAGAACGCGCGAAAGCAGTACAACTGCAGCGGCTCACTCGGGAAAAAGCAGCTCGACCCCGTTCGCGTGAACCTCATCCGGCACTACGTGCAGCTGGTCTACTCCCGGGCCAAGAACGACCGCGTGTGGATGTTGGAATTTGTGGGCAAGCTCGACGAGAGGTGCAGGAGGCGCGACACGGAGCAGAGGAGGTCCTATCTGCAGCAGCGCAAGGTGTACGGTCAGGAGTCCGAGCAGGACTTCCTCTGCCACCTGAACCAGCTCAATCCGGACGGCCTGAGGGAGGATCCGGACGCTCCCTCTTTGCCCCCTGAGAAAAGCAGCAAGGACTTCTGTAAGATCCCCCTGGACGAGCTGACTGTGTCCACGCCGGACTTCCCCGTGCCCCTCGTCTACCTGCTCGCAGACTCCGAGGTGCGAGAAATCGTCCAGCAGAGCCTCTCCGTCGGCAACTTTGCCGCCCGCCTGCTGGTGCGCCTCTTCCCTGAGCTCTTCACTCAGGAGAACCTGCGGCTGCAGTACAACCATTCGGGGGCCTGCAACAAGAAGCAGCTGGACCCGGTCCGCCTGCGACTGATCCGCCACTACGTGGAAGCGGTGTATCCTGTGGATAAGATGGAGGAGGTGTGGCATTACGAGTGCGTGCCAAGCATCGACGAGCGCTGCCGGCGCCCCAACCGCAAGAAGTGCGACATCCTCAAGAAGGCCAAGAGGTCGAGCGCTGTGTCCTAGTTATAGTAGCATTCAGTTATGCAACACTTGGAAAAAAATAAAATAATATTGCACAGTATATAAGCTGAAACCGCTTTGTTGAACCTTTTTCAAACTGTCCTATGTAGGATTTGAAGTTTCTTCAATACTATTCTTAGTCCTCTTTTACCTTGTGACTACAGCGGTAGATGTTGTAGTTTGTGTAGTCTCATTATTGTTGGATAAAACTGCTTCTATTTATAAGCCCAAATGGTCATAGCTCTTCTAACCAACTGTTGATAAATGTTGTAGCCTTAAAGGATGACAGTAGCTAATAGCGTAGGCCACATATTTGCCCTATGGATAGAAATGGATCACAATGATGTGATGCGTTTCCTTTGCAGTTACCGATGTAGCATTGTGCCACCACTGTTTTAATAATAATGTGCTTATGTTAAGCCTTCTTATAGAAGTTTATATTATGAAGATTTAACGTGACAATGGATCATGACAACCAATTTCTAATAAAATCACACTTATAAATATGACATATGGTCGGGCTGTTTTACGTTGTCCCTGTTGGATACGGACTCTTTACAACCAGCTCTGTGCAAGACAACATACATCATGCTTCTAGTCATGCTTACCATTTTACACTTGAGCCTTGATAACCCAATAAAATGAAGATTCAAGGAAAAAATAAAGGCAGTCGCAAAACATACTGTTAAGTAATGATTCTGATGCAAGAAAAGGTCATGTGCTATTTCTTAGCCGACTCATAAGGACAATTATCTCAAAATGTCCAAGAGCACCTTTATTGGAAGAGTCACACAGTATCACGGAGGAAAGGCAAACACGCTAAATCTTTCTCCCGACCAGCTGCATGACGTCTACAACCAGTGAGAACTACAGACGTCACAATCCATTAGGGACCCTTCAAGCTCGTTGGCTCACATTCAATTCTTCGGCTTCCATCGCCTAAGCTGGCCCATGGTTTGCCAGTCAACAATGCCCTACTTCAAGTTCATGTCTTAATGGCCTCCTCTTTGGAAAGCTCGATACTTTTCCAGCGTCTTATGGCAACCTTGTGCTTTTCTGTTGTACTGGATTCGCCCAAAACCCTCTGGAGGATAACCCTCATCAGAGTGATCGTGTTTGTCTCCCGGTTCTCCGACAGCACCAGGTCCAAGGTGTCCCCGGCTTTCACCTGAATACGGAATGGAGTAGAAGTAATGAGAAACGAGGTACACGGGTGGATGAAGTGAGAGGGGGTGCCAGGCGTGTGCAACCTGTGATCCAACACAACTCACCGCTTTACTTTTCTTGACGAGCTTCTGTCCGTTCAGCCTGAGCTTGTTGCTGTAGAAGGCGTCCTCAATTTTACTGCGTTGAGAGAAGGAAAAGGGTTTTAAAGTGCATGTTAACATGTTCGTGCAACAAATCTCACCCAAATCCCATCAGTTCTTCCCACAGGGGAATGAAACACCACTGGTTGCACACCATGAGTAACTAATCCTGTGATAATAGTAAAAGTGTACTATTACTGCCTGATATGTTTGCTTGGAGAAACTCTGATCAGCCGACAGGAAGTGACTCACTTGCGTGCCATGTCCAGGCCAGCTCTCATTATGACATCATAGCGAAAGGACTGCACATATTTTTCCATGTCTTTATACTCCTTTGGTAGATTTGGGTTCTCACCCACCTCGTCTTCATAATCACTTTCCTCAGAGTCTTTTTTATCCTCCTCTTCTTCTTCATCTTCCTCCTCTTCCTTTGCAGCCCTTGCAGCGTCTCTCTTCTTGTTGCTTTTATACCTCAGATGGTGGACGGGCCAACCTCTGATTGGGTCTCTGCCGCGGAAAGCTGGCCTGTGACAGCCGAGCGCGGGGATAGCGGAGCAGCCCCAAAGCTGGCGCGTGTGGATGGTCCTGGGACACCATTCAGACTGCCTCAGTCCATATCCAGCAGCCAGCAGGTGGCGGGGGTTCAACCGTCCCAGCTGCCTCATGGCGAGTGCCTGCACCACCAAACTCTGCATGTTGGCACTCAACCCTGTCACTAGAAAGAACAGGAGCGATTAGGAAGGTACGGTAAGGGCAGCGTGTCATCCGCTCTGCAGAGAGGGTGATCGGCTGCAATCTGCCGTCCCTCTAGGACTTGTTCGCTTCCAGGACCCTGAAGCGAGCTAAAAATATCGTAGCCGACCCCTCACCCCACAGACAAAAACTGTCTGTGCCCCTTCCATCTGGCAGAAGGCTGAGGTCCATCAGGACTAAGACCTCCCGCCCACTCAAAGAGTTTCTTCCCGTCATCGCTAGTGCGCGTTATTCTTTTATTTTTAACTTTAATCTTTTATTTTAAACTAACCCATAGCCTTATTCTACTAACCCATAGCATTAGCATTTTATTTTATTACTCGTGCACTGCTGTCTTGTCGTCTATTGTCATACTGTCTACTGTCACGCACCAACCGCCAAGTCAAATTCCTTGTATTTATGACATATTTTGGCAATAAATGTTTCCTGATTCCTGTAAAGTACCTTTGTAAAGAGTCAGGTAAGTAGGTATGACAATGTACCTTCAAAATAAGACTTATTTTATTTGTAGCCTCGATGTGCCACGTTCCCGTTGGCAGTGTATTTCAAAAGCAAGACTGTTCTAAGACTATTCTATTGACATAACATTTCAGCTTAACTGTATTTCAAATTGCGTTTGTTGACTTTTTAAACACTGCACTGTTGGCATAAGTTGTATTGCTTTGATTACTTTCTATTCCCTCTGTGTATTTCCATCTTCTATAGTGTCATAGTTGTTTTTTGGCAGAGACCTACCAAAATTAATTTCGTTATTAATTAAAACAATAGAAATATTTATCCTTCCCGGAAGTGGAGGTTTGTTTTCGTGCTTGACACGAGCCGAAACAAACATTTATGCAACGGAGACAGATCAGAAATATTGTATTTTGTCCTTGAATATTATTCCCTGTCCGTGTATTAGAGGATGTCATGATTTTCCAGGCTGAAGTAGTCAAAATGCGAGCAGATGCAGACTCTGCTAGCTTAGCTAACGTTAGATAGCTTTAACGTTACTTTATTAAACGCGTGGACTCATTATTTCAGGCAACGCACCACGTGCTTTCCAGCCAATAAACGGCACTGCCCGTTTCTCCTTTTATTTGCCAAATACTAAATGTTTAGTTGCTAACACTCAATACGTACTCGGTCGTCCACTCACCGATGGAATAACCTTTCATAGCTGGTGACAGCAGATCGCGGGCTCTTCTTCGTGGGCTGATATTCCTGAAGCCCCGTTCATGTGCTGCCACCTACCGACCGACTGATGATGGAGCACAATATCTATGATGGAGCACACAGACCCAGTAGGATTCTTTTTAAGTGTTTAATGCAAAACAACCGTCTCATGCCTTCGTAGACTACGACAATGTTTATGCGGCTGCATTTGATTCTGTGGAAGATTCATGTCCACTACATCAGCGCTAGCAATGATCATCAATGAGATGAAAGTGTGAAGCAACTCATTGTGACTGTATCGCTGTCAACCATTTTCTTCATCTATTTCATTGGGAATGTTTCTTGTAACATATAAATAATTATTTATTTGAATCACCACTGAATGCTTTGTTGGAAGAGTTAAGGAGGATTTTTTTCCATATTGTTGGGATACAACTCATTGGAAAGCAAAATCAATATGGACCAGTGTTGAGTAAATATCTGTGTATATAAGCTCTATAAATATAACTCTATAGCTCTATATAACTATAAAGAGTAAAGATACTGTTCCTGGCCTTGTTCACAGCTCACATTTGTTCTATTAAGGTGTTCCAGTAAGTCATGCCAGCATTCACCCCAAACATTTATTGCAACTTTTATTTTTCCAACATAAGATCAAATTGAATACATATTTCAAAAGATAATAACGTTATTTATACAGCCCATTAGATTATAACTACAGTAATATTTTTTACATTTGACAAGAAACTGTAAGCGGTCTTATTGTTTTACGACCAACTTTTGCATTTTTAAATATTTCAGCTTGACTACTTTAATATTTCAATGGCATTTACACCAACATTCAGCTTCACTACAATTCATAATGTCTAGTGTCACTTTAAGTGCATAATACTGGTGTCACCACATTATTGAAAACAATGTAAGAACAAGATGTAATACTCTAGGGTGCATACAATATGTTAAAAAAGTCAGTGTCATAAAGTTTAATTGGTTTGTGCATTTACATCCTTGCATATCTGCCTGTGAGCTTCAAGGAGCCCAGATTAATAAAATGTCTTTAGGAAACGTGGTGACACGTTTGTGTGTAATGTGCTCTTTCACTGACTGTATCTCATTGGAGATACACTGGACAGTGAAATCACCATTTTACATACAAAAACTGAGCATTAGTCCTTTACTCTCCTAAAGACACATAACTGAGATGTATAACAGTGTATCATATATGCTGGTGGTTTACATTCACGTGTTATCAAGACATTGTCCTAGCAGAAGAAAACCATGCAAATTTGAACATAGATTTGATGACTTTAGGCAGTTAAAACCGCACTGTGATTTGTTATGTTAAAAGATGATAATGGTAATGACTGATGTGTATGGAAATTATTCATTAGTACCCTTAAATTAAACAAAATAATGAGAATGTCAACATATTAGGAAATCTGTGTATGATTTTCCGTTACTAATTAAATATTTTGTCTTACTAAATTAATGTTTTGAGATATTAAAACTATATCTAGATGTTTAGAAGTCAATATTTTCACCTAAGTCATTATTTTGAGTTTTTTGGGACACTAAATCAATATATTGATTAGTAATTATAATGACTTAACAGATCTCTGTTTCATGACAGTGTGAGAAAACGTCTTCCTCCAATGTGATATCCGTCCGTTCAAATGTGTTGTAAATTCAATGTAAACAAGTCCTTGTCTTTTTTTGAACAGAAGTTTTCGGTTTGGCAGTAAGTAGGAAAGAAATGTCTAATTTAAGAAAAAATTGACAAATTCAATTCATAATGCATTTTCGTGTGTTAGGCTCGTGTGAATTGACAGCCTCATCCAACAGTTTCTGGCTCAGTCAAGACCAAACAGCTGTCAAATGTTAAAGCAAAAAAATCCTTTTTTTGCAGATATCCAAACTGTGCCCATGTGCCGTACGTTGACATAATTCCAGCATCTACAGTGGCGGTTGGTCGGATAATATGTTTCAAAAACAGCGACTGTAAACATCAACATTGAAAAGAACGGTACTTTCCTCTCTGGAGCCGCCAGGTAGTAGCAACAGTCAACAGTCAAAGAAAGAGAGAAATCCATTGTAAAAACAGCATATCAGTTACACCAAATGCTCTGCCCAACACTAACAAGACGGGTCTCTCTGAATAAAGTGTTTTTTTCTTAGTTATATCACTCCCTCTGTTTTTACTTTCATTTTGTCACAGTCCAATAACACATTAAACCCACAGCGGAAAATAAGCTTACCTATTTTCTGGGGAATCCACGAAGCCACTAACTGAAGTAGAAATGCAGGAGGCATGTCGATAAAAAGTAGGTACTTCCAAAAAGTAAAGTTACAACACTTCACACAAACAATATACATTTTTAAACATCATAGGTATAATAGTGAGTGAGGTCTCTTTTAGAATCGGGGGTCTTCACGTTGACCAGTGTGTTAACAAACATGCAATAGCCCCAACTGTTTCATTGATATTCCTCCTTCTACGTTATCACTTCACACAGTATTCAATTTCCTGGTTATTGCTGTAATTATCTGATGTGTTTGTCCGACTGACATTTCACCGAACAGAACTTTTGACTCTACTCATCTCGCCCGTGGCTTTGGGACAAAAAGTCTTGAGAGGTAACAGCAGCTTCTATTTCATATGTAAGACGCTTAGGAGACCGTAACAGTTACGTAACAGTCTTTGTCTGCTTGCTCGTGGAAGCCAGGCAGATGTCATTTTTCCACCATTGTTGGTTCACATGCCGCCGTCGCTTTGTTTTCCACCGTTCATGTTATTGCTTTGGTGATTTGCACATTCAGGATCCATTGGCTTCGGAGGGCATGACAGTACAGCATGAATCGGTCATCTCACATTAAGACTGGTTTTCACACTCTGGGGTCCAAAGTGTTTGTATGCTACAGAAATGCGTCTGTGTTTGTTCTGCATAGTCATAGAGAAGTCTCCACGCAGGAGCCATTTCTGTGGAAAGACCTGTGGTTGTGGCAGTTCTCACTGCAGTGGACAATGAGCACCGGGTAGCACAGTGCGTCCTCGTACTCTGGGGGGCCCTCGTCGCCTGTGGCGAGGCGCTCCGATAGACAGCGGGTGTTTTCGCTGGGGCTCTCCTGGTCGTCCAGGCTGCCGCTCCGCCAGAAGCAGCTGCGCTGGGAGCCGTAGCGCCTCGCCAGCGAGAACCGGCTGCCGCTGAAAGGGATGCGGGAGCTGGCGCCGGTGCAGACGCTGAGGGCGCTCCTGGAGAACACCGAGGAGCAGCTGACGGCTCTGTGGCAGCGCTCGCAGTTCTGGCGGATCCCGCTGAAGCTGGACGGGCACTGGGCCAGGTCCATCAGGCCGGCCTCCGAGTAACTGGGAACCAGTTGCTGGTTGGACCGAATGTGCCATTCCAGTTCCGTGCTGTCAATGGTGTTAACGCGAGGGATGCGGCGCCAATACGGCCTGTCGTCGCACGGAGTCACCGGGAGGTGATCGTGGCCAAAGAGCTTCTCGACGCGGTAGTGGACGTATGCGGTGTGGTACTCGATGAAGACTCTGAGAGGCCAGGAGAAAGTGAAGAACGAGGCACACCAGAAGACGTAGTGGGAGAAGTACCAAGGGTGGCGCTCCGGGTCGGACAGCACCATGACGTACTCCTTCAGGTCGATGTTCTTCAGGTGCATGCCCTCCCTGGCCTCCATGTAGTCGTCGAGGCCCTCGTTATCAGTGAAAAACCTCGCCCGTTGCGTCAGGTAGGAATTCTCGGACTCCACGTTGGCAAAACTGAAGCACTTGGTGAAACGCATCTTTGTGAGGGCAGACTTCTCCAAGCCCAGCAGCTGCTTCGACACGTCTTTGACGCCACAGTGGCCGTAGTCATATTCAGCCTCTGCCACGTGGGTGTTGACGCGTTCGTGGTAAACCTGCGTGCTAGTGTAAGCGTCTCCGTTGCGGTAGCGCGTGACCTGCCGCGTTCGGCGGACGTAGTGGTAGCTGATGGCCTTCCACCAGATGCACGGTTTGGCCTGCTGCATCCTTTCGATGCGCTCGTAGATGCCCTCCACGTCCACTTTGTGCTGCAGCTCGCTCTTCACGTGACAGTGCCAGCACTCCACGAGGTAGACCAGGTAAAGCATGGCCAGCAGGGCCAGGGGGATGTAGATGTAGCCGTCAGAGCAGGGACTGTCGTGGTACATCATGGATTTCCCTTTAAAGGCGCTGTCAAAGGTGAGACGGGTCACCTTGGTGACGTGACACCAGACCATCGCTCCCATGCAGCCATACATGAGAAGCGACAGGAGCAGGCATTTCCAAAAGCTCTCCCGGCACAGCGACTTGCTCAGAGATTGCTTCAGGGGTCTTTGCTGCTGAGTCAAAGCACAGACAAAAAAGAAACTGAGGTAACGCTTGATGCCGTGTGTACATTCCTATTTAACGAGTCTTATATACAGTTGGACTAACATTTAATGCGTGAGCAATGAAACCAGTAGCAACACTCTTACACTCTAAACATTCCCTTTGTTTAGTGGATATAACAAGAAAGTTTTCAGTTCTCTGCCATTTTACAGCTATAAGTGCTGGAGAGAGATGCTGGCTCAGTACAGCAGATAGTAGTGAGAGCAGAGACCAATCAAAGGCTCAATCAATAGCTATTAATGTGGGGAACAATTTAAAAGCAATATCTCCTGTCACGTTTCCTAATCCGTGTAATTCATTGACGTGTTACGTCCTGCACACCGTTCACACGGATCCATCAAATCTCTGCGCCGACAATGAACAAGCAGCACAAAGCAACAAAAGGCGGCCGCCCGCATGGAGGCGATCACGGCTCGTACCTCCTCCCTGGAGTCCTCCTCGAAGACGGTGGTCGCACTGCTGTCACTCGCTGTGGCGGCCGATGCCGGAGGGGACATGGTGGCGGGCGGCTATCGATAATAAAAATGCACAGGGCGTGGAGGAGGAGGAGGAGGAGGAGGAGGGTGGAGGAGGAGGAGGGGGGGAGCTCTCACCACCTTGTTCCGGAGAAAGACCCCCTCATCCGAGACGGGCGGATTGCCGGGTGCGCATCACACCTGGTGCCCTTCAGGGCCGCTGCGGAGACGGGCAGGGACGAGTCGACGGGAGGTTCGCGGATCGCCGAAACCCTCCCAAAGTAAACGGATCCGTCCGGTAGCTGAGAAAGTACCAACAGAAAAAGGGGCGGGGGGGGGGGGGGGGGGGGGGGGGTATTTTAAATGTGGAGCAAATGAACCAGAAGATGTTTATCTCAACGACAAGTGGGTCCAAGGAGCTGAATATTGCAGACAATTCTAATTAGCTGGTTAATACATTTTGGGTGCATTGTCCCGTGTAAACCGTACAAAATAAAGTAGCCACGAGTAATGCTATTATAAATCACAGAGGCTGTAATACAAACATCCCATTATAATATACATTTAATTAGTATAATGGGATGCAATACAATACTATACAAATCTCTAAACAATGAACAGGAAACAATTGTTATAATCGATAATAGAAAAGAATAATAACTGTTTGCTAAAAATAGTCTAATAAACATAGAGCAATGAGAAAGACCGACATCAACCTCTTAAAACAAAGGCAAGTTTATTCAGTCCAATAGAATTATGGATAAGAAATCATCTAAAACACTTAGAAAAACATGCATGTCCACCTAAAACAATAAAACATTAAGGACACTCAAACATACAGTGTATCAAAATTATATAAATCCTGTGTCACAATTAGATGCACATGTCTATGAAAAACTCTTTTAAAAAATCCATTCAAAGTCTCATGGGCCAAAAGAATTAACTTTGGTTTAGCTCAGTGGTTTAGCTTGTTTGTTTATCTCAAGTGACAGGTTACTTCATTTAGTGCGTACATTATAGTGTATACATTTGGATAATGGTCATACAAGGAGTTTCAAATTATTATTTCAAAACTATAAATGTATGAATTTAAAAGAACATACAAATACATTAAAGTGAATGACCGCATTAGAAAAAATCCCGAAATTAATCCGACTCAAATAACTGGACAGTAAAGGTTTAAATTCTGTAAAAAGCTCATTTTCTTGAAAAATGATATGCGTTATAGACCAAACTGAAAGCCAATCTTCAGCAACATGATCTTTTTCTTCCTGTTGACCACATGGCGTTAACCTCCAAACTGTTTCACTGCTTTTCCCAGGGTCTCCTTTTCTGATGACGAAGGGACCCCTTAAAGGCACAGAGAACACATGACTGAACAAGCGCCTCACCAAGGCCATACTCCTAATATATGGATTCATAGTTTTGATCGTCTTCAATCCTTCGATGGCCACGTGCGAGAAAAATAAAAACAGCCTTGGACAACAATGTGATCACAACACCAACATGGCGGAGTACTTACGGAGTACATGCTGGAGAGGCTGTTGAACAGCTCCTGGCCTGCGCTCACTTTGTGCCTCACTCCCCGTATGGTCCCGTTCTTGCTGCAGATATTGACGCGTGTGTTGCCGAAGAGCGTCTCTCTCTTGGCACTGGCGTACAGAAGCAGGTCATCCGGTTCGCAGCCATTGGCGTCCACGCCGGTCTCCACCGCCAGGCCGTTCAGGTGGCTGTTGGCCTCGCTGCTCCCCTGCTCCGCCTCCGGGCTGCTGGTGCAGTCCGAGCCCACCGAGTCCGACGCCGACCCGCTCCAGGCCGCTTCATCCTTGAACACCTCCGCCAAGACCCGTCCGCTGTTGGCAGACGCGACTCTGAATCGAACGGTTTTCGCAGGCTTTACTTTCTCTTGTTTCACTTCTGGCCCCTCCATTGAAATACAAGACTGTCTTGCATTGTTTCAGGTTCCTTAAACCATGGTCTGCAATTATCAAATAATAATATACCCATTGACGTGTCAGAGTGGGCTGAAAATATCCCATGTGCGACAACTAGACACCCAAATGGTTAATAATACATGAGCTTCTGTCATGGTAACAGCTAAAACAAGCAAACAGTCATTTGATATTACCATAGGTTCAATAATTGATCAAGGTTAGTTTTCAGACAGCGGACTACGGGCTATCTTTTACTTTCAAGACGCACGTTCAAAGCACTACAGATAACCTTTGGTGCACTTTGCAGGCCCCTTCCTCATGCCTTGGTGTGCAAATGTTTCCAGAAAGCTATTATTTGTCTTTCTTTTCCAAATATCAGAAGATCATTAAAATAATTTTAGGAAGAGCCCCGAGCAACCTTCCTCAGGAGCTCTTGGTCCTATCATCCAGTCTGTTCCCTGTTCTTCCATCACCGTGTGGTTTGGATCAGCCACTAAACAGTACAGGGACACAGAGTGGTCCATCAGGTCTGCAGAGAGAATCCTTTGCTCCAGCCTGCCCTGCATCCTGAATCTACACCTCCAGAGTCAGGAAACAGCAGGAAAGATCCCTGCAGACCCTTCACACACAATCTTTTCCAATTCCTCCCCCTGGTTGGCGCTAGAGAGCACTGCACGCCAAAACCAACAGACGCAGGAGCAGCTTCTTCCCTCAGGCCGTCTCTCTGATGGACAACCAGATGGAACCTTAATTTCACATTACCTGCACTTTCATCCCATATCCAAAGAGTTTGTTTTACTCATATTTATACTTTTGAATACATATTTATTTTTATGTCATAGAATTGTTAATATATAGAAATGTTCTTTGTCTTTGTATTATTATATACATTCATTTTTCTTAATTTCCTTTTTGTATGCCCCTTATTATTATTGTATCCACCGTGTATGTCAATTGAAAGTACAATATTCTCAAATATTAATAATAAATAACAAAGCTACTTCTGATTCCGATTCGAATGTAATACTTCATCTAAAACTTATTTTTACTTACTTCCTTTTACAGCAGGAAAGGAATATAGTGTCAGTCAGTGTTTTGACTATTCATCTTATTTATTGGATTGATTATTTTGTAAATTATACTATTTGTGAATACGTGTGATTAATATTATATACATGTGTATATATCAGAAACTATAAAAGAACATGTGCGCATAAATCCCTTTACTGCCACAGCCCGAACTGCACACATGCGATCTCCCTCCAGAGGCGCTAATGCGGCTGCTGATCCACCACCAACGAAGAAGCCGGAGAGTCACACGTGCAAGTTACTGTCAACATGGGGAAAAGGAGGCAGAATTCGCAGCTTTTCAGCAGTTTAACCAAAAAACAGAAGAAGCACTTGAAGGAATTCGGAGAGGAGCATCCATTCCATGACGTGTAAGCAGCACAGTGGACTTCGCAGTGTCGTGTAGTGACAAAGCTACTTTAATGTTAGCCAACTAGCTAGGTTGCTTCAGGCGGCGGTCACGCTCGAGGCTGATTCAGTTAACGTTAGCTAACTTAACTTTACGTAACGTCATATACATAGATATGTGTTACTAGTAACTACCTAAAATTAATTGGGTTATACTTTTCGAAAGGGCTCATTTAAACCGTAACTTTTAAAACACCCCTAAGTGCTGTCCCTAAATATTAATACACAGTATTACACTCCAATTACAAAACTAAATAGTGACTACATAACCCCATTGTGTTGTTTTAACAGAGTTGGGGCAAGACCTGAAAAAACTGAGATATTGAAACTGGTGAGTAGTGGTGCAAGTCGCTGAAAAACTACATATGTAATATCTCACCCACAGTATTATTATAATAATAGTTACTAGTTAATAATAGTTTACCAAATTAACGGATTCGTCCTCACCTTTTGTTACAGCCACCAAGCCCTGAACACTCTGACGCTGAGCACGATGAGCTGGAGGACGAAGAGGCAGACGTGGAGCAGCAAACCGCCTATCAGAAGCTTCTTTCCACTCTCCACCAACCCGGGATTAATGACAGTGAGGAGGAGAGCACTGACGATGAAGATGAAGACGATGAAGAAGAGCTTTTGGATGAAGGTGAGTTGTTTTTCTTTCTGGCACACTGAGGATGGGATAGGCCAACCCACATCAGTCAACTGAGTATTGCTGTGCTTCTTCTTGTAGGGGACAGCGATGGAGTTGGCAATGACAGTGAGCATGGCGATGAAGATGAAGGTGAAGGTGGAGAAGAGAGTGCGGATGAGGCTGACGTTGAAGCGGTAGATGGGGAGGAGAAGGGGGCTGGAGACGAGTTTGTAGACAAGGATCATGAGACTCAGTTCTGTCTGGAGACCAACTTCACGGAGGCAGAAGAACAAGGGGACGCCGACAGCGCTGCAGAGGAAGACCTTAAAGGTACTGCTCAGTTCAGTCCACTACAATTGTTTAATCATTAATGCAGTCAGATACGTGTTCCCTGTAACTTCTAGGCATTCTTCATAATAATTGTCTTGCATGCTGGAATCTAAAAGTTGAGGAAGCATTTAACAGTTTTGTTTCTGTACACGCAGACATGTTTCTGCAGCATTTGGACACAGAGCTTGAGGAGGAGGATGTGCAGAAGATAACATCTGGCACCAAAGCCAAGGCTCAGATCACGGTATTAAGTTCACAAGCATTTGCTTACAGCATTTGTTATCAGTCAATTCTAACTACAGTTGATGTGTGTAACTCTATTTTGCTTTTTCTCAAATGTAGTGGCCAAAATTGGGAACTTTACTGTGTACATCACCCCTGGAGAGGTTTGGAGGCATCGGCCCACACAAGAATACAAACCTGCCAGTTTTCCACAAAGTGTTGGAGACCCGCAGGAAGAATGTGAACCAGACCGTCGACCCTAATGGGCCGGCTGGGGAGAGCAGCCCTCTGCAGCTCGAGCTGCTAGCGCTGATGGGCTCCTACAAGGACCTCTACTGCTCGGACATCTGTCCTGTGGTCCAGGCCCCTCAGGTCTGCAGTGCATACTGCCTCCACATTCTCAACCACGTACTGAAGGCCAACTCCCGGGTCCTGGCTCACAACGCACTGCTAAGGGAGCATAAAACCCAAGCTGCACCTGGAGCTGAGCCGCAGGACGAACCCAGGGACCAAGGACTGACCCGGCCCAAGGTAAAGTACTGGTTACGCTGTTTTGTGCTTCTTAACATTCCTCCATCGGACATATCTTCTCTCCTTCAGTTGCAAATCAGGCCTGTTTTGGCTCCAAAGCAGCCACGAGCAGCCATCGGTCCCCCGCTCTGTTGTAATGGTTGTTATTAATATGCCAGGTCCTGATTCTCCTTCCGTTCCGAGGCGGAGCTCTGCGGGTCGTCCAGAACCTCATCAGCCTACTGGAGGCAAAAGGCAAGAAGATCATGGTCAGCAACAAGAAGAGGTTCAAGGAAGAGTTTGGCGAAGAGGCAGATGTCGAGCCTCACCATGTGCAGCGACCTGACGACTTCAGCGCCATCTTCTCGGGCAACGTGGACGATCACTTCAAGATAGGTACGCCTTAACAAACAAGCCCGCCCACCGTTCGGCGAACCACCAAGTCTTCCTGTCTGAGGCTGCGTCGCTGTCCTCTCTCCCCAGGCGTCTCCATTGTGAGAGGCAGCATGCGCCTGTACTCGCCCTTTTATTCGTCAGACATCATCATTGCGTCACCGCTTGGCCTCCGTACGGTGCTCGGAGCAGATGGAGAATTCCACCGAGACTTTGACTTCCTCTCCTCCATCGATCTGCTGGTGGTGGACCAGGCAGATGTCTTACTCATGCAGAACTGGGAGCATGTGTTGGTAAGAACACACATGGCACATTACTGTGGAGTGGCAGCTGCTGTTGATACTCAATGTAAACACTCGGGTGGATGAAAGTTGGATAAACTTATCAAAAGTTGGTAATGTTAAGTTTTGCCGTGAAGGTGATGTGTTTATAAAAATGGACGCGGTCCGCCCCTCTACAGCATGTGATGAAGCACATGAACCTGCAGCCGCTGGACTCCCACGGAGTGGACTTCTCCAGGGTGAGGATGTGGAACCTCAACAACTGGGCCAAACACTACCGGCAGACGCTGGTGTTCAGTTCCATCCAGGACCCGCAGATCAACAACATCCTCACCAAGCACTGCGGCAATTACCGTGGACAGGTACTCATTACAGTTAGCATGACACCTGCTGCAGGGACTGAGCATTCAGCGCAGGCCGAGAGGCACAAATGACCTCATAGGTGGAGTTAATCCTCAGCGGTTGGAGCCGTAGCTACAGGTTGTTTACTGTAGGCAGCTGGATATGTGACGCACGCACTGGTTTCTTCATTGCTTTTTTGATTGTGTAGTCATTTTTCTGTGTGGTTTCTGTCCCAGATTGCCACTAAGAACATGCCAAAGACGGGCTCCATCTGCCAGGTGCTGGTTGAGCTGCCTCATGTGTTTCAGATGTTCTCTGCTGACAGTTTCATGGACCACGATGCCAGGTAAGGTCTTCCACCAGTCCAGCCAGACCACATGTCAACGCTTTGTAGAGAAAACCTTTGTAGAGAAAACCCCATTTTGCTTTTGATTCAGTTAGCTACACTCTAGGTCCAAACTTTCACCCCATGTTTGATTGACGGCGGTAAATATTTATAGAATATAAAGTGGTCGGGGTTATAGCAGAGGGCTGCGGCTCCACACTGGCTAAGAGTTTTTTTATTGAGTGAATGTCACGATACTATTGGTTGGCACTGGCACTTGTTTCCATTTTTAAATTGGTGGACAATTGGACCTCGGATGATTTTCTTTTTTCTTTCCTTTCATTACCATTTTCTTTCCTTTTTCAATGTTAATTTAAATATTACAATTTAGTTCAAAATGTATTAAAGAAAATGTTAATATATGTAACAGATCATGAGATCTTGACAAATTATTGCTTGATGCGAACAAAATCTTATTTGTATTTGCTGTCCCTCTGCTGCCTGTAGGTTTCAGTTCTTTGTAGATAAAGTGCTGCCTCAGTACAGGGACTCGGTTATGTCCCACACTCTGATCTACATCCCGTCTTACTTCGACTACATCCGGCTGCGCAACTACATGAGGAAGGAGGAGATCAACTTCACGAGCATATGCGAGTATTCCAGCAGGTCAGAAGTGTCCCGAGCCAGACACTTCTTGCAAAACGGGGATAAACAGTTCCTGCTCTTCACTGAACGCTTCCACTTCTACAAGAGGTCCGTGCTTTCTCCATTTAGTAGCCCATCTTGTTTTAGGGATCTGTGGTTGGTTTGGGGTTTTTTTTTGTTCAGTCACCCAGCGGTTGGTACAACAGATAATACATCTTTCCTCTAGAGGAGTGGGGGGGGGGCAGTAGAGATTCCCTGCTAAAGGATTTTGGTTTAGTGGAAGAACAATTGTAGACACAAATCTATAATGAGCATTCTGGTGATATTTCTTCCTGTAATCAGTCCCACGCCATCGATAGAAAAGCCTTTATTACCCTTTTAAGAGCTATTGTCAATTGCGATAACACAAAGGATATCGGTTCAAAAGATGGACCTTTCAAGGTTCAAGGTTATTCAAAGGGAGCATTCTAGCCCCTTTATCTTTTTTTAACGTGGTAATCAGAAACTATAGCTTCTTTATTGTGATCTATTGATGTTTATAATACAGGTAGATGAAATACAGCGCTCTGATTGGTTGAGAGTGAGTCACGGAGGGGTACTTTATTGAGCGATAATGTACAGTTGCTGTTCACATTACATTACAGGTCATTGACCCGAGTGTTGCGTATCACTGCGCACTCAAAGTAGCAGATTAGATTTTGCGTAACCGTTAGTTGGCATTTTAGCTTTTATCTCTGTGGTGATCTCTGAAAAAACCACAGAAATCCCACCAATGATCAGTTTTGGGCAATGCGAGCTAATTGCGACAATTAAGGTGGGCGTCTTCAGCGATGTGAATGAATGATGGTGCGAGACCCAATGCTGTTTACGTACACGTACAGACAATTTTTTCTCTAGACTACTGAAATGTTTGGTGGAAATACGTTTGGTGGCTACAACTATTTTATGCTGAAAGGCAGCTATTTACTTACTAATTATAATTTCGATGGTAACTGTATTATAAAAGCAATAAGGTACTTGAGGCAGTACTTCGTATCGTTCGTGGGTTGCTCGCTCTGCATCGGCCTAACAACGTGTCCGAACTGTTACGTTATTGGTACTGCCTCAAGTACCTTTAATGCTTATTTAAACACACCGGCGTTCTGGCTGAAATCTTATTTCGAAAAATATTCTTTCGACCATTCTGGAGCAATTCAGTTTCCTTAGAAAATTAAAAAGACTAGGCTACGTTGTTACTTCTAACATGTTTTTGTATCCTGTTGGAGGCTGTTAAACACATTAAACACTTTTACATGCATTAGGATCTTAATTCAGAATACTGGAGAGCAATTATCAGCAGAAGAAGATTAATAATCCAACTTCTGAAAAACACTGAAAAAGTGACTTGTCCTAGAATAAATGATATCACGTCTACTGGTTTCCATCATACTTTAATCCTCTGACTTTGCTAATGCCTCCTGAAAAGTCTTGAGTATAAAGTGTGGAGCCCAACAGGAACTCTGACCTCCCTCTTTTCTTCTCTTTAGGCACACCATCAAAGGGATCCAGAACCTGATATTTTATGGATTGCCCTCGTTCCCGCATTTCTACAGCGAGGTGTGTAACATGCTCGCATCGGGCGGTCGAGCGGAGGAGGCCAGCTGGACCTGCACTTCCCTGTACTCGCGTTACGATGCCCACAAGTTGGCTGCAATCACAGGAGCACAGCGAGCCGGACAGATGCTGCACTCCAACAAGGCTGTTCACCTCTTTGTTACAGGAGGGGAAGATAAAGCTCCCTGATGGAGGTGGGCGGATGGACGAGGGACCGCTTCATGAAACCATGGCAGATGCACACTGTACCTCATTAAATCAAGGGGACCCTGTATTGAGTGTATTTGTGTTTGCGGATTGTCATGTGACACATCGCAGGGTGACTAGTTTGACGTGAGAGAAGCGCGTAACTTCTCTCATGGTGAGAACACGACCCATTATGTTTTATAGACAACCGGCACAAGGGAAGACACGTTTATGGGTGTGTTTGATGTGTTGTAGGTGGAAACCGGCCAGAAACATCAATCGACAGATGGAAGACATCCTAAAACATTGTTGTATTGTGTTATGAATCTCTGAGGTAATTGCTGATAAGCTGTGTAAGCATCGCTCGCTGGTTCCATGTGTGTTTACAGATTGTATTTCATTAATGCTTTTATCTCTCCATTGTTTGTTCATACTATTTGTAGCAATAGTAAGTGCTAAAATGAATCAATTTGAATACATAACATTAGTATGCTGTTACACCCCAAAATAGAGGGTTTAAAATAAGTTATGGGTGCATTTTGTAATTCTATTTCAAGCTACAGGAACTACGTTTCTGGGGCTAATTCTCTGCCACACGAATCCACAACAATGTCCTGAAAAATGTTTTAATAAAAAGTGAAACACAAAAACAGAGAGCTGGTATTTTATGTGAACCGATAAGTGATTCATGCACGTGCGAGTTGTTGCCTTGAAGGGAAAGTGTGTGTGTGACATGTTCACCTCCTTTCCAGCTCACTGTCCTGCATATCTAACACCTTCAACAAAGGCTTGGCCAACAGCACAAGTCCTTTTTAAAAAGGACCTGCACCCAAACCTGTAATTATTAACTCCGCGGGCGACTTTGTCCATGTAATTATGGAGGCTCCTCCACTGCTGAAGGTGGCGGACGAAAACTATGGACGTTCAGACGGAGAAGCTGAACCTGAAGCGGGAAGTCGGGCTGGTGGGGGCCGTGTCCCTCATCGCTGGCACCATGATCGGATCTGGGATCTTCATGTCCCCTCAGACGGTGCTGTCCTCCATCGGCAGCCCGGGGGCCAGTCTGCTGGTGTGGGCGTGCTGCGGCGCGCTGGTCATACTGGCGTCCTTCTGCTACGCCGAGCTGGGCACCGTCATACGGGAGTCCGGCGGGGAGTACATCTACATCCTGAGGACCGCGGGCCCGGTGGTGGCCTTCATGTTGATCTTCAGCTCCGTGCTGTTTGTGAGGCCCGCGGGGGTCGCCGGCATCTCCCTGAGCTTTGCGCAGTACGTCGTGGCTCCGTTCTACCCGGACTGCGCCGCGCCGGCGCTGCTGGTCAAGTGCGTGGCCGCCGTTTCAATCGTCGTCCTCGCCGCGGTGAACTGCCTCAATGTCCGCTTCGCCATGTCGATCCAGGTGTTTTTCATGGTGGTCAAGGTCCTGGCACTGGCGGTCATCATCGTAGGAGGGTTGGTCATGCTTGTGAGGGGCCACACGGAAAACTTTCAAGACTCCTTTGAAAACACGAACCTGGCCATCAGTCCGATCGGCATCGCCTTCTACCAGGGCCTGTGGTCCTACGATGGCTGGAACAATCTGAATTACGTTACTGAAGAGTTGAAACGCCCCGAGGTGAGTCCACCACGTGGGGGGTTCACTGGGATAATCTGTTATTGTCTTGTGTGTTATTGCGTTGACATTATAGGAGCAATACGTAATCCATCAAGGCCACCGTGACATGTGGGCATCATCCCCCCTAGAGCAATAAAGTGATAATGTGTTTTTTGTTTCTGAATTGTACTCATTCATCCACCACCTCCTGCTACCTAAACACATATTGTTGCAAAATATCATTACTTTTAACACTGCGACTAAATCTGAATCAATAACAATTGCTAAACCGAGTCCAAGGCCGAACAGCTGCCGTGCATGACTGCAGAAGACGAGTTACAGGGAACGAGCAGGACTGTTCATCCTTTGCAGTCTGTTGCCTGCGCTCATTCGACCTGCACATTGTGCTTCTGTGTTTCGCTTTGGAATGGCCTTCATTTAGTTGATCTGGGTTTTCATATCTCACATGGTCTTGTTGTAGTGGAGTCTGTGTTGCCATTTGGAGGCTGTGTTCTAGTTCAGCTGAACCTTTTGTCCCTCAGAAAACAGTTTGGTGCAATAAAACGCTACTACAAGCAGTGAGGATTCTTTTGGTGATTGTATTTGTTTCCACTTGCTTTATATTCTTGTGATGTTACCTTCCACTTTACCCTCTGGCAACATTGATTTGGCATAAAAGAAAGCTGGTTTCAGCCCAAACCATCTTTCCATCAAAGGACACACTGAGAACTTTGAGAACAGGGGGGTGGATTGAAAGTGATTCCGCGCACTAGGGATCGGCATCCTGGGCCATTATTAGCAATAAACTGATGTAGCCCCTGTGTATGCTGAACGAAGCCAATGTTGAGGCTTTAGCACCAGTTCTGTTTGGATCTTACGTGGACAGAATCGTTTGGTACAGCAGAGGGACATTTAGTGGTCACATCGCTTCTGATGCAGATGATTCACTTTTCATTCCTGCATCAGACTGTAAATGTGGGCGCTTCTCAGCATGATTACATCCAGTGGCTGGAACCATAGAACCAACACCTCCAAGTGGGAGACCAATTTGATAGAAAATGGTGAGTCGGGATGAGTTCCGCCATGAACAATGGAGTTCAAATATCTTCAGGTCCTCTTGCTTTTAAGTGACGGTACGATAGAAAACATTGTTGAACCCTTGGCAATGATGTGCTGAATAGTGTTAGTGAGGCGGGAGCTGATCCTCAAGGGTTCCCCTTGTGACATCAGCAGGGGATTTGCAGGGATAAAATATGGTGTTAGGGATATGTTGGTCATTATTGATCTGTTATTCATTGTTTAGTATTTTCTGCGTGCACATCTGTATTTATTCCCATGCAAGTTAAGGTTTCCACATTAAGGTGGGAAATGGAGCATTAAACACAGGTGTGAAGTAATGGAACACCTACTTATTTTTTCACTATTCAAATATAAATCAAATTTTAGATCATTTGTGGACACTTCTCTCTGAAATCAGCGTAATCATTTTTAAAATTAATCCTAGCCCTTTTAATACGTCAAAGACAAGCAGAAGAAGCTCCACCTCAGTCTTACACTGCCAGACCTTGGGTCAAAGATTTTACTTCACGTTGTTAACGTGACTCTAACGTTACCCAACATTTAGTAGTTAATTTACAACCAGTTCTCTGTCTGTCCAGTGTCCACTGCGAATGCCTTGACGCAGTCGCCTTCAAACAATGAAGCGTGACGCACACAGACTCAATCTGAAGAGGGAAATTGGGATTATAGGAGCGGTGTCATTCATTGCTGGGACCATGATTGGATCCGGCATTTTCATGTCCCCCCCAATTTGTACTGTTGGCCATCGGCAGCCCCGGGGCCAGCTTGGTCATATGGAGCTGCTGTGGGTTGGTAGCCATGTGTGGCGGGCTCTGCTACGCTGAACTGGGGACAGTCATACCAGAGTCTGGAGCGGAATACATCTACATGCTGCGGACAGCGGGGAGAGTGGTGGCCTTTATGTTTGTCTTCAGCTTCGTTACCGTCATGAGGCCTGCCAGTGCCACAGCAATCGCCCTGGGTCTGGCGGAATACATCGCTGCCCCTTTTTACCACGGATGCATCCCTCCGCAACCCGTGGTGAAGTGCGTGGCTGCAGCAGTCATATTGGCGCTGGCCATAGTCAACTGCATGAGCGTCCGCTTGGCCACCGGCATCCAGGTGTTGTCCATGGTTGTCAAGCTGCTGGCTCTGGCTGTGATCATACTGGGAGGTGTGGTGCTGCTCTTCCAGGGACACACTGAGAACTTTGAGAACTCCTTTGAAGGAACAAATGCTGACGTCAGCTCCATTGGCATTGCTTTCTATCAGGGCTTGTGGTCTTATGATGGTTGGAACACTTTGAATTGTCTAACTGAGGAGCTGAAACATCCAGAAGTAAGAGTTTACTGTTTAATCAATTAAACAGTCACTGAAGCTGTTCAAAAATGCAGAGTTTATACATGTATGCAATCAACTTTGCCATCTACTCAGACCTGAGCTTTCTTTTTTCTCATGCATTGTTTATTCATTTAATTGGGGAATCCATTATTCATCAAACACATTGATAAGTTTTCTACTAACCAGTTGATTCTGTAAGGGTTAGTCATTGTCTCCATGATTTCCGTTACAACACAGCGGTCAAGGAACTTTGAGAACTCCTTCATGGGAACTAATTCTGATGTCAGCTCCATGGATATTTCTTACTATCGGGGCTTTCAGGGATCGAAAGACTAAAAAAGCGCCATAAAATTACAGTAGATTTATCATCGTAGACGGGGGTATCATCAAGATTTTACAACTTTCTCAACACTCATTGATTGTGTTGGTAACTGAAAGATTTACAGCTTAAGTGGATTTACTATCTATCTATCTTAGTAAAACATTAAGCTGTGTTTACTATCTCTCCAAGAACCAATTATTGTGTCTGAGATGTGTGAGTTACTTCTTATCGAGGGTGTCTGCTCTGTAAGGGTGAATCACCACTACAGCATTTTCATCGTCTCATTGATATACGTGACAACATGGCGCTCAAGGAACCCGAAGCTCTGAAAATGAAGCGTGAAATCGGTCTAATTGGAGGCGTTGCTCTGGTTTCTGGGACTATGATCGGTTCTGGAATATTCATGTCCCCAAAGTTTGTCCTGGCGTATGCGGGAAGCCCCGGGGCCAGTCTGCTGATCTGGGCTCTCTCAGGACTCGTGGCAATATTTGCAGGGCTCTCGTATGCTGAGCTCGGCACAGTCATTTCTGAATCCGGTGGGGACTTTATCTACATACTGAGGATCTATGGTTCGTGTCCTGCTTTCTTTGCGGCCGTCACTTTCATCCTGGTGATGAAACCATTCGGCATCGCAGCAATGGCAATCTGCATTGCGCAGTACACTCTAGCTCTCTTTTACACGGGCTGCCCTCCTCCTCAGCTTTTGGTGAAGTGGGTTGCAGCTGTGGCAATACTAGTCGTTGCCACTGTCAACGCCTTGAATGTCCAAATTGCTGTCAGAATCCAAGTGGTCTTCTTGGTAGCCAAGGTCCTGGCATTGGCGTTGATGGCGATTGGAGGAATAGTGGAGCTCACACACAGCAGCAGTGTCATCGTGGACAATTTGGAAGTTGAGAATGCATTTAGAGGCACTCAGTGGTCTTTAAGCACGATAGGAATGGCTTTTTATCAAGCACTCTGGTCTTACGCTGGCTGGTACAACTTGAACTGTGTCACAGAGGAACTGCAAAGACCAGAGGTGAGAGCTGGATGATGCACGTGTCCTCCTGTGGGTTAATAGTAATGTAAGCCGTGTTCCAACGGTTCATTGCAGTACAGATGTGTGTGAGCGTGGGAGTGTTTACTGCAATTGTTATCTTATCACAGTGGGATAAAGGTCTGTTTTCCAATTATGTTGTCATGTGAATGTTTGCAGTGAATGGAGATGAGAGCAATTTGCAACCAGCGGCAGTTAAAAGAGTTATTGGCAGAAAATACAGATCACACAGTTTTCAGTCTCTATTTGTGTAGATCCGGGCTGTATTTATTGTAAATGTAAAATGTAAATCGACAATTCAATACTAACAACAATTGCAGTTAATCACAGGCCACTGTATTTGTTTTTATTTTCTGCAAGATATATTGTATAATTACAAACATCTTCAAAAGAGTTAGCTATTAACAATCATAACACAAATTATTCAGCTTAAACCAAGACTCTTTTTGGTGATATCTCTTAAACTGTTTCTTTGTGAAATGTTTCATCATTTTTGTCCTTAAAATAGCGTTATTGTTCGCAACCTGTGAGTCAATCCATTGTAATTCCATCAATAACATTATACAGAGCACAGAAATGATGTTGCCCTCTTTTTCCCCCACCAGGTGAATCTTCCTCGGGCCGTTGTGATAGCCATTTCTCTGGTGACTGGCTTGTATCTGCTGGTGAATGTCAGCTACCTGACCGTTATGACGCCGATGGAGCTCATGTCCTCCAACGCGGTAGCAGTGACCTGGGGGTAAGACGCCACCTGATGGACTGCTTTTAAAATAACACATTTTTAGAGGAGCGTCAGAGGATCACTCTACCAATTGACACAGTAATGCTCCTCAAGACTCTGCAACCTTCATCCCCAGGAACAAGGTGCTGGGAAGCTGGGGCTGGATCATGTCTGTGGCCGCAGCGCTGTCCGCTTTCGGTTCCCTGAACGGGACGTTCTTCAGTGGAGGCCGGGTGTGCTTTGTGGCCGCCAGGGAAGGACACATGGTGAGAGGCGCTCCTTGTGATTGTGTTTGTCCGGCACGAGAGCGCTGACGCAGAATTTCACCCAGACACGTGTCCGCTTTCCAGCCAGCTATTCTGGCCATGGCTCACATCCACCGACTGACTCCGTCTCCGGCCCTGATCTTCACCACCATCGTCTCTCTGCTGGTTCTGATCCCTGGAGACTTCCAGAGCATTGTCAACTACTTCAGGTGAGAAGGATAAGGCATGTATGTATTGTTTCTTCTCTGTTACCTGTATGAATAAATGTTTCTTTTTGTCCTTATTGCTATTGTCAGTTTCACTGCCTGGTTTTTCTATGGCATCACCCTGTCTGGACTACTTTATCTCAAGATTAAGAAGCCGGAGCTCCACAGGCCGTACAAGGTCAGTGTCACACAAGCACTCCTATCACAAATAAATGTCTGTGTAACGATCGTCAATTGTCATTTTGTTAACACACCTTGTTTCTGTCCCCTCCTCTCTCAACAGGTTCCCATCATACTCCCCGTACTGGTCCTGATTGTGGCAGTATTCCTTGTGCTGGCCCCTATCATAGACAATCCTCAGATTGAATACCTCTATGTGACTTTATTTATCGCCAGTGGAGCTATCGCCTACGTACCCTTCATCCATTACCAGCTCTGTCCAGGGCTGTTGACCAAGCTGACGGTGTTCCTGCAGCTGTTCTTGGAGGTCGCGCCGGCTGAGAAGAACCTGTGATTTGAGCAGAAGAAATGTAACACTACATTTCACATTTAATACATTACCACCTGTTTCTCATTGATAAGTTGGGTTATGCGTTTGACTGTTCTGTATATTTGCAGAGGGTCCGTAGTCACGTTAGGCCATGGGAAAAGAAATAACATTCTGAAGTAAATCTGTATTTAAAATGTCGGCTGCCAGTTTTTCTTACGACCTAAACACTTTTTCCAAGTGCAACAGTGGCTAAATAACAGCGTGCACTTTACCAGCTGAAACCCGATTGTTATTGTGAATATGGGTTGCACAATGACAGCAGGCTGTGCACAAAGTCGGGTTCAAAATTAATGATATGTAAATAAATTTGGCAACAAGAAAGAAACAGGCTGTTCCACTTTATTCGGTTGTCTTGAATGATTAGACTCATTTCACCTGGAGCCGCAGGAAGAGTTCTGCCAAAGACTGTTCTGTTCTCCAAACCCACTGATGCCAGTAGAAAAGGCTCGTCTCTCAACAAATACTGGACCGGTTACTTTTCGTCTAGCAACATCATGTTAAAATCATAAATTGTAGTTTCTTGGTCTCAAACCAAAAACCTGCAAAGCTATTGTCATTCCAATCAAGCTCAGTTGTTTATTGTTTTTAGCGGTGATTAGGGAAGGCAAGGCAATTTTATTTGTATAGCGCTTTTCATACACAAGGCAGACTCAAAGTGCTTCACATCATAACATTTCATACAATAAAGTGAAATAAAATGCGGGAATTAAAAGACAAATAGAAACAGCAAATAAAATTATAAATTAAAATCTTATTTAAATTGTTTAATTAAAGGCAGAGGTTAAAAGTGCAATGTAGGTAAAATTTAGCAGAAGGCGAAGCTGAACATAAAAGTTTTCAGTCTTGTTTTAAACGTGGTCAGAGTTGGGGCAAGTCTTAAATCTTCAGGAAGTTTATTCCAGCTGTTGTTGCGTAGTAACTAAATGATGCTTTCCCATGATTTGTATTTACTCTGGGAATCACTAACAGATTGGTGTCAGAAGATCTTAGTGATCTTGAAGGCTTATGTAGTGGAAGCATATCAGTGATATACTTTGGCCCTAAACCATGTAGTGATTTATATGTGAGCAGTAGGATTTTGAAATTAATTCTCTGACATACTGGGAGCCAATGTAAGGATTTAAGAATTGGTGTAATGTGCTCACATTTTTTGGTCTTTGTTAGTTGTTTTTTTTGGGAGACCTGCAAGGAGACCATTACTAGTGGGAGCATGTAGATGTTGAATAAAGTCGGCCCTAAGATCGAACCTTGGGGGACTCGTTACGTCGTTGTTTCTGATACAAAGTCACCAATGGAAACAAAATAGTTCCTGTCTTGTAAATATGACCTGAACCAGCTTAAGACTGTGCCTGAGAGCCCCACCCAGTTTTCCAACCTGTCCAAAAGTATTGAGTGGTCGACAGTATCAAATGCAGCACTGAGGTCTAATAGCATTAATATTGAAGATTAGCAAATATTAGCAAGTTAGGACACAAAACAAACAAGGTGAACCTGCTGAACATCAGCATATGAGCATCGTCACGTGCAGCCTGACGTCTTGTTTACTTAATACATGCCTCTCCTGCAGTCTGTAGGTGAGGAGTTGTGCAGAGCTACGAGATTAGTGAGGAGACTTCTTAATGGAGGTGACATTCCTGACACATTTGAGGGTTTAGTATTAAATCAGAAATGAACACTCGTACAGATAAAGTGAATTAAAAAAAAGTTTATTAAATAACTTATCCACCAAAAGGATAAAACAAGACATGGCCAATTTATAATGCAGCTTTCAAATGACGAAGGACAGTTCATCACAGGGGGGGAGGGGGGGGCACGGCATGTGTCACTGAGTTTTCACAGTCAGTCTGTCATCCGTTTGGCTTCTTGATCTTTCCTTATTTTTCGGCTTTACTATTCTGCTGTTACCTGTAAAAATGTAGCATTTTTATTTTTCTCTGTTCTGGGGTCTCAGAAAATAATAATAAGCTGTTTTGATCACTTACATACCGTTGCAATGTTAAGATAGCTTATCCAATATCTAAAATTCACATGTAACCAACACAGTCCGAAAAATGAAAAGGTATTTATTAAATGACAGTTTGTCATTTTTGTGCCCGTGGTTTCAAGTAGTTTTTTGTTGTTGTTTTTTTGTTTCAAACTCTGGTTGAAGAATCACTCGGGTCGAGCTTTCTTCTCTGTGCCGTTAGAAGCGTTTGACTGGCTTCCGGATGCGTCTTCGTGGCTGCGCTTCCCCGTCCCGCTGCCGCCGCCGCCTCCCTGAGAGGGCCGCCAGTACAGCACGTGGAGCCACTCTGCGTCGGTGTCGGCGTCCTCCGCCCCCTCGCAGCACCTAATCCACGACTGCGGAATGGCCTCGATGCCGTAGTGGGCCCCGGCGATGGCCCCCGCCATGCAGGCTATGGTGTCCGTGTCGCCTCCCAGCGCCAGGCTGTACGCTATTGTCCTCTCCAGGCCGCCGTAGTTCGCCGGGAGGCATTCTCTCGGCTGCAGGCAGTGGAGAACGCAGAAGATGGCGGTGGGGACCGAGTGGAGCGCGGCAATGCCGTTACCTGGGGGGGCGGGGGGGTGATACGAAGTCAGGGAAATTAGACTGGAGAGGGAGCTGTTCACAAGGCAACCGTGTTATGTAAAACTGGCTGGGTAGAGTGAGGGTGCAACACAGAAGAAAGTTCCCTCAGCCCTTTGGAAACAATCCAATTGTTCTTTCCAAATAAGATAAAATCTTTAACTCTACAAAACAATTATAGTTAAAGTATAAGTGATTTCTTAACACGGATTTCTTATTTCTGTATTTTTCTTAATCTTCTCTAATATGTCACTGAATATCTTGTGATATGTGACTGTTGCTTGGACAGAACAAACAATGGGAATAACTTTTCAGGAGGTTAAGGTTTCAGGAAACTGTGCCAGGTGATATTTCTCATATTTTTGTACAGATGATTAATTGAAAAAACATGTCTCAGAGTAATCAATATACATTTTCATTTGTTGGGACCCAGGATATAAAAACCAATAAAAACAAAATACGGTCTGTACAAAAATATAAGGTGTACAAGAAAGGATGAGTGAATTGAAAATGAAAAGTAAAGATTCAAAGACAAACAGATACAGACCCAGCTCAGAAATGACCTCCTCGATGCTGACCGTGCTCCTGTCCATCAGGTCTCGCACTCTGTGGAGGCGCTCGCAGAATGGCTTCTCTGCTTCTTTTAAGCTGCATGAAAACGCGTCACGTTAAAGAGGAAGATCAATGCCGAAAGGCAACGAACATCAGGTTACATCTGGGACTTTTAAGAGCAGTGCACTACTCACATCCTGGCATCGTTGCGCGTCTCCTTGTTGTCCTCCACTTCCTCCATCTCTGTGATAAGCCTGCTGATGAACTGCTGGGGCTTGTCTATTGCCCCCTGCAGGGAGAGGTGCACGGCTAACGCCTGCAGCACTGCCCCGTTATAACCCAGAGAGCAGGAGTGGGTGAGCATGGCTCCCTGACATGCACACTGGAGCGGAAATGAACACATCAAAAACAAATCAGTAGACAACGAGTCAGTGCTCCTCACCAGATTTGGGTCCTGGTGACGTGGGACGTAACTTGGCATCTATGGATTACTTGGCGTACGTCGAGAATAGATGTATTGTTTTAAATGAATAAGAAAAATGGACATATCACCAAGGATGTGGGGGTTGGCCCGAGGACGCCCAATGCTCACCCTTTTAACATCCGCCGGTTCGGGGAAAGCCAGCGCAAAGGGAGCCGCCCTCATGGCTCCCCCATTCCCAAAGGACCCTCGACCATTGAACTGGTCCTTCGCCGGCTGGTACACGTCACTGAGCTGAGGGGACGACAGCTTCTTCAACACCTGGATCACCCCAGAACCATAGCCACGACCCGGGGACATGCTGTACTCCTTAGCAAACCTACAGGGCCGAGACACCCACAGCTTTGAGTGCTTGCAACCAAGTGGTGCTCTCAACAGAGCACATATCGGTATCGGCAGTGTGCACTTGAATACCTGCGAGCCATGTCCTGCTCATCGAAGCCAGCGCGAGTCAGTAGAGACTGGACCACACAGCGCGCCATTGCAGTGTCGTCGCTGTACTCAAGGATACCTAATACACACACAGATATATAGAAACCGTGCATGATGCACAAGAACATGTTACACCACATATCATACAGGAAATTCAAATGTAAAACCATTTTGCTGTGGTGTTCAAGTGACGCTTGGTTTTCCCAATATTAAAAGTGAATCATTCAGAATGACTACAGGATTGTCGAGCTCCTGTATGGAACACTTCCTGAACCATGACCCCACACTAATCTGGGCTCAGTACCTGATTTCAGACATTTCGAGAGTAATGCTCCCCCCTTTAAAACGAGCCAACGTGATTTCCTCCTCCTTCCACTGACCGTTCCCTTTGGTCTCGTCGTCCAGGTTGCTCAGGTGCTGCAGCACGCTCTCCATGGGCACCTCCTCCGCTCCTTCAAACTCTCCGCCGACACAATCCCCCAGCACGGCCGCGACCAGCGCTCCTCTGAACCGGGACAAAGACGCCGGGGCCCCCGCGGCCGCTCTCACCGCCGTCGCTGCCATTCGATCGGCCGGGGAAAGAGACTTCGTCAAGGTCACGCTGAGGAGAAAACCCCCCGGTTGGTCGGAACGACGATGGACAGCGACGATGATGATAACAACAACAATAACAAATGGTCGACCCAACTCCGCCTCTGCGCTGTTTCCTGACAGCGTTGCGATGGCCGTTTGACCCCGAGCGGCGCATGCGCAGTGCGCGCGTAGATCTAGAGTCGGGTAGAGCGGGCTCTGCATTTATACGAATACCGCAGCGAATGCAATACGTGCAACCATTTGCGTGTGTGGATTATAATTAGTTCTTTTCGTTAAAGTTTAAAATGGGACATCGGTAGGTTTACGCACGAGGAGTGTTTTGCTGTTGTTGCCACCGAGCGCGTTTTCCTCGCGCCTGCTGTAGAGTGCGTACCTCACGCCACACTTACGGTAGAGCGGTGCTTTTGCTCAGGTCGCCCCCTGCCGGATTGGAGCTGCGGCCCTGACAGGACGAGCTACGGGTCTCGCTCTCAAATTGGTAGACATTGTAAAATACTGACAATTTACAATATATTACAGGGGCGCTGCCTTATTTCTTTGTGGAGTTGGTATTATTTTTGACTGTGTACAATGTGTCTTGATCATACTCGTAACTAAACCTTAGGTGGTAGCTGGCTGACAAATCAGTTAAAATAACAGTAACAACGACCCTTAATGGCCACATACTATCATGTGTCTATAAGCCATCAAACAAATATACGGAGACCAAAGTTACTTTCTGATCAAAACACCATGGCTCATGCAGCTTAGTTCTTTAATTTGCGTATTAGTTGATTGAGGCAGGTTTGTCAGATTGTGGGGAAGTACTATAGATGCTATGTTATTTTTATATGATATATTTTTATATTGATTTGTATATGAATTAACTACAGTGAACCCATACAACAACATTCATCTTTATTTCCTGTTCCGTGGACATTCAAAATTGGAATTACCGTAATGATGCGAATACAGCAGGGCGTATTTTTCTGGAGACGACATTTGATAAAGTGGCGTGGTCTACATGGAGGACCTGAGACGTAATAGTCAATAGGAACTTTTAAAGAGGCGCACGCTTGAACTACATATTTATCATCTCTCTATGAGCAAAAAACCCTAACTGACAACTTCCTACAATGTCAAAAGACGGAGAAGAGGCACCCCAAAATACGGTAACGCTAACGTTGTATTTCCCCTACCTTCTTCTTCGTCGTCTTTATTTTTAAAGGACCAGCGTGTAGGAGAGGATACAATGACAGCCATTAAAATATCATATGATTTATTTTCATCAGTACATAACGCTAATTATGATTACGAACTGTGAATATTAGTGTTTTACGCCATTTGAAAATGAGCGCTTCTCGTGTACGATAAACTGTCCCTCTTCAACGGAGCCCACCATGTTGCGCCGCCATTTTTCTACCGTGTCCCACAACGGACAAACTTAAGTCTGGTTTCAATGCGTTTTTCCATTGAAGTGTCTGCATACATGCGCGGGTTGAGAGGAGAAGTGGTTAATGGTCACCGGTGCAGGCTTCCCATGTTGGTTTGGGAGAAGTTTGAGAACACAATTGTTGACAAATAAGAGTATTCTTTCTAGCACAAGAAAAAGCGGCGTGAACCCTTGCGAATTGGTTGCATTCTTCAACATCACCGATAGAGGCCACGAAATACCGCGACCGCGTTTACGTGTAACATATTTCTAAAATAAGTTGTATCCCAAATCCTTTTGTGTTTAACTTGCTCGACAGCTGCTTCACCAAGACCCGCTGGCGTTAGGCGACCTAAAGTAGCCACGTCTCCTAAGTGGGCGTCCTGCAGCTTTCTTCTAGTCAGTGGCGTCGGCTGCTGAAGTACATGATTCATAACCAAACAAGGGCGGGTGATTGAAAGCACGGCGTCTGCGGCATAATAATTAAAACATGGCGGAGTCGGAAGAATTTAGACTTAAACGATTAAAGGTAAGGCACATAAACGTGTATTCAAAGTGGCTCACAGACCGCCCGCTAAATGCGTTGGCGGATATCTGTCTCCACATGAAGACATTTGCGGCTGGTGATGGAGGGCTAGCTTCCGGCCGAGAGGAGCCCGGGTGAGCTAACGGTAGCTAGCGTTAATTAAGTTAGCCAACGGCAGCTAATTAAGTTAGCCAGCCTCGCGTTACGACCCCGTGGCTGACTCCTGCAACTACGTGAATGTCTTCGTGAATTACAAGCGGAGGGATGTAATAAATGTGGTTTAGTGGGACAACTTCTCCATCCGGACGACCTTTATCACAATAACCCGTAAGACATTGACGACAATGAGGTTCATGTGGCCCGCTCCCTTAAAAATGGACACTGAGAGACGTATTGAGTGATGGGAGGACGATGGCATTGTTCGTCTTCTTAGCCGGGGACATACTCATGTCTACTCACTACAGTAGGAGAGACTATATTCAGTCTTCTCTGCTCAAAATTATAATATACTGTAGAGTAAAGGGGTTGTTTAGGGTCATGTTTATGTTATTACTTATGTTATTATAAAATGGTTTTGGTTTTCCAGCCAATTGCATGGACACTGGGTTTGTTATTGGAGGCTGTCCTTGTGGAGCGTGGACACTTTGCTACTAGTCCACAGTGGATGAAGATGGACCTGCAATGTAAGCAGTGGTTGGTAGTTGGACCAGTATACGTACCTTATTCTGTGGCAGGCATGACAAGAACAGCCCAGATGTGCTAAACAACATTAAAGGTGACTGAATTCCATTTAAGGGAAATGGCTTCACATCTTATTGGTATTGTGCGTGTGCCGTTACATTGCTTCTAAATGGAGAAGATTTGTTTGATTTTACTCACCTGTGCTCTTCTTGCCATGACAAACAAATACAAGGTAAAGGATCATGTCAAATCAAACTCTCAAGTTGTACAATCAAAGCCCCCCCAAATTAAATGTGTATAAATACTAAAACCATAACATATAAAAGCATAAGACACTGTATAAATCAGGAACACTACGCAAAAGTGAAACTGAGTAAAACCCTCCCCCCCCCTACAGCACGAGGAGCGTCTGTCCAGAGTGTTTGACGAAGTGATGGGGCTCGGAGACTTTGCTGACTCCTCCAGGGGCTCCGCCAGCTCCTCTCAGACGAAGCAAAGGGAGGTGACGAAACCTCAGGACAAGGGGAATGCCAACCGGTAGAAGAAGAGGATACCAACGACAGCAGCAAGGAAGAAAAGATGGATGAGGGCGCAGGAGAGTCATCCTTGCCTCGCACGTCCTCCCCTTCCACTGTCCGACCCTCCTCGTTTAGCGTGGGAACTACGGAAAGAGGACGAGTGGACGGGACTGCATGTGATGATGCACTAGATGGCCTTCCTGTATTTGGGCCAGAAGAAGATGACGAGGTCTTGCCAATTGACAGCCTTGAGGACGCTAATGTGGGTAAAAAAGCTGCCCAACAAGATGCCGCAAGCAACGCTACTCCAGGTGAACCCTCTGTCGGTCATCCCATAGAGGAGGCGGAGGTCGAGGAGGAGGTGGAGGAGGAGGAGGAGGAGGAGGAGGAGCAGCAAGAGAGGGGAGGAAGCACAGGGTCTGCTAACACCTCCCACTCCTCAAAAGACCACACGCTTGATAACAGCCGAGGTAAAGAAAGCCGAATGTACATGAAAATTAAGACCGTTGTAAAGGCCAAGATTGCTCACTAATGGCATATTTAACATCAGGTTCAGTTCATTTGTCACAGATTGCTGTTCAGCACGTGGAAACAGTTGTATAATGTCCCCTGTTGCTCTAAAGGGAGTTTCTTGAGCGTTACAGTACGATAAGCCAAAAACCTCTGTGGGGTTTGCTAATATTAGCCATACACGTTGATAAAGGATATAACGCTATTATTTTGCACACACAAACACTGTAGCTACATGTTCACAGAGAGGAGTTGTATTAAAAGTATGACAATAAGCAGCGCATTACTGCAGCGATTACTTTTTTGAACACACCTGCTTGGTGTGTTCAAAGGTTCAGATAGAATGCAACATATTTCTGGATATCTCGGCGTCTACTTCAATGTTCGCATTCTTTTTTTTTTTATCTGTCTCTTGAAAGTCTGTTGTCTTCATGAAGGTGCACTGTAAATGACTGCAGTGGTCTTTGAAGTCATCAGGTGTAGTTTGTGGTCTGTAGGGTATTAATGGGTTCTGGTTGGACCGGATGAGTATGTTGAATCTACCATGTAGGCCGGAGTTGGGAGAGATGACGCTCTCAGTGCACAGCCAAAATCAACCAAATGTGTTGTATTTTCTTATTATGCAATTTTAAATTGGTATTCTTAGCACATGTAACTACACTGTTACGTTCTATACGTTCTAGGGTCATCACATGAAAATATTATATTCCAAAAATATATATCCTATATATCCTGTATTATATTTGTTTAAGTTTAAGGTTTTTCTTTCTACCCTTCCGTCAGATGAAGGCGTCCTGAACCAGACGGAGGAGACTGAAGACAGCCAGGAGGGAGACGTAGGGATATGGAAAGATTGTCATGCTACTCGAATTCAAAAATCTTTGAGCATTCAGCAGCTAATTATGAATACTCTTTTATTATTTCAGAGGTCCGAAGCAGCTCCGATGGAGGACAGTAATCCCGCAATGTCTCCTACGATCAATATTAAAGACGAGCCCATAGATGAGGGCTACGACAAAGCTCTACTGCCTCAGAGCTCCATCAGACAGATCAAAGAGGAGCTAGAGAACCAGGAGGTAGGTGTGGGGGTCCTGCTGCATACGTTCATTATTACGGCTGAAATGGTAATCTCTGTGTGTGAGAACAGATGGTTTGGATCGGCGCTGCCGGCCGCTCATACTGTGCGCTGATTGTTACTAATTGTAGAATGTTTCCTTATAAGAAAATCATATTCCTTGTTGTGTGCACTTTGCAGGAGGAGCTGAGGATCAGCTCAGTCTACTCTGTGGGTGGAGGGAGCACCTTTACGTCCCCTACCGGTGAGTTCACTCATTTGTTGGGAGCGATTTTCCTCGTTTTAACACCTGGGCTGGTATTTTGTAGTGTCCTGTTCACGTTTGTATGTCGGATAAGATTGGGACGTTAGCCGGAAGCTAATGTGGGACGCTAATCAGTCTGAAAGCATGAACAGGAAATGCTGTGTGCAGTCCGGCTGGCGCTGGCAGAAGCTGTGGTGTTAACTCTGCTTTCACCCTGCTCCTCATTTTCTAAAGCACGCGTAGTAAGACCATATTTGAGCTTCTTTAGTGTTTCACAAACAATTTTATACCGTCGAAATGAAATGTTAGGTGATACACTGACATTTCACTTTTATATTCCCTCCTTCACCTGCCAAAACACACTTCAACATTTGGAACTGTCGGTTCTTCTGATTTTACCTGTAAAACAATCTTCTACCCTGGCACTAAAATCCTCCTGTGTAGTTGGATCGGTTAGCAGGACAGATATCCTGCAAGGAGGGATGAACAACTTTGTCAACTTTGCTGTGAATCTGCAAGAGAGATCTCAAATCTGGATGACTTGTCCCACATGTAGGTTCACCCACTGGTAAAATGTAAACAAACACTCCGACTTAATATGTTTAAACCGCTCATAATTCCTTCGGGTAGCATTTGTTTTGTTATTGTTCAATAACATGAGCAATGTGCTCTGTTATTGAGCTGAGTGGCAATGTGCTACCAACTTCCCCTCTTTAGAAGATTTTATTCTTTTAACGATGGGGCAAGACAGGATTTACTGGGCTGAGTGGAGAACAGTGGGCACAGGCATTCACCAGTGGGCCTTTTTAATATCAGACAGTTTGACACATTCTAGCTTATGTGTACCGTAAAGCATTAATAACTACTGCATTCAAACAAGATATTCAGTTCTGTTGTCTATTGTTTCCACTGTTCTTGCACGCGGGTTTACCAGAAGCTTGTGGTTTTCAACGCACTTTTCCCCTCCTATCCACTCAAGTTCCAGCGCCAGTCCCAGCTCCCCCGACGACGGCCATCTTCATTCCAGGTCGAGGAACTGTCCTTCAAGGCATGGCTCCATTCCCCCTCAGACCGCCAGCTCCAATCACAAGCTCCATGCCACCTCTGATACCTGCTCCACCCCGCCCGCCCCTGCCCTCCGTTCCGGGGAGCGTGCGCTGCAGTGGCTGCTCTAAGGTACTGGTGTAACTCTACATGGATGTCCTTCTTATGAGGGTGAAACTGTTATTAGTGTGTAGTATGTACTGTACCGATCAGATTAGGGGTGTAACGATTCATTCACTGAATCGATTAATCAATTTATATTCCTGAAGCGATCTGTGCTCCGCAAATCGGCATTCCGGACGACATATATCGATTACAAATCGATTGAAATGATACATAATCGATTTGTATCGATACTTGGAAACTGCACATTGGATTTAAGTACAAAAACGGTATGGATGTGTGTTTGTTTGTTTTTTAGCACTTTAGACACGTTAAACGTTACTCGATTCAGTCTGCCTGTCTGTGACGTCATCGGTACGCAGCGGCAGCCGCGCAAAACTCGGAACAACAACAAAACACAGCGTGGAGGAGACGACTGCGAGCGAGACATTTACAAACCAACTCATCGATCCAGCGCGTGGAAACATTTTGGCTTTTGCAAACACGGAGGTGTTCTAAATAAGTCGGTCGCTGTTTGTAGAATATGTAGAAGACAAATAAACCACGGAAACACGACAAATCTTTCCGGCCATCTACTAAGGCGCCGTGGGATTAAACAACGCCGACAGTCAGGACCTCTAGCAGCGTCACCGCTGCAGCAGCAGCAGGTAACTCCAGCTCTGCAGACACCTCAGGCCTCGCCAGCACCAAACTCAACATCACAGTAACAATTGCCAAGTTTATCTGTAAAGACATGCGACCCGACAATGTGGTTGAAAATCCGGGGTTCTGTGAATTGATCCAAACATTGTGTAATTATTGTGTAATGTTTACATTGAAAATGGCACTTGATTCAAATAAAATGTTAATACATTTGCCATTAATTGGTGTTTGCTTGTTTATAATAGCCATAATTATTTTAAACCTGATTTCCTTACAAGAAACAACAGGGATCTCAGAAACTTTGCCTGCACTGTCCAGTAAAGTTACTGAATCGATTTCAAGTCACTGAATCGAATCGAATCGAATTGTTCTAAATTAACCCAGATCGTCCATGAATCGAATCGGCAACCATGAATCGCGATTCGAATCGAATCGTTGTTAAAATGAATCGTTACACCCCTAGTAGATATATATGCTTTTAATGTGTATGCACATTTTAGGGTTTTATTTCTTGTTGGTCCAATGTTTTGTGGTCTTCTACATGGCCGTAGGTTCTGCTGAAAGGCCAGACAGCATTCCAAAGGAAAGGTTCAACGCAGCTGTTCTGTTCCACAGTCTGTCTGACTGGCCATCTGCCCGCGGCCAACAAGAACCGGTCCTGTTTCCAGTGCAACAGGTCTATCTTTGTTTCTTCTTGACATTAACTTAAATCTGACTTTCTCTTCGTTGACCACATGTACACATTGTCCTTTGGCCTTAAAGGGACAAATGATTGTCTCACTGGTAATTGTAAATGTTAATTATACGTGCAGATATTTTTTTGCATGACTCAAAAATAAACCGTTTGATACTGACTTAAGTTCTGTGCACGTAATATACTTGATGACACGAATGCCTTCAAACATTGGAGCTTGAATGTCTGACCTATATCAACTCCACATGTATGTAACTCTCTGCACTGGTTTGTGTTCACTCGTCTGCCCTTACTGCTGTATTGTAACTCTGTAGGGAGATCCTTCAGCCCAGGGACACCATCACCATTCCAGGAGACGAAAACAACACCGTCTTTAACTTCTGCGGCCAGTTCTGTCTGTCAGTCTTCAGACACAAAAAGAAACCTGCAAGCAGGATCCCCGAAAAACGAATAGAGAAGAAGCCCGAGAAGCCGCCCGAGAAACCGGCGGAGCAACCAACTGACAAGCCCGTTTGCAGTGTCTGCAGGGTCTCTAATAAAGTAAGTAGAAGCAACGGTGCAGAGGAGCCTTGCCAAGGTCCTTTGCGTCTTCACTGTACGGTCTAATCCTTTCTTCTCTTTGTGTTTGACTGTTGTCTTTGCAGCAGATTGAGCCCGAGGTCACCCATCAAGGTCGTCTCCACAGACTCTGCAGTGATGCCTGCTTTGTAACGTGGCGCAAGATGCGGCACCTTGCGATGAACTGCTGTGAAGGCTGCGGACTTTACTGCAGCAGCAGCTCAGGCGCCTGTCAGACGCTCACAATCGACAGATCGCAGCTCAACTTCTGTGGTCCCACCTGTATTGGCACCTACAAACAGGTATTCTTTTGTGTAAAAGTTAAGAGGGGGGGGGGGTGAATATAATATAAAGGGTTAATACAAACAGATATGGAAGTAGAATATTTTGTTTAAAACATGTGAATTATGGAACTGATTTTTCTAAAACATCAAAGTCACACAAAGACACAAACTAGAAAGGTGCACTGAATTCCCCACATGATGTCAACCTGTGGACCATCTGTCAAAACGAACAACTTTGCTATCGTTGTAGCCTACGATAGACTTGACACTTTAAAAAGACCTAATCTGTAGCATGTTTTGATATTCGAGGCTCCAAATGAAAATAGGATGTGAGTTTAAAGTACTTAGAAAATGTGTAACTACAGAAGTCAAACACTTCACTCCTGTTTGTCGAGCAAATGCATGTCTTGAAATCAATCTTTTGTTTCCTCGTAGAATTGCAAAAAGACTGTCGAGTGTGCCTACTGTCACAAGGTGGCGATAGTGTCTTTCACCATCATGGAACGAGACCAGAAGGGGAAAGTCCAACTGTACTGTTCATCTCCTTGTGTGGAACGCAGTCGACCACCGAGACACGTCCTCACTGGTAGGGACACACACAGATTGTATATGCAGAAGATTCTTCAGTTCATCCCAGCGATCACAACAGTCTCCTTACAGGTTTATGATAAATATATACTAATGATACTAAGGATTAATGGAAATCAAAACATTACTTGTGCCACTTTGCCTTTTAAATAAATATATATTGTATTTATTTTCCATTTGCATGTTCTTGTTATCTTATTATTTGCACTCTTTCCCATTTTAAATGTATTATCTGCTGCGGAACAATTCCCCTCAAGATGAACACCGTTTGATCTTACTGTACTTTTCTTTCAATGCAGCCCGTTTCTCAACCAAAACTGGGAAAGCACGTTTCACCATTGATTATTTCACACTGTGCATGCTCACATGCTAGCAGTCTGGTCTGGTTAATTCTACCTTTTTCCTGTAGGTACTTCATTCCCCTGCTGCCTGTGCAAAGTCACAGCTGTCCCTCAGTATCATCTGGCCATGGTGGACGGCACCATTCGGAACTTCTGCTCCTATGACTGTGTGACCATATACAGGGTAGGCACCTATCAACTTTCTTGTATCCAACAAACATTGATGGAGTGTCCATTGGTTTAAACCTTTTCATAGATTTGACCTTTCCTGTTATTTTTTTGTCACAGAAGTCCGGTATCACCTCTCAGCCGGATCTCATCAATGGAACCTCTGTTCTCAAGGAGCCCTCCATCAAAGAAGCCCCCAAACCTGGGCCCTCTGCAGGAGCCAGCTCAGTCCCTCCCGTCCCTCAGGGCCACCCATCTTCAGTCCCCTACCAGGCCCACCATCTCAGTCACACCTCAGTGCCCCCGCTGGTGCCTCCCTACCCAACCATGTCCTCCCCCTCTGTCCCGGGGCAAGCCCAGGCCAGAGCACCTGCCGGTCCGCCCCTGAAACCAGCAGAGGTCGGACTTAGTGACACCTCCAAGCTGACCTGCCATCAGTGCAGCAAACGGTTCAACACGAAGCCGCTGCTATTCAGTCACCAAGTAAGGAACACGGCTCACATGTACACGCATGTATGGATAATAACACTAACCCCTATGCACAATGACTGGACGTGATCAACTAACCATGATAATGATGATGATGATTCTGTCTTTCAGGGTCATATTTCTATGTTCTGCAGTAAGACGTGCTGTGAGCAGTATAAAACCCAGAAGAAAATCCTGATTGTGTGTGAGTTCTGTAAACAGGAGAAAGTGTTCTTTGACACCATGAACTACAACCAACAGGACCTGATCTTCTGCGGGGAAAGTGAGTAGACCTGGTTTCACACATTCAGCTTGGCTATGTGTACATGGCTATTCTTGTCTCTGTAGAAGAAAGTAAGTAGAATAACGTACGGCCCTTCCTCTGTTCCAGGCTGTAAGCAGCTTTTCAAGCAGGACCTGACATCTCGCAACAAGGATCATCCGTGGCGCCCGTGCGCCTACTGCTACGGCATCAGCCAGAAGATGCTGCACAGTCACTACGGAGGCAGGCTGGAGGAGTTCTGTCGACCCCACTGCATGTCCCAGTTCACTGTCCTCTACTATGGGGTGAGGCGACCTGTTGCACTGTGCAATGTTGGCCATTGAACCCGGGGATGTGCAGGACTCTGTGTTCAAACTGGTTATGTTTGTTTTTCTCCATCCTCCCTCTCGCTCCTGTCCCACCAGATGGGTCGGTGTGACACTTGTCGCAAACAGGGCTACATGGCTGAGAAGCTGCAGTGTTTGGGCTCAGTCCGTAATTTCTGCAACCTGCCCTGCCTCCAGCAGTACTGCTACCTGCATTTTGAGGCGAGCCGGCACACCAGCAGTAACGGCACAGGAACGGCACCGCAAACATCGCACGGTAAATTGTGTTGCTGCATCCGTGTTGTACAGCATGATGTCAAGTAGCAGTGTACATGTACGTCAGTGACCTCACAAAACAGGCTTTTGGAAATAATCCAAGAATCCATATACTAGCAGTTTCCGACAAAACACATATCACCATTTTCTAACAGACCTCCACCCGCTGCCAACAGGAAGCTGTCCTCCATTTGGTTGTAGCAAATGTAGGGTAGCTTCCTGTGATTTGTGTTTTGTCGGAAATTGCTGGTGCAACAGATTACGGCATCTTATTATGTTGAAGGAATGACATTGAACAGAAGGAGTAACACATATAGAAATGTCACATGGTAAACTCCCAAAGAGGAACTAACCTGTGTATGTTTGTCTCATCCAGCACCAACGCAGCCCCACCACTCCTCAAAGATGAACCCCGTCATAGCCGACGTTGTATCGCTGGCCAATGGCTCCGCCTCTCAGCCCAGCGTGTCAGCAGACACTGCTCTCACTGGTTAGCTTTACCACTCCGTTGTTCTACATTTATGATACGGATTACTCACAGTGGGATTTAATGCAGTGCTCTTTTTTTTGTTGTATTTTTCTCTTGTAGGATCACTTCCAACTTCCAACGTTGACGGCAAGAACCTAGACCATGTACGTTCCCTATGTGTGTCTGTGTTTCTTCTTAGACGTAACACACAAATCTAAAAAACTGCTCACAAAAACATTTGTTTTGAAACATTATAATAGTCCTGAAATGTAAAGCAATTCAACACAGCATATTCCGGATGAAGAACCATGTTGGCTCTACTTTTATGTCTGTTCCAGGCCAGCACTCAGACTGACGCCATGCGAGTGCCGATGCCCCGCCGACGCCAAATGAAGAATAAGTCTGTTCTGTGTCGGCCCTTCACCATGGACCAAGAGAGCATGTGCCAGCTGCCCACGCCCTTCGATGATTCAATGACAGGTAGTTACAAAAATAAGGAACTCCACTCAAACACGTTGGGGCGTCCAGCTGTTTCACCTCGTCCAGACGGGAAACCGAGCGGCTTCACGGCCGGATTGAGGTGTGAAACTTTGGGAATGTTCCTGTGTTTCTTGACTGTAAAATGCACCACCGTGTCCAGACACCAGATGTGCATATCGTCTACTGACTGGACATTGTTTCGTGCAGACCGAGGGGAGTTAACTATTTTCAAATTGATCTTGGGATAATGTCGCCCGCTTTCATACAACTTCTTTCCTGTCGTGCGTTGCCATCATATCTGCTGCCTCCGCGCCTCCTCTGGTGGTGATGAGGCTTCAGTCCTGCTCGGTGTGTGTGGAAAAATCTCTCTCAAATATCTCCTTGTTGTTGATTGGTCAAACCAACAGCTGGTGGTTTTAGAGCTTTTGAGTGTCAGCAGTTGCTGTGTTTTTTATATTTTTTCCCCATAATAATGTCCGATAAGCCGGATGTCCACTCAAAGAGAGACTGTGATATATTAATTAATAATAACCTCCTATTAAGTATAAAATATCATGGTCATTTGCCATGACAAAGATGAGATTCTACATTTAGATGACATGATTTAAAGATGGTCAATAGTGCCAAATGCTGTCACAGACATGAGATTCTTTGCGATTTCGATCTATTAATTTTGTTTCATTCCGTGCTAATACCCACAGCACACATTCACAATAATATGAATAAGGTAATTCTCAGTATTAATAGAACTATTAAAGCAGCTTATTACGCTACTGGCCGTGGCTGGCGGGCCTTTTGTAGGGTCTTTGTCACAACCCTACACACCATCTAATATATTTTCATTCATTTTTTTTTGTTGGTTCATCCAATCATTCGTTGTTCACAACTAGCTGTTTCAATAATTACACCAGCTCTGCTAGATAGCTCCTCGCTACCTGACCAGCCGTCCACGGAAGCATCCACGTCTCCGGAGCCGTCCCCAAAACCTCAGGGAGAAACCCAGCTGCGTAAAGGCGTGCCAGCGCGCCTGACAGGGCGCCATTTCCTGGCCAGGAGGGAGACCGACTCTGACTGCAAGGTCTGCTCACAACACAAGAGGAAAAGAGAGGAGGAAGAGGAGCAGGAGAAGAAGAGGTTAAAGGTGGAGGATGAGGAGGAGCAGCCAGTGAGGGAAACCGAAGAAGAGTCGGAGGAGGCGAAGGGAGTGAACTTGCCTGACTCAAAGGAGGGAGAGCACTCGGAAAGCAAGCACTGTGAGCAGGAGAGTGGGACAGCGAGGAGGAAGACGTCGTATTACTGCAAGACGTGTTCAGGAGAGCCCAGCCTCTGTCCTGTGCCCTGTTTTGAAATCTACCACACCCGACTGATCTACAGGACGGCTCCTGAGCCGGAGACACCAGGTGAGTAACAGGTCTACCCTCCGTGGATTCTTCCTTTGAGTGCTGCACATGCCAATTGCGATAATTGTCACTTAATTAAGGGGTTAGCTCTTTTAATTGTTTTTCTTATGTAGAAGTGAGCTACTTGAACATATTCAGTTAATTGACTTCAGCAGATGGCAGTCGCCACGCCCCAAGTTTGGAGAAAAAGACAATTATCTTCTTTGGACATGGGGAGCGCGGACAGAGAAATCAATCAGTTTAATAGTAATGAATAGTCTGCGCTATATGTAGAATCATTTCAACGCTTTACCTTTCCGTCTGACATTCCTTTGCAACGGAAGCTGAAGCTGCGACATACAAGGGACAGATTTGAAGAATACGGAGTTAAATCCAAACTAACTCCTGAGACAAATGACATCACACAGACCTACAGGTCGAGGCTGGAATAGAGCAGCAACTTGAGAGGTCTGATGACGCTCTGAGGAGAGCATGAACCAATTAAACAACTTTATTCTAATTAGAATAGTCAACAAAAAAATATGAAATGCTGTAAATATAGCATACTCTAAAACTGATCCATATTTTTACGGGCCTATAATACATTTTACTGCTCTCCAAACCGCCATCTACAGATAATTACCTCATGCAACCCACTTTTAAAAAATCCAAACAATCCCATATTATGCTGTTAAAATCTGATCTGTTCCTATCAATGTACCTTCCCCAAGTCAATTTAACTGACTTCTCAAGAGGGTCGAGTTTGTCACCCGAGTTTTTCTCTCCACAGCCTCGTGACCTGCTTGCGTGAGAAGTTGTCGTCTACCCGGAGCCCGGACAAAGATTAGACTGCAGGATTAACCCGCTGTGTTCACACCTACTCTGCAGTTTAACCTGATCCTGATACCTTGTTGCTTAACACCATCTCGTCTTCAGCAGTTACATGAACGTGTATTTGCAAAGTGACGGCTGAAGGAAACGAAGCACTTAAAGGGGTGTTTTGTTATTCCTCTTGATCATAGATGGTGGTATTTATTCAGTCTTTGTGGATTGTCTTCCTAAAAAAAGAGTGGATTTTGTGACTGCGTTGCTAGTGATCAGTGACTGATGGACTAACAGTCAAGACAAGATACTTCCTTAAGTGCTTCACTGATTTACAACACAGTGCTGTAACATGCAAGTAAAAATACCTCATTTTATGAATCTGTGTCATGAGACATTAAAATATCATTAAAGCTGTTACTGATCGTTCGGGACAAAAACCGTGACGTTTGTTTCCCTTGTTTGTTATCCTTGATTTGTGTATGTTATTTAAAATGTTCTTATGTTCAGATACACACGTATGTTTTCCCACCGCTGAATCCCTCTAACATGACAGTCTTACCGCATGTAGGCTGTTCCTTATGTTTATTCAGGTCACTGGTGCCTCCCTGCTCCCCCCCCCACAGATGCATATGACGAAAGGGATACCACATTGTTTGATTGAAAACTAACTTCTGATACTTTTTTTGGGAAAATCATGCTGCTTACAACAGGGGGAAAAAAAAATAATTTGCCCAAACATAAAAATGCAGGTTGGTGTTGCCGTATCCAGGCAGCAGTGCTGCTAAGTGTGCTTCTACTTTGAACAAAACACTCAAGTACTGAATCAGTATTAAATGATTTGTTTTATTGTCCCCCGGTAGCGATGAACCAAGTAGGTGGGGGCACAATTCTCTCATTAAGGAACTTTTTTCTGGAATTAAAGATGCTGGATCACTTGAATTGCCGTGTGAGTGGTTGACTGTATTTGTACTGTGAAGCTATATTGATCTTTATAATGAATGTGTGATGTATGTGCCAAAGTTCAATAAACGAGTCATCTGAGCCAAAGCTGACTTAAATTCCACCAGCTTGAGTTGATTCCAGCCCAGTGGTGCATCTTTATCAAATGATTTATTTCTTTTGTCTGTTGCGGGTGTGACTTCTCCGCTGTTTATGCATCTTTCTATTTCTTCCTTTTTTGAATACCCATTGACATTCCCTGGATTGCATAATACAGTATGGATGGTTTTTTAAACTCAAATAAAAGGGTCAATATATTTTATTTTTGAATACAGTTTTGTCTGTCGATGTGTGTGCACATGATATTTCACAGCCCAGAGGCTGCCAAAATTAAACCCTGACTCACTTGTGTGAAGCAAACTATCAAGGATCCATCATTTAGTAACGTTCTCAACTATAAATAAATTTGACCCAGAGCTACAAAAAGCTGCAGCCCTTATTTTAATCAAGACACATAAAAAAACGGTCCAACCGGAACTCTCCAAGCAGTTTGCAGACGGATGAGGAAACCGGCCTTAAATGAATAACACATTTCATATATTATTGACAAAAATACAAGCAAAGCTGTGTTGGTGGACATGATTCCACTGTCGCTGTTCATAGATCTAGAATAGAGTAGATGGCCACAGGCCCGAGTGATTTGTTCTCACGTTAAGGTGCCTGGAGGCGCGCTGCCATCAGGCAGAAACCGGGCAGCTAAATATGTTGGCTGGAGCTCTTGAGACAGTTGAATGAGGACAAAGCCAGTGTGATACAAGCGCCGCTCTGCTGTGCCTTCCCATGTAATAGCAGCTGCCCTCCTCCAGTCTGAGGAGAAGTTGAAAAGCTCACCTGTTCCCCTGCATGGCTCCAGGAATCAGTGGAGTCATGAGCTGTTCCTGCTACATCCGCTCTGAGGAATGATTCATTGAGTTGTCGATCAATTTCTCCATCTGTAATATTAATGTGTCCACGCGTGTATTATTGAGTATTTTGATGTACATGTACTAGTTTGATGTGAGAATGACCATGGGACTGCACCCTCATCTCTGGAGCTCTGGGACTAAACAAAGTAGTATTATACATTGTATAACTTTCAGCATATTTCATCTTAACATAAAGGCACTGTACAGACGTTATCACCTCTTATATTTAATTAATTAATCTTTCTCTGTGTTGTCATGGAGACGGTTGGGTGTCTGAGCCTAATCTCTCTCGCTCTCTCTCTCCTCTCATTTCCTCCTCCCTTCCTCCTCCAGCTCTGACCTCGCCCTCAGTAAGCACCTCTGCAGGGCAGGACACTGTGAAAGTGGTGGTTGTGCCGGTCCCAGTGCCGATCTTCATCCCAGTGCCTATGAACATGTACTCCCAGCACACACCTGTTCCAATGGCCATACCCGTTCCTGTACGTCCCACCACTACTTCTTTGAATTGAAAAATATTCTTGTGCTTTGTGCTTGTGCTATGATGACCTGTTCCTCCGGTTCTCTCCAGCTCCCAGTGCCCATAGCGGTGCCACCACAGAAGAAGCAAATGAAAGATGCATCTGTGCAGTCAGAGCCTGTGGCTTTGGAGGATGAAAAGCCAAAAGATGGGCCTGGGGACACTGCAGGTGAGAGCCTTTTTTTGTCCTGATTTCTATCCACTCGTATCGATTAAAATTGGACTCGTGTTCGCTACATTTATTATTCCCCAGTACTCAGAGGTCAAAAGCTAAACCTTGTGTCTGTCTGCTGCAGACCAATGCAGTTCCTTTAACACAGACAAGTCACAGGGGGTCACTCCCGTAATGCGTGAAGAGGAGGACACTGAAAAAGCGGTACAGGCTGACCTGCCGCGTACTGTTAGCGAAGGGAGCGTCCCTACATCAGCGCTTCCCCAACATAATACTCAGCCCAAGGGGACCACGACCACGAGCCACCCACCATCCACCGGGGCTGACCCTCAAGCGCCATGCTCTCCGCTGATGGACCTGGAGACGGACATCCCGAACGGTGAGATATCATCTTACTAGATGATGCGAGGGGGCGGAGAGGGGGGAGGGGAGGGGGGGTGAATTGCATCACTACCACATGACCTAAAAAGGACTAAAAGCAGCGTCTTAGTTTAAATGAATGCAGATGGAAGAAAACATGAGTGCCTTTAATCGTATTAAGAACATGGGGTAGTGGTGGACTTCAGCCTCTCTGGGCCAAAATGTATGTAAACAATAAATACATTATAAAATAAAAAAATGAACTTTCTTTATTATCCGACAAAGTTACTGTCTGTTTCACAGATAAGAAAAGATTTGAGGAACTGGAGATGGTCCTGTAAAACCCTTTTTTTCCCCCCTGTTCTTAAGTTAAGAGAGTCTTGAGTCTTGATCAGACTTCAGAGCAGGTTTTCATTCTTCCCTCGAAGGACTCGCATGACCGAAAGTTACCGTGTGTGATTTTTTAACAGAACCGTCGGATCAGACGTCCTCTGCTCCACGGAGAGGCGTGAAGAGACCCAGAGAAGGTTACTCGGGCCGCAAACGGGTATGACAGCTCAGCAGCACGTCATTCATGTGTTCACCTTATCGGCCTCTGAACCTCTCATTCTGCAGACGAGCGCTCTTGCAGGCTGCTCTGTGATTCTCTTGCTGCAGGGAACTTGTTTTAACAAAGAGTGCCTGCCTTTCCATTAGAGCAGAGGTCTTCAACAGGGGGTCTGCGGAGGTGCTGCTGGGGGGGTCGCAAAATATTTTCTTGATAAGACAATTTATTATGTTCTCCTCAAATTTAAATGTCTTCAGAATCAGAATAATATTTATTGTCTTAAAATACACATTAACACAAATCCAACACAGCGAACAGATAAATTGATGGACATTATCTTTCAGTCCACAAAACACACACTCAGCTTCCCACTGCAGCTCTCAAGCTGAGCACCGGTTCACTCACAGCTCCTTTCATGCTGATACGACAGCGCAGGCACCGGCCAATCAGATCGCGTTTATGCTCACGTCTAAAGAGCGTGAAGCTCAAAAATAAAAGCTGGCGGACCAAACTCCGCAGAATAGGGAGTCTCTGCTCCATCTTGCCATCAGTTTGGGGGCCGTTCGCCTGAAAAACGTTGAAGACCCCTGGATTAGAGCATCATTGAATATTTCATGTATTTATAGAACCAAAAGGTTCCCAGATACACAAACTTTAGCCTAACATGCGTCTTCTGCCCGTCGAGTGGAGCGGTTCCCGCACTGCCCAGCGTTCATTTGCATTTCCATCCATCCAGGGTCGAAGACGAACTGTGACTTTGAGCCGCAGCCCTGTAGTGACTCCAGCAGCCCCCAAACTGAACCACCTGTATGGGGTCAAAGCCTGGAGGAGTTGGGTCCAGCAACAGAACAAACTCCCGAGACAATGTGAGCCTCAGCTCTCTTTACATCCCAGTGGGGTCTCTTCCTCTGACCCATTGAACCCAGGTTCTATTGTGACTTATTTTATTCCATACCAGTTGTGTTCCGTGGTCTCTCCCCCTGCAGCCAATCTAGTGGACATTAAAGAAGACGTCCTCCAGTGCAACTCAGCGGAGCTGAGCTTTGCTCTGTCTCACTTCATCAGAGACGTGCGACGGCCCAACGGAGAGACCTACAGCCCAGACAGCATCTTCTACCTCTGCCTGGGGATACAGCAGGTACACACACACACACACACACCTTGATTCTTTTTGTGTGTTTCTTATCAATGACTTTTGTCCTGTGACCCTCTTTGGCCAGTATCTGTTCATGAAGGGCCGCATAGAGAACATCTTCACAGACGAGCTGTACAGTCAGTTTGCTGCCAGGATCAGCGGGATGTTGTCCCTCTGGAAGCCTCGACTGCTCCCTGGTGGTACGATCAGTGACGTCATTAGCCTTCCCATCGCCATTCAAAATGTTGACCCTGTTTATTGTTGGATTTGTATGTTCAAAATCCATCCAGTATACTTTCTTTAAATAACTACTCCTCTGGTTTTAATTGATTTATTCCGTGATGGATTCAGAAAGTTACACTAATCTATATTTTTATAATAATGGGTCCAACGACAGTATGGTTGTTCAACTAGGCTACACTTTAATAAGTCTTCTAACACTTCATTGTGTTTACAGCTTATATATGCAGTTGTGTTTTTAATAGAAATCATCCATCCCTCATTCATTGTGTCACAGTCATGCTGAAACACATCCCAGCATGCAGCCGAGGCGCCCTGAACCGGTCGCCACCAAATGCCTGCTGTGGGCCCCTTGAGTCTCAGCTCTTCCCCTGCTTCTCCCCCCCCCCCGAAGGTGGTGTTACCTCCTCCCGTGTGGTGGAGTCCTACCTGTGGGAGTGCAAGCAGCTGGGCGCCTACTCCCCCCATAGTGTTGCTCAACACGCTGCTCTTCTTCTGCACCAAACACTTTGGCTTCACCACGCTGGCGCAGCACCAAAGCCTCTCCTTTACCAACTTCACTCGACACTCCAAACCCGGCAAACGGGCCGCCAAAGTCGACTACCTCCGGTACCACAGGGGCGGCACCGCCACGCCACACGCAGGTGGGTGTCTTTTTAAACGACCCGTGCTGCGTTGCTTTAAACGGCGGATGAAATGTTCACGCTGCCCGTATTTAGTACAAAGTATATCAGGTAACGCTTGTAATGCTTTATGGATCAGATTCACCTTGCTTCTATCTATAACTCGGCCCAAAAAGAGTCCTGTGTCACGGCGATGGCCTTTTTTCCTATTTAGAGCGATCGAGAAAGAGGAAGGGAGGCGAAGCGGAGGACCATGAGCTGCTTGAAAATGTTGCCAACCCGCTGCACTGTCCTGTCAGACTCTACGAGTTCTACCTCTCCAGATGGTGAGACACACACACACACACACCTATAGGAAACTTAACAATTGATGAGAAAATCAGACATGTAAAGCAACTGAGCAAACGCTTCACGTCTGACCCCTTTGCGTCCTAACAGCCCGGAGTCGGTGAAGACGAGAACTGACGTGTTCTTCCTGCAGCCAGAGCAGCTTGTGCACACCAACAGGTCAGAGTGAGTCCTCTAAAGTCACCCACTGACGAATGTGTCCCTCATTCCCAGGGCTTCCTCTCCACCCTCATACAGGTGGATTCACTGTGCTTCAGGGTGCTCGTTTTTAGGACAGGAATCAAGATTTAATTCCGGTGAAAATGACCTTGTGTGCTATTTGCGACTTGGATTGGTAGATATCTCAAATGAACTTGTAGCATTTGGACAACAGTAAGTGCATTTGGTACTAACAGCACCACACAAACTTTCTGAGTTCCCTTTCTCCAAAGTAAGATAGTCAAGACGGAGAAGATTTAAGGAGATATGGCTCCTAAGGTTTTCATGAGAATGATGCCCTTTTTCTCTATAGCGCATAGCAAACATTACATTGTTACACATTAACGAGTGTGGGGCATCAAATGCGAGAGATTGGAAAGGAATTCGTTCGAGGAATTAACTTTATTTAGACGTACACAAGGGACTGTGCAATTTTATTTACTTCTTTTTTTCCTTTCTCTCTCTAACCTCCACAGTTCCCACTGGTACACCTCTCAACCTCTAGACGCCACCACTCTGCAGAACATGCTCACGCGCATCTCGGCCGTCAGAGAGGTTCACCAGCACTTGGAGCAGGAAGCAGCTCGGCATCCACCCTCCGTTGCCCCTGACAACGGTGGCCTACAGTGACACAGAGCTCTCCTTTTTCACACCCGGCTCGCAGACACCTGATCTGATGGCGAGCAGTGAGCGAGGTGCTCCGCCGCCGCTCAGTCAGACGGGGGCTCGATGGCGACACAGTGAGAGGACGACTTTGTCACGAGCGGCCTTTGCGTTCTGCTAACCAGGTGGCCGTCCTGCTCCACAGAATCAACACACAATGTGCTTACAAACATGCTCTCAAATATGATGAAGAGTTCATTTCACCCGAGCGGTGTTTAAGCCCAACTGTGGCGTGTTTGTTTACCATCTGTAATATCCGTGCCAAGCCTGTCCGAGAAGCTGGACAGGCGTGAGCATCCGCTGTGTCGGAGAAACGTCGGTTGCTGACGTAGACTGCGAGTTTACATCCCTCAGGCCCTGTCAGATCTGTTGATTGAAAATTCACAGAAATGTAAAAATAATGACTTTTTTGGGAACAATAAAAAAAATTGTCAAATACATACAGGTACGTAGATGACATTTGACCCACTAAGCATTAGGGACGGTGGGCTGATGTCCAGCGTCTGGCTTATCTTGTGGTTGAACAGCGTGTGGCTCCAAGCCACAGACGCCTGAGGAGCTGTGACCTGACAGTGTGGCGTGTTCATCCCTAACTGTTCATCATAAATCAGCATACTGCATATCGGTCCAACCCTGAGAGAGGAGACTCATCTCTGATCTTTGTTGTTTGAAGGTTGTCGAGCTACTTGAGGATTATGTGGTTCCACTCGCTTCTTCATGGTGTGTGACCTTATTTCCTTTGGAGTTTAGGGTTATTAGCTTATGCAGCTGAAGTGAAATAGCTGATTACCCACATTTACCTAATTGATATTTTTGCATCATGCCAAAAGGTTGGCCGACTCCTGCCCTCCTGAAGCAGCATGGCTTCATTTTACAAGCATGTTAATCAATTTTAGAGTAAGAGTTACGGCCGCTCCCTTATCATGACAGGGAGCTTTGCAAGATTAAGATTATTAATACAATGGGACCTCTCCTCTATATGTGGGTTTTTTTTACCCCGCCAATATTTTCTCACCTTGTTTCCCACTTTGTTTTTTGTTCCCTTAGAAATGGAATTGGGAGACTTTTGATGAGCAGCAGAGCAGTCAAAGTACCATCACAATACTTGTGACCCTACTTGTCACCCTGACCCCAGACTTTTCCTGTATTATTGCTAATGGTGTTTATGGTATTTGTGTTGCCCATACGTCTAATCATTTTGAAGTGTCATGACAATGTGCCCATGGTATGATCGACAACTAATACACATAGGTGTGTGTACAGCACTGTGTTGTTTGTCTGACCAGTCAAGAGCTACGGTTTGTGGCAGATTAAAGCGTTGTTTCTCATTTGGCAGATAGTCAAAAGTAAACTAAATAAGGAAAACCTGTTTGGCCTAATTGATGGCTGCTCAACCACAGCACAGCCCTTGTCAAAAAGGTGTGAAGCTTACACAACCATGTCTTATAGTTTCCATTTGACATCAAGGACTCTAATTTGAAAACACGGTTTGGATTTTTTGTTCATAACCAATCTTAGAACTCCTTTCAAATGCATTTTACATTGTTTTCTGGACCAGTTTATGGTCATTGAAACTATTGCTAAACTATTTGTGGCATTATTGTAAAACCTAGAAAATCCTGCTGACCCAGTGATATTCCCTTCAGCACAGCAGAAAGCCCCACAAGAAAATTAAACATAAAAGGCCCCTGCAATTGTCTTATTAAAATACCTACCTTATACTAAATAGGGGAAAGACACTGGCTGTCTCCAATGCCTGTTGAAAACACATTCAGACAAATTAATTTCATGTTGCATGCATTCAGGGAGTATATTTACCTGTCTGGACTTGCTCACGGTCCCTTCCCCCAACAGGTGATTGAGGTAATTGCCCCTCACCAAGCAAGACTTAGCTAAAATATATTCAGTATTAAAATCCTGTTAGAAGAAGAAACAAAGTATCATTTCTGGATTGCCTTGTGGATTTCGTTCTCTGCATTTGACCCATCCCGTCCAGTGATAACACTTAGACACCCGACATGGAGCAGCCAGGGCGTGAACCACCAACAGCTACCAGCACTCCCTGTACTCCATGCACCACAGTCGCTCCTAGTAGATTCTGAAATGTCCTCACTAAGAAAAACTAATGAAACATTGTCAGTGATTATAGAAAAAGTCAAATCAACAAGCTGTTTATTTTATCAAATACTTTTGTCAACATTTTAAAGTTTAAATGGTGTCTGTAGCTGAAAGATTGGCGAAGCAGAAAAAAGTGAAGGTTGATGAAGTTTAAGAGGATTGGAATATAAACTCCATTGGAAAACCATGTTTAAAAAGTTTATGAATTTGATTTATATAAATTCAAGCATAAAAGGTAGAAAGTTGAAACGTCATAGCCCCACTCTCCTTAACGAGCTGAATATTTTAATATTTGAACGGTTTTAATAGCTGATAGTGGGAAGGAGTTGAAAGGTGCCACAGAAGAAATAGAAGAAGATGTTGACATCAACCCGGTCTCACAGCAAAAGGTGTAATAGCTACATTGTGGAACGTGGTATTCTCACCCTTTCTCCCCCAAATCGTGACAATACTACGTTTTATTTTGGCCCATTTACATTGCCTTGCAACTACGTCACTAGAAACTAATAAACGGAAGGTCTTCTACATGATAGAAGATTATGAAAATATAACGCATACTTCTCGCTGGAAATGCCATCGAAATGCATACAAATGTTGATACTTTTGTAAAACATTGTGTTTTTCACAGATACTAGACAGACAGTCCGCCATTTTATTTTATTTTAGCTGAGGGACAGTTGATAGTCACGTGACACGTTGGTCCACAATGTAGCTATTTCATCTTTTGCTGTGAGACTGGGTTATTGACATAAAGATTCAAAGAGCAATAGTTGCTGAGGCAGCATTCAACAATACACTAAGAAATACAGAAATGTAGGTATAAATAAATACAGAAACGTAGAAATAAATGAATGTAGAAATACGGTTCGGACCGCCTAAGCTCATTTACAGACTCAGAAATGCAGACATAAATGAGGTAATGCAGAAATGTAGACATAGATTTATTTAATTGTGTTCTGTTTAGGTATCTACTTGTAAGAGACATTTTTGTTATTGTTTGATTGTTAGCTCCACCCCGCTAGGTGGTGGGGGGTTATTTCAATTACATTACAGGTCATTTTGCTGACGCTTTTATCCAAAGCGACTTACATTGCATTTTTAACCCATGGCATTTACATTTTTGCCCAGGGAACAATTAGGCGCGAGGTGTCTTGCTCAGGGACAAGAAAAGCATTTCTTGCATTTTTCTGGTGCAGGGGTTAGAGAAGGTGTGCTGGGTTCGAGTCCAGGCTGCCCCATGTTCCATGTTGAAGTGTCCCTGAGCAAGACACCTAACCCCTAATTGCTTCCCAGGCAAAAAATGTGAAAAAGCCATGGGTTTAAAATGTAATGAAAGTCGCTTTGGATAAAAGCGTCTGCTAAATGACCTGTAATGTAATGTAACGTCTCTAAAGTACTCTTAAATGGTGTCAAGTTGCCGGAGTCTTCCTACTTTGTTGCACTGTTCCCCAATTTGAAAGAGGGAGCAGACCTCGATCGAGATTTAATACTTGGTTGGAAAGTTCCTTCTCTTACCGGCTGTAATTCAGGTAATTCAGCTTTGCACAACACTCCATCAAAAGACCCTATGAAAAAACGGAAGAGGTAAGGAGTTACCCGGCCCAGAGGAAGCCCGGGGCCCCCATTTGGAGCCAGGCCCAGATGGAGGGCCCGACAGCGAGCGTCTGGTGGCTCTCCGTGGAGCCCGGCCGGGCATAGCCCAATAGAGTGACGCGGCACTCCAACACTCTACTCCCCATGGGCTCACCACCTGTGGGGGAAACCGATGGGGTCGGGTGCGCTGCTACAAGGATGGCAAGTGACAGTGGGGGTCTAGACAGAACAGACCTGGGCGGCAGATGCTGGCTCTGGGGATGTGGAACGTAACCTCTCTGGGGGGAAGGAGCCGGAGCTTGTGCGGGAGGTGGAGTGTTACCAGTTAGATCTGGTGGGGCTTACCTCTACGCACAGCCTCGGCTCTGGAACCACACTCCTGGATAGGGGATGGACTCTATTCTACTCCGGAGTGGCCCATGGTGTGAGGCGCTGGGCGGGTGTGGGGTTACTCATAAGTCCTCGGCTGAGTGCTGCTACATTGGAGTTTACCCCAGTGGACAAAAGGGTCGCCTACGCCTTTGGGTGGTGGGGAGGGGAGGGGGGGGGGGGGGGGGGGGGGGGGACTCTGACTGTTGTCTGTGCATAAGCACCAAACAGCAGCTCAGAGTATTCGGCCTTTTTGGAGACCCTGAATGGAGTCCTGCAAGGGGCTTCAGTAGGGGACTCCATAGTCCTACTGGGAGACTTCAATGCGCACGTGGGCGACGATGGAGATAACTGGAGAGGCGTGATTGGGAGGAATGGCCTCCCTGATCTGAACCCGAGCGGTTGTTTGTTACTTGACTTTTGTGCTAGTCACGGATTGTCCATAACGAACACCATGTTCGAACATAAGGATGTTCATAAGTGTACGTGGTACCAGAGCACCCTAGGCCAAAGATCAGTGATCAATTTTGTAATCGTATCGTCTGATCTGAGGCCGCATGTTCTGGACACTTGGGTAAAGAGAGGGGCAGAGCTGTCAACTGATCACCATCTGGTTGTGAGCTGGGTCAGAGGATGGGGGAATACTCGGGACAGACCCGGTAAAGAGTTGAAAGTCCAAAAGACTTTCAACTCACACCTCCGGCCGAGCTTCTCTCACATTCCTATGGAGGTAGGGGACATTAAACCAGAGTGGTGTATGTTCCAAACCTCCATTGCTGAAGCCGCAGTGAGTTGTGGCTTCAAGGTTTTAGGTGCATCAAGGGGCGGTAACCCTCGAACCCCGTGGTGGACACCGTTGGTCAGGGAACCCGTCTAACTGAAGAAGGAGGCCTTCCGGGTTATGATATCTGGTGGGACTCCGGAGGCAGTTGCAGTGTACCGACAGGCTCAAAGGGCAGCAGCCTCTGCCGTGATGCCAGGATCATGGAGGGGGCTTGGGAGTATGCTCATACAGTCTACATGTGTTTTGTGGACTTGGAGAAGGCGTATGACCGGGTCTCCCGAGAGAAACTGTGGGAGGTGCTGCGGGAGTACGGGGTGAGGGGGTCCTTGCTTGGGGCCATCCAATCCTTGTACTTCCAAAGCTAGAGCTGTGTTCGGGTGCTCGGCAGTAAGTCAAAGGCGTTTCCGGTGGGGGTTGGCCTTCGCCAGGGCTGCACCTTGTCAGCAATATTGTTTGAGGTCTTCACGGACAGGATATCGAGGCGTAGTCGGGGGGAGGAGGGTCTATAATTCGGGGGCCTGCGGATCTCATCGCTACTTTTTGCAGATGATGTGGTCCTGATGGCATCTTCTGTCTGTGACCTCCAACTCTCACTGGAGTGTTTCGCAGTCGAGGGTGAAGCGGTCGGGATGAGGATTAGCACCTCTAAATCTGAGGCCATGGTTCTCAGCAGGAAACCGATGGATTGCCTACTCCAGGTAGGGAATGTGTCCTTACCCCAAGTGAAGGAGTTCAAGTACCTCGGGCATCTGCACTGGCCTGGGAACGCCTTGGGATTCCCCAGTCAGAGCTGGAAGATGTGGGCCGGAAAAGAGAAGTTTGGGGTCCCCTGCTGGAGCTGTTGCCCCCGCGACCCGACCCCGGATAAGCAGCTGAAGATGGATCGATGGATGGATGGGCAACACTCCATCTACAGTGCCATTTCGAACAACTCTTTTTACCTGCTGAGCTTGATTAGGCACCTGTTCCCTCTTGATTAGGCACCTTTTGTCCTCCTCTTGGGGGTGTGCACAAGTGATGGTGAAGTGCAATTGTTCCCTCCCCTCTTCTTCTGTTTTCCTTTTTCTTTCTTTTTCATGCATTTTCCTTAAAACCCAAAGTATCCATCCTTGACTTGACAAATGGTGTCAAGTTAAGAATATTAGCCTTTCTGGATGTTTTATGTGTCTTGTTTGTGTACACTCGTAACGTTTGTTTCGAATGTTGTTCGATGTGGTGTTATTGGTTTTAATTGGTGTAAAATGACTTCTTTTCACAGCATTTCATTAAATTTCATTATAGAACCCGCAATGAAATTGTTATTTTTAAATTTGGGATTATTATTCACAATATGAACAAGATAAAGGCCTGGTGAAGACATTACATTACATTACATTACATGTCATTTAGCTGACGCTTTTATCCAAAGCGACGTACAATAAGTGCATTCAACCATAGGGTACTTGACCACAAGCCATATCAATGAACC